ATTGTAGACATGTGACCTTGACCCATACTAGACAATATATATCCACAAGTATTATATAAATAACCTTGACCCCTTATGAAGTCAATACAACCTAGTATAATATACTACTTATCATACTACAGTATCCTCTATATGTATGTAAACATGGGAAGTGAGCTACCATTCTTGTTTTAAAACTAATTGTATGCAATAAAACTGTTTTATTTTTTTCAGTGACAATATTTTCACGATGGATGATTGGCTTGTCCGAAATAAAGAGGGGTTCATCATACGGATCTGCAGTGACACACAGTGGGAAGAAGTCAACATGAACTATGGTCTTAAGTGTGATAATTATAGCTACATTGTGATTGTATTTTAATAACAACACCAAATATGAACACTTCATGCACTTCAGAAGATATTTTAACTAAGAAAGAAGCTTTAAATTTACAAGACAAGTGTGTTGAAAATGACATTTACAAAGAACAGTCTTTTGGTTATTTTGAGAATTAATTCCGAAAACAAAAATGTATAAATGTATCCAAACACAAGGACATTTCCTCATAAGCTTCAAATGTGTTAATAAATTTCCCACATGGCAAAATAATTTCTGAAGTTCCCTGGAATTTGTGTGTTATATCTCACAGCAAGAGATTTCTAGCTTTATAACAAATTTTACTTATACCAAAACAATATCTTGGGTCCCCAGAGGTTCATTATAAAAATTAAAATGTTTTGTTGCGTAAACTTATATATGTATATTTACAAATAACATAGACATAAGATGTATACATATATATAAATAAATTCATAAATATATTCTCGTATATTTAAAGACCCTTTCACCTGTTTAGCTACTCATTATCATCCTAGACTGTAGACATTCAACAGTTTTTAAAGCATTTTGTGATCATAAAAGAAAAATGAGAGAATAAATTTGTATTTTTATTATTAAAAAATATCGAAAGCTGCGGAAAAGTTCATCTCATAATTCATTAACACTTGCTATGTTAACGTGCAACTTTTAAGATAATGACACTTATAATTATATAACTTAATACAAGTAAATATATTGCATTATAGTCATTAAGGATCCCTGTACTACTGCTAAATTGTAACAAAGTATGGGGGACGTTTTTTCCCAGCATGACTAGAGCTTTAATAAATCATTTCTGAAAATGAAACCATACCCTGTATGGATCTAATGAAAAATAATGGAGGGGAAATGAACAATATATGAGTTCTGAGAGTAAAAACTTGGCGGGGCTAGACCAGGATTCAACTCCTGGACTTCAAATTGTTGTACTATATCTCTTCAATCAATTGAGCTACCTGTTAAACGAAAGTGTCCTGCCACAACTGTGCTTCAGTTATAGCCATACGGAAGTTAAGGGGAGGTAACTGTAGGTATACAAACCACAGTGCAGTGGGACAGGGATCCTTATATCAAACACGGGACAAATTCCCTATGAAAATAATTAAAAAATCAATCATGTCTTCTTGGAATCTTTTTATCACATTAAGATGTGTAATTACATATTCTACTGGCAGATTTGAGGGGAAATGTTTACTTTTATACCATGGAGTGTTCTTTGTACCAAACCAACAATTATCTGAACTAATTCGATCAGTTTTCTTAAAACTCTATATGTTACTTTAAAAGAGTAATTATGTTTTGACAGACGAGGGTGCTTATTTATGCGAGTGCAAGCTGCTTGGTTAAATATTGGCCCTAATGACCTGTTTTGTGTCAATGGGCTGTTAAGAATCCAATAATAATATAGTTTTATATCCTTCCAGAATTTGTACATTTATATTTACCTGCGATTGTGTTTTAGTTCATTTATATTGAGAGCTATTATCTTGTTTTCCCATGTTTGAAATTGTATTTTTTTTTAAATGTTAATTATTTTAGAGAAAAAGTATTCCACATTATTTTTCATTTGTATATTCAAGTTAACATCAGAGGATGGGAATGTGAACAACATGCTTATAGTATGGTTTGATTTAAACAAATTTTTATTTGCATCTAATATACAAAAGGGATTGGGCACAGTAGTATGGTATGGAAAAAGGACAGAATTTTAGATGATCAAGAGTTAGGGTGACCTAGATCTTTACCTTTAGAGTAAACAGTGTGTGTGATAATTAAAGGCCCCTTTAGCTTCTCCAGTTCAGCAGTTTGAACCAGCTGAACCTGAAAAGAAAATAACAGGCTCAGATCTGAACCGAAGCTGACCTCAGGAATATTTGGCACAAACATATGGAGGGATCCAGACGTGCCTGACTGACACTAAAATACTGACTATTGCTAGTTTGCATTATGTCAAAAGGTCGTTTCACAAGTATATTTTAGGAATTGTTATAAAATCAAGTTCATGCATGAAAGAAGGACATACTATTCTTGATAAATAGTTATTTATTTGTCCCAAATTTTGACAAACAATATGAATTTGGAATTTTATTAAATTTTATGTTCCAAAGAAATTGAATTGTCAAAGCTTAATTCCAAATATTAAATAAAAAAATTGAATTGGGTTTTTTTTGTAAATAGAGAGGGTTTTGTTGACTTGTTGTGTGCTACAATATACCGACTTTAAGTTTAAGTTTTTCACCTGGCTTGAATTATTCAATTATTTTTCCAAGATGGAATATTTCATATCTTTTTCAGTGAAATTATGATTGTTGAGGCTTTACAAAATGTGACAACAATTTTTAACGTTATCTCATCAATCTTTACAAGTAAACTTTTGTATGTACATTTTGCAAACTTTTACAGTCAGACTTTCATAAATCGAACTTTGAAGACTCCAAATCCTTGATCTTACGGAAAAGTCTGGATATTTTTTTCTTATGTAACGCTATAAATATTCTATTATAGAATCAAACTTTTATGAGTCAAATATTTTGCACTTTCTAATTTTAATCAAGGCCTGCTTCTTATGAAAACATTGAGAAATAAATGAAAATGAAAAGTTGCCTTTACTAGAACAATGATATTTCCCATTGTCATTTTAACAGATCTCCATAACAAGATCTCCATGCAAACATCAGTTTGTAAATAAACATGCTGTTCTTATTGCTGTAAATCCTGTAGTTATCTATTAATTTAAAATAAAAATTTCTTAGCGTGTCTTATATGCAGGATCTCAATGTCCGATGTTCAACATTCATGAGTCGAAGTACCGATGTTACAATTTTTTCCTGATGTTTGAAAGTTCCAAAGTCCAAAGTTCGAAACATTGAAGTTTGACTGTATGCTTAAAATAGGATTGTGGATATTTACCTGACTGTGAAATACATTTCCCCCCCATAAATGATGATAATTTTAGCTTTATAATACTATTGGCTGTTTTTAGCTTTTATTAGAGTTTCTGGTGGTAAATTGTCTTTTAAGTAATTTTTTTCCGTATTATTGTCATATTTGAAAACTAGATTTTTTTTTGAATGCATTCCATTTTCATAACGATTATCATTTTGTGATACACCAATCTGTTCTGCATTTAGACGGAGATGATAAATGAAAACACCTGTTCAACCAGACAGAAAGAGCATTTTATTTACAATTATATATATTTCTTAACATCTTAACAAATTTTTGCAAAAAAATTTGATATGTACATGTATGAAAGTATTTAGTTGGGTTGATTTCCTTTGGCCATGTAGTTAATGGGCCTAAGTCACGCTACCACAATCAGTACACTGTCAAGAAATGGTTTGAATAGTACTCTAAAATTCGATTTGTGTATTTTACAATGATGATATAAAATTTAAGTTTTTATCAGCATTTCCTCCAAATAGTTTTGTTTTCAGCAATATTTTAAGAGTACACAAGATATGACTTCAAAGTGAACGTGTCAGAAAACCAGAAAAAAATACATGTACATACATTGACAAAATTTTGGAGAGTTTTGAAGGGGGTAGTTATAAGCATGTTGAAATGTTGATTTCTGGTCCTTATAACCGAATAATATAAAAGGGGATATATACAATTGTAGTTCAGCCCCGAAAAATAAAGTGATTACAACATCAGGTTATAACCCATTCACCCCTATGTACCTTTAGTAAACTCTACCATGCATTGATCTGGATAAGTCCATTATGGTCTACAGTGGTGAAAGGGTTAAGGTGATTACTGAAGTAATATAATATATACCTGTTACACTTGTGATATGATTGTACTTAAATTGATGATACGTATATTTCTGTAGACTTGTTTTACAGGTTTTATTGTTGAAATTGTCAGCTACCATATGTATTGTAACAAAGACACAGGACAATGTACAGAAAGGCAGGGGGTGTTGAATTGAAGCTTGCCTCAGTAGACTCGTAAATATTTTGGAAAATGTTATGATATTCTTTCTTTAGTTGTTTTGTGCCAGGGAAAAAAATAATCCTGCATTCACAAAATATTGTATCATATAAAAAATAAACGTGGGGGGGAGTGCACTCATTTCAGTAGATATGGTAGTTGAGTATACTATGCATTCCACTTTATATCATATATAATTTGTCAGGAAAAAAACATGATATAAAGTGAAAGTTGACATGAACAGCTGATTTGTTTTTTGTCATTTATTTCAAGAGTGTTTTTGTACTAGCCAGTTTTAAACTCACCTGACTCTTTGGGCCAGGTGAGCTTCTGCCATGGTGTGGTGTCCATTAGTCTATAGTAAGCCTTTTATTTAAACAAATTCTTCTGAATAACTATTCAGCCAAACATTATAATATTTGGACTGTATCATGCTGTCATGAATGGCTATCAAGTTTGTTCAAATGAATAACCTTCAACCACTTTCAAATTCACAAGGGTCAAATATGTTCAAATATTCAAACAACTTTTTCTGAATAACCAAGAGGACTAGGGTGAGGATATTTGGTCATGCTGGGATAAAAGGCTATCAAGTTTGTTCAAATTAATTACCTTGACCCACTTTGAAGGTTATAGGGGTCAAATATGTTGAAACCTTCGAACAACATCTTCCCAATAGGCCTAAGGTTATAATATTTGGTTAGTAGTATGTTAGGATAAAGGTCAAATGGGTTAAAAGACTTGAACAACTTATTTTGATTGATCAAGAAACTTTGGTTCATTTTAACAAGCTAATAGTATAGCTTAATGGAGTAATTTCAGTAATTTCCTGACTGAATGACCAGGATAAACTCTGAATTGGACTATTAAATTAAATATCTTCCAGCCAAGGTTGATAAGACATGGGTAAGAAAATGTTCCATCAAAGACCCATAATGTGTAGTTATGACAATCGGTGTAATAACTGTAACCCTCATCTAAGGTCAAAGGTCATTGGGCCACTTGTTTGCTGTGACATGTTATTTGACATTGTTTGATGTTTTTAAGACAAGCTGTGGCTTAGAAAAACAAGACTCACACATAGGTGGCAACTTCTGAAAGCTCCACTGAAGGAAATCTCCCTCATTCCACATTTACAATGAGGGAGAAAATGTGTGAAACACAACTGAAACTGCTTTGCTCAATTTATCTTTCGCTTTTTATGTATCAAAATAACTACAAAAAGGATTCATTTGATTCAGATATACCTGCTATGATCATTATATAAACACCCTACAGCAACTAGGAGATCATTTGACCACAGAATGTAGATTTTGAGTCTGTGTTAGTTTGAACTTGAATGAGGGAACTTCGAGGGAGATTGGTAAATTGTGGTCAAAATGAGGGAGTCTCCCTCATAATGAGGGAGGGTTGACAGCTTTGCTCAAGTGAAGTCAGAATTCCATATTTATCATTTGATTAAAGTGTAGTTATTCAAGTAATTTAAATCCTCATTATTGTTATTATTACTCATAGGCCAGCCTACTCTTTGAAATATTGTCTACTAAGGCTAACCCAGATTCTGTTGAGAAAGTGAATAAAATATTTTAGTTTAAGTAAAAGCCTTATTTCTTTTACACAAAACGAATAATTTTAAAAGTCAATAATTATATATTTATATTTCTTCTAAATATGTGTTGGTGTTCATGACAGCAAATGTGTTTGATCATAAGACTGAGTGAGTGTGATTGTAAATGTGTTGATCACAAGGTAAATGTATGTAATCCCAAGGATGATTGCGATCAAAAGTATAGGTGCACAGTGTATGAGTGTGTTGTTGTGTGCTTGTGGGTGGGTGGAGGATTTGTAAATGTGTGTGAGTTTGCTGTTTTTACACCTATTTCCAAAGTGTCCATTATGTCAGCATTGACAGTATTGTCTTATCATGATAAAAATTGTCGCATTAAACAGTTTCGGGCCGATGTCATTTATATGTATTCATTACATGTACAAGGATTATGCAAAATAAAATTTTATCTGGGTCAAGTTGAATCCAGCTGGTTCAGTAAAACATTGACGAGGTTCTTCATAAAACCGAAGTATTTTGACAACACAATTAATTATATAACAAGGTATTGATATACTAAATGCCATTTGTAATTGATTTTGTGATTGCGCAAGCTTCAAATAATGCAAATCCTAATGGTCTTCATATGTAATCATGGGCAAATTTTCTCAAGTCAATGCAACAAATTGACATTTTCATAGAAAAAAAAATCATTTGTTGTTTATTGATGTTTTGAGCTCAACAGACATGAAGAGCATATAAGATTATTGGATACAGTGTCTTTCATTAACTTTGTCCATACAACATGAATGTTTAGCTCACCTACCCAAAGGGCTAGTGAGCTTATGTCATGGCACAGCATCTGTCGTCCGTCCGTCCGTTGTCCGTCCGTCGTCGTCCAAAAACTTTTCCTTTAAACAACTTCTTATGAAGAATGGACAGGCCTAGAGTCATGATTTAGCTGAAAGCTTCGTTGGTAAGACCCCTACAAAGTTTGAGAACATAGATAATCTTGACCTACCTCATGTTCACAGGGGTCAAATGTGTCAAACACTTTAAACGACTTATCTTAATATTTGGCCGGTAGCTTTTTGGGGTTAGCAATTGACATTCATTTTAGAGATCTTTTTAAGAACCATAACGCCTTCAATCATGGTATCTGTCACGCAAGTCTTTGGAATAGAGAGCTTTTAAAATACAAATAAAAGACTAAGACCTTCAACTAAGGTCCGCTGTGAGAAAACAATTTGATTTCTTGAACAGTAAACAGATCAGTCAGATCATGTACTGACATGTAGTTACTAGGCTGAATACCGAATGACTTTCCTTCTTAAGAATGCAAATGTGTCCAAACTTTTAAAGCTTGTGCATGACAAAGTGGCCTTGGAATGTTTTTGATTTAGCTTGTAGCATGCTGAATTGGGGTCTAAAGTATATTTATGAACTAAGTTAACCTTCTCTCAAGAAATGGGTGTCATATCATATTACGAGTGAAAATCTTTTTAACATCTTTTGTTCAGTGTTGGATCAATATGATAGAATATTTAATCCCATGTAGCATATCTTTTGTTTGAACATACAGTACTGTTGACCCTGTAATCTGGTTTACAGATCTGAAGTTCAGGAAACGCATTTATGAAGCTGTTTTCATGCTCAAACTCAGATACTGTGCTCAAGCCCAATTTCCTGTTTCAGTGATAAATAAATGAAAAATCGCATCTTTATTTTCTTCATGAGTTGGAAGAATTTTGAAGAGTTTACAAACAGAAAGCTGTTTAAAATGTTTGCACTTGACATTTTTTTTACTGTGTTGCATGATTTAAGTGAGTTACAAGGAAGCTGGTTTGAGCACAATCCATGCTTGAGCCTTAGAACGAATTTATGAATACGGACCCAGGTCTCCAATGAGTAAAATATAAAACTGGTCTTCTGATATTTTTTCGACATTGGAACGTCATTTTAACTTCATGTCATTTTAACTTCATACAAGTAAAACATCTCGAGAACATTTGTTTGGACGTTATTCCATCGCGATTCTTTTGTGGGATCTTCGCTGTTATGAACAAAACTGATATTAAGAGTATAAAATTGTTTAGGAGCTGAAAAATGCATGGCCAGACCAGGATTCGAACCTGGGATCCTCCAAACTCTAGACGTACACTCTTTTTTTCTATTTGTCTTTCTCTCTCTCAAAAAAAAAGCATTATCCCATACATAGAGCCTCATGAGTTAGGGTTTCAGTTAAGGCCCCTGAGATTCCACACAGATCATAAAAGACGGACACTCTACCAAAAAACCTACCCGGTCGCCAACGATCGGCCCAGTCCACTTAAGGAGCTACAAAATAATATGGGCAGATGTAGGAGGAGAAACACCTTTTACATCCCTGAGAGGTTACACTTACACGTTCTTTGCACCCCTGGAATACATCATGACAAAATCAAAGGCACGCAGTAAGCTAATTGATTGGTTTCAGGTAAACAGAATTGACCAAGGTGTTCAGAGTAATTTTACATGTTTTAGGGGTTTAGATCGACTTGCGGTAAAAATGACACCCCAATTGATCATATATCGTATATATGACGGATATATGATCATTGGGGTTGACATTTTTACCACAAGTCGATCTAAACATGTAAAATCACTCTGAACACTTTAGTTACGGTCCAAATATAGCTGTAACAAATTATCAGGTCCCTGTGGCTGATACCTGTCGTGACACCCGAATGCAATGTCAGTCAAGTGAACCGTTATGCCTCCGCACTTCTGACATATTTAAAGGATCAAGCTGGTCAACTCTTATCATCCATAAGATAGCAGTACAGAGCCTTCAATTCGGTTAATCGGGTAGCTAAGAATGCAAGAGCTTAACCCTAAAGGTTCGAAGATGCACCTTTAAAAGACACATACATTACGCATTTACGCAAAGAAGTCAACAATTGTGTAACCTTCAGACAAATCATGCAAATTTTAGAAAGGGATAAAGAATTTCCCTTTTCTGATAAGATTTAAAGCAGAGTGCATATATCATCCGAACAATTCAATTAATCGGATTGACATTTGTCGATTATAAAAAGTCAGATTTGTCCAGTTTGTTGTCGATGATAAAAAGTCAGATTTTCCCAATCATACATGTTTTGTATAAAAAGTCAAATGTGTCCAGCAACTTGTTGATTAGATAAATTAAAATTTGGCCACTAACTTGTTGATTAGATAATTTAAGATTTGTCTAGTAACTTGTTGATTAGATAAATTAAGATTTGTCCAGTAATTTGTTTATTAGATAAATTAAGATTTGTCCAGTAACTTGTTGATTAAATAAATTAAGATTCGTCCAGTAACTTGTTGATTAGATAATATAAGATTTGTCCAGTAATTTGTTGATTAGATAAATTAAGATTCGTCCAGTAACTTGTTGATTAGATAATATAAGATTTGTCCAGTAATTTGTTGATTAAATAAATTAAGATTTGTCCAGTAATAAATTAAGATTTGTCCAGTAACTTGTTGATTAAATAAATTAAGATTTGTCCAGTAATAAATTAAGATTTGTCCAGAAACTTGTTGATTAAATAAATTAAGATTTGTCCAGTAATAAATTAAGATTTGTCCAGAAACTTGTTGATTAAATAAATTAAGATTTGTCCAATAACTTGTTGATTAAATAAATAAAGATTTGTCCAGTAACTTGTTGATTAAATAAATTAAGGTTTGTCCAGTAACTTGTTGATTAAATAAATTAAGGTTTGTCCAGTAACTTGTTGATTAAATAAATTAAGATTTGTCCAGTAATAAATTAAGATTTGTCCAGTAACTTGTTGATTAGATAAATCAAGATTTGTCCATTAACTTGTTGATTAAATAAATTAAGATTTGTCCAGTAATTTGTTGATTAAATAAATTAAGATTTGTCCACTAACTTGTTGATTAAATAAATTATGATTTGTCCACTAACTTGTTGATTAAATAAATTAGGTTTTGTCCACTAACTTATTGATTCAATAAATTAAGATTTGTCCACTAACTTGTTGATTAAATAAATTAAGATTTGGCCAGTAACTTGCTGGTTAAATAAATTAAAATTTGTCCAGTAATAAATTAAGATTTGTCCAGTAACTTATTGATTAGATAAATTAAGATTTGTCCAGTAACTTGTTGATTAGATAAATTAAGATTTGTCCAGTAATTTGTTGATTAAATAAATTAAGATTTGTCCAGGAACTTGTTGATTAGATAAATTAAGATTTGTCCAGTAACTTGTTGGTTAAATAAATTAAAATGTGTCCAGTAACTTGTTGATTAGATAAATTAAGATTTGTCCAGTAATTTGTTGATTAAATAAATTAAGATTTGTCCAGTAACTTGTTGATTAAATAAAGAAAGATTTGTCCCGTAACTTGTTGGTTAAATAAATTAAAATTTGTCCAGTAACTTGTTGATTAAATAAAGTAAGATTTGTCCAGTAACTTGTTGATTGAATAAATTTAGATTTGTCCAGTAACTTGTTGGTTAAATAAATTAAGATTTGTCCAGTAACTTGTTGATTAATAAAGTGAGATTTGTCCAGTAACTTGTTGATTAAATAAAGTAAGATTTGTCCAGTAATTTGTTGATCATAAATATTAAGACACTGTTAAATGTCCAAAATTTGTTTATCATAAACCAGCTACTTTAACCATCTATAAATAACTCCTGATGTGTTTATAATATGTGATAAATAGCGTACAATATCATATTGTCTTCCTTGTTCGTGGGTTTTTCCTAACTTATATAAATATAACCAGACAAAGTACGAACATCACCGGTCGTTTGTTATTTTCTGGTGAATCATTGGTTAATATTGTGTCTCCTTATGCGATGATCTACTGACTCGGTCACTGTGGCTTCCGTCGCGGTACAAAGACTGCATTGGGTATATCAACAGATTGAGTATATCAACAGATTGGGTATATCAACAGATTAGGTGAGCATGTCACTAATGTTTCTGAGATGTTAATCTTTACCTAATACACTTTATAAACATATAATTTCAGTTTTATGTATTTTCATATTCATAAGATTGAGTTAAACACTTCAAGAATTGTACTTGGAAATATATGTTGCAGGACAAAAAGTGATATACATTGTACTTTCGTTTTGCTATCTACACATTAGCCAGAGTTTCCTCTGGCCCTAACACCAGCCTAAGACATTTTAACATTCCTCTGGCCCCACACCAGACATCTATATGTCAAAATGTCTAAGTCTGGTGTTAGGACCAGAGGAAACTCGGCCTACCAACACATTAGCTGAGTCACTGAGCAAGAAACTGGGCTGCTTCGCGAAGCTTTACCCCCTTAGCGACGTACCCGAGAAGTTTTGTCCTAGCCTTGTGTGTAAAGAGTGATATTAATCACACTAAGGATAATCATCACTGGGAACGTTATTTTTACCGCGAGTTTGAACCCGTAAAACGTCTAATATTACTCTCTACGCATCAAAACAGGACAAAACATAACTGTAACAAGTTATCGGGTCACTGTGGCTTTACCCAATGACCTGGTGATCGACCTCAGCGAAAACATGATATGTCACACGTAGTAATTAAGTGGCCTTGACCTTGTTCGAAGCATACTGCGGTCTGGTAATTTTACATTCTTGTACAGTTTTATTGGATTTTATCCAGAAGATGTGATCTATTTTGTTCAAACATTTCACCAAAGATTGCGACCTTGAATTAACTTGCTAAGCACGTATTGTATTCTACACAACGAAATGTCAAATCAATATGCACACGTTTCTTCAAATAATGTTTGAAGCATAATTGAGATGACCCTTGACCCCTTGCAGTTTCCTTGGCATTGTGGTTATGAATCCCCTGAACTTCTTAACATTTCGACTAGTACCTGGTATTACACAAGGTCTATGTAGTTTCGTCATGACAAATTATATAGTTCACAGGTTTTGACTTTGACCTATTATGTGTCCTTTACCTTTGGGGTACAGATGTGTTTGTGACACGAGACACATGTCCTACTTTCATAACAATATAAACACCTCTATGACGTTAAATCAATATGGCAATTTCAGAAGGTTCGGCCAAGACAAGGGATTTATGACAATAGCTACTATAGATACACGCGTGACGTTTAACTAGAGGATTATTTCATGTTACTATAGATACACGCGTGACGTATCACTAAGGGAGTATGTCTTGTAACTATAGATACACGCGTGACGTATCACTAGAGATTTATGCCGTGTTACTATTGATGCAAGCGTGACGTATCATTAGAGATTTATGACTTGTTTCTATAGATACAAGCGTGAAGTATCACTAGGGATTAATGATTTGTTACTATAGATACAAGCGTGACGTATCACTAGGGATTTATGACTTGTTACTTTTGATACAAGCGTGACATACAACTAGGGATTTATGACTTGTTACTATAGATACAAGTGTGACGTATCACTAGGGATTTATGACTTGTTACTATAGATACAAGCGTGACGTATCACTAGAAATTTATGACTTGTTACTAAAAATACAAGCGTGACGTTTCACTAGGAATTTATGATTTGTTACTATATAGATATAAGCGTGACGTATCACTAGGGATTTATGACTTTGTTACTCTGGATACAAGCGAAGCGTGGCGTATCACTGGCGATTTATGTTTTGTTTCTATGGAAACAAACATAAAGTATCATTAGCGATTTTTAATATGTTACTATGAATACAAGTGTGACATATCATTAGCGATTTATAATTTGTTACTAAAGATACACGTGAGACGTTTATGTGGGGATTTGTTTGTGTAGATCACGTGTACAATGGTGTTGTCCATGGGATTTGTGATGTGTTGCTAAAATACAAATATAATGTAACATGAAGGTTTTTGTCGTATTACAATAAGTACAAATCGATCTTTCCACTGTGTGAAAACGTCTCAGGTTGACGATAGCGTCAAACAAACTTGATATATCATATCTTCATCATAACTGATATTTCATCAAAATCACAACCAGGGACAACGATGTATTGAAGAGAGTAGTATCATTTTCCTGTCGGTGCAATGTAGTGTGTTTCTAACATTATAACTTTATATACAGCATGACCTTGTGACTGGGGATTAGTTATATACAGAAATGAGATATGTCATCAACTTATTCAATTGATGATTGAGTCACCTTTGAGAGAAAATTGAAGTGGGTTTCGTTTATTTTATAACAGCCTCCTCTTACTCTGAACTGATTTTTCTGTTGTACGAGGAACAGCTATTAGAGAAGCATTATATCCTAAAACCAAAGCAAACTTCTTTCAGTTTAAAGTATAATGTTTTGTACGCTTAACGCCAAGCTTACATTATAAGATCATTTGATTTAAAAGAAAATGTGACGTCATTCAATTGTTTTCATTGTGCCATCACCAACGGGTGTCTCAACAAGGATAGGTCAAGAATTCTTTTACCCTAGACAGATGTTTCCAAGCGCTGGAAATTCACAATACAAACTAATTGTATGACATTATATTCACCTCCTTGGGGATGAGAGGTGATTGGGGATCTCAACCCTTGGGGAGGAAATAAGCCTCGTGTTTGACGGTGTAAGAATCGATCTCCTTGGACTGAAATCTCTCTTTCTCTCATTCCTGTGAGTAAAGGGTTAAAAAGGAATGTAGGGAATTTCTATCTTTCACCCCATTTTTACGTCACAACAATTATGTGACGTCACGATATCAGAATATTTCGATGCCGAGATGCAGAAATCGCAACGCTTTGTGGGGTTTCGTATCCGTTTGAATATAACTGAAGCACAGTTGGGCCAGGATCGATACTTCTGTTGACTAGACAGCGACTTCTTCTCCGGAACTAAGATGAGGCTGGAAGCATTCTAATGTAGTGGGGATTCAAATTTGTACAAGTGAGGGGCAAAAGGCAACTTCTTCTCTGGAACTGATGGATATTAACCATATTTGATTGGGGGTTCTAAGATTATTCTAGTGAATTGAATGAAAAAAAATAGTCTTTATGACCAGGAGTGAGGGATGGGAAAATTAAAACATATTTTGGTTCAAATTGGGTAAAACCCGTCGTTCTCTTCGGGTTCTTTCCTCTAGTTTTGCCTAATTGAAACCTCATTGGGTGGAATTTCCCTATCCTACCTCTCTATTGGCATAACAGTGTCTTACAATCGCATCACAAAGGGACGAAAGATTCTATTAATCCCACGCCGAGCAAATCACAGACAAACCTGTCAAGGGTAGGACATAGACAATTAAACAATGAAAAACATCAAACGGGATATAATAACTTACAAATATTATTATTTCATTCTTAAAGTCATTATCATCGTTATTTTGTCAATTACATTTATGTATTTGGTTTTCCATTTTACAAACTGTCATAACACCGAATTTCTTTACACGAGATAACGGTTTATTCCTAAATGGAAATAACAACTCCATGTTCTTCTGTATGTTCTACTTTGGGATAAACAAATAAAAAATCTTTTCTCGGTACCATTGTCTCTCCAGGTATATGTTTTCGTCTGACTTAGCTGTTATAAGTGAAGTTCAACTACAAACAGAATAAATAACTTAAATATAAACAATTTAAGTATATAAAATATTTTTTTAAATTTAAATGAAATAAATTAACAAAAGTAAATGAATTGAAATATATCTAATATAAATATATAAAAGATATAAATATTAATAAACACTAGTAGAGAAATAGCAAACAAACAGAACAAAACGTCCTTTAATCCTTTAACAAGCTTTACAATCTGTTCTCAGGCAATGATCACCACAGCATCCTCCGATTCTTACTATACGCAGATTGACCTGTTTGACACATGTGAGCTGCATGCTGGTCACCCCCTCCGGTTTGTGTGTCTGGAATGTGAGGAGTGTTGTATCTGCGATGAATGCAGCATATTTATTCACGCCTCTCATCGGCAACAGGAGCTCAAAGACTACAACAGGTAAAACGCATTTATATACAAATAAAAACGCACGCTATAGATTGTTTTTAGTTTGATCCGAAGTTACTTGCTAACTAATATGGAAGTAACGACTTCATTGGTGCTGCAATAGTTTTTAAATACTTTGTGTACTAAAAGGTGTTTCTGTCCCCCCAACCAAAACGGATGGGTTATTTGTCTTCGTCTCCACATTCTTCTGCTTCTTCTTCTTTCTTCCGTACTATTCCGTCTTTGCGTATTGCAGAGTTATCTTCTCTTGGGAGCAGGTATTGATTGTTACGTCATGGGTTTGTGCGAGAAAATTACGTCGTTTTCTCAAAAATTGATGACGTTACTCTCACAAACAAGTGACGTAACAATCAATACTTGCTCCCAAGAGAAGATAACTCTGCAATCTGCAAAGACGGAATACTTACTGGATACTTATAAAACTTCATGTGTGCATTGGAAGCAACTGTAGATGGACGTAACGCGTTTCATTTTCCGATCAGTCATCAAACATGGCCGCCGTGGATGTTGACACGTTTATGGGTGATCGCCAAGGAGCTGCAATCGGTCCCACAATATGTCTGGTTTTGCTCCAAAGTAGTATGACATTTCAAACTCTTTTCAATGTGTTATTTGCAATTACAGGAGGCGTCTGTGGGTATATTTGTAATGGTCCCCGGTACAGTTAGAACTTGTTTAGTTTTATTGTGTTCAATGTTTAAAAACAATTTTAAAGTTATTCATGACTCTCTTTAGGTTTTTAAAGAAAGGAAGTAAATAATAGATAATTTATCAGCTAACTCATTGTGAAAATGCACTGAAGCAACATTGTATCTTTTACTTGTATATAGGACTCAGCTGAAAAAGCTCGAAGACAACCGACGCAGACTGACCGATGTTACAACGGAAAGTAAACGGAAAGTAGACTATCTGACAAAACAGATTGAAAGAAGTCGCCGAAAGTCTGAACTGGCGGTGGAACAGGCTACGGCCACAGTAGAATACTTATGGCAGGAAATAACAAGGAAAAAAGTCGAACTTGTCCAAAACATAAATAGATACACAACGGCATGCGCTAATCAGCTAGGGCAACAGCAACAGGAATTGCGGCATCGGCTCACGCAATATAAACTTATCATTGAGAGAATAGAAAACGTAGCAAAGTCTGATAATCCCAGCCAAATCTTCAAGAACGTGGGAGGACTAAAGAAGCATTGTTCCGGAGCTTTGAATTTGAGGCCGTTGTGTTCACTTCCGGTTTACAAACCAGTGTTCATGAGAAATCCAAATCTTTTATCAGACTTTGGAGATATACAGTTCGGCGTAGTTGTTAACTCGAATGACCATAGTGATAATGAATCTGAAGAAAGCGACTACGTAGTTGAAGAAGATCCGTGGGTCTACGAAGTCGAACCTATGCTCATAGATTCGGTCAACAATTCTGATGAGAGTGATGACGTAAAATCTACGCATCAGGACAATGCATCAGCGGGGTCAAACTATTGTCAGCAATCGGGCTCTGAAGTGAGTGACGAAATCGTGGCCTACACAGATCTTTCTCATGTGATGCCTGATTGTGCGGACAACTCGTCCGCTGGGTCGAGTTATGTCGATTTTTCAGAAACGAATATTGAATGCATACACCACAACCCCGAAAGTTTTTCTGAGATAAAGGCTGGGTGTTCAAACAACTCGTCCACTGGTTCGGGTGACGCGTCAACGTTTGTATCGGATCTCGACAAAAACCATTGTCACGAAGTAAATATCAATCAACAGCAGCGGATGACCGGACGGACGGAGAAGTCAAACGATAAAAACAAAGATATGAGGCCAAAGGAAGAGCAATTACATACACAGGAGAGCACGTCCGATATACCCCCTGGACATTACTCCTTTGCGCGTCGCAAGTGTGACAACTCAAAATCTGACCGTCAAATCCCCCCAGGCGTGTCCATACCCATGGACGATGAACACAGTGAGACCGACCTGTATGAGAGTCTTCTTCAGAAGAATGACACATCAACTTCTATGCTCCGCTCCACCAATAAGTATGATTCTCTTCTGGGGAGCACTTTATCCCTGGATAGAATCGAAGACAGAACAAAACTGCCACAAAAGTTTCAACTACATTTCAACAAATCTAAAATTATACAGACGGAAAACACCATTTTGTCTGGAAAAGTTCTGAAGCGAGTATTTCTACCGTTTACATTTACCGGTTTCACAACAGTTTCCAGAGAAAACGACACGCTACTTGCATTCGTCACAACAGACAAGGAGGTAGTCCTCCTTCGGAAGAATGGCGTAGAATTCAGCAGGATAACAGAGCTTACAAGCCCGTTCGATGTAGGAAGTAATGGGAGCTTTCCGTATAGCATCTACATCACAGACAGTGGTAAGTGCGAATTACTTATTATACCAATTATACTTCAAGAATCCCTTACCCGCTGCAGGCAAAACAATGGAGATTCCAATCTAGTCATTCTAGTCACGGTTACGTCCCATATATTTTGTTTGGTAATTACTGTAGCACGACGGGGCCAGGACATATCTACTTTGAAAAAAGGTAGGAAGGATCCGGTGGTGACTCCCTAGGCACCCGTCCTCGTGTCACTCTGGCTGTCGCCAGGACTTAACCCCAAACCACCAACTAAAGCATGGCTTTATTTTATAATATTGGCATCTCAACATCAGGGTCTATGCTTCTAAAGAAAGAATTTACTCACACTAGACTTTTCCAAACTAGAAAATACTACCAACCCTCTTGCTTTATGGTAAATGCTATGAAATTTTTGTCAAGAACAGCAGAGATTTCGATTACATAGAAAAACAATTATATAAAACAGTAGACATAGTAATGTTATCCTTCGCTTGTTTTAATCGGTTCATGTTCTTTAGACATTCTATGACTTTAAGTAAATTGTTATTGTATAAGATGAAAGCACATAGTGATTTATATAATAATTCCAGATGAAAAAAAAAGAGTTTTCCTTTCAAACGTGGGCTTTACTCTTTACGCGTCATGGGGTAGGCAGTGTTATGATCTCCAATATTTTATTTTCAGTAATGTCCTTTGTTAAGATGGTCGTCCTTGCGAAGACAGTGTAAAGATATCGAATAAAAACACAATGGGTTTATTTTTAGCAATATTCTTTGCCTAGATGCACGTCCTGGTGAAGACTGTGCAAAGATGTCTAATAAAATATAACGGGTTTATTTTTAGTAATGTTCTTTGCTTAGATGCACGTCATTGCGAAGGTGTTGTAATGTTAACCAATTTTAAAAGACAATGGGTTTACTTTTTATATTTTACTTTCCTTAGGTGTTCGCCCTGGTGAGGGCAGTGTGAGGGTGTATAGCTGCGCTGGGGGATACCTCGACACATTTGCTGGCGGACTTAACGCACCACGAGGGATTGATCTGTCAGCAGAAGGTCAGGTGTTCGTGTGTGACCAAGCTGACAAGTGCGTGTACGGGTTCTCTTCAAAAGGTCGCAAGACCCTCCGACTGAATATTGGTGGCCAAGGCTTCCCAAAGTACGTTAGTTTTTTAAGTAACGGACGACTTGCCGTCTCTGACTATGAGAGGGAAAACCTCATCATATATGATATAGCTGGTCACAGCGTCCAGCTGGTGAGAACAAAAGTGGACGATTTACTCTGCCGTGGTATGTGTTCTGAAGATGTGGGCAATAACGTGCTGTTTGTAGTTCACCCTGAGGGCAACGTTCTTCACGTGATAAGGGGAGGTCAACTCAAGGTCATCGATCTGGGAGGTGGCGAGGGTGCGCATCCTCTTGTTCCAATGAGAGATGAGCGAGGCAATGTGTTTGTGTTCTAACGTTTAGAAACGGGGACCATGAAACAGTTTAGACTTCGATACCAATATTCCAAGTGTAAGAATCAAAACATTGCTTGCTTACTTCAAAGGCACACAGAGTAGTCATGAATCAATCCAGTAGAACACTGATCTACATCTCTATACTACACATTTATTATACTGAAATAGATCGAAAGCCAAATAGTTAACACAATCAGACTTTCGTTGTCGTTTACTTCAGTTACTCGGAACTCGGACGTGACGCGTGCCGCTTGCTCATTTTTCTAGAGAAACCCAGAATAAGGGAAACATAACAAGGGAATCTCGAGTGCGAGAGGACACGACAATTTATTTCTGTATTATGTGATCATGGATTGCAATCAGATACACTGTTGTATTTGATCTTGTTGGAGGGAAACAAGAGTCTGTTTCCCCGATATTAATCATATTTCCAGTGGTAATTATTCTTTTCCCTGAAAATTTAAAAAGTATTCGCTATTATAATGGGTATTACGTATCTCCGCGTAGTATCATTATATTTACTATGTCGTTACGTGCGCTGTTGGTGACTCCTTGTGTGACGTAAAATGACGTCGTTTTTATCATATCTGACGTTGCTTTTTAGATGTTTTATCATATTTTGTATTCTTTTGTGTGACTCCCTTGTACGCTACCGTGCGGAAAAAAGGAGAATAGTCAACATGGGCTCATAAACTTTTTTTCATACTTGTGAAATAAATCAAGTTTAAGAGTTGGCCGGGATTAGAAGGAGAAGATAGATGTGGGGTTGTGGACTAGCATATATTCTCAAAATCGTTTCCATTGTTTCAGTCGGTTGTCCCATTTTTAGATTGTGTCTGTACATATGTCAACAGAGAATAAGTATCACCGTCAGATATATGCTGTTTTGACTATACTTCTACAACTCTATTTATTAGTATTGACTTTATCCATATAGTGTTTCGTAATTATAATGATGCATGAAATTTAACTCCAAATAATAAAATGACCTCACGATTTCTACTGATGTTTGGCACTCTAAATGTTGCGCAACGTTATTCCCGTTATGTAGCCTAAGGAGGACATTTTACGAAAACTGATAAGTGTAGCACGATATTTTTCATTTTTAATGCTGTTACAAAAGTGAAAAGTGCTTCCTGCTGGGTAAGCATAACATTCTGTTCATAGCGGTTTGGAGAAGATTTTGTAAATATGCCAATCACTAATCCCAATGAAACTATTGATGTCATTTGTGACGTCATTTCTGCTTCCGTCTGGTTTTTAAATATCTGCACTGTTTTGGCGCGAATTTATAGGATTTTTTTAAACGTCTTACCCCGCAGATGTTACGCGTCCCATGAGTTTTTGGGACGTTTTTGAGGTTGTTTAGGTGAAACAGAATTATTCATGTTGTGTTATACTATCCATAAAAAGCAGAAGACGAATTAACTTGAAAAAGACGTTTTCTTTGATATATAATTTGACATCAAGTTTTGAAAACTGAATAATACAGCGATACTTTTAGCAGGCGCCATGCGTGTTTTGAGGCGGTGTCACCAACATCGCGCGTTACGTCATTATATACTGACCAGACACAGTAAAATATCGATATAATGCCCCTCATTTCATTTACCACCTCGTTTGCCGCCAACATATTTCAGCGGCCCTTTTTCTCGTTTTTGTTTCGTTTTAAAGATTTCCTTTATAAATTTCTCTCATTTTTAAGTATGATAAACTTTAATGACCAAATAACGGAAGAATTCTGTTTTAAAGTATAAACATTATTTATGCTTCAATAATTATGAAACAAGTTATATCAACGTATATTAACCACTATTGTTGCCCGGATGTTAACGTGCAGGGGTCTTAATGTGGGAGGAAACCAGAGTACCCGTAGGAAACCCATGTGATTGAGGAAGTGACCCCAATACGATTTCATGTCCAATCTGGTAATCGAACCCCGACCGTTTTGGTGAAATGCGAGTACTCGATCGCGATCCAAATCGCCGTTCGACCATCCAAAGGTTTACTTTCAAAATAATGTGAATAGGTTTTATATTAGAATATCAGTTTTATTTTATTTTTCAAATTACAACTAAATGGTGGTTGATTGATTGATTGATTGATTGATTGATTGGTTTTACGCCCGCTTCACTACCGAGTAGTTCGGTTATCCAGTAATAGTCTTGCTCAACCAGATTCTTGTTTTCTGCGCAAGCTACGCCCAACAGAGAAGTGATCAAGCGTCTGGTTGAACGAGACTACTAATAATTAAGATGCATCTATTAAACTTTTATGATAGTATGGAACTCATTTCCTTTCGATCATAATCCAATGTGCGTGTTAGAATATTATGTTTTGATGGAAACGGGATATCTATAACTTAAAAAGATGCATTTCGAGAGCCTTATTATTTTTACGTTCAAAACAACAAAGATAATTGTATTTTATCTATCATGATTGTTTTTTATGACATATTTAAAACAAACTCTTTTAACAACAGCCATTTTCTTTCTGTTTTTTTTAAGGTTACCATTTCCATCATATCGGAAACCATTCGGGAATATAATTTGAAATTGACGTCACACTATGAGTGATCTCCGATTGGTTGGAACAGTTTTACGGAAAAACCCGAACAATTTTCGACTAGAAGAGATAACAACTGTTTGCTTAGTATTATAGAAAGGTTCATGTACAACTACAGTAAGGTGTTTATGTGTGACGTTACAATGACTATTAACGTGCTGATTGTGTCCGTTAAAAGTCGATTTATCGTCATATTGGCTTATTGCACATATCAAACAGTTAACTTTGCATTTTTTTAAAAGTATATTACATGGCTATCAAACCATGTACATTTTATCTTAATATACATTAAATTACATTTTTTATCAACGTGATGAAGTCGGGAAGTGTAATGATAAGGATGTTTGATAGCGTTTACAAAATTTACAAAATTTAGTTTTCCTTTGACAGTGAAAGTTGTTTTATAGGGTGAGCGAAAAAAACACCTGATTATTGTTAATTCATGTGTACACTAACTAAATATCCACATTTCTTGTAATTTTACAACGTTAAATAATTTAAATAGTATTTCTTCGACTTTTGCAATAAAACTTCTGGGCAATACTCGGCTCCCATTTTGAGCAACTATCTCTTTCGTGTTACAAAAAGACGGGGATATTTTTACCGACTCAACTAACCATACTTAATATCACTTGACACGTACGTGTACGTACTGCCTATTTATTTATGTACACATGTAAAGTTTTTTGTAACCGCCCGTTTGTATTTTTATACAAACACCTTGTCTATTGTATTCACTTACCATATTTTTATATATCCATTACGGAAATAAAGTGTGGAAAATACAATTGTACCCGTCAGACTACTTCATAATTTGATGAAATGTATATAGTTAAAGAGGTCCAATGGGCTCGTATTGGTTTTCTATTATTTGTTTGTTTGTTTGTGTTTATTTAAAGACGTGTGAGGTTTTGGTAGTGCAGGAAAGCCGGAGTATTTGTAGAAAAAAACACCTACCTGTGGGAAGTATCTGGCGACTGCCCCACGTAAGTCTCGAACTTCGATCCAGTGGTGGAGGGCGGGTGGTAGCAGAATGTCAGACACCTTAGCTAATCGGTCACCGCGTGCGCGCGGTCCCTCTGTATTTAATGAGTACAAAGTATTATGATTAAAACTGGAAAATGAACGATACATACACAGGAACAACATCACATTGCATCATACAACTGTTAATAATAAATGAATTCATAATATTAGTCAATTCAGAAGCTATAGCAGTCATATTGAAGTTTATTATTTATTAGACCACATTTAAATTTTAACTGCCCTTCATCCCTGTAAAGTAACAACAAAATATCTATATTTATGGCATTCAAGTTACTTTGAAGAAGTTGGCCGATGTTTTCAACTTTTTTAGCGCTGGACTTTGAATATCGATGGTTTTTTTTGTTCGGTTAGTTGTTTATGTATCGTACGTCACTGTACCAAAAACGGAACATTTTTCAGATTGATATCAATGTATTTTATACCAAAATATCTATTCCAAAAAGGTTTGTTCATTTCTCATAAATAGGTACCATCCGCTTTTATTTTACAAGTTGGTTTTTCCGACACGTGGTTCTATAAATAGAACGCGAAGTGCTATCAGGGTAGATAGGCCCTTGAACAGGTGTAACTGTACCCTGAAATGGACCCTGTGCTTTTTAGGCTATTACTGGGGGATAAACGATCATTATCAGCAGAAACATGAACATATTTTAGAGTCAGAAGAGGTTAAATGATTAAATGTCTTCTCCAAACTAGCATTACATTTAAGAAAGTTTTGTTTTCTTGATATTTAGCTGTCCGTTTAACCAGAATCAACAGCAAATAAAGCTTATCATCAAGTGAGGCCGGGCCGTTTTCCCACAAGTGTTCCGCGTTTGGTACAGTGACGATAGGCTGATAGGCTTGCAAAATGTCACATAGTCTCCAGGCTTTCGAAGCGGAAGTTTTTAGACGTTTCAAAACCTTTTGATGTTATGTTCTTGAATTTGGTCCAAATTGATTCGTACAGTTTTCACCCTTGTAATCTATATTGCAAGCAATATCATCTGTTTGGAAAGGGTTCACTTAAGTAAACAAAAATATCCCTTGCCCCAGAAAACCAATGAACGTACATTAATTAATTAAGCATCGGGATTTAAAAGAAGAAGATCGTGAATACCGAATTGACAGCGACATGTAAACAGGTCTTGATAGCAACGTCCCAGTTTTCCAACTTACTGTGTTTTCATGCCACAGTTGATTCGGTATTCAAAAGCTTGCCCCGAAAACTTGATTTCCATGATAGATGTCGCCTGCTGATGGACGAATTCACAGCACACAGGGTTTCTAATACGCAGATTAATGGACAAGTTTTGTTGTCACCACCTTGTCTTTATTGAGGAATATGTTATTTCTTTGTGTGATATTAGGTCGATGTTTGATTATACTCATTAGTGTCCTTATCATTACATTGCCACTACCCCTGCTCCCGCATTGATGACGTGACATTACTTGGATTTGACACAGTTTTACATTGCGGGAGTTGGCGATGAAGTAGAAGACGCTTACGAAAAACTTGGTCTTAGGTTTCTTTAACCTTTTCAATGGTCTCCCTGTTAATGTTTCCTTTGTTCATATTTGCGGTATTTTTCGTCAAATTTGAGTTCAAATAACGGTTTTGTTGATACGTCGCTAACCGAATGCCGTTATAAAGAATAAGTGTTTACGTCAGATTACCTAATGCGAATTAATTGTATTGAACATACCTTACAAGTTTTCAAATAAATGTATAAATAAGATGACAGTACTGCACTTACACCATATACGTACATCTCTGTACCTACACCATATACGTACATCTCTGTACCTACACCATAGACGTACATCTCTGCACCTACACCATATAAGTACAACTATACTTTTTTAACCTTTTTTCTCTCCTATTTACCAACAAACGAAATAAACATAGACTTTATTCATTTTACAATAATTATGAAACACGTTACATCAGCTTATATCAATCAATCTTTTTGGCCCGGATCAAAATAATACATAAAACCGATTGTATCAGATATCTCGCCCCTGTGCAATTCACCCCGTGACTCATTGTTAAAATCGTTAAAAGTGACGCCATTGAAGTAACCTAAGAGCAACATGCATATAAACAAAGGGTAAAATTATTCTGTAACTATTTTTAGTAAGATACATCTGTCTGGAAATTAGAAATATCAAAGTGTTTCTTTGTACACAATGTGCGCACTAAACGTTTTTGCATGTATTCATCTGTAATTACGTCATTTCTTAAAAAATACCAGTTAAAGTGATTGAAGTTTTTTGGCTTATCCTTAATTAGCTTTGAGTAGATTAATATACAATAGAAGATTAAATTAAAGTTTGTGATTGGAGTTTTCCCCCCAAATATATGATCATCAATTGGTGCCTTTTTTTGCAATATTTATAATTCTCACTCAAACAAAATCGAAAATTGTAATATAGTTTTACAATTAGTATCTAAGTTGTTACTAGTCGTCCTGTCAATTGACTGAAAAAATCGCCAAAACATATAAATAACACTAGTGTTCTGCCTCGTCGTGTGGGAGTGACCCCCGTCCGCTTTATTGACTCGAAGTTTTTTTCACAACTTGTTTACACGAACAACTACCACAGAAGATTTTCATTACATTTGTTCAGATTTTTGGTATTAATTCACTGATATTTACTTATTCAATATGATATTTTAAGGATTAGCCTTCGGTTGTAAGCTAACCGATGGGATATTCAACTACAACAGCATATTTTATATAAGTAACTACTTTTTTTTGTATGTATTTTTTATTGTATTATTGTTTAATGGTGACTGTTTATCTCTGATATATGTTGTGACATGTTAATTTGTATGTTCCTGTCTTGATGAAGGGACAGATCGCCCTGAAAAGTTTGCAAATTTCTTTGTTTTACTGTCGTTATTACTTTTTTGCACATATAGACATAATTGCAACAATCACTTTTGACTTAAATTAGCTCCAAATCAGCCCTTCTGGCCATAACATATTAGTCTCAATACAGAAATTATATCTAAAACATTTTCTGCCTTTAAAAGGTTAAGTTAGAAATTTAAGCAATATCACAATTCAATAATGTCATTTAGCCATATTGATAATTCAATATTTCTCGATGCAATGATTCTGATGCAATTTTTTTTGGCAAATCTGTGCTATATTTTAATTGGTTCAACATGTACAATGTGCAATATTTTTTATTTCCTATACTCAGTTCAACACAGGAGGTATATAACACACTTCAAAGCTGGTCAAATAAGCTCAGTAATTTGATTGTTTTGTCTTAGTTAATGAACGTGAAACAAAAATACCAAAGGCCGAGCCTTTGATAATTTCCGTTGTAATATAGATGGACGCCATTATGAAAAAGTCAGTTCTGCAGTTTGTCGACTTATAAATATTTCTATAAAGACTGTATAAGTCCCCATCATCAACACTAACCTCGCTCTCATTGGCTATTACAAGCTGACATGCGCAGGGCATTTCCCGGAAAAAATCTCAAGATGGCGGCAACGTGAAAGTAGTTTGAATTTAGGCTGAAACTGATCAGATAACGAAAGCTTTGTTGTTACAATCTGAACATTTCATCTGATTCGGGTAACATTTGGAGTTAGGTGAGTGTTCAAGTATATTGTGAAAACAGCTCTTCCTGTCTGTTAAAACTAATCGAAACCAGGGCTAGGCATCAAGAGTGGGTCTAGCATCGGCTAGTTTCTTAGCCCCGATGTGGAATTAACTAGATCGAAATTTAACAACATCGTGCTTGACATTGTTTATAAATTATGCTTAATTTAAGAATTAATCGGAATGTCAGTTTGCAACTTGTTAAATCTTCACATCACTGTTCATCTTCATCGTCGTTGATCAGTTTCTCTGCCAGACACACATAAGATACGGTAGGGGTAAACCGACCCGGGGTAAACCACGAAAAGGAGTTGTAATGTCGAAAAGGAGTGGTTTTGGGGGGTTTCTCTGCGAAAGGGACACTTTTATTTATTCATGACCGTATGTTTATCAGTGCCGTTTAGTATAAAGACAATTTACGGCCACTTTCAAGAACAAATCCACTTTAAATATCTATTTGACGTACCGTTGCGCCTCGTTGCGGAGTCGCGGATTTCCGCCGCCGATGGGGTCACGAAAAGGGATGTTTACTTTGGTACAAGATATTAATCAGATGATTTGTAACAACAGATACTTAGAATAATACCTGTCAAAACTTCAAGTGACATTAAAAAATATAATATTACGCTATATTGATCACAATCTAAATATTTATACGCACCCATGCCTTCCGCCAAAGTTGATACTCAGCAGCTTTATGGGTAAGTCATTCGTGCTGTAAGTTATCATATCGCATCCTCATTCGCCAGTAAACAGTCCTTTTTGGGGGCGTCCCGTAGCCGGTAAGTATTTTCTGATTAACAGTAGTGGTATTAAAAGTCAATTTATGTGCATACAAGATAAAAACATCGTTAGGTATTGTGAGAATGAATACATTATGTACTAAATAATGTTTCTTGGTTAAAAAAACACTAATATCTTGCTCCTTTTCGGCATTAATGAGGTCCTTTTCGTCGTCGGAATGGGCGGAAATGATACCGGCAACGTGCAAAATTGATTTTTATGTGCAAATAATCAACAGATTGCCTTCATATTTCATGAACATAACAAAAAAATAGTTAACCAATCTTATCAAGGTCCTTTTCGCTTCAAACCTCCCAAAAACCTATGATTTTTGGTCCTTTTCGTCATAACAACTCCTTTTCGCTCCTTTTCGTGGTTTACCCCTACCCCATAAGATGTAGGCCCAAGCCCTGTCATAGATATATACATAGGTTATATACTGCGCGTTTTATATTTCCGCACAGCGATTTTTTTCAAGCTATATATCTCGTTACTTCATGACCAGATTGACGCTTCGTAAACTGAAAAATGTATAACTGATTTAAAAATACTCAGAAATGTGCAGTTTTTCTTAATACACTTTTTATCTTGCTCAACCTATAACTTAAAAAAAACCCTGATATATTTCATTCATGACCCAGCCTTTTTTTGTAGTCTTTCAAACATACGAGAGTGTCATATGCAAATAATGCAACATCTCCTCCCCTTTTTTTCCACTCCCGAAAAAGCGTAGATGACATTCTTAAATTATGTCAGTAAACACTGTTGGCAAAGAAATTGAAATGTTGTTTTGCAATGGACTTCCAATTTTCATCAATTTTAAATGGAAAAGAAGAAAAAATAACTTGCTGTCAAACAGAACTGATATACGACTACACAAAAAACTAATACCATATAATATATGACTATATTGAAAATATTGAAAAACAACCTTCACACAATAAGTTCACAACTAATTCAAGGTCATGCATGCATTTGAGGTCAAGAATTTTGTCAACATATTTCTTTTTAACATTCAACATATCAGGGGCCATTTGTCAATATTTGTCTTACGGGTATTTGTTAAAATATACATGTATACATATTTTATCTGTCAAGTTTAATCTGTGTCGAACTTTTTACATACCATCTATCAAATTATTGATATGTTATTTGGCTTTAAAATCAGTGAGATTGTGAATATACAGACACAATGGGTGGTTGGTATGTGGTAAAATTTTGCGGTATAATTACTGAATTTACTAGAGCTGTAACAATTCACTGATGCTAGCTACCACTAGCCCTCCACAACTGGGTCGCGAGTTTGAGACCTACGGGGGGCAGTCACCAGGTACTTGCTGTAGGTAGGTGTTTTTTCTCCGGATACTCTGGCTTCCCTCTGCCGCCAAAACCTGACACGTCCTTAATATAAAATGACCATAGCTATTAATAGGATGTAAAACACAAACAAACAAACGCTCTGTAAACAGGATTCGAGGCCAAAATATTTTGAAAGATCTAATGATTAACCATAAAAGACAAGTTTGATCACAGCAAGTTCCTCACTGAGCTCTGGTGCTAGTCGAGTGGAAAATGAACTCAACTTGAACTTGAAGACTTTGTCAAGAAGGAAACAAATGAAGAAGTCTCTGGTAATGGAAGCCATAAAGCACTTAATTGTATAGAAGAATATACAAATATTTTCACTTTCACTTTGCGCTCGTGCAAAATATTGGAATACTGCCTTATAAATGAAATGTACATATAGACAGTTATTCATTATATATTCATTGGAAACCATTAAATATCCTCTATATATTTCAAAATCTTTTATAAATTTTACAGCTCTTTATGTTTTGTAGGTGCCACAATGGACCAGGATGATGAGCTGTTTTCTTCCATCCTCAGCTTGTGTGAGGACGAGGACGCTCCAGCTGGTGACCCTGAAGCAAGTGATACAGTGTCTACAAATAATGAGGGTGGATCTGGATTCGCCCTCAGTAAGGACACTTCCATATCCTTGTCACCAATTAAACATACTTCTCCACTAAAGATGGCAGACTCTCTTAACAATAATAACGCATCATTTACCAACAAATTTACTCCGAAGGCGAAATCTGGTCTTGATGTGTTTAAGAGCATGTTACTCAACCAGAGGAAGACAAGTACTCCACTTATGGACCGGTGGAGCCTAACAAAGTCTGGACGATCTAGGGAAGGCAAGCGCAGGCATGATATTGATGCAATCAGCTCAAATCTTGAGACCATCGCTGAGCAAGAGTTGTCGTCCGATGAGGAACAGACCCTGAGAAGGGACGAAGATGCAGACACGACATATGATGATCTTCTACAGGATCTTAGTGTTCTTTGTGAAAAGGAGCTAACAGAGAGATGTGAAACTGTCAATGCTGAACCTCCAGAAAACAAGATCAAAGCTGAACACCAGATAAGTCGCATTAACCTGGACAGTATTTTACAAAATACCTCATCCGTGGCCGGAGTGGTCAGGGATAACTTTCAGACGGAGGAAGGAACAACTGCCTTCTTGTCAGAACCTGGCAGGTTCACGGGAGTAAATACCACTACACAATCTTCAATCATGGCTCTGGAAGACAGTGACAGCTTTGAAGATGCAGACGACATACTTGGTCTTGATGAATTCCTCGAAAGCGATGAAGAAGACAATGATTACGACAGCTTGTTAGAGGAAACTATCTTCCAGGATGATAATGTTACAGTTGTTCCAGGATCTGTCTCCACTGTCTTGTCAAGCTCTTTAAACACTCCCTCATCAGTTCACAAGGCTGACTCCACTAAAAAAATACAGACTTACAAATGTATCAATAGCTCAAGTTCTATAGGTACTAGTAACACAAATTCATTTCTTGCTTCAAGCTCTGCTTCAGTAACGCCTACATCTAAACATGTGAGTTTATCCACTTCTACTGACTGTGTTGCTATAAGTTCCACCCACACAAAGTTTACTAATACAACTTGCACAGATACCTCTGCCTCTGTTGTCTCCAGTGCATGTACAAAAAACTTACTTCAATCAACTGTCCCTCCTCCTACAACTTCTGAAAATGTTTTGAGCTTAATTCCAACTGGTATTGGTAAAATAGATAACAAACTTCTCATTTCCAGTTCGGAAAATAGCACTGTTAACTCCACAGTCTCAATTTTCGAGAACAGTTCACAACTCAAGACCATTTCATTATACGAAAATAGCTTGAAGTCAACTTGCTCTAGTGAAAAAACTCTTACCACAAGTCATTCGGAATTTCCTGACAACGAGGACGAGACCAAGGAACATCAAATGGAAGAAAAAGAGGATGTTTCTGATGCAGACAGATTGAGCCAAGAGGATGAGTTTACCTTAGACCTTACTAAAGATAGTGACGAGCTGGATGAGTTTTTACATACAGAAGGTTTTAAAGTGATCGATGATTTGAAAAACAGTTCCTTGGACAGAGAAAGAGGGAAGAATACGATGAAAACTCTGGTGAAGAAAGACCAGGAAAGTCTGATGTCCAAGTGTTCAACAGGTGGGGAGACCGAAGCAGGAAATAAAATTGATAAAGAATCTGATTATAATGTCCTGGACCACGACATTCGAGAAATATCACCTAGGGCTCCTAAACAAAGTCAAACTCAAGAAATCCCTGTGGAGAAAGAATTGTGTAAAACTACTTCGGATGCAAGTGATGTTTGTGATGGTTTAGCAGGACAAAGGATAAAAAGTACAGCTAGTGATGAGAGTCTAACTGAACAGACTGTTGAAAATGTTGTCAATAAGGTTGTTTCCTGGCAGGCTAGCTGCATATCCAGCAAACAACATCAAGATGATAAAAAGGTGGGTAGCAATGACAGCAAATCAATAAGTCCGCTTTCTAGCCATCAAACCGTTCCGCACACACTCACTCAGCAGGATAGGAAAGCATTGCCACAAGTTCATGTTCATCCTTTTAAGATGCAAGCTGAACAAAAGCCACCTCCAGCAGCATCAGATAAATCAACCAAGATATCGCCTTCTGAAAAGAACTGCAAGATTAACATGACTTATGTAGAAACAGCTGGTGTATCGTCCGCTGATGGTGCTAGTAAAATCAAAACTGAATCAACTTTGTCATCACCCCGAGACTCCCAAAAAGTAGTAGAGAACAACAATGTGGTCAACGAGGTGGACAAAAACCAGAACATTGTGACTCCGTCATTTTATCATGACTACGAGGCAGAGCGCCAGTTCATCCAAGGGGAAAACAGTCTGATGAAGCAGGTGATGCGAAAATGGGGGAGTGAGGGTATCCAGACCCCAGACACTAATCTGTCCTTCAGTAACAGAATGAGGAAGAACAACCCACACTACCAGAGTAGATTAGAGGGACAGAAGATCTCTACCATGTGGATAGGGAGCAAAGGTAAACACCAGCATTACAAGGAAGTGAAGCGTTTCAGGTCAGACATTCACTCCCAGCTTAACAACATCAACAACTTAAAACAACAGTTGCAGGATATAAATAGGGTTGTGCGGGATGAGATTGATCAGTCGATAATGGATTTTGGGGAGAAGCAGAACACCCTTGATCGAGTGTTTGTACAGAGGAAGCAAGCCTTGAATGTACAACAGCAGTTAGAGCTCTGTCAGGCCCGTCGCCACATCAACCCTCACATGCTGCAGTGCCAGCTGCTACAGTTGCGATGTGAGCATCAGCACCAGCGTGACCAGCTCGCCTACATTTTCAACTCGGAGATGAACCAACTAAAGAATAACCACCAAGAACATGTTCATGCGATCCGCAGTCGCTTTGAGCAGCGTGCGCAACAACTCAAATCTTTTATTGAGCAGCTGACTGCCGTTGAATCGACTCAAACGGACCCACAGTTTGGTCATCATGTTGTTACCCACCTTGTCAAGGGGCCATGTCGATCTAACAACAACATATCGTCCACAGTGACCGTGTGTCTCCCAGCTGATATAGCCACTGCCATCATCAAGGAGGATGAAGTCTACGATATGTACTATGTCCACACGAAAAAGTGAATGTTGTCGTAACATGGGCTGTGATCTTGAAGTATAATTTATGGACACAGAACTATGACTTTACCTCTCATAGTGCTGTTTCTAGCACATTGAATACTCACCTGGAAGGAGTCTGTGATATATATGTACTATGCATTATTCAATTTCAGGCACAACATTATAAATTGTGTTTCAGGGGTTTATCAGAGTAGTTTATAGGTCCATTGAAAAAGTGTATAATTTTTTACCAAATTGCCGCTTTAAAGTTCCTAGTTTGGAAATTTAAAGAAATTAATGCATATACATGTTCTGGTATTTAAATAAATTCCTATTGATTGACTGTGGTCTCATAATGCAAAATATGTAGGAAGGACAGAATAATCATGTTGTCATAAAGACAAAGTTAAAGAATTTAATTTCATGTAATCAGAGTTGTTATAATGATTATCCAAATTTCCTAAAATGGCTATTATATGTCAATGATTTCCCTGAATTTCATTGCAGGGTATGTTTTCCGGAAAAAACCCTGATAAACCCCTGCGTTTTTGACAGTCTTTCAAATCGTGATGTCATAATTTATAAGGTCACATAGTAGCAAAAGTGATTGAATGCACCCATATATAAATATCCTGTATGAGTGCACCCATATATAAATATCCGGTACGAGTGCACCCATATATAAATATCCGGTACGAGTGCACCCATATATAAATATCCGGTACGAGTGCACCCATATATAAATATCCGGTACGAGTGCACCCATATATAAATATCCGGTACGAGTGCACCCATATATAAATATCCGGTACGAGTGCACCCATATATAAATATCCGGTACGAGTGCACCCATATATAAATATCCGGTACGAGTGCACCCATATATAAATATCCGGTACGAGTGCACCCTTGTGTGATACTTACATATCCCATACAAACATGGGACAGGATTATCTGACATGCATAGCAGATAAAAGAATATACAGGAGGTTATAAAACTCGGGGATTAGATTAGACAGGTTTCATATAATATATATATATGAAGAACAGAACTGACTGTTCTCATTATGCTTGCATATATATATGGCACCTTTGCAATTTCTATATGTGGGCCGAAAATATCCCAACGTTCTGATAAATGGGAATCGCAATTCAATAAAAAATAATGTAAGCTTGTATTGTAAAATTAAAAACAAACTTCATTTTTTAAAGAATTAAAGGATTCAAGATTTTTCAGAATTAAAAAAGAGAAAATCAAAAGTTTTATTTGTGAAACTTGAATCTTGCAATGAGGTTTAATATCTTTAAGTGGTATAAATAGATTTTGGTAGTGATTTAAATGTCAAACAAAAGTCTTCGGTATTATGCCTTTCAGTGTAGAAATATTCATCTTGTGACAAGGTTATTATGCACTTAGAAGAGTAATGGTTGTGTAATAGTAAAGATTCCTTTCTAATCTCTGTTAATACAAGAACTTTGTCTCTTTGTAACTTTATCACATGTGAACGTGTTTGATTGATCAGCAAGAAACTAAATAATTTTAGAGAAAATTTAAATGAGAGAAATCCATTCTTAAGAAAGATTTGATCAAGAGAAATCCATTCTTAAGAAAGAATCAATCAAGAGAAATCCATTCTTAAGAGGAAATTAAGATAATTCCATTCTTGAGAGGAAATTAAGATAATTCCATTCTTGAGAGGAAATTAAGATAAATTCATTCCTAAGGGAATTAAGATAATTCCGTTCTTGAGAGGAAATTAATCAAGAGAATTCTATACTTATAATGTGGAAGGATATTGATCCACTCCAAATCCATTGAATCCACAGCTTGGGTGACATTTATTTGTATAAAATGCACAATATATGTACCATATTTGTAGTAATTAGCATTCATGCTTTATACCAAGCACCCATTCCAAGATTTTGGCATTTATAAAATGAAAAATGAAATTATCTATCATGTTGGCTCAGTTTTACAAAATAAATAACATGCACCTAATATCAACAGTAACATTTTCTCAACCACAAATGTACAAACACTCAGCAATTGCCTTTACTTATATTACTGTATCTTTAATTTACATGTATTATACTAATATGCATCCCCCTAGCACACACACACTCAATTTTCCAAGTGCCATTTGCTAATTACTACAAACGTGATATATTAATATGTTAAATGTCACTGGTAACTCTGGTATGCTTCCTTAATTCAGAATTAATAGAATTGTATTGAATTGATGATTTAAGGTAGATATGACTTCTTGTTGATGATTTCGTAAAGTTAAGAATATTGATGTAATGTTTCTTGATTTGTTCTTCATTGTGATGCTGTATTTTATATAATTAGAAACAATTTATTAATAAATGATTTTTTTCTGAACATTCCATCATGATGACATTTCAAAAGCACTTGCTGGATGTTTAGGTTTCATTTTTTGCTGTGGAAACCTGTTTCACAAGTCCGAAATCTGGGGAAAAAACTTAATGGAAAAAAATGGTTTCTCTAAAAAATCTGTATTTATAACTTAGTTTATGAATTTATACATATGTAGGTGCATTTTGCAGGATGAATCCACTATCCATGTGTATTTCAGTCGACATTCCCTTTATTTTTAGAATCGGGCCATTTCTGCTGAACAGTTACCTTGGATTATATTGCTGTAAAGGGAGACAAATCATGTAGTCTTGTTGGTATAACTGATGTTGTTATAATTAGCCCTCCAGAAGATATACCAGTCTTGGACTAGGGTGTGTTTCTAGCTCTGCAAAATGATGAAGTGTCATGAATTTTTTAATGCATATCTTATGACTGGTCCTGGATTTTTGAATTTTATGTCCTCACAAAATGCCATTCCCATAGATATTACAGGCAAAATGTAGAGAGCTGAACATTTCTTTATATGGGTAAAAGATAAGTTACCTTTCCAAAGAGAGTTTCCAAAATCTGTGCAAGTCATGATGTATAGTTAACATATAAGATTTGTTATCAATTGTAATTTGCGTAAAATGAAAACCATACATGTAAAGTGGCAAAGGAATGTTGTTCAGGTGAATGTAAGAATAAAGGGTTCCTAATTGTGTCCCTTGTACAGTGCAATAGCTGTAACTTTATCATTCTGGGTTTATGTTAAATTTGGTAGTATTTAATAAAGATGTCTTTAGATTGTCATCTGGAAATTTATATAATGTAATACTGTAAAACTAGAATCTTTTGGGAGTGTGGAAATGCTTTTGTCAAGTAAATGAACCCATAAATAGCCATGTACAACTAATTATGGATCTAGATTATAAAAGTTTGGATATACATTTACATGATGATATGATGTACATAGATTTCAAAACCATAGCCAACGTAATTTTATTTAACATTGCGATTAGTTTAAAAAAACACAAAGAACATTTCTACACAAAAAATCCTATTTTTACACTGACAACATGGCTTTAAAAAAAAAGGTCTGAAAACCAAACATTTCCACACACACAAATTCTTATTTTTACACTGACAACATCGCTTCAAAAAAAGTCTCAAAACGAAACATTTCCACACACAAAAAATCCTATTTTTACACTGAAAACATAGCTTTAAAAAAAGTCTTGAAACGAAACATTTCCACACACAAAATTCCTTAATTTTACTCGGACAACATCACTAAGTTCCTGCTATTATAAAATATGTCGTAAATTTGACACATATCTAATGATAAATATAAGTAAACATCAACTGTAAGTCAGATTTTTTTTTTTTACTCTAGGACGTGCAAGTCGGTGAGTCAATAATTACAACTTGACATCAATTAACAATATCTTATTATTAACAACTGATATTACTTTGTCTTAATGTTGGTTCCATTATGTCAGATACTCGGTCATAATAATGACTTAGCTACAATTTCTTATTAATTCTTTATGTTGTTAGAACAACTCGGTTGTGTCCTAATAACAATTTGGCTGCTATATATGTAATAACAAATTAACTTGTAAATCATTATTACAATGTAAGATTTTTTCTTAATTGACACACATTGGCTTCCATCGGTATTCATGGTAAGTATAAGAATTTCTTGCTTCAGTTTGAATCTGGAAAAATATCCATTTTAATACTTTTGTTTTTGTTTTAGATAGGGAAATATATAGGGCCTGATTGCTCTTAAGTTACAATAATTTACATGTAAATACAATATTTTTTGATAGATTATTAATAGAGATAGGAAACATTTTTATCATATCTCGATTTAAAAGTTTGTGCTATAACAGCATTGATTTACAACAGATGCCAATGTAAAGTTATTAGGAAGTCTAGTTTTCTATATTTATGCAATTAATATAACTTTGTTTACTAGTCAGATATATGCAATAATTTCTTTATTGGTATATAGATATATGCCATATATTGTATTTTGTAAATGGATCATAAATGATATCTAAAAATGTATTTAAAAAAATGACTTACCTCTCCTTTACTATAGAAATTAGGGATACATTGTACTTTGTATATTACACCAAAGATTATAGTGATTTTTTTATTTTCTTGTTTTGAATCACAATTAATAAAACATGCAATGGTTATTTTGTTTTTAAATTAATTGATTATAAATATTGATCAAACAATTCTGGAGTATGAAGTGAATTATATAAAGAAATGTATAATTTACAGAACAAGTAACAACAGACATTCAGAGTTAATTGTCAAATAAAACCTGTTATTGATCAAAATACCGGGTAATGGTTTTCCTTTTTGTTACATGCCAAAGAGTTGTATGAGGGTAATCCTGTTCGGAAATATAGGTAGTGTTAAATTCTGACTTTCATGAGATTAAGGATTCGATGTATGCAGGCCCAGTTGTTAAACTATAATTGTCTTTCAACCCAATATGAATAATGTTAATCTTGTAATGTTTTCATCTTTTAACTCATTCACCCAAGAAGACACATTCAAATTCTTTCAATTCGAAGGTTTGAATAGTCCATTATGGAATTTCAGGGTTGAATGCATGTGTAAAGGAGGTTAATTTAGCATCTACCATGTACACAGGGTTTTATCAGAGGGTTTTTGGAAACAAACCCTTGGATGAATAAATCTCCATTATCATTATAACAACTCTGAATACATGAAATTAAATTAGTTTAACTTTTATTTAAGCCTGTCTCTATGACAACATGATCATTCTGTCCTCCCTGCATGTGCAGCTTTTTGAGAACTCGGTCTATTGGGAGGAATTTTTGTCTTGCAGAAAGGGAGTTAGATTTTCCATTGCATGATCGTAAGAGGCGACTAAATTTGGGATCTTATCTTTTCTCGTCTTTCTACACAACTTTGTTCTTTTAATGTCTCCCTTGACAATGCCTCACTTTTGGCCTTCAGTTGAGCGTTAGCCCCTGTGAAGAAGGCTGGGTTCTTTCTGTCCCCTTGGCAAGACATACCAGAGTCTGTCAAAAGGATGGTTTCTACTTCTGCTTAACGCTCAGCAATTTAGGAGTGGAACGACTGGTTCGCCTTTTGTCGGTATAATGTGACCGGGTTGGTTGTCCTGCTGGGTGTCTTCGGCAGAATGTTTCAGTGAGGTAGCACTATAAAGTCGGCATCAGTTCCGTGCTATCACAAGAGACACGATCATATCGCAGCCTCCCAAAACAAGCACACATACACTACAGGCATGCATCTTGCACACTGGAGGCCGTCCTTAAATTGCCATAGCTGTTGATAGGACATTAAACAATATTAAACCAAACCGAACCAAACTGGGAGGACTTTATTCAAATCTGTTCATTTTTAGCCCACCATCATCTGATGGTGGGCTATTCAAATCACCCTGCGTCCGTGGTCCGTCGTCCGTCCGTAAACAATTCTTGTTATCGGTCTTTCTCAACAAGTACCAGAGGGATCTTTCTCAAATTTTATATGAAGGTTCCCCTTGGTCCTTAGCTGTGCAGGGCAACTTTTGAGACTGATCGGATAAACAACATGACCGACAGGCAGCCATCTTTGATTTTGATATTGAAAGTTTGTTATCACTATTTCTCGGGAAGTACGGGAGGGATCTTTCCAAAATTTTAAATGTAGGTTTCCCTTGATCCCTCGTTGTGTATGTTATATTTTGAGACTGATGATAAAAACAAAATGGATTAAAAGAAGAACTAAACAGATCTTTCTCATATTGCAATGATCAATTCTATTTCTTTCACATTAAGTACTGTACTAGTAAATATGTGAAATGACAAACTCACTTTGAAGGTTGGCTTTCATACACATCAGTATTAAGTTTAGATCAAAAGTTACCTCAAGGTGCATTTACTGTTAACATGACTCGATCAAACAGATAAGAGGAAAGAAGAGAAAAGATCAAACTGACAAAGAACTAATGAAGATGGTACAAAGGTGGGCGCCAAGAGCCCTCTGGGATCTCTTGTTAGGTCACCTGAGCTTTAGCTCAAGTGACCTATTGCTCTCCGTCATCGTGCGTCATCCGTTAACATTTTACATTTTCAACTTAAGCTGAAATACTGTCGAAGGGATTTCATTGATATATATACTTCATGGGAATGTTACTGACAACTCCCTGACCAAGTGTTGTTATTTTTCGGGTCGATGAGAAATCCAGTATGGCCGCCACAGCAGCCATTTTGAAAAAATATTTTGAACTTAAAGTCAAGTTCAACTTGGCCGATCTAACTGAAACTTAGTAGGAATGTTGTTATTTTTTGGGTCGATCAGCAATTCAATATGGCCGCCATTTTGAAAAACTATTTCAAACGTCAAGTCAAGTTCTACTGGGCCAATCTAACTGAAACTTGGTAGGAATGATCAACCTATACTATGTTCTTGACAAAGTGTTGTTATTTTTGGGGTCAATGAGAAATCCAATATGGCTGTCACACCCACCATTTAAAAAACTTATTTCTAAAATCTACTGGGCCAATCTAGCTGAAACTTGGTAGGAATGATCAACTCATGGTCCTGGCAAACTTAACTTAAAGTTATACTTAACTTTTTATTTACTCAAATTTTGGTAGGGATGATTGACATTATTTCCACTTCATATTTCAATAACAAAAATTAATACTTTAGAACTCAGGTGACCATTAAGGCCCATGCCAGGCCTGGCCTCTTGTTTTTTTTAGATTTCCCAATTGGGAATTTTAAAGGGGTAAATCGGAAAGTATCAAGACACTCTTTCAATTGGAAGTGGGTACTTTTTCGGTCTGTTTAAAGGACCCACTCCCAATTGGAAAAACTGTCTGATTTTTTACAATTTACCCCTTTAAAATGCACATATTTGAATAAATTCCTCCCGATTGACCGAGTTGGGAAAAATTGAGAATTTTAAAAGGGATATTGGAAAAAATCCAGACACTTTTTCAATTGGGAGTTGGTCCTTTAAACACACCTAAAAACTATCCTGATCCCCTGTATCACCCAAGTGCATACCAACAAAGTTGGAGGGAGGATGAAGGTGTTTGTGTATTTTTTGCATATTGGAATCTGTGTCCTTTCTGTAGGTCTGTTGTGAATAATTTTATCTGCCAAACTTCTGCATCTCTTAACAGCTGGTTGTAATGAAACTAAACTAAATGGTACACATGGTAATTATGATAAATACTGTGCTCTTGTGATCAATTTTTCATTTTCCCTGTCATAACGACTTACTGTCTGTACCAATTCTTCTACACTACTGAACCAGCCACAGAATATCTTAGATGTGACATTTGGTATTTTTCGTAATTTTTATTAAATAGAGCTTTTTTTGTACCAATGGTCAAAACTTGGGTTACTTGTAATAGGTAAAAAGTAGTACATAAAATATAAGAGATCGCACACTTATCTTTAACTCATTGACATAATAGAAAATTCATTGACAACATCACAAAGCAACGATTCATATTAACAGCATCAAATACGCATTGACAACATCACAAATTCGTTGACATCACATACAAATAGAAAATATCAATGTATACACGTTTAAATAACTATAACATTGACAAAACTATATACAGCATTTGACAATATAAATATTATATTGACTTCACAAATACATTGATATCACAATGATATTCACACCACATTGACAACTAGGTATACAAACATGTTTACAACATCATACACACATTGACAATGTCACAAACACATTGGAAATGTCTTACATATTGACAACACCAAAACCATGTAAATTCACTTTTTCATATTTTATAGGGAAATTATGCTTTAATCTGTAATATAAATCATATTTCGCAATTTTTTTTTTTTTTTTTATTGAACAATTATAAAACTATTCTTCCCTTGTTGTGGATTCATAAGTCATCATTGCATAAGATTGATCAAAATAGAACAAAGACGACTTGGATAGAACAGAAAACAACTGGTGAGTAGAGATGGCATGGTTAGCATGAGGTAAGCTTGTTTTATGATGACAATATGACTTGGCTAGCGTGACAATGGCATGGTAAACATGAAGGTGTCTTGGCTAACATTATAAGTTAAGATGAGGGTGTCTTGGCTAACATACATAGTTAACATGAGGGTGTCTAGACTTACATACTTGAAATAGTTTACATGAGGATGTCTTGGCTTACATACATAGTTAACATGAAGGTGTCTTGGTTAACATGAATGAGTCTTGGCTTGCATACTAGGTTAACATGAGGGTGTCTTGACTTACATACTTAATTAACATGAGGGTGTCTTGACTTACATACTAAGTTAACATGAGGGTGTCAGGTGTCTTGACTTACATACTTAGTTAACATGAAGGTGTCTTGGCTAGTATTCTTAGTTAACATGAGGGTGTCTTGGCTAACATGATTATAATACAGATTACATGAGGGTGTCTTGGCTTACATACTTAGTTAACATAAAGGTGACTTGGCAAACATACTTAGTTAACATGAAGGTGTCTTGGCTAACACACTAAGATAACATGAGGGTGTCTTGGCTAATATACTAAGTTAACATGAGAGTGTCTTTGCTAGTATACTTAGTTAACATGAAGGTGTCTTGGCTAGTATACTAAGTTAACATGAGGGTGTCTTGGCTAGTATACTTAGTTAACATGAGGGTGTCTTGGCTATGAAGGTGTCTTGGCTAGCATACTTCGTTAACATGAAGGTGTCTTGGCTTACATACTTAGTTAACATAAAGGTGACTTGGCAAACATACTTAGTTAACATGAAGGTGTCTTGGCTAACACACTAAGATAACATGAGGGTGTCTTGGCTAATATACTAAGTTAACATGAGAGTGTCTTTGCTAGTATACTTAGTTAACATGAGGGTGTCTTGGCTAGTATACTAAGTTAACATGAGGGTGTCTTGGCTTACATACTAAGTTAACATGAGGGTATCTTTGCTTACATACTTAGTTAACATGAGGGTGTCTTGGCTAACATACTTAGTTAACATGAGGGTGTCTTGGCTATGAAGGTGTCTGGGCTAGCATACTAAGTTAACATGAGGGTGTCAGGTGTCTTGGCTTACATACTTAGTTAACATGAAGGTGTCTTGGCTAGTATACTTGGTTAACATGAAGGTGTCTTGGCTAGTATACTAAGTTAACATGAGGTGATCTTGGCTAGAATACTTAGTTAACATGAGGGTGTTTTGGCTTACATACTTAGTTAACATGAGGGTGTCTTGGCTTGTATACTTGGTTAAAATGAGGGTGTCTTGGCTTGTATACTTGGTTAACATGAGGGTGTCTGGTGTCTTGGCTAACATACTTAGTTAACATGAGGGTGTCTTGGCTAGTATACTTGGTTAACACGATGGTGTCTTGGCTAACATACTTAGTTAACATGAGGTGGTCTTGGCTAACAAACTTAGTTAACATAAGGGTGTCTTGGCTAGTTTACTTAGTTAACATGAGGGTGTCATGGCTATGAAGGTGTCTTGGCTAGCATACTTAGTTAACATGAGGGTGTCTTGGCTTGTATACTTGGTTAACATGAGGGTGTCCTGGCTTGTATACTTGATGGTGTCTTGGCTAACATACTTAGTTAACATGAGGGTGTCTTGGCTTGTATACTTGGTTAACATGAGGGTGTCCTGGCTTGTATACTTGGTGGGGTCTTGGCTAACATACTTAGTTAACATTAGGGTGTCTTGGCTAACATACTTAGTTAACCTGATGGTGTCTTGGCTAATATACTTAGTTAACATGAGGGTGTCTTGGCTAGTATACTTAGTTAACATGAGGGTTTCTTGGCTTACATTCTTAGTTAACATGAAGGTGTCTTGGCTAGTATACTTAGTTAACGTGAGGGTGTCTTGGCTAACATACTTAGTTAACATTAGGGTGTCTTGGCTAGAATGCTTAGTTAACATAAGGGTGTTTTGGCTCACATACTTAGTTAACATCAGGGTGTCTTGGCTTGTATACTTGGTTAAAATGAGGGTGTCTTGGCTTGTATACTTGGTTAACATGAAGGTGTCTTGGCTAACTTACTTAGTTAACATAATGGTGTCTTGGCTTGTATACTTGGTTAACATGAGGGTGTCTTGGCTAGAATACTTAGTTAACATGAGGGTGTCTTGGCTAACATACTTAGTTAACATGAGGGTGTCTTGGCTAGTATACTTAGTTAACATGAGGGTGTCTTGGCTTACATTCTTAGTTAACATGAGGGTGTTTTGGCTAGTATACTTGGTTAACATGAGGGTGTCTTGGCTTGTATACTTAGTTAACATGAGGGTGTCTTGGCTAGCATACTTAGTTAACATGAGGGTGTCTTGGCTTGTCTACTTGGTTAACATGAGGGTTTCTTGGCTTACCTACTTAGTTAACATGAGGGTGTCTTGGCTAACATGGTGTCTTGACTTACATACTAAGTTAACATGAGGGTGTCTTGGCTTGTATACTTGGTTAACATGAGGGTTTCTTGGCTTACATACTTAGTTAACATGAGGGTGTCTTGGCTAACATACTTAGTTAACATGAGGGTGTCTTGGCTAGTATACTTAGTTAACATGAGGGTGTCTTGGCTTACATTCTTAGTTAACATGAAGGTGTCTGGGCTTACATTCTTAGTTAACATGAAGGTGTCTTGGCTAGTATACTTAGTTAACATGAGGGTATCTTGGCTAGTATACTTAGTTAACATGAGGGTGTTTTGGCTAACATACTTAGTTAACATGAGGGGGTCTTGGCTAGTATGCTTAGTTAACATGAGGGTGTCTTGGCTAGTATACTAAGTTAACATGAGGGTGTCTTGGCTTACATACTAAGTTAACATGAGGGTATCTTTGCTTACATACTAAGTTAACATGAGGGGGTCTTGGCTTGTATACTTAGTTAACATGAGGGTGTCTTGGCTTACATTCTTAGTTAACATGAAGGTGTCTGGGCTTACATTCTTAGTTAACATGAAGGTGTCTTGGCTAACATACTTAGTTAAGATGATGGTGACTTGGCTAACATACTTAGTTAACATGAGGGTGTCTTGGCTAGTATGCTTTGTTAACATGAGGGTGTCTTGGCTAGAATACTTAGTTAACATGAGGGTGTCTTGGCTTGTATACTTAGTTAACATGAGGGTGTCTTGGCTTACATACTTAGTTTACATGAGGTGGTCTTGGCTAGCATACTTAGTTAACATGAGGTGATCTTAGCTAGAATACTTAGTTAACATGAGGGTGTTTTGGCTTACATACTTAGTTAACATGAGGGTATCTTGGCTAGTATACATAGTTAACATGAGGGTGTCTTGGCTAACATACTTAGTTAACATGATGGTGTCTTGGCTAACATACTTAGTTAACATGAGGGTGTCTTGGCTAGTATACTTAGTTAACATGAGGGTGTCTTGGCTTACATACTTAGTTAACATGAGGTGGTCTTGGCTAGCATACTTAATTAACATGAGGGTGTCTTGGCTAGAATACTTAATTAACATGAGGGTGTCTTGGCTGGTATACTTAGTTAACATGAGGGTGTCTTTGCTTACATACTAAGTTAACATGAGGGTGTCTTGGCTTACATACTTAGTTAACATGAAGGTGTCTTGGCTAACCTACTTAGTTTACATGATGGTGTCTTGGCTAACATACTTAGTTAACATGAGGGTGTCTTGGCTAGTATACTTAGTTAACATGAGGGTGTCTTGGCTAGTATACTTAGTTAACAAAAGGGTGTTTTGGCTAACATACTTAGTTAACATGAGGGTGTCTTGGCTTACATACTTTATTAACATGAGGGTGTCTTGGCTAGTATACTAAGTTAACATGAGGGTGTCTTGGCTTACATACTTAGTTAACATGAAGGTGTCTTGGCTAACCTACTTAGTTAACATGATGGTGTCTTGGCTAACATACTTAGTTAACATGAGGGTGTCTTGGCTAGTATACTTAGTTAACATGAGGGTGTCTTGGCTAGTATACTTAGTTAACAAAAGGGTGTTTTGGCTAACATACTTAGTTAACATGAGGGTGTCTTGGCTTACATACTTTATTAACATGAGGGTGTCTTGGCTAGTATACTAAGTTAACATGAGGGTGTCTTGGCTTACATACTTAGTTAACATGAAGGTGTCTTGGCTAACATACTTAGTTAACATGATGGTGTCTTGGCTAACATACTTAGTTAACATGAGGGTGTCTTGGCTAGTATACTTAGTTAACATGAGGGTGTCTTGGCTTACATACTTAGTTAACATGAGGTGGTCTTGGCTAGCATACTTAATTAACATGAGGGTGTCTTGGCTAGAATACTTAATTAACATGAGGGTGTCTTGGCTGGTATACTTAGTTAACATGAGGGTGTCTTTGCTTACATACTAAGTTAACATGAGGGTGTCTTGGCTTACATACTTAGTTAACATGAAGGTGTCTTGGCTAACCTACTTAGTTTACATGATGGTGTCTTGGCTAACATACTTAGTTAACATGAGGGTGTCTTGGCTAGTATACTTAGTTAACAAAAGGGTGTTTTGGCTAACATACTTAGTTAACATGAGGGTGTCTTGGCTTACATACTTTATTAACATGAGGGTAGAATACTTAGTTAACATGAGGGTCATGAGGGTGTCTTGGCTTACATACTTAGTTAACATGAGGGTGTCTTGGCTAGTATACTTAGTTAACAAAAGGGTGTTTTGGCTAACATACTTAGTTAACATGAGGGTGTCTTGGCTAACATACTAAGTTAGTATGATGGTTTCCTGGCTAACATGAAGATCACTTAGTTAACATGTTGATGGCTTAGTTTACATGATGGTTTTGCTAACATGAGGTTGACTTTGCTAAAATGAGGAAGATTTTGTTAACATGAGATTCTTGTAAAAAAAAACTGACTTGCCCAAAATTAAAAACAGATTTTCGTGATGAGTGTGTGTTTTGGGATTACTGTATACTGTATGTGTATACAAAAAATGTGAAAATTGTACAAAAAATGGACAAAAGGATTCCAGTTTTAAACCACCAAGTATTCATTTAATCACCTTTTGTGATTATATTAGGACTCATTCTAATTTTTATGTAAAATAAATATGTCGGTAATTAAACTCTATAATGGTACTTTAATTGTTAATGAGTGCTAGACTACTTTCATTAATTACATCGGTATTTTGTTAAAATTTAACAATTATTTATTTAAAGAAATTCGATCCTGACTATCTTATCGATCCCCTCTAGTTCATTCAATTACATGCAATGTGAAACGGCGTGTTCAATAATTAATAGCGCGCGGCTGACAAGTTAAAAACACACCATGTTAGATCCACGGTACAGTATATAAGTTGAGTCAGTTATTCAATACCACTAAAAATAAATCTGAGTTAGCGTTTTTGTAGCGTTGATATAACGGTAAGTCTAGAGGTGCTCTAGCGGTCGAGGTTATCGAGAGGAACGCTAGCACTAATCACCGTTAATCGGATAGTAGCTTCGCGAGCAAGCACCTGCCTTGTGTACACGTCGCTATAGCGACGACACGCGACTCATTTAGTCTCGTATCCTTTCGCGGAGAGTACTTCATCGATACCATAATCTGTTAGTACTTGCGTCGTTCTGTGCATCCTTTTTCACGTTAATGACATAAGACACACAACTGTTAATCGATTTTCGTTACCTATATGTAATGCCACATCGAAAGCAACGTTGAACTTCATACTGCAACATAAAGTTCTTCCGACTACTTTTCAGATTTCAGGTATTCGTGCGCCCTTCCGGAATTGTCAGACCCTGCAGTGACAGCTTCACTGGTCGGTCGAGTTATGTACTGAAGGAATTAAGTTGGAGTTTATCGACAGATTCCATCGTTTTGAGAAAGTGACCTGCTGTTCTTAACATGGCAGACACGACAGACGGTCCTCCTGGGGAAAAGGAGGCGAATAAGGCCCCTAGCCCTAAGCCAGATCAGGACGTATCCCCTCCCCTAGTATCTGTCAAGGGTAAGTGTGGAGAACCCCTCCTAACTGTTTTTTTTCTCTCTTGGTATATAATTATTTAAATGAACAAATGTGATTTAAATTTTAAATGGTAATGATTCGTAAATTTGATTTGTATAAATAAATGTCATTTTTATACACAACACTGTTATAGGTGTTTTTTTCTCCAATTAAAATATTTTGATATAACAAAACAATTGACCAGAAGCTACAAAATGTGTACAACTTTATTCTTGCTACGTTGAATTATTAGTGTGTGTTTTTTTAATAAAGGAGAAAGAGTCAGAAAAATAATCTTTATTAGGGGTTAAAAGACATCACTTTTTCAATTCTTCATTTATTTGAAAATAAATAATTATTGTTTTATATTCATGGGTAAGAAAAGTTCTTGAAGAAACAGACTATACAACATAATGAATTACAGTTTTATAATACATGTCTGTGATATTTTTCATATATTTATTGAAAATCGATTTTAAGCACAGATGTTTATGATATATACATTACAATATATATTTTTTACCTACAAAGAAACAAATGCTTGAATATCACAATTTCACAGAATCCAAGTTAAGTTAAGTTAAGTACCTCAAGTTCAATGGTCCATGGAATCAAAATTAAAAATATAACTAAAATTCATAGAATCTGAAAAAAAAGTTACTTAGTAAATAGCTAAAATTCTGAAAGGATTAATGATAGTTACAAATATACCCAAAGTTTATTGGTTGCAGATAGATTGTTAATTGTATATAAGCATTGTTCATTTGGATCATAATTAATTACACATACAGTTTGTGAGATAAATGCTACAAGCATACCTGAAATTCAGAGAATCGTACTTAAAGTAAGTCGGTAGGATTGTGACTTTTTTTTTTAGATATTGTGAAATCTAATCGCTAGATTAAGACAATGGATGGATTATAAGTGGGATTTAATATAATAAATCTATGCGTCATAAGCCTCAAAACATCGGACCCAAGTCACAAACAAATCTGTAATCCCTGCGGATTACTGTTCTTAATCAGATTCGGACAAATGCTTTTGTAGCAAGTCGCCATGTTTTCAATATCACATGGTTTTTGATTGATAGTGTTAACGTCGTTACTAACTACACAATATGTCAATTCATGTAAAATTTCCTGTTGATCTTTTTCATATGATTCCATTTTAGTCCCCAATTTTGTCAATGGAAGAAAATGTTTGAGTACAATGTACATATAACAAGGTTTTGAACTTCAACATTGATTTAGATGTGAAAACATTTCTCCCATACATGTCGCTTTGAAAGGTCAAATTCTTTTCAACATGAAAATGGTTTGTCGCCAAAGGAAACCTTGCATACACATGTCTGACAGATTAATGTATAATGACATGTAGAATAGATTATGTGTTGCGATCAACAGCGTAAGTGATCCTTTTGACCCCCGAAAAGATTTGAAAGGTTAGCCAAGTGTAGGGATTTTTTCGTTAAAAAGATGAAATAATTTAATTTCAGATTAAGATGTTAACTTAACTCAGACACCCCTGAACTTTCATAATGAACTATTCCAACTCTTTGAATTGGAAGAGTTCAAATATATCTTAAGGGATGAATGAGTCAAGGAAGTTGATCAGTATAGAGTAAAATTGGTATGGAAAAAAGCTTTGTTAAACATTTTTGTTTTCAAAACTGTAAATTCACCAAAGAAAATGATGCTTAGGTATATTTCTTTTCTTTACGGTCATTTCGAAACTTTATATTTGATTTGAATTAAGTTATATTTTAAATTTACTATACTTCGGTAAAGTAGATATTAAAATTCCTGGTGAGCTATTTACATTAGATGCACAATGTGAATATTTGCGTAACTGCCTGAGTATGCAATAAGTTAACTCAGTAAACATATACACACTGTTATATATATATAGGAGCCTATTGAAGAGAAATCAGGCAGTATCTTAATATATGTATCAATTTGTCATTTAAACACTCGTGTGTGATCTGGTTAGATATTCTGTGTACACAGAATCGTGTAAATCACCCGTTCAAAATAGAAATGTAAACAAATATGGTTGGGGTTTGTTTGTATTTCGGGAGATTTGCGACAAACGTTGCTGCCATGTATTTAAGTTATGGTCGGCCCAGTGGCTCTCCGTGTTGGTAGCTATATAGGTGTATCGTGCTGTGACCTTACCTACAGTGTTATGACAGGTTGTAGCACTGTTATAAACGTTGACAAACAAATAACCAGACTCTATTATTGTCAATAGCCCTAATTTGAAAAGAAAAATTGAAAATTGACCTTAAATGAGGAGGTCAGTCTGAAATGGCAGACATTTCAGGGACTCTATATCTAGACATAGGATTTTAACAATGATTTCATTTACCATATGTATATGTATATGACCCCTGGTCTCAACAATTACAAGTATAGAGGAATTAATTGGACATTTTAAGTTGTCAATTTAGTTGGACATAAAAATATTCCTTGGAAACATATTTATAATTATCACCTAGCAGACTCTTGTGCTTTTACATAGATAAATGTACATGTATGTAACTCAAAGCACCAATTTTTAAAAATAATATTAGACTTAATTTCAAGAATTATTATTATCCAATATAAGAGTATTCAGACTGAAATGACAATGGTAATACACCTTTTTTGCTGGAAAATTTGTAAAATTATTTGTTTTTCATGATATATATTTTAAATTTTGTTATAAATTTTGATTTAGATCACAGTTTAAATATCATGATCATCAGTGTACCCCACAGAGGATTTTGATAGGATCTTAATTAACATTCTGTTAATTGATTAAATAAGAATGATACTTCAAAGCACCTCAAGAGTAATTTTGGAAGTTGTATAAGGCGCTATATGAATGTTGTATATTATTTTTTATTATTCATAGCTGAAGAAATATTGAGGAAAAAGAGTTCAAAGCAACCGATTTTTTTTAGAAAATATTCCAACACCAAATATTAATTCTGCAATACATGGTATACCCCCGTTTATACCAGCATCCGCATTAGATTATCACAGATTTTTTTCATCTGCTTTTTGATCTAGTGGAACTGAACCCCCCCCCTGAACACATAGTGACTGCACATTAAAGATGGATGGCCTGTCTTCCTGGCTCAATTGAAGTGGCCTTCAACCTTTAAACCGAGTCTAGCACATGTGCATAACTGTAAAACTTGGAAAAAAAATATGAGAACTCAAGGATTCCTGTCCCACTGCACCATGGTTTTACGTATACACAGTTACCTCCCCTTCACTTCCGTTTGGATATTACTGTCACAATTGGTCCATGACACTTCTGTTGGCCAATTAGCTCAGTGGGTTAGAGTGACAGTACAACAAACAAAAGTTCTGGGTTCAAATCCTGGTCTAGCCTTGCTGATTTTTTTTACGCCCCGGAACACTGTTGTTGATTATTCTTTGTTATTTCATCTCCATTTTGTTTTCATTACAGTCCCACAAGGTACATTTTTCTTTTCATAAATGATTTATTAAACGAGAAAATAAGTTTCGGATGTATAGTCTCATATTTTGGGGGTGGGCCGAGGATCCTTAAGAGTTACACACACACCCAAGCCAACAAGGTCATTATGATCAGTGTTGATGTTGTATGGAACCAAGAAAAAGAAAATTAAGAAGAAAACATATGATTTGTTGCTTAAGAAAAATATTATTTCCAAGTACGTACATCAAAAGACATTTTTGTTAACCTTTTGATACAAATTTATGATAATAAAGACCTATTATAGGTCATGTTTTTAATGCAAACTATTGTATCGGATAATGTGAAAATATACAGTAATATGATTATTTTTTTTTCTGATTTCAGGAGATGAAAAGAAAAAGCCTGCACCAAAAACCCCAGCTGCCCCTGCAAAGGTAACTACCAGCTAAAGTGTTACATTTAAAGTCACTTGTGTTAATTTTACAGAATTGCATGCGATTGATTGTTTAGGATTGTGCAAACCTTGCAACGACAAAGATTGTAGTATGAAGATGAAATCATATCTAAAAACTATACAAGATTTCCCTTATACAAAGAAATAGAGATGTGGTCTTCTGCTGGATGTTTTATGTCATACATTTTCTTGTTATAAAAATGAAGATGAAATTTGAAGTTACGAAAGAGGATTGGCAAGTTCTTACTTACCGAAGACTTCATCAAATTGTGAAAAATAAGCAATGCAGCGATTAGAAGTAATCGAAAAGGGGTAAACTGACACAAGTGTTTAAATATAAAAGTAGATTTTACCAGCAATTGTCAGAAAGCAGGGCTGGACAGTAAGGTAGTCTGATAGTGGAAGACTATAGTGAAATCTCAACTCCCCAGGTGGACTGGTGGGTCTAAAACCACTAGCTTGATTGATTAGTCAAATTTGATATTACTGATATCTGGTTGAATAATATTGGGTTAGTGAAATTGGAAACTACTACCCCAATTATCTAGTGGTATTCAAAATTAATTTCTAGCTCTGGACAGATTTCATGTTTGAATTTGGAAATTCATTTGTCATTAGGGTCCAGCGAAGAAGAATGTCATCCTGACAGGAGAGGCGATGAAAGAAATGCAGAAACAGGCCAAGCAGAACCGCGAGGAGAGACGCTCACAGGTACGTAATTATCACAGGGTTTCTGTTGTACGCGCTGAACTAGTATGGTATAAATAATTAAAATTATACATGATAGGTACACAAACGTAGATACATTTATCACTTATCATTAGTGAATATTCATTTTCAAGGGTATTCTGCAAGTTAAAGGAATTTTTTATGGTAATTTTTTTTTAAGCACATTCTTTGATAATGCATATTTATGAATTCACTGAAAATGAAGTTATTCATTGCTATGAATAGATATGCTTCAGATCACTTATCACGAACACTTTTGAAATGTTCATCTACATGCATACATGATATGGTGAACCTTCCAGTCAGTGATCTGTCACTGAAAACTTCAAGTCTTCAAGATTATTCCAGGCTCCTAATTATAAAATTAAAATTTGAAGAAAAAAAGACTGAGTTATTAATTATGTATCTCAGGGATAGCTGAGTTTATATGAATATGTGTCATGGACAGTTGTCTTTCTAATAATGAAATGAACGATTTTTGAAGTTTTAACTATTTATACATATTGTGAATATAATTTGTTCTGTTTTGTGGTCCAATTTTTTTGAACTGTAGTTGTTTATATGATCAACAAAGCAATGGCATAACAAAAACGAAACCAAATGAATCAAAAGGACTCTAACGTCATTGTCATTGAAATCAAAGAAAAATGATCTAAGACTGACATTTAAAATTAGTTCATTGTTCCATTGCCTCAAATGACGCTTTGACCATGAGTGATACTGGGTACTAATACAGGATTTTGTGGTAGTAACTAGTGAGGTTTTGATCGGAGACTGGTACATCCATGTCAGCAAGGAAGTTGAATGTTTTTCCAATATATTCTCTGGCGTGCTACTCTTTGCCTACACTGACATAGGATGTGTATTTGCTATAGACTTATGGCACTTCACTTTCACTCTATTCATTCCATTGAACATTCGATACGATATGAAAAGACTTCATTGTGCCAGTTTTTCTCCTTTTGACATGTGTGATAATTGGCTGAGATTATTGTCTATAGTGATATATATTTCAGTAAAAATGTATTGTGAAGATCACACTTGGGTTATTGTTCTGGAAAATTGGCAAATACTCTTTGACAAATATGCACAAATCCAATTTATGTATATATAATAAAGCCTAGCTTTTCATGTTTCGATATATGAAGATTTAAATAGCTTTAGAAGGAATAAATGGACGTCACTCATGTTTAAATGGACTTGAATAATAAGATTTTGTGTAAATACATTTTTTTTATCAAGCCTCTCTCTATTTAATTTTTTTACCTGAAGGTTTATATGGGTCCACACTTTTGTGTATTTGTTAAGCTTCCCTGTGTAAGTGGATTCAAGTGTATATCTTTGTTCATCAACACTTCAGTCGCCACACTCTTCCGTACGCCACACTCTTCTGTGCAGAGCTCTGATCATGAATGGACAGTTTTAACAGACTTTTGTCTCCTTAAATGTCAATACTAAAGAGGAAGACCTATTAAAAATATATATTTTGATTTATAGTACAGAAAATAAAAGTAATTTGTACATACATAATGTACAAAGAGTTAAAGGATCCCTGTACCACTGCCAAAAACCGTAACTACGCATTGTAAACTTTAGCTTTGATAAATTAAATCATTTCTGAAAAGAAAACCATCCCTGGAGCTAGGACTTAATTGTATGGGGAAAAAAATAAAAATATAAAATAAACAAAATACCGGTAAGATGGACAGTGTTCTGAGTGTAAAAATATAGCGATGGTAGACTGGGAATTCGATCCCTGGTCTTCAGACTTTATTTTTGCATTTATATGAAGTTCTGTATTTTGGAAATAGTGTTACAAATTCTATAGTTACATATGTAGGTACGGTTTGGCTAGGTTTGTCGTGACAAACTGCTAAACAAGATTTATCGGGGGTGTTTGTTTCAACACGATTTAATCTCTCCTAACACACCCTACTGATAAGGAGTCTATTTGAGAGATGTAAAACTTAACCATTGATGGTACGTAAGTGCTCGAATTTCTTAAGTTGAGTGATTTGTGCCGGTATTTAAATAAAACTTAACACCGCTGTTACATTATGACGAAACTATCCACTTCTATCGATCAAACAGTAGGTAATATCAAATTATAGACCAAAGATTTCAAAGTCCACAGGTCCTGACTAGGTATATATCCTAGACTAGAGCTGTTCTCTCGACTTAGGTAGTGACTTGGTCGACTTTGAAGTGAGAAGGCTCAAATTCTTACTCGAAATTGTCAAAAATATCTATATACCAGCTTAAATCTGAAGGTCCAACTTACTCATGGGGGTAAAAAGATGTAAATTGTGATGTTATTTAACTCATTCACCCCTGAAATTTCATAATGAACTATACCAATCTTTGATTTGGAAGGGTTTCTAATGCGTCTTCAGGGGTGGACGAGTTAAGTACAGGATAACTATTATGGACAATATATAGAGTTGCATTGTACCTTATAAGGTATCTCCGAATCCTTCCAAAAAGGTTAAGAATGTGAGGAATAACCGTTATATTTCAGGGACTGTTAATAATATAAACAAGTACCAGCTAACGTCTGTAATAATGAAATAACAAGGTCCAATTAATTACTGTATATAATCCCCCTTTTTTTATGTAAGGCCTTGAGAAAAACATACGAACTAAAGAAGAACCATTTAAATGGTGCTTCTCTCTAGGGCTGCAACGATACACACATCTCGCGGTATGATACATATCAAGATATGATGCTTACAATTCTATATGTATCACGATACAAATATCTGCTAAAACAATCACTTTCATAATGATTGAGTGCAGGATTTTACTTACAGCTTTGTCATATATGTTTATAGAAGATGCTGTCAAAATGCTGTCAAAATATAGTTTTGTGTGATTTTTAGTACTTTTCAAAGAGGGCCACACCTTTACTGAAAGGTATTCCAAAACAATAAGTAAACTCTAAGAGTTAAATAAAAAACAAGGTAATTACAGTACTGTTAGTGTATTGCTTGCGATACAGGCAAACAAAATAATGAAGTATCACAATACGATACAGAACGATATATCATTGCAACCCTAACTATACTCTCAGTGTTCCTAGCTAGGCCATGATATTGCCTGGCTCGTCAATTTGAGATTTCTTGGTTCTTGGTCTTTGATCCCCCCCCCTTTGATAAACTAATTTCTGGGACCCTAGTGTCAACTTCTTGTTATTTTGCAATAAAAAACACACGCACACAGGCCTGTTAGTTTGTCGTAATGTCGGCTGTTTGTACCGGATATTTGTTTTTCTCTCGATTACGTTTGATCAAAGTTACCTCAGTCATTGACTCTATTCTAGATATTCAGATGAAATGCAAATTTTATTCCATTAGAAATTCTCTGTTAAAGAGAGCATTTTATCGACCACTCCCAGACACAAAACATTATTGACTTTTCCTTGTCTTTGCTAGATTTACGAACCAAAGCATAGTCTGCCTGATGGAAATTAAAACAAAAGCCAGATGTTAAGATGAATATCAAACAGTGGTAAAAATATATGTGGTAGATATGCTGAATTTTCTGTTCAAATTCATATCCCATCGGCATGAAGATGGAAATACATATTTCGGTATTATTTGGTGAGTTATTGAATACAATCGTACAGAGCAGTTAAAGCTAACATGGATATGCTTCTAAAATTTTCCTGAGTGTAGTCGGATGAACTGTGAAGGTTTGAATAGATGAGTATAGGATTATACAAAATAGGATTACATAACATTAGAGAAATCGTTTAGTTAACAACTCAAATCAACTAAATAACTCTTAAGACGAATACTGGCTTCCCTAATTGTCCGGTTTGAATTGTAAACGTTTCAAAGAAAAACGGTTATTTAATAGGATCAATCAATACTTGTTGCAGGAATTAATGAGATTTTAATCATTTAAGATTATACTTAATCATGACTGTAATTTTTTTCCCACAGTGGTATTTGTTATAGAATATCAATATTTGTAATTTGTGTAGGGCTTTAAAAGTGAACTCTTGCAATTGGCATGGATAGAAAAAAGTTTTTTGTTCTGAGTTATTTTGATTACAATAATATCCAATACCTACCCTTGAGATTTGTGAACTTGTAATACAGTGATCATGTAATTTGTAGTGTGTCGATACATATATTTTCTTTTCATTAACAGTTCATTTAAATGTAGATTCTCACTCAATTATATGTGATAAAGATTTGGTATACATTGTATCAATTTTCAATCGGCTATATCATTGAGGAATCCTGGGGTTGGTTGGGGTGGGATGGGTTGGGGTGTCCTTTTCAAGAGCTTTTTCAGAGAAAAAAAGTTTATTTTTACACCAGTTTTACAAAATTAGTGCTTTGATAAATCAGCCCATGGCTACTTGTCACTTCAGATTATTATAGCGCAAATTGATGAAATAGATGACAATCTAACATCTTCGTGCTCCAAAGCAATCATCATGCAGAATTCAAAAGCAATAGCCAGATTTTTTTTTTTTTTAACAGGATCTTCAAATACAGTACATTTTTATTGCAACATTTAGGTTTTGCGACAACAGCTAACTTGATATAGAGTTGGTTATGACCTACAAGATAAACGTGTGAAAACTTATATCAATATTAAGATATCAAATATAATTAAGTAGTACATTTTTCTAATGGAAGTGTCTAAATTAAAAAAACGTCTCCATACAAATTCAAATATTTAGTAATCTAAAGAAATTAAGACATAATAAGCTACATACAATTTGTATGTACACCAGCAATGGCATTTGCCAGGTAATCGTATATATGGACACCACTTAATGGAGACACCTGATTTTGTCTACTTAAATCAATGCGGAATGACAAAGCCATGCGTGTGAATGAATTGCTCAATTCACGGTGGGGCACAAGCTCAATACAGGATATTAATTTGGCTAAATGCTTGACAGTATCTCAATGTGCAGGTGGGGGGTTCAGAATGGAACGAGGTATATACACACACACACACATATATATCTATTGTACTGATACCTGTCTCTGAGAGGGACAAAGGGTCTGGGATAGGTATATATATGCCAAATGTGTTTAGGCAGAGTGTAGTCAGGGCTACTTCACAATAATGAGATTTCTTCGTACATGTTCGTAAAATTAAATACAGCCATTTGGGAAGGGTTAAGAAGTCAGCGCTATGGGAAAAGCATTATACACATGCCAGTAGCCGTTTGTTTTTATATTGCTTGTTTTAACGGTAGCTATGTAGTGTGTTAACACAGGGTTTTGTTACACAGCAGATTAAACTTTTGTTCGATCTCCGATAAACCAAAACCCGGCATAGATTAGTCGAGGTATTATGTCCTCAACTCTGTCTGCCAACCTGTGTATTGAATTTTACCATATATATATCCAACAAAGGTACTGCGGAGATTTTATATTCTGTGTTTGTTAAGTTAAATGTGTATGCTTAAATACGTCTTGTTTGATCAGCGTTAAAGGTTTATTTATTCTTGTAAAAAAATCTCAACTAGGATTAAAATGTATTAGAATTAGAAGTGATTCTACAAAGATTGACTAGCAACATGCACCTTAAGCTTATGTAATTCCCTCCATGTTCAGATGTTATATCGTAGCTAGGAAATTAAGTGGTAATTATTAGTTTAATTATCAAATTATGACTAATTCAGTCAGAGGTAGATTCAAAACTTTTCATTACATTTTTTAAAATTTCAAGTTGAAAAATTAATTTGTATAACTTTGGCCAGTATAATTACAGCAGAAATGTTGATGTTGGTTTGTAGCTTACCTCATTCACCCCTGAAGACACATTTGAACTCAACCAATTCAGAGGTTGGAATAGTTCAATATGAAATTTCAGGGTTGAATGAGGTAAGTAAATTTGGTTATATCTATACGTCACTTGTGACAATTAACTATAATTTTAGGCGGAAGAAAGAAAAGGCCCAAAGATTTTATTTTCGAAGCCATTTTGAAATTATAAGTTAACAACTAGCTAAGTTAAGAATTTGAATGGGAGCTTCGAATAGCTTGGTCTGGGTCCAGGGTTCGAGGTAGACCATCACATTTCACCTTCACACAGGTATACCGATACAAGTATATTACTAATTAAATACGTCTCTGCAGATAGTACTAATTAAATACGTCTCTGCAGGCCGCAACCCAAGACAGGTCTGTTCTCTGATACTCCGATTAATTAGACTGTTTTGGTACGTTTTCTGTATCCTGGCTTATAAGATGTGAGATATCTGTTTCTGTATGGGCCCTATAGTTAATTATTTCCCACATTTGATATTGGTCCTTGTGAATTATTTATTGAGTAATCTGTTACTATCTTATACAAGCCCGTGTCTGAATATACGAAGTGTAGTTGTGTCCAGTGTCTTGGACTCTCCGTATTGGTGTTTGCTGGATATTATAACAAAATAATTCAACATGTTTATTCGTAAACTTGTAACAGGACTCGAAAATGACCAGGAGGAAATTAATATGAAAAAAGTAAGGTGTTTTAATTAATCACTGGAAATTTGATGGTTAATTATGACAGTAATCAATAATTAGGAAATATTGAAATTACATGAACGGCTAACCTCATATACATGTATATCAGGACACAGATAATTTGGTTGTCTAATATTTTTTGTTTGTGAAGATATCAGGTTTTTATTATGGTGGACAAATTTTCTGGAATTGAAGTCTTTCTTCAAAGAAGGTATTGAAATAAAGTTAAAATTGAAGGAGGAATGAAAAAGTTATTTGCTGAATTTTATTCCATTTTCGATTTAGAAATATAACAGCGAGGATGTGTCCTATTTTTTAAACTCCTGCTCGCCATGATTTCTAGAGTGTACAGCGTTTGAACCCAGTGTTCTTTGCTGGTTGGTGCAGGTTTGAACCTTGGCATTTGCTCAACAACTTGCGTCAGATCTCTAAACAGCGTCGTAATTGTGATACAACTATTGTTTATTTCTTGGCAGCCCCTGACGAAACTATTGATTAGCTGCATCCAGTTCGTGTTATATGTTTTGTTTGTTGAATAAAGTAAAATAAAGGGCAGTTGAAAAGACACTTTCGGGAAGTAACCACTTTTCTTAAAAAATTTGGAACGTTGTGCATGTAATTAAAATTGTATATATGTTATAGCTGTACGGAGTTGATTGATCGCCATTTTGTTTGCATTAGACTGACGGCCAATGGCCATTTTTTAATTCCTTTCTTTTAGATTTATGAGTCATTAACCCAAAAATTTCATACAGTATATTTTCAAAAAAAAAAAAAATAATGTTCATAGCCAAACTTACATATTTTAAGGTATTTAGAATAACCATCTGAGAGCAAAATGTATTGATGAAATTGTAATGAATTTTCAATAAATTTAATTTGAAAGGTAATAATTAGGATTTGAAAAACTTTGTTCTGTTGCTTATTATCATAAGTACAACTATGATCGTACAAGATTTATACGGTTTATAGCGATGCAGTACTGTATTAAAAAATTTGTGGCACTGCCTTTCAGTGTGGTGACAATAAATTTTATGACAGGTGTTCAGCACAGGAGATCTTGGTTATTGTTAAATGTTTTAAAGTGGGTGACGTCGTTTTACAAATGGAATGAGATCCCGGTATTGAAGTATTGATTTGTGTCTCACAAATTCACAATAGCTACACTTGTTAAGATAAGTAATGGTTCGTTGTTGACCAATTGAACCGAAAGTACCGTGAGACATATTTAAAAACTAAAGTACAGGCCTGGGTTTCCAAGCTTTCTTATCTTATACAAGGCCCTTTATTACTAAAATTTACTAAAAAGTAAAAATAATCTGGATTTGGAATTTTTGGATTTTTTTTTCTTATTTCTTGTCATCAGTCATGACAGTTTTGATTTCTGACAAGTGTTTAAAACTGTTGTTTTCAAATTTTTTGAAAAGAGACATTTAATATGAATGGCAGGAATTACGATTTTGATAAATAAAGCTGACGAGTTGTGGAACACTGGATATTTTGATGTTGTAAACCAGATGTAATTCACACTTACGGATGAAATTTAGCATGAAAATGAATATGATACTTGAAAGCAATTTCCTGTACCGATATCAATACATGGCCAAGGTAAATGGAAGACCCAATATAAAGTTACGAAAATATTTATTACCATTGGATACAAGGCTGTTATAACATAAAAAAACCTTGAGGCAAATTAGTAACAGTTGTGTGTTAACCGACTTCAGATTTCCATGTCTGTCTCTTTAATACTTCTAGGCTAACACGGTTTAAATTATTCAACATTCTCTCTAATTCAGCCCAGGTCTACCAGTACATTTTGTGTATAATCTATAAATGTAGCGTCATCTTGGAGTTACAGAAAAGTGAACAACAGAAAATCTAGTTGGAAATTATAAAAAGTTACTTCAGTATAAGATTCATCAGTTTGGAAATATGTGATATCAAAGTTTTACTTTCTACACAAACAATGTACGGGACAAGTGACATGAAAAAATATACAATTTCGTCCCATCGATGTACAGGTAAAAAATACAAATCGCTCACTCAGTCATAACTTGACAGGGACCAGTCGGTCTTGAAACGTTGCGACATGTTTAATACCTACCGGTACATTGTTTGTGTAGAAAGTGAAATTTTGATATTATAAAAAGTTCCATTCTCTGGTGTTACAAATAGGAATTATTTTAACTAGGTCTTAAAGGTGAATGCTTTGATTTTAAGATGTCCGATATAGCTATTACTATCACCTATTGTTCATGACATTATATTCTCTCATATTAAATTGGATAGAAAAATGTTAACAAGAATTCATTGAAAAATATTTTATTACAATATCATGGAAAATTGTTCGTCTAGTCCACCACACCCGACACTCTACTAGAAGCTGAAGCCTGTTTGACGTACTTCTAATAACCATATTTATCTGGTAATAAGCCCATCACTGGTAATAAGTCCACCTATATCATTGTTCAATAAATACACTAACAAAAGCTATTTCATTGTCCTGTTATACGCCCATCCTACTTTGAGTGAGAGATTATGTGTTTTCACCCTGGGCTTATAGCAGGATATATACGGTAATGTGTCTAGCTGTAATCATTCTTAAGTCTATTGTCATTTCCATGGGCTCAACTGCCGCTATACGAAGGAAAATTACATGACTCATTCAATAAATTTGCTATCATATGTAATAATAATATAATCTGGTACCCTCGATTTTTGTTTGGGAGATGGTGTTTAAGAGCTGAATATATAGTGGTGACTTAGTCCTATCCCTTTTGATAAAATAGGTTTAAACTAAGCAAAAGCCAGTTGCTCATGCAAGATAATTAGTTGGTTTAGAAATTACGAATTGCAGTTAAACTTTTTATTGACTTGTGTATTCTTATTCATTCTATTTCCATTTTGATCAAATACTAAATGAAGCTATATATTTTTTATAATTTGTTCACAGTGTGATGCCCGACACAACTACATATTCAAACAGGTGAGTTTTAAAATTTAAACTTGGCTTTTAAAGTTGGAATAAATTTGAATAAAAGTTGCGACAAGCGAGTTTTCAACCTGATTGTCAATACAAGTAATGTTGTTTACATAGAGACACAACATTAATGACAAACTACAACCAGAAATGGCCTTTTTCATTACATGTATAATTTAACAATACTCTGAAGGAAGACCAAATAAAAAATGTTATTTGTTTCCAGTTTCCCTACAAGCCTTTTTAGTCTAATATCTTGTGCCTACCTTCAATTTTCTTTTTTGCTATTTTCAAGGAAGCATGGTTTAAGTCAAGATTACTCTTCGGTATAAATAAACTTTAAAAAAAGGAAATTGAACAATAAAATATATTACCTACCTACGTACAAGTAATAGGAAACAGACATGTTGATACTTAATCCACCAGTCAAATGATATTATGACCAGATACTTGATTTAGTAGTCCCTGCATAAATCAATTAGTCTCGAACTAGAGAGCTGGGCCCAGTTATTCAAAAGGTGATTACGGTAGCTTAATTGGTGAGTCTTAAAAACAAAACCATTGAATTAGTTGTAACTTTCTAGGTATCAAATACTCAGTAGAGTGAATTTACATGCAAAATTGTGATATTTCACCTTGTACATTGACAAAATTATAAAAGGTTAAAAGTTACGTTAAAATGTGATTAAGCTATATAGCTAACCACCATTAGAACAACTGGGCCTTGGTGTTGGTTGTAATATCGTAAACATTTCTGTATCATACCACAGAATTAACCAGGTGTCATTCTAGTATAGATTTTATATGAGTCGGTGAACATTATATTTTCAATGCTTTATGTTATGTGTGACGAATACTTATTTTGATTATTTTCTCGGCAGATTGCAGATGCTCTCGGTTTGGAAGTGAACAACGTGGAAGACTTCGTGTTCGGAGATGAGAGAGTAAGTTTTATATAATTTACAGCAAAAAAATGTAAAATTTCTGTCTTAAACGTAATTTTCTGTTGCAATTCTGCAGGAAGTAAGATTTTGAATATCCTGTTGAAAAATCAAAGTTTGAAACAATTTAAATCACCATTTCTAGTTTAAAAAACCCCATGTACCATCATTAAGGATGTTGTATTTTACATGTAGACAGAGGTTAGATGCTATCATTAGCCGCCAAGACTGCTAGCATTATATAGTGGTTACACATACAGTGTAGACGTTGTTAGCCTGCGGAAGTGGTGAAATTTAACACTTATTTGTCGTGACCGGTCAGATTTGATATCGATAAAGTAAAATAATAACATTTAAATTATGCTCAGATTTCTGAATCTTTTTACAAAAAAAATTCACACCTGATTAAGATAATGATGGAAATAAAAACTGAAAATTATAAAAAAAACACCCATAAATATTTGATTTCACTCTTGTAAGGCTGTAATAGAATTTAAAATGAAATATGATTTCAATTTCAGTTTGATTTAATTGAGGAACTCTTCAAGCCTGATGGCGCAAGAAAACTCATTTTCTTTTATCAGACTGTGCCGGTAAGTGCTATCTAAGGGTTTAGATCACTAGCAAAGAAGAAAAACTTTTATTGGATAAAGTAATTTCAAATGTTGATTGAATTTGTTGTTAAACAGAGTATCTCTCTTTATTACTGTGAAGCTGGTGTTTGTGGGGTACTTATTTTTTGACAGATTTTGTGCAAAAACAAATAAACAATGTGAAAAAATATGACTACCATTTTAAGCTGGATTGAGTAACATCGCCTATAATATTGTTTTAATCTATTGAATCTACAAAGTTTTATCCCTGCATATTAAAGATCTTGAAAGAAGTTTGCTTTATAAAGCAAAAGTTTTGCTTTATACAAATATTAATATTTATACGAATATTCGTTCGTAAGAATCAAGTTGGCAATGCAGTGTTGCTATGCTCATTAACTCATTCACCCCTGAAGACACAATTGAACTCCTCTAATTCAAAGGTTGGAATAGTTTATTAATGAAATAAATTTCAGGTGTGAATGAGTTAAGTGTGTGTAATATTACCAGTATACCAGTATAATGTGGTATGGCAGAGTTATTACAATATATGGGTGCACAAAATACAAAACCAATATGCCGCAAGTTTTAGTAACTCAACAGTATAGAGTTTTGTTTTCTTTATTGTTGGTACTTGTAAGTAAAATTGTGTCAAAAGATTTAATCTTTGAACAACAATTGCTAAAACATATCTGTTTCAGGAGAATAAATTATTTATCAAAATATAACAGATTTTTTTTTTTACAAGGACTGAAAAACACATTTTTAGAGATTTTTTAATCATGGCAATATATTGCAATATGTATTGCAAAATTGAGTTGAATATCGCAATATATTGCAATACGGTTTTGCTTCCAAATACCCAGCCTTAAATTGCTCATAAACTGAACTCAATCTTCTCAATGCCTTGGATGGTTGGTTGGAGTTTATACTCTTCACTGACTAAGTTTGTGTTTGGTCGTCTTGAGGGGGTAAGCTGGTGCTTACCGGCCGTCTGTGATTCAAATGTCCTGACAGCTCCTTAGATGCGGATAGACTGTCACAGCTACTGCGGTCACACGTCCGGGAACACATCCTTTCTGTAGCCTCACTGCCCTCCTATGTTCTCAATGCCCTCTGGTTTTGGTTTAAATAATTGTAACGATTATGTCTTTTGATTATAGCAAAAGGAAACGAAGAAACTCTTCATCACGCCTGGCGATGTGGAGGTAAGAATTTATCATAACTGCCATGTATCAACCTTTGCAATGTAAAGGTAACTTTTCTTTAGATATGGATTGGTAAGTTTTTGTTTCACCTGTGACCCAAAGATGACACATGTAGTAAACAGTCTGTTATCATTAGTATTGTCTTCTATCTTGAAGGAATCTTTTGATTTTCATACATCTTTTTACATTTAATATAGAATTAATTACCCTTTTAAGTTTAGGTTTTGAATCCAATCTTAAAATCAACATGGCTACCAGTGTCAATTTTGGATTTTTTTTTAAAGTTGCATGGTTTTTGTGCAGTTACCCTTGAAGAAATGCTTTGATTTTTATGGAACTTTCTACACATGCCTATAATATCATTAATAAATTCAGTTTTTACCCAAATTTAAAAATCAAGATGGGTGCCATGTGTGTACTTCAATGGAATTCTTGTTTCAATGTTCATGTCGGCATGAACACAATTCTCAAGTCAATAAGGAAGAAAGGCATCAAAATGGCACTAATCCTTTGCATTCATAGCCTTGTGAGTGCAATTTCTTCTAGAAGTATTCATATAGGAACTTGCAGTGGAAATATAGTTGTATGCACAATATCTAATCAGTGTTTTGTGAAATAACAAATCACCCACTAGGATTTGGTAGTATCTTTCGAATTCTGGTCATGTGATCTATCTCGGATAAAGTCAAGATAATTTCAACTTCGAAATATTCCATTTTTATTTTGCTACTATTCTATGTGTAACAGGTAATAACACCACTTTAAATAGAGTTAAGTATATGAATGACAATTCTTTGTGATCGCTTTTCTGTATTTAAACCTACCTGTAACAGTTCTTTTATGATCTTTTAAAAGTTGACCATAAAACTGACAAGTAAATTTATAGCGGAACATTTTAGTGTTGAATGTAAAGTTTCAATACTGGCAATTAAGTTGTTTGATTTGTGCCTCCTAACTTCTGGGTTCCATTTTTACCTGTAAATACATACCTGTCTGAAATCTCGTTAACATTTCACAGGTAATTTGCCTTGATCTATGATATCTGAATGATCTTTGGTTTCTGTTTTGCTACAAGTCTGATTTTCTTGTATTATTGATCAGTCTTTGAAATAGGAACCTGATTATGTTATTTTCATCTTAAATGCGAGAAATATTTACATTTATCATGTACGTAGCTATTTCTGCCTTAAGGCCTGTAGCTGATTTTCAAGGAATAACAAATTCTTGGCCCACATGATAAAATTCAATATATATACATGTATATGCTATAACTGGTAGATGAAAACTTTACACTCCATTAGTTCAGTATGCAGGTAAAATACAGGTAAGGACACATCGAGGTAAAGATTCAATCAATAAAATTTCCACCATATTTAGTCCCTGACTACTACTATTGGGACTATATAAGGTTTACACTCCTCCCTCAGTCAGTCTGTCTGTCCATTTTGTCACTATTGTTGGGCGCATATCACATATACTCTTACTATCTGCAATTGTCAAATTTTGTAAGTGCATATATGAGTACATCTTGGGATGGCAGAGTATTGAGTACTGAGTCTTGTGTCCCTGGAACTGTTTACAGAGTTATGGCCCTTGTGTTTCATTTTGATGACAAAGTTTTTAAGAAGATTGAGGATTATGGATTTCTCCCAATAGTTCGCCTTGTGAAAACTGAGAACAAATTTGCATGTCTAAGGTTTCAAAATGATCACCATCCAAATACAAAATACAGCAAAGTTTTGCAATTGTCAATCAACTATGTTCGTTCCAATCTGAAATAGCTGGAATGCGAAACAATATGGCTGGATGACTTGGTCAATTATAAAAGAAAAAGTGTATCAAATTCTTTTACATTAAAAAACTGTATTGATAGTGGGACCACAGGATTAGTGGTGGCTGGATATTAAGAACAGGCAGGATTACTCTCCAAGATACTTATTTGAATAGAAATGGTGTCCTATTTAATGGCTAGATAATGGAACAGCTGGATTAAATACTTTTGAGTTATTCTCTTTTAATTAAAATGGGAAATCTTACCTCTAAAACACTGCTTAGATAGCAGGACACCTGGATAATTGGTGGGTGGATTAAAGAAGCTTAGCCCACCACAGAACCTCCCCTTATCAAGAGAGAGAGAAAAAAGTCTGAATTTGAACATATTACCATATCGCAGATTGATTTAACTGGATTCATGAATTATCGCTGATATGAGAAAATTCAGTATTGTTAATGTTAGAATGGGTGTTTTAATGTATAGCTAGGAAGCTAGCTGTGATACTGTTTTAAACTGCTTCTTTACACCTGTGATAGAATTACCTGTTGTATATGTATAACACCATGATATCAGATGGCTCTAAAGTCTTCAATAATGCAAAATGTATTATCTGCCCAGTCTTTAATTACAAACTCGGTTTCTAAGGGAAGGTTAACGAGTTGAATTGTCAGGTAGACAGATAATTTACCTGTGTCTATAGAACAATTCCCAAAGCTTACCTGTACAAACAGGTATTGATCGACAGACGACGGCCTACCTGATGTTTGCCAATACACAGTCGGGTATAATGATTGACTGTTATATATGCTATCGATTGTTAGGGTCCTAGACAGACTGCTCAGGTATACGTAAAGAAAGCAAGTATCTCGCCTTAACAGTGAATTGGCTAGAGTGTATTAAAACACATCCCGTCTGGGGGGGGGGGGGGGGGGGGCATTGATCGTCCGGCTATTGACGACCGCTTCTTTATGTGTGTGTTTGATGATTAATTAATTACCGTGGCTTGACACACTAATTGTGAAAATAAGCGAGTAATTAAATTTTTAATGTCGGGCATGATATATAGCGTAAAGTATATTGTCAAGAGAGCATGATTTATTTAAGATTTTTTCAAACAGTTGTGGAAAGAAGTCTGCTGAACTGTCATAACGATATGTATAGACTTCTGATATGTTCATGTTATCTCATTGTATTGTAGTTTTGCCAATAAAAAAAAAAAGGAATCAAGAAGAAATAGTGTGTATCTGTAAAAATCATTTGATTATTCCAAACTTTTTATATATTAGATTTGTCACATTTGTATTATGCTTTAGTTCCTGGGTTTACTGAAAGATTTAGTTTTACAATATTTTTTTTGTAATTCTAGAAATAAATTCCAAAAATACTTTTAATATTAACATTTGGGTTTGCCATTTAATGGTATGTCTGCAAAAGTATAGAATTGTTTACCAAAAATTCCAGTTTCACAGTTTTTCAAAACTCCAGAAATAAAATTATCATTACAATATTAAAATTTGAATAATTTATCTCACGATATGTCTGTAAAATAATTGACTCTCGGAATATTATGAAAAAAATTCTACCTCATGTACTTATATAAAACATCATTGAAATGATCATTTTTGAGGTCGAAATCTTTGCCAGGCTGTGTTATTCAGGGAGATTGATCACCATTCGCAGAGTCACAACCAGGGTTAAGTAGAAAATTATTGTCAGTTTCTGCCTCAGAAATTCCTTTATTGTAATATGATTGATCAACATTTAACAATCGCCTCATCCCTTGTTGGGGCTAGGAAACGGTGTGGGCTCTACTAATGAGAATTGTAACACTGCACTGGTCTCTCGCAAAATCCTTCAGTTAGCTTATTTCGTTGATCTGGTCTCCCGCCGACCTTCTTAGTTGGAAATTATATTCGCTGAACTAGTCTTCCGCCACTCTCACGATTGATTTTTGAATCATGTAGAAATCCGGGTTTGTGTGTGAGATGAAGAGGTGTGTGTTTGTGTGTGTTTAGTTCAGTATTGTTTAACGTCCTTACAACAGCTATGGTCATTTAAGGACGACCCTATGTGCAAGATGCATGTCTGTAGTGTATGCATGAGTGTTTTGAGAGGCTGCGATATATTCGTGTTTGTCTCCTTGTGATAGCACGGATTTGATGCCGACTTTATAGTGCTACCTCACTGAAACATACTGCCGAAGACACTCGGAGGACACCCATCCCGTCACATTATACTGACAACGAGCGAACCAGTCGTCTCACTCCTAAATTGCTGAGCGTTAAACAGGAGTGGGGTCCCTTCATAAGGCCATTGTGTTCATAATAGAAACCAAGAAACAATTTTGTTTTTCATATTTTATGTATATAATTTGAAGAAATGTTGAATGAATGTCCTATAGGGGCTGCGGTTGCCAAGTGGTTAAGGTGTCTGACACTCTGTTACAATTAGCCCTCTCCACTAGTTCGCAGGGTCGAGACCTACGTGGGGCAGTCGCCAGGTACTGGCTGTTGGTCAGTGGTTTTTATCCGGGACTCTGGCTTTCCTCCACCACCAAAACCTGGCACGTCCTTAAATGACCATGGCTGTTAATAGGACGTAAAACCCAAACAAGCGAAAAAAAAATGTCCTATATATTGCTGATTGCCCAGTGTCCCCTATTTGACAAAAGTTTAATTTCCAGCTGACAAGAGGAACCAAGAAGTTAATCCAACCTGGAATAAAAATAAGATATGCGATTGAAGTACACAAAGCTTGTACATTGTAGATGACCTAGCTAAAAGACAATATACCAAAGTAATTGACCTAGTCAAACACAGACTGTCTTCCACTTTCGTCTTTGCTTTCTTTCCCCAACGTATTCGCTTACCTTTCTCACTCAACCTTGAGCTCTGACATGATGTTTTCACACGACGTGCTGAAAAAACTTTTGTATCAAAGTTTTACATAAAACTAAATTATATAATCACAAAACAAAATGCTGTGATTTTAATGTTTCTCATTTCATTTGCTTCCTTGCATCTCAACAAATTTTAGTGTCCTTTTTTTCTAATTTCTTATCAACTAATTCATTTATTTTTATACATCTCCCCTAACATCACCAAAACTCATCATAACGCCAAAATTGTGTTTCAACAAATAGCGGCAGTAAAGCAATACAGGTGATAAACAGAAGGGCCATAAGAAATAAGTTTGTTGTAACCAAATTATACATCAGATTTAATATTCATAAGAACATCATTTCTTGACAGGAAAGCTATCAAGTCATCATAATGGTACTATTTTTTCGTTCCAGGGATGCCACGGTCTGTGCCTGTATTTCCTGCGTACCACGCACAAGGCCATCACCGTCCAGAATATTGCTAATGAGATCAATTTCGGTAGCATGGACTGCAGCAACGGGAAAGTCCTCAGTGGATTCGAGGGTTACCTCTCAAAGATCATTCTGCCTGCCCTCAAGTCCCTTGAGGTACGGTACATTAACCCTGGCTCATAAATTTCTGAAAACATATAATGCAGACTCAAATTTCAAATTGTTGATCTCTTTCTGTTCTGAAGTCCTGTGCATTTGAGGTATGTTAACTCTGGCCCATAATTTCTCAAAATAAAAAAAATAAAAATATAAATCATTTTCATTTCACAAGTCCCTTGAGATAACATAATTCTGACCTATATTTTTCTCAAAATAGAAGATTCTCAAAGCAATAACTCTTTGCTTTTCTCTAGTTCCTTCAGGTATGACAATTCTGGCTCTTAATTTACGAAGTGAAATATTTAAGTTTAAAAGAAAGAAAATTGTGTCCAAAAATATTTGTTTTCTTTTGGAAGTTAGTTTATCTGAATTCCCACAATTAAATTTTTTGTGTGGGGGAATTTGAATAAACAGGAGCTCGAGCAACCATATTAATTCAAAATAACCTTACCATATAAATCCTGCATTAAGCACAGTGGGCCAATCTCTCACTCAAAGCAATTTAAGGGAATGGGCTAATAAGAGGATAATAAAAAACATTTGGTTACATTTCTGAACAGCATTGGATCTGGTGGGCTTATTACCAGGCATGGGCTTATTGCTGGGTAAATATGATAATGTTGTGGTCAATAAATTGAGATATCATAGTTAATGTGACTCTTTGCAGCAATGGGGCAGCAGTATGGTGAAGCCAGGTCCTGTTGTTGTGGATGAGGAAAACACAGGACCACCACCTCCCGCTCCTGCTAATAGTGCTACTGCAGAGGAGTTTCTGGAACAGCTAGAGAAGTTTGTCCAGAACCTTATGTCTGCAGTACGCAACATGGAGGGGCAGGTCACTCTGGCTGAGAACGGTGTCGGACATGTCATTGAAACCATTGATTCCCCGAATGACTACCAGGGTATAGGTAAGTAATGATTAACATGCCAGTTAACGGTCAAATACAGTCAAATTTCTCAAACATTTAAATATTTAATGATGTTGAAATTATTTTGTATGAACTTGGCAGAGCCTTATTAAAATGGATAATTCTGAAATAAACAACAAGAAAATATTGAAATATAATAAGATTGTCATTCAAACTATATCAATTTTATGAAACTAGGGCAGAATATGAACATATGAAAGATTACATGTAGACCATTGAAAAAGTACATGAAGTAAGTGTTCTAGAAGGGTAAGCACCTTTATAACTTGACTGATCTGCTTCTTAAATTTCATTTGAAATTCAATCCCATCTCAGATTCCTTGTAACTCGTTTATCCCTGAAGACTCATTTGAACTTCTTCAAATCAAAGGTTGGGTTAGTTCATTATGAAATTTCAGGGGTGAATGAGTTAACCCCAGTGTTACCTGTGGATAGATAGTGCATGACAGTCATCTTTGTTCTATGTTTCAGCCTCTAACACAGAGTACCTGGAGAAGTTTGAAGGCCTGTTGTTGACCTGGTCCAAACAGATTGAGCAGGTGCTGGCGGAGAGCGAACAGATGAGGCGCGAGGCCGACGATATTGGACCCACCGCCGAGCTCGCCTACTGGAAGAGCAGGATGGCCAAATTTAACAAGTCAGTGTAAAGCACTCAACTTGTCGGTGTTTATATGTAGCTATTAACTCATTCACCTTTGAACTCTTCCAATTCAAAAGTTGAAGTTGTTCATTATGAAATATAAGGTGTGAATGAGTTAAAGTCTGTGTATATAATGTTGTGATTTCTGCAGTAAAAATGAATTGGTGAATCTAACATGAAAGTGGACTTTTTAAGTGAAATAACAATGTAGACCTGACATTTGGCAATCCAAAAACATCAAACACTGGACATACTCAATTGTATTTTGCCATATAAAAACACAAAAAGATAAAATATCTATGCATTATTTAGTGTTAAACAATATTTGTATTTTGGACATTTTTTAAACCTCCTGTAGATTGTCTGCCCTTGACCTTGGAGTGATATTGAAGGGGAGTGTTAATTTTATTATCCAAGTAAAGTTAGTATCTTGGTTACTGCCTGTAACTTCTTAAGTCTACAAGTAGTGACATGGTTACAGCATGTTACTGGAACAGTATGATGCTGTTTTATGATTACAGCTTGTTACTAAATATAAATTTGTTTCTATTACAGCCTGCTTGAACAGATGAAGAGCCAGCGTGTAAAGGCCACCATCGGGGTACTGCAAGTCGCCAAGTCTAAATCTCTCCGCCGCTGGAAGGAACTGGTAAGTTCATCCATTCCATATAATACATTAGGTTACTTTAAAATCTTCTAGTTTATCGGTTTAGATGGCACAGAAATATTTGGCGATAAATGAATGCACTTGTACTGAACTGTAGACAGATCTTCGGAGTAAATATGTCCTTTTCATGTGTGCAATGAATTTTATAACATTTTCTGAAATTTGATGTGAGTTAAATGCAGTTTCGTGATAGTCAGCATTTAATTTCTGTCAGAAAAGTCTGGACTTTTTGCAATGCATGTGCCGAATTGTCATTTTCTTTCCAGGTGAAGTTGGTTGAAACAGTGGAACTATATATGTGAAGGGGGCATTAGAGTATTGGAGAATTTATGCTTTGATTTGATTACAAAAAATAGACTCTGTTTCTTCAAAAAATTTGACCATATTTCTTAGAAAGTTTTTGATATTTCAATCCTTGGTAGTTGATTGTGGTGATCATAATTGTTTTATCGTTTAGGACTGTCGCATCACTGACGCTGCCAATGAAGCCAAGGACAATGTCAAGTACCTGTACACACTGGACAAATTCTTTGGACCACTGGTCAAATGCACTCCGGTAAGTACCTATTGTCAGTGAACTTTCTGGACAATGGTCAACTGTGATTTGTACAACAAAATAATATTTTGGTGTCCAGAATATCTTTAGAGCCTGACTTTCTGACTTTATGTTGCTGTTTTTTGTTTGACCAATTTGACCATTGTTCAACCATTCCTGACCATTGCATTTCCTGACTATTTTGACCACACTCTGACCGTTTTCTTGAACCCTGATCATGACCATTGTTTGATTGTTCTTACCATTAGACTATTTATTCTCTGACTATGGTTTTGACCATCCTGACCATTGCTTGACCTATATCCGTTATAACACTCTCTGAATGAAGTTTGACCACTCTCTGATCATTTGAAACTCCCAACTATTGTTCGGCCAATGTATGACTGCTCTCTGACCATTAATTGACCACTCTTTTCCTGGTGTTGTGACAGGCTACCATGGTGGAGCACATCCCGAGCCTGATGAACGCCATCCGTATGATCTACAGCATCTCCCAGTACTACAACACCTCGGAGCGCATGACCTCCCTGTTTGTCAAGGTCACGAACCAGATGATCACAACTTGCAAAGCCTACATCATGCATGACGTGTCCAGGATATGGGACATTCCTAGGTTAGTCATCCATAACTAGTTTGTCTATTTTCTTGGGTCTATCTTTATCCCCCCTTCTCATAAAAAATGGGGCTTGGTGGCAGGCAGATAGTGCTATCCATGAACGTCCTGTCCTGTCACTGTCCTTGTCCCTGCCCCTGTCCTGTCCTGTCCCTGTCCAGTCCTGTTCAATCACAATGAATTGTCCCAACTATACTGACTTCATTTCTTATTTCATCGGATTTTATACAAAGGTCAAGTATGAGAACACCTCTGATGAGATTATATTTTTAGGGTCCCAAGGTCAATACAGAGGTCACTGTTGCTATTTATAGGTCAACTATTTTGTAAGCAGATTCATCTTAGTCAGTCTACTGACATCAAGGTCAAAGGGGCAGTCATATCTTACAGATACTTAATAGTTTGTGAAGTTTCTTTAAGGTGTTTTCTTTAAAAAAACACCTATGTTTTGGACAATTTACTTACGGCACAAGCTGATATTAAAAAAAGAAATTTTGAAAAAATATTTAGCACATTTATAACCTGCTGTAATTTTTCCATCAAAATGTTTTTTGTTTCTTTTTGGATAAACAGTAAATAATTTTGTTTATATGTTCCTGAATAATTCTTTTGTTTGTGAATACAGGCCTGTCCTGCTACAGAGGCTGAACGAGTGTACTCAGCTCAATGACGAGTACCAGAAACAGTTTCAGAAGACTAAACAGAAGCTCCGTGACAACCCGAATGAACGCAAGTTTGAGTTCAGGTAAAAAAATGTACATGATCGCTAGAATTTTGATTGAAGATGTTAAAAATGGAACAGTTATTCATGTTCAAATGTAGTGTATTTTGAGATTTTCTCGATTTAAAAAAAACAAAACTTTTTCAAGCAAACTGCATTAGGTTAATACTTCAGGAAAATATACGAGAGTTTTCTAATAAGATGATATTTTTTATTTTATTTTTAAATCAATCACCTATGTTACTCTACCATAAATTGATCTGGATGAGTCCATTTTGGTCTACAGGGTTGAAAGGGTTAAATCAATTAAGCTAGCATTGTCGGTATGTTTTCAGTGAGAACTACATCTTTGGAAAGTTTGACACATTTTGCCGCCGCTTAGAGAGAATAGCCGACATGGTAAATACCATGGAAATGTTCTCTGGACTTAACGACGTAAAAATTGAGGGGATTGAAAACACTGTGATCAAGTACAAGACAATTGTCGATCAAACCAAGAAGAAGAATTATGATGTACTTGACCACAGGAAAGGGGAGGTAAGCAAGGACTTTGACTCCAGTGGTCTGTAACATTTATTTTTTATTTTTCAAAAGAATCCTGATCTGAAGCTCTTGTGACTACGCTTAGTTGTGGAAACATTGATGGTCTTTAAAAAGCATGTTGAGAATTCAACATTTTGAGAATTCAACATTTAAAAAAAAAAATTGTTCAAGGGACATCACCACCATGCAATAAAATCTTGGAATATGAAAATAATTCATAGGAAATTTCAGAACTGAGTTTCAGAAATATTTCAGAAACACTTCTAAATGTTATTCCGTATGTTTGAACAATGATGTCATATTGTTGGTGGTATATGTCTTGATGGTGGGTAAAAAAGTAGGAAAATGGAAATATTGTAAAAGTTTGGAGAATTGACACATCGCTTTGACACATATGTTCAGGAAATAAACATCATTTTGAGACATGTTTGTTTAGAAACTTTTGTTTAAGGAATGAGTACAGTATTAAATGACCTGAGTTTATCTTTGTCTGATAATGCGTATTTTGCTGCAGTTTGATATGGACTATACAGAGTTCCGTAACCAGATTGAAGGGCTGCGGCTGATGATGCAGAACTTTATGGATACATGGTTCTCCAGATCTCTCACGGTAAGTCACGCACAACGTAGCTGTTAGTTAAGTGTGAGGATTTAAGTCACATACAACATAGCTTAGATAGATATGAGGATTTAAGTCACACATAACATAGCTTAGATAGATATGAGGATTTAAGTAACACATAACATAGCTTTGATAGATATGAGGATTTAAGTCACATACAACATAGCTTAGATAGATATGAGGATTTAAGTCACGCACAACATAGCTTTGATAGATATGAGGATTTAAGTCACGCACAACATAGCTTTGATAGATATGAGGATTTAAGTCACATACAACATAGCTTAGATAGATATGAGGATTTAAGTCACATACAACATAGCTTAGATAGATATGAGGATTTAAGTAACACATAACATAGCTTTGATAGATATGAGGATTTAAGTCACACACAACATAGCTTAGATAGATATGAGGATTTAAGTCACATACAACATAGCTTAGATAGATATGAGGATTTAAGTCACACATAACATAGCTTAGATAGATATGAGGATTTAAGTAACACATAACATAGCTTTGATAGATATGAGGATTTAAGTCACATACAACATAGCTTAGATAGATATGAGGATTTAAGTCACATACAACATAGCTTAGATAGGTATGAGGATTTAAGTCACGCACAACGTAGCTGTTAGTTAAGTGTAAGGATTTAAGTCACATACAACATAGCTTAGATAGGTATGAGGATTTAAGTCACGCACAACATAGCTTAGAGAGATATGAGGATTTAAGTCACACACGACATAGCTTAGATAGATATCAGCATTTAAGTCACGCACAACATAGCTTAGATAGATATGAGGATTTAAGTCATGCACAACAAAGATTAGAAGATGTGAGGAAATTTTTGGGATAAGAACAACTTGCATACTGATAATAAATTATAAATAGGGGATGTGAGCTCCCTACATCAGTGTGCGTTTTAAGATGGAATCGATTGTAATATCATGGCATAAAGACAAAAAAATCATATTGTTTTATATCCTATTGTATAGAAAAAAAACTCTAATCTGACACTATGGGGGACACAAAATATTGGTCAGAATACACAGGTTACGTGGTGGTTCTCATAAGAAATGAGAAGTGACAGCATTATGTTGGTTGGAGTATATATAATGTCAGAATACCCTTAGATTATACATGCTGTTTGGATATTCAGGGGTCAGATTAGACAGGATGTTGAAAAAGTCAGCCATCAGATTATACATAATGTCAAAATATACAGGAATTGGATTAAATAAGATATTGGGATGTTTGGATATTCAGGGGTCAGAATAGACAGGGTGTTGGAATATTCAAGGTTTGGATAATATACAATGCTGAAATAGTGAGGTATCAGATTTTACATAATGTCAGAATATATAGGGGTTGGATTAGATTATTATAATATAAGGTGGACTGTTTGGATATTCAGTGGTCAGATTAGACAGGGTGTCAGAGTATTTGGGTTAGATTAGATAAGATGTTTGAATATACAAGGGTCATATTAGACAGGGTGTTGAACTATTCAGGGGTTGGATTAGACAGGGTTTCAGATTATTCAGGGTTCATATTAGGCAGGGTTAGATTATAAAGGATCAGATTACTCGTATCAGACGATTATTGTTTCACTGTATTATCGAAATCTTTATTGTGTTCTTGAAAATGATGCCAATGTTGTTATTTGTTTTGATATTGCCAAATAAAATAAAATATGTTATACAAAACTTACTTACTAACATCCTTCTTTCCCCATTAATGTGTCTCAATATATGTTTTTGTTTCACTGTAAATGACTTTGTACATTACATGTTGTTAGAACAAAATGTCCAATGTTTGTTTAATAAGTTTAAATAATGGTGTTGTTTTTTTCAAGAAATTTGCGTTACTTTTGTTTTGTTTGTTTCGTTTCCTTTTAGAAGTCTGACCAAGAATATGTAGGTCCTGCATGCTGCGCAGACTGTTGTGTCTGTCCTTTGTTAACTGTTCTATGTGTCCCATTATTTACGTTGTATTCACATCGTTAAAAGTCTGCGTCACAGAATCGTATATAGACATAGGCAATATACAACCTCATTTATTTGCACACAAAATTTGGACGCATAAAAATGCATTATTTTACAATTTTCAAATCCATTTTGACCCAAGAATTTGCTTTATCATTCCAGTTAGGAATGAGAAATGAGTTAAAAATATCAATTTAAGTCAGCATAAGGGAATTTGACTGCATGTTCTAGTTACAGAAATATATTTACACACTATTTGTGTATGTGTTTTTTTCATAGAGGCACACAAGAAAAAAGAAAAACTTGACTTGAAATATATTTAGTAGAAAGAGGAAAAAATGTATGTGTCATATTCAGTGTATGATGTAATAGAAACTCAAAGATTAAGGTGAAGGGCTCTTTGCTTGGGCTGTCATGATATGTTTGGAGTGTATCGAGATATACCTAGTGCAATACAAAAGAAATGTAATAAAAAATATTATAATTCGGGGTTCTTATAATTATACCGCTTGTCACAACCTAGTGCGTAGGCCGTCTCAAAGCGGTTCACAAATTATTATCCGTGGTTATAGGGCCTTTGCAACCAGCCAATAACTTTCTCAACTCCCTGGGGAGCATACAGTTGGTGCTGCCATTTCGGCGCTCACAGCTAGCATTCTACAATTCTAGCACTGCCCAACCACATACTCATTTACAGCAGAGTAAAATATCTTGCTCAAATTAAAAATACAACACAGTGCCGTGCTGTGACTCAACCCGCAACCCTTCGGTCACGAGCCCAGCGTCCGACCACTAGACTACCGTGCCTCCTATATTTCAAAATGTATCGAGAAATAAAGTCACTTATTTTTTATAATGAAATTGATGCTGAGTTTCATTTGTATTGCGATATATGGATTTTCCAAAGTATTGTGACAGCCAAAGTCTTCGCTTAATGGATCATTGTACTGGTTATCGAACTATGTGATAATGAGTGTACACATGAACTATGTGATAATGAGTATACACATGAACTATGTGATAATGAGTGTACACATGAACTGTTTTTACAAAATCTGGTGAACTTTATAAGACTGTCTTTGTACATGTACCACCCTGTGTAAAATTAAACATTGTACCACACCATGTAGATCAACTGTCGTGTCACATACCCTGATGTAGACTGTCATTGTCACGATCATATCTGTTGAATGTGTGACCTCACTTCATTCAGTGACGGGGTGCTTCCAGTGTTTGTCTGTCCGTTTTTGTGTTATTGTCTTCCCATAAAAATACTATGTTACAATCAGTAAATGTGAATTAAAATGGTTATTTTTCAGTATATACAGTAGGATTTGTTTAACTGAAAATTACGATTCTTTTCTTGCGTGAGAAGAAAATTAAGTCTTAACCTACTTAACGTTGACATTTATTTGCCTTTTTTATGTGAAACTTCGAGAAAACTTAAACTCTTTCCCTAGCCTCCAAAAGTTTGACACAACAAACAGGTTTATGAGAAATATCAACATTCTTTAGAATCTGTGTGACAAGAAGTTAGCCTATTGTACATTGTATATTGGTTTATAAGACTTACCACGAAATCCATATCACTTTAAAGATCCCCAAACACTGCCAAAAAGTGTAACTACGCATTACTACTGTCTGGTAGTGATAGAGCTGGTTATGATGTGCCTTTCTAAGGATTCCTGTGCAGGTGTCAAAAAGTATAATTTAGTATATATTTGAAAAGAAATGAATTGTATGTTGTTGACCTTTTAATCTAAAGATAATAAAGATGAACTAAACAAAACATAATAAATAACAGTGTTCTGAGTGGCTATACCGAGATTCGAACCATGGGGCGCAGATTGTTATAATATCGCTCTAATTGACTGAGCTAACTAGTAAGTGGACTTATCCTTGCCCAAATGTGATACAGTTATATTTCCAATGAAATTAAAGGGAGGTTACTCTATACGGTGCAGTAAGGCAGGGATCCTTAAAAGAAAACTGATGATTTACATGTGAATGTAGTTTCATCAACTAGAATTCACAGATAGTTATATTTTGAGATTGAAGAGTTGGATATTTCATCATCTGTCATTCTTCACATGGTTATTTTAATGATTTTCATTTTAAATCTGCAAATTTCCATTATTTCTGAAATCTAAAGCAGTTTAGACTCCACAATCTCAAAATACTATTTTAATTTATTCAACAAGAGATACATGCAGATATTTTTTTTCTGCATAAGCTGGAAAATAGCAATTTCACAAATCAAAACTGTATAGGAACATACATTATAATTAGCATATTAAAAGTTTTAAGGACTTAACTCATTCACCCTAAAAATTTCATAATGAACTATTCCAACCTTTGAATTGGAAGAGTTTGAATGTGTCTTCAGGGGTGAATGAGTTAAGGAACTACAAGTATAATCTGTTCCGAGTGATTTATCTTAAAGACATGGATACTTATAGTCTGTGCTATGTTTCCTCCCGCAGACTGAGAAGTCTGTCGAGCTGCTGTACAAATTTGAGAATATTGGTGGTGCACAGCTTGACATGAACGAGAAGTATATGAAGGTACTGATGAACTATGGGAAAGACCTGGAATCCATCCGTAAGCTGTACCAGAAGTACAAAGCAGAACCCCTCATCCCCAGAAACCTTCCCCCCGTTGCCGGGCGCATTGCCTGGGCACGACAGCTCTACAGGAAGATTGAACACCCCATGAAGGTCTTCAAGACTAAGCCCGAAATTCTCAAGGTAAAAAATGTAGGGCGGGAAATTTTTACGCTGCAGTTTAATTTTTGCCTTTTTCGCCTGCTGTAATGAAGGCAATTTATCATTACAGCGAACATCTTAAACAACACTATAAGCAAATTAAATAAATGTGAAGGGTGAAATTCCCCTAGAATATATTTTCGTATAAAACTATGGAAGGAAAATGTGCAAATAATGTGTTTATTATACCTTTTTTTTGAGAAACTGTATTTGGGAAAAAAGTTCTGCTTCTTACAAACTGTAAAAATAAATGTGTAGGTAGGCAGAATAATATAAAAATGTTAGTGAAATTGGATCATTTTATCTAAGTAGAAAAAGGAAAAAGACATTACTTTGCATTACAACAAATTTTTGGAATATGTTATCTTTTCAGCACCCAGAGGCTAAGAAAATTGTCAGAAATTACAACAAAATGGCCGGTGTTCTCCTTGAGTATGAGGTAAGTTTTAAAAACTCATGTATGATGTTCTTTGAAAAAACATTTTGCCATTAATTTATCTGTGTTGGATTTAAATCAAGCTTTTTATTTTAATAAAAATGTATTCAACAGGTTTAAAAGAAAATCAATGAGAACCTGATAAACAGTTGGATGTGATTATTATCCTTTTTTTGGTGAGAGTGAAATCCGAATTGATCCCTAGATTTCAAATGATGCCCTTGTTTTGTATGAATTAATGTGAATGTCTTTTTCCCCAGATGCTGTACCATCGTGGTTGGATGAGGGCTGTCGAGGCAGCAAAAGGAGGCCTCAATGCCGCCTTACTGATTCGCCATCCAGATACCATGGATCTGCACGTGAACTTTGACCCTCAAGTCCTGGAGCTAATCCAGGAATCCAAGTGTTTACAAGCCCTGAACCTGGAGGTTCCGGAGGCTGCCAAGGCAATGATTGTCACTGAGGAGCAGATCAAGGCCAATGCTGTATCGTAAGTAATGCAAAAAAGTTGCTTTCCTTCATATTTGCAACCTGGCAAATGAATCTGTTTGAGAAACACTAAAGCTTCAGCATAATGCCTGTGTTTCACAGCCACCTGATAAATATTAATGCTAACATCTTTTTTATTCATCTCCATCCCATAAAAATGGGGGAACATATTCAAGTGTTTTACTTATGCTCGTTGCATCTAGTCCCATTGCAATTCATTTTCAAAGCTGAACCAAGTTAATTCCTCCACAGATTTTTATCAAAGTGTGTATAGATGTCAAATATGAAAATCCTTCGGTCAATTTCATACAAATATATTTCCGGGTGCTGAAGTCATCCTCATGGTCACTGTTGCTATTTATAGTTCAGCCGTTGCTATTTTGTAAACAGATTCATTGTCATTTAGTTTACTGACTAGAGGGTCAACAGGAGCCATTCATGTCTTACAGATGTTTTCTTGTTTCTTAAGCGTTCCTTTAAACAAATCCCTGACACTTAACATGTCCTCAGGGACCCTGCGCCATGTATATCAACAGATTGGCAAGGGCCTTTAGCCTTCAAAGTCTTATATTTGTTTAACAAACATGCCAGACCTTTTTACTCTTGAGAATTTCGCTTTCAAAAGAAAAAAAACCCCAAAAAATCATTATTGTATTCTTGGAGTCTCATAAAAGATTGATAATGTTTACATGTTTTGTGTTTTCAGGCTCCGCGAGATGTTGAACGAATACCACCGTATCGTATCGGAGATCCCACAGGTGCTCCTGCCACTAATGCAGCCAATCAGGGACAAGGTGGAGGAGTCTCTGTTGCCCGGAGTTATTGCCCTTACATGGTCTTCCCTCAATGTGGATGATTGTAAGTTATATCAAGGGTATATCAGGGGGTTATCAATACTTAATTCGGATTTCTTTTGGTTTTTTTTGAAAAATTAAGATTATATTGATATATTTACTGTCATTTACTATATTTACCTTATATATACTTATATATTATCTTAATATGGTGGCTCTAAATTTTTTGTCAATTTTAAATCGAAATGAGTGGGTCAGATTGACACAGGTCATAATTTTGAACTCTGGAATAACAAGAGCATATTATATTGTTTAGCTTATATCTAATGAAATATTTATCGTTATAAAATTCTTCTTTTTCTAAAATTGCATGTTTTTTAATGGTTTAAATACCAACCAAGAGACAGTTTTAATTAAAGTTTTTATTTGTTTTGAACACATCACTGAATCATTTGAGATATTTGAGCTAATTCTTGTTGATGACCATACCAGTTATAGATAATATTTACCTATTTCATATCATTGCACTGTTCAAATTTCCCAATCAATGTATATATGTCTACCAAATTAACAAGAAATGTTATCCTTGTTAAAATGGCTGGCTGCACAGTGTCTTGAATACCACTTTTATCTTGGGAAATGTTTGGTCCGTTTGCAGTTAATGTTTCTAACTTGGATATTTACCACAAAGATCAATGTTCCCAACATCTTTGGCACAAGTTTCGACTAATATAATAAAACATTTTTCAACAAAAGAAGTAGTCTATGGGTGTTAACTTATCATGAGGTTTTCTGCTTGTGACTGTTGACCTACTGTTGTATTGTGACAGATATTCAAGAGAACTACAAGAAGATGATAGAGCTGGAGAAGTTGTCCAAGGTCGTGCGCGATATCCTAGAGTGTAGGATAGAGGCCGTCCTACAGGACATGTCCCTTTCTGCTCTCTGCGACCTTCCAGAAGACGAGGCTATCACCATGGAGAAATTCCTGGAAATAACCTCGGAAGTTGTGGATACCGCATCGAAACAACTGGCTGTGTAAGTTACCGGAATGCAGATTTTCACTTCATTTTCACCATTAAGGATCCCTGCACCACTGCCAAAAACTGTAACAAAGTATGGGAAACGTTTTTTTGACTTCACTATAGCTTAGATAAATTATTTCACAAAAGAAAACGATACGGTGTGGGACCTTTATGAGAAACTTTTAAGGTGAAATAAACCAATATAATCAACAACAGTATTCTGGGTGGAATTTGAATTCATGATCGTAGCTTTTGAGATGATGTTTATACATTAACTCATTCATCCCTGAAGACCCATTTGAACTCCTCCAATTCAAAGGTTGGAATATAGTTCTTCATAAAATTTCAGGGGTGAATGAGTAAAGTCATATGTACCTCATGTACTAATATTTCATAAACTACTGTTACAGTCAAAGCCAGCTGGTTGAAAAGGCAGTGTATGAACTGACCGAAACCCTGCGCATGACATTGCCCGAATCAATCCGAGAAAACCTGAATCCAGAGGAAGGCTACAGCTGTGCACAACCTGACCCGAAAAACAAGAAACAGCGTTGCCAGGAGTGTCAGCCATGTTCATACTATGCTCTTCTCAACCACTTCACGCAGAGGAACACGGAGGCGCTTGTGAAATGTAGGTCACAATGATATCATTCAACCCCCAAGAATACAGGTCACGGGGACACAATTCTACTGGAAAAATTAAGACTATAAAACGTTAAAAAATGCTGTTATTAACTTTTATGATCGAAAATTGATCACATTTTCATGTTTCCAAATTCATGAGAATGTTTTCACAATATGTTTTTTTACAGTACAATATCCTTACAATGCCCTTTTATCTTGTTCTGCCATTTCATGGATACCACCATTCCACATCTTTTGTTTCAATTTCTATGCAATTCTGTCTCTTAATTTACCAAACTTCTCTGAAAAAGCCAAAATTAAGTGAGAATCATAATTATGACTGTGGAACTGTTACTCTATACAGGGACATTTTTTGCTGCTGAATTAAACTTTTGCCATTTTCCCTTAAACACAATTTTCGCTGAGATTAAATTTTGCCCTTTATATAAATTACTATGTATATTATATTGTCTTCTCAAATTCGCTCTAAGGATAAATTCATCCTCATTATGGAGGGCACAAAAGGGGAAATATAAACTGCGGCAAAAGTTCCTGGTACTGTATACAGTATACACTGAAAGCAATGATCTGTATACTTGTACATTGCCTAATCCTTTCTTTGTACACCAGGTACTCGCCTGTCACTGGACGCCATCAAACGTCGACTCCAGACATCCAACAAGTACACAACTGACGCTAATCGTGATGACACAAAGCCGCCCTTGTTCCGTGCGGACATCGTGCTAGCAATCCCAAATGTGGTGATGAAGCCGAGTTTGGACGACATTCAGTCAGCTCTAAACAAGGCTGTCCAGATCATCCTCAAGACGTCGATGGACATCCCACAGTGGGAACACCTCGTTCTCCACCAGCGACAGCAGCAGAGGGTACGTACTCATTATTCAGAAGATATAGTCTGATGCACCAAGGTTTGTCATCGGCCAATGCACTCAGGGCTGTCATTGAGTAGTTAAACGAAGTTCCTCATTGGTGAACATACCTAGGGTGATAATTTGACAATTAATCAAGTGTTTTCATTGGTCAGCTGGCATAAGGTATTTATTGGTAGGTTGGCAGATATATATCAGGAGAGTGTAAGGGTTGTGGCTGTTTGTTTGATTGACAAGTGGGTAGATATATTAGGCCAGTGTATGGGGTGTGGCTCTTGGATTAACAGTACTGCTGAGTGTTGTGTATCTTTAGGGGCAAACAAACTTTATAAAGATAACAAATCACTTTTTTGTAATCTTTTCATCTGCATTAATTTTGTTTTCATTCTTTTTAATTATCGGTTTTAATTTTTTAATATTAGAGTGTGTTTTTCTTCACTTTATTCTCTCTAATGCAAAATTTTCCAGACAATATTTTTGTTGTTGAAGTATTTCAATATTATTGTTTGTTTAAAGTTAACCTGCGACTATTTACCATGTCAATAATCGGAGTTTCGATTTTCTCATTTCTATTTTGTATATTATAATTTGTCACGCTTATCTCCCCATTAGAAGACACAGTCTCGTTAAGGACAAGTGCGAGGTCACATGACCCACTCTCAAGGTATATCTTTTGCACTAGCAGGTGACGATGGTTATAGAGATCTTAGGTTATTGCTCCGTACTTAACTGCATGTAGAGACATATACATTTAGATTTAATAGTCTATATCAGTTAGAAATTTGTGGGTAATTCTGATGGTATTTTAATTATTACAGAAGTTCGTTTTAATTTTTATATTCTTTTAATTAGTTTTTCATTTCTTACAAATTATTAATTCAATTTATAATATTATTTTTTTCAATGTAACTTCTTATATGATATCATGATATAATCAAATAACAATTTTTACTAATGGTTTTGTAATATGAAGAACAGTTGTATATCTTTTTTTTTTTTTCAACACTCAAAATATCAGCAATTGATTAATTTCGTTCATTTGCTGGCACTGAATTTATAGTATGTATGCTAAAAATGAAAAAAATGCCTTTTAAAATTGGCAGTATGTACCTACCTTGAATATTAGTCTCCATTGAGTTGGACTTGAATATTTTGTAGTGGTTTTCATAATTGTTCAGTGGCGAATCCAGAAGGTTTTTTTGGGGCTTTAGGAAACCCCCATCACCCTGAGAATTTTCTTTAAAAATCATATATTTTCATCATTTCCCTCAATTTTTTTCATCATGGAAACCCCCCCAGGAAATTTTGACAGCCCCCCAGATAGGTCTCTGGATCCGCCACTGTTGTTAGTTGATAGATTGTAGATAAGAAATAAATTTCAAATGTGACTTAGGAAAAAAAAAAATCTGAATTATTTCTAGATTTTTGATATTAGGCCCCGATTTCACATGTGTTCGTTAACTTTCATTTTAACATTGCACAGCAATGACTGAATTTAAGGGAAAATCTTAGGCAAAGGAAATTTCCTTTAACTTCAAGAATGCTTTTCTGTTGAAAGCCTTATCTCTTTAAGAGAAAGATTGTTTGTGAAACTACATTGAGTCAATTAATACTGTACTGAAAAAAAAAACCAAACTGTTTTTAAGTTACGTACAAATAGGCGAAATCTAGCTATATTAGTGGTGTACGGAATAAGAATGATATTGTTGTACATATATATATGTAGCAGTAGCGGTAAGGAGTTTTTATAAAACAAAACATGAAGATGATGTGGAAGTATATATAGCTAGTCCAAGAGTAACGTATTATGTATGTTAACTGGAAATAATCACCACTCATTTTTATTAGATTAGAGAAGTCAATTCGGAATTTGTTGTCGGGTTAACAGAAATATAGTTTAAAATCTTGCAGTTGTTATATAACTATGAATGATGATATAAATTATAAGTATGTAGTTTCATGTGAATATCAAACAATCTCATCACTAGTTCTTCATTTGATAAATTCATTGCGGTAACTTAATTGGGTCCGATAATTGTTTTAAAAAGGACTAGGGGCGTTAAGGGTCATTTTAGGCCTCATCGGGGATTTATAATTGGTTGTTGAATTCGTAATCATTAATAAATGAAGTACGCAAATATAAAATTTCGAATTCATTCAACAACTGGTTTAGGAGACATGGCATTACAAAGAGAGACATAAACCCGCGTGTTCATAATAAAATGCGTGAAAGACGTCTGTTGTGCGCTATTTGGATGAAAATTGGCTATGTTGAAGGAAATTCACTAAACAATCTTCAAATTTTAAAAGCCTCCGCATGCAACAAACAAATAAATATTTCACATGCTTAAACATTGTCATACTAGTATTCATTGGTAGAAAGGAATTTTTGTTTATCACATGCAGAGGCTTTCATTTCTGCATGCTATGTGTCCGAAAACACCATATTTTGGCTATTTCTGCATAGCAACAAAATTTCGTTGCTATGGTAGTGCATCTACACATGCGCACTAGAAAAATCTGCACCAGGAAATATAGACCCAATTAACCAATATGATATTTATAACAGAAATTGGTAAATAATTTCAAGTTGATTTTTTTTCATTTTATGAGGCCAAAAGTTACCCATAACACCCCAAGTCCTTTCTATTATTTAATGATCACTAACAATAATTGTCAGTATTTGCATTAACTAATTAAGTCGAAAATATTGTATATATCTCTGATGTTGGATGACACAATTTTAATGTTTGCCGTTTTCTCTACGATTTCTTTTCGAACACGTTACGGGATACAGCGGTACAAGGTACCTAGTCATTTGTCACTTTTAGATGGTGATCTTGACCTTGTGTGATGGTCAGGCAACCTTTCCACACTCTCCATACTCTTTGGTTTGCTTTGCCACGGAAACCAAACAAATCTTTACCAGAGTTGAATGCTAGAATCACTTTTGGTTCTCATATAGTTGTATCCCTTTGTTGTGCAACTTCTTTGTCATGGAAGCACAGTTTCTTTTGTTTCATTTAAGGATCCCTGTACCACTGCCAAAAACTGTTTCTTTCCTTGATAATTTTTTTTTTTACATGGTTATAGAATCAATAATATATTTCTGAAAAGAAAACAATACCTTCAGGAACTTTTATTGAAACCCCCCCCAATAAATATGAAGCAAAAAAAAAATCACAAATAGTGTTATCAGTGTACAAATGTAAAAACACAGACCAAGATTTGAATCCTGGATCTCCGATCAGTATACTGTCACTCTTACCAACTGTGCTACATGAACTTGTGTGACTGTGGTACCCTCGCTCCGTGGCACTGCAGCTATAGCTAAGACATATTGAAAAAGAGGTTAATTTATGTACGAAAAATAACAAAAAAACTTCTCTGACTTTTTCTGCAGTGGGACATGATCCTTAGATATCAGAATGTCAATTTATTGTCTATAGGGGAAAATATATAGTTCTGTAGGGAAGAAATATTTATTCTTGTTATTTCATTTAAAGTAAGACCAAGAATCTGATGTAATAAAAATCTAGAAATGTTTTAAGTTTTTGAAATAAAGTAAAGGGAGATAACGTAACAGAACGTGAAATTTCATTATCTGGAGATCAAGTTTTAATAAACCTGCTCTTCTTCTGGTCTGGTTCCACTGTATTTGAATTCATCCTCAATACTCCAGGGGTTATGTTCATGTACGGTCCCTGCACCCTTGGTTAATGTTATGTCAAACTGAAGGCATGAAGATAGCTTTTTAATTTGTTTTCGGGTAAAAATAACTGACCAATTGCTTGGCAGATACCTTCCTTTGAAGATTACAGTGTAGCATCAACCGACTTCAATTTACCGTTAGGCTAATGTGCGATTCTCTTGATGTACATCAAAGGATCAAACTAGTCTACTTGTACCATTCACAAGATGGAGTGTACAGGAGCCTTCAGTCTCTGGAGTATCGAGGATGTCTTTAACTGTGTGGCTAGTTATGAATTTCATAGATATCAGGTGTACAATTTCATTAGCCCCATTCCTGGTACTAGTAGATTTTATGTAAGTGCTAGTCTAATTGTAAAATTTTGAATATATACTGTGTAGGTTGTGCTAGTATGATTTGTCTAATTCTGCCTGTGGGCTACTGGGCTAGTACTGAAAATATGAAATTGAACACCCCTGTCATTTACAAGTATATGCAGAAAATTTTCCATCCTTACTTTAGTCTATATCTGATGTCCCAAGTCTTTGCATGTGTAGAAAAAAGAGGATTTAATGAATGTCCCATCCTTCTCTGTAGCACCTCTCTCTGTCTGGGGAAGAAGGTACTCTGAGTTTCTAATTCTGTGCCTGCTATTTGTATAACTACCTAAACAAGTGAAAAAAATCTCTATCGGGCGGGCACTGGTGAAAAAATCTTCTTCTGTGCTTGCCATTTGTATAATTTCACCGGTAAAACAATTCTTTATCGAGCACTGGTAATAGATTTGAATCCTCCTTCTTAGGATTTTTTTTTAACTATGACAAAACAGTTCATTTGTAAAAAGGTAAATTTTCATTGTTTTTGTAACCACAGGTTTAAAAAAAAATAAAAAAAATTCTGCCATATCGTTCTATGTAATGTATTGAAATGTCCTGATTAAAATCTTCTGATGGTAAAATATTTTTTTGTAAATTCTTGAGATGATAAAATAAGTTTTTGTAAATAATCCTGTCTTGCATTCAGATGTCATGTTGATGCTATCTGTATTTTCCCAACTAATAAAGAAGAAAAAAAGTTTAATTAGATTTTTGTGTTCTAAAAATAGATATTACTGACATGTACCCATTTTTTCGGCCAAGGTAGAATAATTGGTGAAAATTACTTATACAAATTTTCTGATCTTTATATGCTATTAAAATTTTTGGGAAATTATGTTTAATCAAACATGGAATAAAAATAATTACTAAAAAACATAAATTTTTAAAAACTTTCGAATTAAATGAAAAAGAACATACCATAACTCTGTGACCATGTAACCAAAATTAATGTCTGCACAGTAAAAATATGATACAATGTCAAATTAAACTATTGTGGCTTAATTTCAATCATTATCACGTTATTAACTTATTTTCTGTTTAATGAATTCTGTAGTTATGTTTGTGTCAAGTTCAATACACACATACTATATAGTTTAATTTCTGTTTAATTAATTCTGTAGTTATGTTTGTGTCAAGTTCAAAACACACATGCTATATAGTTTATTTTCTGTTTAACTAATTCTGTAGTTATGTTTGTGTCAAGTTCAAAACACACAAACCAGGTAATATATTTTGATCTTGAGGTGAAGAATATATGACTATGAGGTAATAGTTGTATTTCTAAAATATTTTGATTTATAAGGGAGTTGCATATTTCAAGTATTAATTCAGATTCACCAATATTTGAATGAATTCATTTTCCAGCTGATAATTTCATCATTTCATTAATAATGTTATCGTTTCATTTATAAGTTACAGAATAATTAGTTTTATTTCAACTTATCAGATTCAATTTTTTATTGAATTCCTTCTTCGACTGATAATATGATCCTTTCACTAGCTATTCCTCACAGCACTTATGATTTCACCAATCAGAAAGAACTATTTATTTACTTCTCCCTATAACCCTCATTTTAACCAATCAAACAGGAGATGGACCAAGCTGTAGCTGCAGAGGCTGACGAGGGAACCAAGATTATACCCACCTCCCTTATCAAGCCCCTCCATAAGATTATCAGCGAGCACAAGGACATACAGAAAATTGTTATCCAGCTCAACTCCATCGTCTCAACTTTCAAGGTTGAGGTCAATGAAGTGCTAGAAAACTTCACTAAATACGCTCACTTGTGGGACAAGGTAAGAAATAATCTTCAAATTTGTCTACTTGTGAGACAAGATGAGTAACCCTCACTTAATATGCCCAATTGTGGGAAAAGGGGGACATAACAGAATCTCTCGACCTCAAGTGGGTGAGATAGGGAAATCTCAACACGAGGGGCAATATTCTGAAGTTGCCAAACACAAGGATTTGTCGAGTGTTTGGCAATTTATGAATCTTTCCCCAAGGGTTGAGATTCCCAATCTCACCTCAAGGAAGTGAATGATTTTTTTCTCTCTTACCCTGTTCACCCATTGTATATCACATATTTAATGTAATATTAACATTACAGGCTAAATGGATTATTGATGTGACGTTATACAATTCTTATGAATAGGGTAACTCCCCCCGTCTCAACACTAGGCTGAGACAAGGATATCTCACACTGGTAAAAGTGTAGATATACCTATCCAGGGTAAGAGAAATAATATTCTTCAGATTGCCTATTTTCAATGACAGATCGGTAGCATTCTCTAAAGTATGTCCTTTAGGGGACAAGGAAAGAAACCTTTGCTAAAAACATCCTCTTGTGGAACAAGGTGAAAATAAATTGATCCAAATACATCCGTATGTCGGAAAAGGGAAGAAAATGTCACAAGTTTGCCCTATTGTGGTACAGAAAGAATAATATGGGTGGCTGGGTGGCGCAGTGGATAGCACACTGGCCTTTCACCGAGATGGTCAGGGTTTGATTCCCAAATGGGATGTGGTAAGGTTTGGGGTCAACTGGTTGACCACTTGGTTTTCTCTGGGTACTTTGGTTTCCTCTAACATTAAGACCCCCTGCGCGCTAAATCCAAGCCAACAAGAGTGATTAATATAAGTTGAAAGAACTTGTTTCGTAATTGTTGTAAAAGCAATACAGCTTATATTTAAAGAATAACATTCAGATATTTATATAAATAATTGAATGTTTAATAATTTCTGTTCAGATATTATTCTTTGATGTAAATATGGTCAGTGTTTGGGATAATGTGACATTATAAAATGGACAATATCTTTCTAACGAATGTGTTTTTGGTCAATATCTTTCTAGAGCTGTGTTTTTGGAAAATATTTTTCTAATGATGTGTTTTATTGTGTGTCAGGAACCTGTCGCTTCAGTGAAGGAGTTTATGATAGCTAATCCCATCCTGACTGAGATCGAAGCACAGATCAAGTTCTACCAGGTATATCACAGTGCTGTGAAACAATTGTCAACCAAATAAACCTTATCAAAAAAATATTACAGGTATTTACCTCAATCACTCCTGTAATATTTCATAATGGACTATTCAAACCTTTGGATTGGAAGAGTTCAAATGTGTCTTCAGGGGTGAATGAGTTAATTTCTTGGAAATGTGTTTTGAGGAATTATCACTTTTAATTCTGATTGGATCTCTCCTGACATTTTTTATTTTTTTTAAAGAATGTCGGTATTTTCAACGCTTATTTGGTATACTGGTCTATAGAAAATTGGGAATTGGACAGACTTTTGGAGTGAATCTACATAAGAATTAGTTCATAATTTATAACTGGTGTTTGCAAATGAAAAGTTACATAGGTACATAGATTTATTCTGACAAAATTAGGATTTTACAATTCTTTGACAGTTAGCTCTGAAATAAAAAACAATTAAATAAAAACATATTTCAAAAGTTGCGACGTTCAGATTTCAATTTTCTCTTTAAATCTGTATTTCTGTGCTTGGTTTTGCCAGTGTTCATCGAATTTATATTCAAATTGTTTCACTGTGCTTGAATTCACAACAATTGACGGTAGATTGTTCCTTAAATCAACAGTTCTCTGTGTAAATGAAAATTTTGTAATATTTAATCTTGAATGATCTTCTTAGTTTTTTAGTTTTTCTAATCACTCTTTATAGGATAAATCTTTTAGGCCAGGTACCTGCTTCATTGCTCGACATTAAACATTTTCTATTGTTTCAATGTGTTTTATTGAAAAAGTTCTGAGAAGTTATAACCCTGTGCTGCTGTGTTCTAGAAACTGGAGACAGACATTGAAGAGATGCAGTATAGTTACCGTGTGGGGTCCGTAATGTTCGTGACCGACCCTCTCAAACTGGCCCTCATCACTGAGGCTAAGAACTGGAAGATGGCATACGCGAAAGCACTCAACGAGAAATGTGCTGGTGAAATGGACGAAATGCTTGATTTCATTGACACTCTTACCAAGAGACTTTCACGTCCAGTCAAAGATTTGGACGACGTACGTGCAGAAATGGCCGCCCTTGCTGAGATTCGTGAGGCGGAAATCAAAATTGATATGACCATCACGCCAGTGGAGGAGTCCTATGCCATGCTGAACAGATACAACATCTTCTTCAATGATGGAAACGCGGAGCGCGTAGATTCCTTGTCCTACGGGTGGAAGAAGTTGATAGCACAGGTAATCTTTTGAGGTGTCTCAATACACCAGGAGTGTGTCGAAAATGTATTGTGATACGTATCCCGATATATTGTCATAGGAAATGTTGCTCTGTTAAGAAAGAAATTGTCGTCAGAATGTTATCAAACTGAATCATATGCCATATGGATCACACAGATTTTAGATCTTCATTAAGCCAACCATCAATAATGAAATTTCCACTGATTTCCACCATTAGTAAATAGCCTGTTTATGTTATTGGCATATCTGTTAGAATGTGTAGTAATTTGAATAGTTAAAACACCTAGCACACCCATTAAAATAATATTTTGAAAAATGTTCTGATACAACATTGTTTTATTTCTGTATATTGATATAATACAATATACCTGTGTGTTGTGATATACTGGTGTTCCAATATATTGTGAAATCCCCAGGCAATCTTTACCTACATTAGCTATTTAGTTTAAGCTATTTAAAAAAATAAAAATGGCGAACATATTAACAAAAAAGGTCGGAGGCTGGTGCATGTGCTTATAGGATTCCAAAAGACCAGCCCAAGGTGGAGAATATTAGATAATCATGTTATCTTAGAAATGAAAAATAAACTTTAAAACAAAAGTATGAAATGCCTGAGCCTAGGAACAGGAATATTGTACACCCACATATTTAAGAGGTAGTCTTATTTAATGCTTTTAGAACATTAAATATCGCACTAAATTATCAATGGGCCGATTGAAGTTCTTATAAATTGTACTCGATTGTATATTTTCTTGATTTGCCAATTCATAAATGCGCTAATCTATTAAAATTTCATAATGCGCTAAAATTTCAGTGCACTGAAATAAGAATATTTACAGTTTTTTTTTTTTTTTTTATATACAACGTATGATTATAAATGTATGTTAATTGATTGCAATTTAAGATTACTGCTAACTAAAATATAACTTAAACATGTGTCTTTTACCTGTGATTTTTTTTTTATGAATGATAAAATGATTGGGAATAAATGCATAAAACTTGATAAATCTCGCTGATTAAAAGTTAACAAAAATTACAGGTAAGATAATTACAGGTGTGATCGAATGACTGTTAAAGGTAGCATTAACTTATCAACTTCTTTAAGACCTACCTGGAACTTTATCTCTACCCCACAGAGCCAACAAGTACAGAACCACTTGCTTGAGATTCAACCCAAGTTTAAGTCAGACCTCCTTGCAGGTGTCGAGACCTTCATCAACTCATCCAACGAGTTCTCTGAGGACTATAACACAGCGTAGGTACTCTCAATGTATAGCATAGGTATTCTTTGTCATAATACAGTGTTTGTATTACATATTGTATTGCAGGTTTAGTGTAGTACAGGCCCGGGTTGTATATAAAATGTTCTGAGCATCGACATAATATAATAATAAGGGAAATAAATTCAGAATTGATTTTATCCAACAAATTTTAAAAGGTTTTACATTTATCATCTTTTTCCTGATGATGATAATTTTCAGATCCAGAATATTAAAGTTTTAGTTTTGATTTTAATAAATTAGGTTAATTTTATTTACTGATACAGGATCTATCTATAAAGATCCTCTTCACCGGACTCAAAATCATAACACCAAAATATCTTATATTTTAATACCTTTAAAACTTAAAGAAAAAACCTTGATGCATAATTCAGTTACTTAAGCTCAATTGCATTCAGTATAGTAATGTTGCTTGATATTTTACATGTATCCTGTTAAAATGTTTGAGATGTTCCTGAACAGTGGTCCTATGGAAGACGGGATTGTTCCCCGTGAAGCTTCTGATCGTCTCAATATCTACCAGGCCCGATTTGATGAACTGTGGAGAAAGTATGTTACCTACAATGGAGGGGAGGAACTATTTGGCCTGCCAGTTACCCAGTATCCCGACCTACAGCGCATACGTAAAGAGCTCAACCTGCTCCAGAAACTCTACTCCCTGTATAACATTGTGCTGGAGAATGTCAACGGTTACAACGACATCCCCTGGGTCGAGATCGACATTGAGAAAATTAACAATGAACTTCTGGACTTCCAAAACAAGTAAACATTTGTTTAAGATCTGCTTGTACAAGCTTTGAATCTTCTATAAAACAAATCAGTAGTATTTTTCATAAAAAGAGAAGGGTGTCTCATACACACTTTTTATGATGACAATTCAAGATAGCTAAATGTGCAGTTTGATTCCAATGAAATAATTTTGGTGATTTAGATAACTTTTCAAATGTTTTATCAAAAGAGGTCCATAACAAGCTTGTTATTCTCCAGAAATGACTTTCTATATACTTTTGAAAATTAAAAATTTTTGGGTTAACAATTTTTAGTTTTAGACTTTTTTTGAGGTGAATATATACCTTTGTTAACGTTGATGAAGGAAATAAATTATACTATGTACCACAGATGCCGGAAGTTACCCAAGGCCCTGAAGGAATGGCAGGCCTACGAGGAGTTGAAGAAAACAATTGACGACTTCAACGAGACTTGTCCTCTGCTGGAGATGATGGCTAACAAGGCCATGATGCCACGTCACTGGGAGCGCCTTGCTCAGATCACGGGACACACGTTCGACGTCGATGCCGACAACTTCCTACTCCGTAACTTAATGGAAGCTCCACTGTTGGAGAACAAAGAAGACATTGAGGTGAGGAGGATTGATTAAAAAGTCCCAGTTACTCGGTGATTAGTGAGGGTAGTGCCCTAAGGCCTAGTTACTCGGTGATGAGTGAGGGTAGTGCCCTAAGTCCTAGGTACTTGGTGATAAGTGAGGATTGTGCCCTAAGGCCTTGTTACTCTGTGATGGGTGAGGGTCGTGCCCTAAGGCCTAGTTACTCAGTGATGAGTGAGGGTAGCGCCCTAAGTCCTAGTTACTTGGTGATAAGTGAGGATTGTGCCCTAAGGCCTTGTTACTCTGTGATGGGTGAGGGTCGTGCCCTAAGTACTAGTTACTCGGTGATGAGTGGGGGTAGTGCCCTAAGTCCTTGTTACTCTGTGATGAGTGAGGGTAGTGCCCTAAGTCCTAGTTACTTGGTGATAAGTGAGGGTAGTGCCCTAAGGCCTTGTTACTCTGTGATGAGTGAGGGTAGTGCCCTAAGTCCTAGTTACTCGGTGATGAGTGAGTGAGTGCCCTAAGGCCTTGTTACTCGGTGATGACTTAGGGTAGTGCCCTAAGTCCTAGTTACTCGGTGATGAGTGAGGGTAGTGCCCTAAGGCCTAGTTACTCTATGATGAGTGAGGGTAGTGCCCTAAGGCCTTGTTACTCTATGATGAGTGAGGGTAGTGCCCTAAGGCCTAGTTACTCTATGATGAGTGAGGGTAGTGCCCTAAGGCCTAGTTACTCTATGATGAGTGAGGGTAGTGCCCTAAGGCCTTGTTACTCTGTGTTGAGTGAGGGTAGTGCCCTAAGTCCTAGTTACTCAGTGATGAGTGAGGGTAGTGCCCTAAGGCCTAGTTACTCGGTGATGAGTGAGGGTAGTGCCCTAAGTCCTAGTTACTCTGTGATGAGTGAGGGTAGTGTCCTAAGTCCTTGTTACTCGGTGATGAGGTAGGTAGGTCCTCTGTTATCTTCAAAGGAAATATGTCAGCCTCATAGTGATTGTTGTTCAAGTATTTATACCTGAATCCAATCAAATAACTTACTGCGAGCCTTCAACTTCGTCACGACATATTTCAGAGGTGTAGAGAAGATGTGTGTGTCTAGGGCAGAGCCATTGGATTCCAGAGATAGGGATATACATATCTGACACCTCCATCAGACGGCTGGTTTGATTTGTCTGATGAAAGTGACTGTTGCAAGTCACCGACAAAACCTAATGGTTGATGTAACCAAAGACTATGGATAATGGATAATTATACATACATCTGAATACACCTTTGGACCCTAAGAATATTTTTAAGAAAGTGCATCAGTTATTAGATTTCTCATATACAGTTTATAAAATATCGATCTAAATTAGAAAAAAAAACAAAAAAAACAGAAGATAAGTATTGTACCTATTTCAGACGTCAGTACTAGAAATTAGTTTTAAAAAAAACCAGTCATTCAGACTGGTTGTTTCCAATTTTGGTAGTCCTTGTGCAAGTTCCATTATTCTTATATTATTCAACAAGATTAAGTTATTGCCCTTTGTTCATTTGAGTATTTGATTTTTGTCCGGCAATCTTCTCCTACATTTTTTAACGGATCTCTTTGAAACTTAGAAGGCTCAATAATCATGATATGTTGTTGTGTTTCCTTGAAAAGAATTTTGATTCAACAATTGTTGCAAAAGTAATTGCCCTTTGTTTATTTCAGTATTTGATTTTTTTATCCAGAGATTTTCTCCGGCATTTTTATAGCATGTCAGCTAACCACTCTTTGAATGATGCAGATCTTACATCAATGTAAGAAAGTATATAACACTATATGGCATTCGACGGGCGTATATTGTTCCGCCCCGCGGTACTCTTGTTAGAACCACTAGTCCAGCTGGATATTTCACTAGTTTTAGGCTATCAGGCTACCCTTATTGTTTAGTCCTGCAGAGAACTGCAGAGAACTGATATTGAGTATAGAATATTTGTACATTCTGTTAAGTGTTCGCTTTTGATACCTTTGAACAGACCCTCTCACTTCAGCTTGAAACTGTAAAAACCAAAATGATGATTTAGGTTTCATTGCCACTGAACAGCACTGAGCTCTATTTTATTCAATGACATTGACACACTTTTAGAGTCTGTAGCTAATATACAAAGGTCCATGAATGATATAATTATATGTCAGCTAATATACAAAGGTCCATGAATGATATGATTATATGTCAATCGCACATTTTTTCGTGTACAGGATGTGTGTATCTCGGCGGTGAAAGAGAAGGACATTGAAGCCAAGCTGAAAACAGTGGTCAACGATTGGAGTGGCCAGGACTTTCAGTTCGCTGGCTTCAAGAACAGGGGAGAACTTCTCCTGAAAGGTATGTGGTTAAGTCACACAAGAACAGGGGAGAACTTCTCCTGAAAGGTATGTGGTTAAGTCACACAAGAACAGGGGAGAATTTCTCTCGAAAAGTATGTCATTTAGTCGCACAAGAACAGAGGAGATTTCTCCTGAAAGTTATGTGGTTTAGCCTTGCAAAAACGGTGAGAACTTCTCCTGAAAGGTATGTGGCTAACTTACACAAGAATAAAGAATAGGGGAGAACTTCTTCTGAAAGGTATGTGGTTTAGTCACACAAGTACAGGGGGAACTTCTCCTGAAAGGTATGTGGTTTAGTCACACAAGTACAGTGGGAACTTCTCCTGAAAGGTATGTGGTTTAGTCACACAAGTACACGGGGAACTTCTCCTGAAAGGTACGTGGGTAAGTCACACACGTACAGGGGGAACTTCTCCTGAAAGGTATGTGGTTAAGTCGAACAAGTACAGGGGAAACTTCTCCTGAAAGGTATGTGGTTAAGTTACACAAGAATAAAGAATAGGGGAGAACTTCTCCTGAAAGGTATGTGGTTAAGTCACACAAGTACAGGGGGAACTTCTCCTGAAAGGTATGTGGTTTAGTCACACAAGTACAGGGGAAACTTCTCCTGAAAGGTATGTTGTTAAGTTACACAAGAATAAAGAATAGGGGAGAACTTCTCCTGAAAGGTATGTGGTTAAGTCACACATGTACAGGGGGAACTTCTCCTGAAAGGTATGTGGTTAAGTCACACAAGTACAGGGGGAACTGCTCCTGAAAGGTATGTGGTTTAGTCACACAAGTACAGGGGAAACTTCTCCTGAAAGGTATGTGGTTAAGTCCCACAAGTACAGGGGGAACTTCTCCTGAAAGGTATGTGGTTTAGTCACACAAGTATAGGGAGAACTTCTCCTGAAAGGTACGTGGTTTAGTCACACAAGTACAGGGAGAACTTCTCCTGAAAGGTATGTGGTTTAGTCACACAAGAACAGGGGGAACTTCTCCTGAAAGGTATGTGGTTAAGTCACACAAGTACAGGGGAACTTTTCCTGAAAGGGATGTGGTTTAGTCACACAAGTACAGGGGGAACTTCTCCTGAAAGGTATGTGTTTAAGTCACACAAGTACAGGGGGAACTTCTCCTGAAAGCTATGTGGTTAAGTCACACAAGTACAGGGGGAACTGCTCCTGAAAGGTATGTGGTTTAGTCACACAAGTACAGGGAGAACTCCTCCTGAAAGGTATGTGGTTTAGTCACACAAGAATAGGGGGAACTCCTCCTGAAAGGTATGTGGTTTAGTCACACAAGTACAGGGGAAACTTATCCTGAAAGGTATGTGGTTAAGTTACACAAGAATAAAGAATAGGGGAGAACTTCTCCTGAAAGGTATGTGGTTAAGTCACACAAGAACAGGGGAGAACTTCTCCTGAAAGGTATGTGGTTAAGTCACACAAGTACAGGGGAACTTTTCCTGAAAGGGATGTGGTTTAGTCACACAAGTACAGGGGGAACTCCTCCTGAAAGGAATGTGGTTTAGTCACACAAGTACAGGGAGAACTCCTCCTGAAAGGTATGTGGTTTAGTCACACACGTACAGGGGGAACTTCTCCTGAAAGGTATGTAGTTTAGTCACACAAGTACAAGGGGAACTTCTCCTGAAAGGTATGTGGTTTAGTCACACACATACAGGGGGAACTTCTCCTGAAAGGTATGTGGTTTATTCACACAAGTATAGGGAGAACTTCTCCTGAAAGGTACGTGGTTTAGTCACACAAGTACAGGGAGAACTTCTCCTGAAAGGTATGTGGTTTAGTCACACAAGAACAGGGGGAACTTCTCCTGAAAGGTATGTGGTTAAGTCACACATGTACAGGGGGAACTTCTCCTAAAAGGTACGTGGTTAAGTCACACATGTACAGGGGGAACTTCTCCTGAAAGGTACGTGGTTAAGTCACACACGTACAGGGGGAACTTCTCCTGAAAGGTATGTAGTTTAGTCACACAAGAACAGGGGGAACTTCTCCTGAAAGGTATGTGGTTAAGTCACACATGAACAGGGGGAACTTCTCCTAAAAGGAACGTGGTTAAGTCACACATGTACAGGGGGCACTTCTCCTGAAAGGTATGTGGTTAAGTCACACATGAACAGGGGGAACTTCTCCTAAAAGGAACGTGGTTAAGTCACACATGTACAGGGGGCACTTCTCCTGAAAGGTATGTGGTTAAGTCACACATGAACAGGGGGAACTTCTCCTAAAAGGAACGTGGTTAAGTCACACATGTACAGGGGGCACTTCTCCTGAAAGGTATGTGGTTAAGTCACACAAGTACAGGGGGAACTGCTCCTGAAAGGTATGTGGTTTAGTCACACAAGTAAAGGGGGAACTCCTCCTGAAAGGGATGTGGTTTAGTCACACAAGAATAGGGGGAACTCCTCCTGAAAGGTATGTGGTTTAGTCACACAAGTAAAGGGGGAACTCCTCCTGAAAGGGATGTGGTTTAGTCACACAAGTACAGGGGGAACTCCTCCTGAAAGGTATGTGGTTTAGTCACACAAGAACAGGGGAGAACTTCTCCTGAAAGGTATGTGGTTAAGTCACACAAGAACAGGGGAGAACTTCTCCTGAAAGGTATGTGGTTTAGTCCTGCAAGAACAGAAGAGATTTTTTCACTGAAACATGGGGTTTAGTATTGCAAAAAAACAGTGGAGACTCTCCCATGGTCTAGTTAACATGATTAGGGCAGGACAATTTTTTGTTCCTGAAGTGTACATGGTTTAGTTGAACACATTGGCAGGTGAGAACCTCTTGAAAAAAGGTGCATGGTTCAATTGAGACAAAAACATGAGAACTACGTACCTGAAGTATTCAGTCTACTTTAGTTTACATGAGAAAAGAAAAGTATTTATCTCTACTGAAACATGTATGGTTTCGTTTACACAAGAACATGAGAAGTTCTCTTTAACATTTAGAATCAGTTTGAATCTTTTTTAGGATGCTAATTGGTCTGTTTAATGGAGTTGACAGGTGTATTTTATGCCTGGCTGGACAACACAAAGTCTTGATTAACTCGTTGACCCCTGAAATTTCATAATGAACTATTACAACCTTTGATTTGGAAGAGTTCAAACTTGTCTTCGGGGGTGAATGAGTTAATATCATATCTGTATCTCACTACCAGGTGACACAACATCAGAAACGGTGGCATTAATGGAGGACAGCTTGATGGTTCTGGGATCGCTGCTAAGCAACAGGTACAATGCTCCGTTCAAACCAAAGATCCAGGAATGGGTCCAGAAACTAACCGGGACAACGGAGATCATTGAGAATTGGCTCGTGGTACAGAACTTGTGGATCTACCTAGAGGCTGTGTTTGTGGGCGGTGATATTGCCAAACAGCTACCACAGGTACATTCTGAACAGGCGAAACATGAAATGATTTGTATTTCAAACTCAGACAAAGTTATGTAACTGTAAGCGTACTTAGTTTAGTGCACTCAAATTTTAGAGCATTATCAAACTGTAACAGATTGGCACTTTGATGAATTGGCACACTCACAAAAAATGCCATAGAAAACAATCTACATGAACTTCAATTTGTGCTGTCATTATTAAGCACAATATTTAAAGCTCGAAAGGTACTAAAATAAGAACATGACAACTTTCTGTGAGATTTTATTTAATTATCTCATAGTTTAGTAACGTGATATTTTAATTTTCTAACTTCATTCTGGATCTCCATTTCGTAGGAAGCCAAGCGTTTCAGTAACATTGACAAGTCCTGGATGAAGATCATGCAGCGAGCTCACGAGAACCCAAATGTAGTTCAGTGCTGTGTCGGAGACGACACCATGATGCAGCTCCTTCCCCATCTACTGGAGCAGCTGGAGATCTGTCAGAAATCCCTGACAGGATACCTGGAGAAGAAACGTCTTGTCTTCCCCAGATTCTTCTTCGTCTCCGACCCTGCCCTGCTGGAAATCCTCGGGCAGGCCAGCGACTCGCACACAATTCAGGTAAAAGCAACAACACCTTAATAGAGAATCTGTACATTTATACCTAATAACTGCTAACCACTTCCTGTTCCTGTTTGATTTTTGTCTCGCCGCTACGATGTAGCGGAAGTGAGACTTTTCTGGTGGCGGTGTCAACATTAAGTTATTGCGTTTAACTTAGTTTCACTGAAAGTATAAGTGCTACACCAACCAAACTTTGTCAGCATCTCCATGAACATTAAGCTTTGGTGTTTAAGTTAATTTCTCTGATATACATATTTATGTTTCATTGATGGTCAAGCGGAGCACAGGCGAGACATAACAATCCGAATGCCTTATTTTAGTGATATTGCTTGATTTGTTCATAAATATTTGAAGTCGAGCGGAAATGTTTACATAACTCCATTGATTGGAAAAGTTTTGACATAATTTCCCCTATCAAATCATCAAAAAAATATGGGGAGATTGTGGAGTGGTACTGTTGTAAACTCCCCTACATTTGACCAGTATGCCTGTTTCGGTTTGATTCCCTTGTTGGGTGTGAACAGGTTTGGGGTCACCTGACCAACCATGTTGGCTTTTCGGGTACTCCAAAAAGAGTGATTAATAGTTAGTTAGTTCAATTTTTATTTACCTGTCAAGCATATGTATATACGTTCATACAATTTTACATTTAAAACACATTTTTAATTGATGCCCAGCCAAACACAGTCTTATTACACACAAGATAAGATAATTTTTCAATTATAAAACGATTGAATTTTATGTTAAAAGACAACTCCTCCTCTTATACATGAGAAAAGCACCACTTCTAATGCTTAATAACACTCTATGTTTGTTTCTTTGTCAAACAAATTTTAACATATGAATAAGTCTCTGAATCAGATTTTAAAATTTGATAGTTTCTAAGTTTATTGTCACTAGTTATATTATTGCTTAATATAATAATTAATATAAGTTATTAAGTTTCTGTAGAAAGTAACTAAAACTGCAGTACATTATTCATTCTTGGTATGCCTTTGTTTTTTTTAAATTTGTTGAAAATAAATATTTGTAATGAATGTTATACATTATAAATATATATCTGTATCGATCATATAATAAACCGAGAGGTCGGACACATAATGGCTTATTTAAAGCACAGTAATGGGCTTATTTCACGACAATGAAATATCATTGGTTGGCATTTCTACTGAATTTCAATAGATGTGGGTGAGCTTATTACCCGGCATGGGCTTACATGGTAAGAGTTGAAGTGAAGGTTAGATGTTTGTCTGTGGCAGGTATTTCATTTTTTATTGTGAAATCGAAACTTGTCGATCAGTTCTGATTTATTTTAAATCCGTATGACTTGTTTACTTATAGAACCATCTCCTGTCTGTGTTTGACAATACAAGACTGGTGACATTTGATGAGAAAGTTTACGATAAGATTCTCTCCCTCAACTCCCAGGAGGGAGAGAATGTGCCTCTAGAGGAACCAGTTAACGCACAGGTAAGTTCCAGGCAGGATTTAAAATATGTCAATTAACTCGTTTACCCCTGAAGACACATTTGAACTCTTCCAATTCAAAGGTTGGAATAGTTCATCATGAAGTTTAAGGGGTAAATGAGTTAACTCTTTTCTGTTTCCTTCTGCAAAACGTTTTTATGTGCATTGTTTTCCACAATTTTCTTCATATTCATACAGTATTAAATATAACATGAATAAAAATCACATAAGAAAAATTGAAAAATTAACAATATTATCAAAAAGTGAGTATTTATTATTATCTCTGAATTTGTGTTAATATGCACAATTTTATTTTGGACTTAATAATTATGAAGATAACAAAGAGATTGTGGAACAGTTGTTACAAATATGATTTGGCTTTATGACAAGTCAAATTTTCAAAATTGTTATTTTTTTGGGGGGGAAAATATATTTTGAGAAATAATATATTTTTTGTGTAAATTGTTTAAGAGTGATTATTTTGAAATCAAAGACATGGGATTTCAGTCTTAATATTTATAAAAATAGAAGTGATTCCAATTTTATCTGAATTTATCATTTGGCTTTTGAAACCTATACTCTTTGTGTCCTGTTTAGCATTTTTGGCTATGTGCCTCAGGTGTAGAGCAACAGAAAGATCTGGTTAGGTAGAATTAAAATGTCTAACCTTTGTTTTAAGGGTAACGTGGAGATCTGGTTGGGTGACCTTTTAAAGGGATCCAGAAGGTCTGTTCATTCTGTTATCCGATCTGCTTCCGTCTCCATTGGTGACTCCAACTTCAAACTGGTGGAGTTTGAAAACATGTTCCCAGCACAGGTAAGACAGTAGAAAAACATAACTCCAGCACAGGTACTTACAGATACAGGTGAGACCACCTTAACACAGGTGAGACCACCTTAACACAGATGAGACCACCTTAACACAGGTGAGACCACCTTAACACAGGTGAGACCACCTTAACCCAGGTGAGACCACCTTAACACAGGTGAGACCACCTTAACACAGATGAGACCAGCTTAACACAGGTGAGACAACCTTAACACAGGTGAGACCACCTTAACACAGGCGAGACCACCTTAACACAGATGAGACCACCTTAACACAGGTGAGACAACCTTAACACAGGTGAGACAACCTTAACACAGATGAGACCACCTTAACACAGATGAGACCACCTTAACACAGATGAGACCACCTTAACACAGGTGAGACCACCTTAACCCAGGTGAGACCACCTTAACACAGGTGAGACCACCTTAACACAGGTGAGACCACCTTTACACAGGTTAGAAAATCCTAATACAAGTATTTCAACCCTTACACAGGTGAGAAAACCCTAGCACAGGTGAAACCTCCTTAACACAGTTAGAACAACTGTAGCACAGGTGAGACGACCCTAGCACAGTTAGAACAACCATAGCATAGGTGAGACGACCCTAGCATAGGTAAAACAACCCCCTAGCAAAGGAAGAAAAATGCTATCACAGGTGAGACAACCCTTTTGCAGGTGAAACAATCGTAACACAGATGAGACAACCCTTGCACAGGTGAGAATATCTTAACACAAATAGTACAAATGTTAACACAGGTGATAGCGACCTTATCACGGGTAGGACATTGTACGTCTACCTACACAATTAAATAGCCTCTTCTTGAATACTTCAGTCACAAACATTCCTTTATTGTTTATTATCTTTGAAGTCAAGAGAAAATTTAATACCAATGCAAATGACAAACACAATTATTTTTTCTCAAATGATAATGACATCAGATCAAGCCATTTAATCTTACAGTCTTATTAATACCAATAGATTGATACCCTCGAGCTGTATCTGTGCTTGTAGGTTGGACTGCTAGGTCTGCAGATGATTTGGACAAGGGATTCGGAAGACGCCCTAACCAACGCACGAACGGACAAGAAAATCATGGTCAACACCAATCAGAAGTTCCTTGACATCCTGAACGAACTCATCGCCATGACAACTGAGGAACTGACAAAACTCGAGAGGATAAAATACGAAACTCTCATTACTATTCATGTGCATCAAAAGGACATCTTTGACGACCTGGTAAAACGATAGCTCACTGCCCTGTCAGCAGGTAGTCTGTATTCACATGTATTTCTTGAGTACCTGGGATGAATTTATCGCAAACTCATCACAAGAGCTTCATGTGAAATTCTTGTGAAACAAAGACTGCCTGGGTTGACGTTTTAAGATCGCTAGATTGCCTTGAAATACTATTGAACATAAAACTGATATTTAATAAGTTGTCATAGCCATTGGGTTACTATATATATATCATCATGCACAACTGGACAAATATTTGGATTTTAAACTAATCAAGATTCATTTTTATATATGTGTAATAGACACTTTTGGATGTGTTTAACTTGCCTTTCCTATTAAAATTTATTTATTTAGATTTGATATTCAATTAAAGCAGTTCAATTTTAAAACCTTTTAGAGGTTGATTTCAAGATGGAACATAACCAAAAGATCTCAAATCGGCAAGAGGCTAATTGTTGAATGGTATTTCAAGGTATCAGCTATTGCATTTGTGAAGAGAATTCATTCAAATAGAATGTATCATTGATGTCATACCAGAGATATTTTATGTTAATGTAAGTTTCTCTACCTGGAATCAGCAACAAGCATATTCTATTTCCTTGCAGATATTTACGTTATATATCCGAAAAACATGTTTTTTAAGGATATCTAAGAAAAAGTTGTAACGATGACAGTGGCTTTAACGGTTATGAATAGCTGCGAATCCAGGAAGATGCTTACATCAGGAAAGAATTATTCTGGTATTTCTCAAAAAAGATCAAAATCTAAATCTCTTCAAGAAATGTTTCACACAATTTGATCGGAGTAGTCAGTTATGTACCTTGTATGTGAAATGCCTTAACAAGCTTCAGTATGTACTTATATAAACATCAACTCATTCACCCCTGAAGACACATGGTGGCCGAGTGGTTAATGCGTCTGACCATCTACGATCAATGACTGGGTCAGGAGTTTGTAACACCTGCAGCTCTTACCTACTGTGGGAGGACAGTAAGAGTAATGTCCTCTTTTTTTTATGAAAACTTTGTGTTAGATGCTTAGGGCAGACCTATGGTGGGAGGACAGGAAGAGTAATGTCCTCTTTTTTTATCAAAACTTTGTGTTAGAGGCTTAGGTCAGACCTATGGTGGGAGAACAGTAAGAGTAATGTCCTCTTTTTTTATTTGAAAACTTTGTGTTAGAGGCTTAGGGCAGACCTATGGTGGGAGGACAGGGAGGGTGATTTCCCCTTTTTATATGAAAACTTTGTGTTAGAGGCTTAGGGCAGACCTATGGTGGGAGGACAGTAAGAGTGATGTCCCCTTTTTTTATTTGAAAACTTTGTGTTAGAGGCTTAGGGCAGCCCTATGGTGGGAGGACAGGGAGGGTGATTTCCCCTTTTTATATGAAAACTTGGTGTTAGAGGCTTAGGGCAGACCTATGGTGGGAGGACAGAGAGGGTGATGTCCCCTTTTTGGATATGAAAACTTTGTGTTAGAGGCTTAGGGCAGACTGTAGAAGGACAGTAAGAGTGATGTCCCCTTTTTGGATATGAAAACTTTGTGTTAGAGACTTAGGGCAGACTGTAGAAGGACAGTAAGAGTGATCTCCCCATGTTGTGAACATTTGCTGTAGGCAGACTTTTCTGAGGAGGACAGTACTTAAATAACTGAAGCTATGATAAGGCATTTTGAATACAGGATGATGATTGGCTCTACCCTAGCCTATGGGCTGGCAGTAACTTATCTGTTTATCAATCACGTTGTACCAGGTTGCTGGCCAGATGTACATGTAAGAGCATATGGGTGTCACAGGTACCAAGCCTAATCTTCCAGACCTTCCGTCTTGGACACGAATGTCTCGTAGAAGTTGTGCTTGCTATGTTGTTCATGTATGGTGTATTTCACAAGATATAAGACATTGGAGACCAAGTCAAAACATCTCACCCGAAATTAACCATTTTACCAGTTGTAGTTAACAGATTATTTTTTTCATCACAAGACGGTGAACAGTTCATTTCTAGTTGTTGTAACATATCTATCAGTACAGAAATACTAATATACCATGTTAAATATCATGATATATATCAAATGAATTTGGGGCCAAATCTATGATATACATACGCTATAATCTTTGTAATACCACTATATATGTATATATGCACCTTAATTATTTGAAAGCATCATACACCATTGACAAGCTGTGACATAACTGTTGATATTTTTCATTCACTTATAACTTAAAAACTGTTTGGAGTGCAGTTTTTTAAAGCCTGGTGAAATAATGTCAATTTAAATCAAAAAAGTTCCATTTTTGAGATATATAATTTTGAAAAATTTATGAATATTTTTATATTTCTTATCATCAAATGATCATATTGAATCATACTTTTAGTTTCAAATTTGATTATCTTTGGAAAAAAAAATAATCATGAAACCTTTGAGAGAGAACTGAAGTTTGTGAATAACAGTTTATCATTATTATTATTATTATTTCTTTATTTCCTCTAAATTAAAAAGTTGCAAAAATATACAGTGTAGTCAAATACAAATCAAATATTATTAATTGATACTTACATGCACATAAATACATCAGTTAACTACGGAGATGAAGAGAGAAGTTAATGAATCTTGAATTAGTTTAGTAAATACAGAAAGAATAGTCAAGTTAACAGCAAATCATACAAAATAATTAGAATGCCTGGGAATCCTGAGGTTTCCAAGGGTTGGGGAAAGCCCTACCAACAAGGTCCTTTCAGGCTTACCCACAAATAAACACACACAAAATAAGAGAAAAAATAGTAATTAGGTAGACATTGCTATTGTACGTACGTTTGTATGTGTTATTTCATTATTAACGCTGATACAACAGCAACATTTTGTCAATAAAAATAGCATTATGCAGTACAAAGGTTACATAATCAGATGAGCTTAATATGTAGGGAAGGCTAACCCAAGTAATACATGAATTAAATCATAATCAGACAAAGAGTATAAGAACAAGCCAAGTTCTATATCAAAAGCCGTACTTATAAGACACCATAGATCGTCTCTAAGACTTTCAGTTTTTGTACAATGGATTACTGTATGTGTTATACAGTCATTATGTAAAATACCACAAAAATGGCATAATTCAATAATATTTGTTGATCTTAAATTAGCACATAATCAAACTATATTGCTTATCTTCTTAGATGTTCAGGGAATTTTAATGCTACTGTCCATAAAATATGTGGAGAAATTACATCATGAATGAGCAAAAATCTTATGAAATCTGAATCATTGTTCATTCTATCGTACATCATTAATTCCTCCCAATTATAAACTGCTTTATAGGCAATTGACTTCCATGATGAACTACTTGGAAAAACTGTATCTGAAATATACTGCAACAGATAATTAAACAAATCATACTTGTGAAGTATTCTCACAATATCAGGAATAAAACCAGTTTGACAGGACTCCTTCAAAATATGCATGAATAGGCGTTTGTGAAATATTGTATGAGTTAAGTATTTACTGTCCAGTCTACAAAGATGACGGAGAAACAAAAGTTTTCTTATATCAATGTAACCTTCTATGGAGGTCCATCCAATTAAGGAGTTGGCCATATCAGTTCTAGTTCTAATGTTTAACCCCTGAATAGATTTTAAGATAAAATTTTGAGCGCGCTCTAATTTGATTAGTTCAGTTCTAGACTGTTGCCATAGTTCACACCCGTACAGGGCAGACAGGAAAACTTTAGCCTTAATCAGCTTTGCAACTGTTAAAGGATTAGGAGTCCTAGGATGAGCACCAGATCGAATAAGAGCCATGGTTCCACTTTTTAGTTTCTTGCATGCAGACTCAGTTCTGTCCGATGTACACAATTTAAAATTTAAAACAACACCGACGTACGTAATGTTTTCAACAACTGGTAATGCTTTACCATACAAATTCACATCTTTTACCAAGACTTGTCTTCTGCCTTTTGTAAAAACAACTATTTTACTTTTATCAACAGAGAATGAAAATCTCCATTTACGACTATAGTTTTCGCAAATTGTAACCATATCTTGTAAACCAATACTTGTGTTACTGAACACATTTATTCCAATTTTTATTCTTATAATAACTGCCGTTTTAAAATACCGAATGCAAAATCTTAGATGTTTATAATACTACCTGTGATAAAAAGATACTAGGATGTACGTTTATGGGATTGTGTCATACTAACAGATTAAATTTTTTATAATCCATGTTTTAATTCTCCAAAAAATTTTAAAATACTTCTCATTAAAACGTATTTATCAATAAAACTATGTCAGAGTTTTCTTATGTCTAATGTATATTTTTTCCAGGTGAAAATGCACATTCGCTCCACAGGTGACTTTGAGTGGCTGAAGCAGTCTCGTTTCTACTTCAAAGAGGATACAGACCAGTGTATCATTTCCATCACTGATGTCGACTTCATCTACCAGAACGAGTTCCTGGGATGTACCGAGCGTCTTGTCATCACTCCGCTCACTGACAGGTAAGAAACGTCTAGATGGTCCCAAAGCTGTTCATGAACGAACAGGTAAAAAAAAAGGCGGTCATTATCGACAGGTTAATACCCGAAGATGTTTGTAACAAACGTAAAAAATGTCTAAGAGTCATTATTGACAGGTTAATACCCGAAGATGTTTGTAACAAATGTAAAAAATGTCTAAGAGTCATTATTGACAGGTTAATACCCAAAGATGTTTGTAACAAACAGGTAAAAAATGTCTAAGAGTCATTATTGACAGGTTAATACCCCAGGATGTTTTTAATACCTGAAGATGTTCGTAACCGACAGGTAAAAAAATGTCTGGGAATCATTATTGACAAGTTTATACCCAAAGATGTTTGTTACCAATAGGTAAAAAAATGTCTGTGAGTCATTATTGACTGGTTAATACCCAGAGATGTTGTTGATTCCTGAAGATGTTTTTAATACCTGAAGATGTTCGTTACCAACAGGTAAAAAAATGTCTGGGAATCATTATTGACAAGTTTATACCCAAAGATGTTTGTTACCAATAGGTAAAAAAAATGTCTAGGATTCATTATTGACAAGTTAATACCCAAATATGTTTATACCCAAAGATGTTTGTTATCAACAGGTAAAATATTTTTGAGGTAGTTATTATTAACAAGGTAATGTGTCAAAATATTCATTACTTGAATACCAACAAGTTGAAAATGTCCAGGTGGTGTTTTAATTACTGGTTAAAACTGCTAAATGCAAAAATAATTATAGCAACAATAAATATCCATTACATAAGTTTTGAAACTGAATAATGTGTATGATCAACAAATCCTCTGTCACTATAAACATGTGTATGATAACCAAATCCTCTGTCACTATAAACATGTGTATGATAACAAATCCTCTGTCACTATAAACATGTGTATGATAACAAATCCTCTGTCACTATAAACATGTGTATGATAACAAATCCTCTGTCACTATAAACATGTGTATGATAACAAATCCTCTGTCACTATAAACATGTGTATGATAACAAATCCTCTGTCACTATAAACATGTGTATGATAACAAATCCTCTGTCACTATAAACATGTGTATGATAACAAATCCTCTGTCACTATAAACATGTGTATGATAACAAATCCTCTGTCACTATAAACATGTGTATGATAACAAATCCTCTGTCACTATAAACATGTGTATGATAACAAATCCTCTGTCACTATAAACATGTGTATGATAACAAATCCTCTGTCACTATAAACATGTGTATGATAACAAATCCTCTGTCACTATAAACATGTGTATGATAACAAATCCTCTGTCACTATAAACATGTGTATGATAACAAATCCTCTGTCACTATAAACATGTGTATGATAACAAATCCTCTGTCACTATAAACATGTGTATGATAACAAATCCTCTGTCACTATAAACATGTGTATGATAACAAATCCTCTGTCACTATAAACATGTGTATGATAACAAATCCTCTGTCACTATAAACATGTGTATGATAACAAATCCTCTGTCACTATAAACATGTGTATGATAACAAATCCTCTGTCACTATAAACATGTGTATGATAACAAATCCTCTATCACTATAAACATGTGTATGAAGTCTGATTGTCTCTTTGCAGGTGTTACATCACACTGTCCCAGGCCCTAGGCATGTCGCTCGGTGGGGCTCCAGCTGGCCCCGCGGGTACAGGCAAGACAGAGACTACCAAGGACATGGGACGTTGTCTCGGCAAATATGTTGTCGTCTTCAATTGCTCAGATCAGATGGACTACAGAGGTCTTGGTCGTATCTACAAAGGTTCGTGTACATAATGAAACCTGATTTTATGGAAACCTGACTTTACAAACACCTGACTTTACTGACAGCTAAGCTAGCTTTATGAGAACTAACAAATAAGACCGGTCCACTCTGTTATCCTGTCTAAACTGACCAATATGTTGTGTCCCACATGATGTCAGATTAAACAGGTTAATCTGACCAATGTGTTGTGTCCAACAGAATGTCATATTAGACAGGTTTATTTAACCAGTGTATTGTGTCCCATAGGGTGTCAGATGAAATTGATTCCATCAATATGTTTTGTTTCACAATGATGTCAGATTAGACAGGTCAATCTGACCAATATGTTGTTTGTCTGCAGGATGTTGGATTACATAGGTTTCACTTTATATTTCATTATTCTGTTTAATCAGACCAATGTGCTGTGTCCCTCAGGGTGTTTGATAAAACAGGATGGGATTTTTTCATTGCATTTAATGATATTTCAGGTTTTGCACAGTCAGGCTTGTGGGGCTGCTTTGACAAGTATTTTTACATTGTATATTTAATGATGTTTTAGGTTTTTCACAGTCAGGCTCGTGGTACTGCTTTGACAAGTATTTTTACATTGTATATTTAATGATGTTTTAGGTTTGGCACAGTCAGGCTCGTGGGGCTGCTTTGACGAGTTTAATCGTATTGAGCTTCCAGTGCTTTCTGTGGCCGCCCAGCAGATCGCCATTGTACTACAGTGTAAGAAGGAACGCAAACCTAACTTCATCTTCACTGACGGGGACCATGTAGACATGGACACAGAGTTTGGCATCTTTTTGACCATGGTGAGTAGCCGTACAAAAAGCTTGGCGCAAATGTGTCTACATCAGTGTCTTCAAAGGTGCCACTGTAATGAACATGATTTAATTAGAGCCCTGATTGGAGGGTTCGTCTGTCTGTCTGTACATCTGATAGATAGAGGTCTAAAAAAGTTCCCAAGATCAAGTTCAATCTTACTAAAATTACACCATAGGGAATGAGGGATGGGGTTTACGGTCAGGCATATGGCGAGGCCCTTGCTGACGTATCTGTGTTCTAGTTGTCATTTAGGCTCTGGTGTTAAATTTATATGCTTTTATATTTGTACTATGCTTCTGTTATACAATTTCATTGTAATCCCTAAAAAATCCAATTTAATGAGGGGAAATCAGATTTTTTTTTTTTATTACATTTTGTATTACGCATGATCAGGGACAGTATATAGAGGGGATTGGCAACTCTGCCCCAGTCAAGATTCTATAGCACGTCGCTTTTGTGTTTGTTCACCAAACCGCGAAGTCATCGAGAGCCCCTCTCGATCAGCCCGCGCTTGCGCACTAGCGTTAAAATCATGGCACCAATCTCGCCGAGATGGGAGTGTTTTGATAACGGTTAGCCCTGATTGGGACTGGGTATTAGTAGGTCTTCTTTTTATTCCAGGGATAGGGCTATCGTTGCCACTATTTCTAGCCTTTCGGCTGTGTTGGTGGCTATTACAAAAAATCACATTTCGTAAAGCATGTTCCAGTGAAAATAATGCTAATATTGACACTTTTTGACACAAAAACAGCACAAGTTATTTGTTATTTTTTGCCATAAAAATTAGTACTACATATCAAAAAATTATTCAACTTTCTATCGCTGTAAATTTCAAAATGAAGTATTTTTGAAATGAGCTGATCCCCGAATGCAGGCGATACTTTTTTGTTGGGTTTAACATTTCCGGTTGTTTACGTTTTTTAACAACACGTGTCCTTCGTTACCAGACGAGTAATTTCATCTGTGACATCGCTATCGTTCCAAATAATGCAAATCAAATCAGGCCTACTTAACATAGAAATTACTCGGCTGTTTATTGATATTAATTGTTTTAAAAAATATAAACGATAGTTTATAAAATTAATCAAAACAGTGAGCAGTCACCAACTACTTTCGCAATAATGATTTACGTTCCCGTGAAAAATAATGCTGATATTTACACTTTTTGACACAAAAATAACACAAGTTAAATTATATTATTTGCAATTAAAATGGGTTGGGTCGTTATAAAAATTATTCAGCTTTCTATTGCTGCTAATTTAAAAAAGATCGGTCAAATACTTTTGGAGTGAGGTGGTTCACATACATGTGGTGTTTTTTTTTATCCCGCTTTTTTGTCTATCGACGCCCACCACAATACTCTGAACCACGCGTTACATCATGTTTAAAAATTGAAAAATATACCCCAAAAACGAGACATCAATTAATATGATACCACAGATTTTATCAATTATAAGTAATACAATCAGCTTATAACAATTGGATAAACAAAAGACGTAAGAACACTTATCGCGATTGGTTTGTTTTCACGCCAACTTCTGTAATCTAACGAAGCGGTATCGACGCCATCTTGGTTTGTCAAAATTGAGATAGGTGGCGCTCGCTATCTACTCCTGAATCAGGGGGAGGTAAGTCTAGATTGACGTGTCATAAAATTGGTAAGGCAAAGAGGGAGTTGCTAATCCCCTTCACTATACGTCCCTGGCATGATATATGTTATACATAATCAGGAACTAAACACAAATATAAACTAGCGGACCAGGCTAGTGATCGGAAAACCTCACCTCAAATGACCTCATAGATGACCACATATAGATGCATCTATGTTGCATCTTAGTTGCAACATTACACTGATGATCTGGGATACTGTTCGGAGGAGAAGGTCCATATTTTAAGACATAATGAATAAGTTTGTTTATTGGCTTTTTTTTCCCCATTAAATATAACTGTTTTTGATATCGGAGCCATGCATAGTTTTCGTTTTGTTGAGGTTATGCGATTATGTCAAAATCGTGATTAAGTTTCCTATTTTTATAAAATTTAGCTATGTTTGTGTAGCAGAACCCAGGTTATGCTGGTCAGTATGACTTACCTGTATGTCAAAGTCCAGTTTAATTTCCATTCAATTGATGTTTGCCTACGTTTGTGTTACAGAACCCAGGTTACGCTGGTCGACAGGAGTTGCCAGAGAATCTCAAAATCAACTTCCGTACCGTGGCCATGATGGTGCCAGACAGAGCTATTATCATCCGTGTCAAGCTGGCCAGTTGTGGTTTCATGCAAAACATTGTGCTCTCCAAGAAATTCTTCACCCTCTACAAGCTTTGTGAGGAACAGCTCACCAAACAGGTAACACCCCTACTGACGAGTCCCGGCAATTTACCATTATGGTAAAATGACCCCCCCTCCCCCACCTCCCCATCGTAAATTTCTCTACCTCAGACATGATTTTTGTTAGTTTCAGATAGAGGACATTACATTGATGTAAGCTGAAATAAAAATGATGAAAATTTTGGTTAGAAAAAAAATTGATGGAAGCTTCATTTCACCAATGATGTGGTTCCTATAACCAAAATGGTGAAATGAACCGCATATTACATTGGTAATTAGACCCTGTTCATTTCACCATGCTTCAAATACCATGCTAAACAGGCAGTTCTGGGTCAGTACATTGTTGCTTACACTGAACACTTTCTTGGGGAATAATTTCTTGCAGAATTATACCTGACACTTTCTGTAGGGTCTTTATGACAAACCTACGACAAGATATGGAAATCTGCCATTTGTTGAATATACTTCCAAATAAATATATCAATCTCCATACCCTGATAGATGTGTAGTAGCTAACTATATACTGGATATCGTATAACAGTATGCTGATATTACACATTAGCTACAGAATTACACTTAGTAATTACTTTATGATCAAAAGTTTACAATAACATTATCCGTTTATAAAAAGCTGGTTGTTATAGTGGTACATTTAGGATATGCACAATATTACTTTCTACATTTAGTATTTTGTGCTCGACATATTATGTCCATTGGTCGACATAACTTAAATTGTCATGTGCTTGACATATTTTCTTGATTGCTTGACATATTAATCATGATTATATAACAATACTATTTTGAAGCGATTCATAAGTAAAGTCTAAGTTGAACGCTCAAAATGTTTTGTCGATTACTCAAGATTTTATGTTGGGCACTTGAGATAATATGTCAAGCCCTCAAGATGTTATGTTGAGCTCTCTAGATCATTAATGTAGAAAATAATATTGTACAGGTCCTAAATGTACCACCATAGTTCATCAATAAATCAGTGTATAAGTCTATATCATTAATACATTTCAAATTCCAAAATGAAATTTTTCTAACCTCTTGAAAATTCATTCCCAAAAAGGGTATCATTGCATGTTAATTCCTGTAGGATCCCAAGACTATGCAAACTGAGTAGTCTAACTTTGTTTAGAAACTGATTGTTATTTGAGTTCTAATGAAATATTGCCATTACATATTTACTTATTCATCAAATCTCTTCCAGGTCCATTATGATTTTGGTCTGCGTAACATTTTGTCTGTATTGCGTACGCTTGGAGCATTCAAGAGAGCAAACCCTGAGGATCCCGAGACAACTATTGTGATGAGAGTTTTGAGGGACATGAACTTGTCCAAACTCGTAGACGAGGACGAACCATTGTTTATGTCGCTGATTGACGATTTGTTCCCCGGCATCACCCTTGACAAGGCTGGTTATCCCGACATGGAGGCCGCCATTGAGAAGGAGGTAGGACGCTTTCATCTCGGGCTAATGCTACTGTTAAAACAGAACTAATGTATTTAGCTGATAGAATTTGTACAGGAAAACTAGACTTACCTAACACCAAAGTTACTAGATAATTTCAATAGATATTTGTTGTGAAAACCAGGAATAAAAGTGATTGTTTTGTTAAGATTTTAGTATAAATTGATACAAAATTAATGTTTTCAAAAGAAATTTATGTTGTAGTTGATATTTTGGTGACCAAAAATGTTGTCGATTTCTGTGATTACCTGTGTCTTATTCTTAGTGCTAGTCTGTGATACATTCCCTGTAGGTGACGGAGGGAGGTCTTATCAACCATGCTCCCTGGGTCCTGAAGTTGATTCAGCTGTTTGAGACCCAGCGTGTGCGTCACGGCATGATGACGCTGGGACCTACCGGAGCAGGGAAGACTAAGTGTATCCACACACTAATGAAGGCTATGAGTGACTGTGGCGCCCCCCACAAGGAGATGAGGATGAACCCGAAAGCCATCACTGCGCCACAGATGTTTGGTCGTCTGGACGTTGCTACCAATGACTGGACGGATGGAATCTTCTCTACCTTGTGGAGGAGAACACACAAAACAAAGAAGGTGAGGAAAATTTCTTCAAGTCGGACCAAAATCTTTCTAGCTCCAGTCAACCATGCTGTTTATAGCTCCAGTCAGCTGCACTGTTTATAGCTACAGTCAGCTGTGCTGTTTATAGCTCCAGTCAGCTGCACAGTTTATAGCTCCAGTCAGCTGCACTGCTTATAGCTCCAGTCAGCTGTGCTGTCTATAGCTCCAGTTAGCTGTGCTGTTTATAGCTACAGTCAGCTGTGGTGTCTCTAGCTTCAGTCAGCTGCACTGTTTATAGCTTATGTCAGCTGTGGTGTCTCTAGCTTCAGTCAGCTGTGCTGTTTATAGCTAATGTCAGCTGTGGTGTCTCTAGCTTCAGTCAGCTGCACTGTTTATAGCTTCAGTCAGCTGCACTGTTTATAGCTAATGTCAGCTGCACTGTTTGTAGCTCCAGTCAGCTGTGCTGTTTATAGCTCCAGTCAGCTGTGCTGTTTATAGCCCCAGTCAGCTTCACTGTTTATAGCTAATGTCAGCCGCACTGTTTGTAGCTCCAGTCAGCTGTGCTGTTGGTAGCTCCAGTCAGCTGTGCTGTTTATAGCTCCAGTCAGCTGCACTGTTTATAGCTACAGTCAGCTGCACTGTTTTTAGCTCCAGTCAGCTGTGCTGTTTATAGCTCCAGTCAGCTATGATATCTCTAGCTCCAGTCAGAATTTCTGTCTCTGTTTCATATTACACCTCCATTCAGTTGTTCTGTCAATCCTGATATTAGCATTCAACACATTAAAAAAATAATCTTTTATCTATCTGAGTGGTTTCTGTAAGTTCATGATGCATTTTTGTTTTACCAACATGGTTACCAGCATGAAGGGGAGACTGAAACAGTTTCTTGTTAGAAAACAATTCTTGCTCTGATTGGTTTGAAACAACAGTTTTTGTTTGAATATACAGCGATAAATAATTTCATATTTTTTCCTCTTTGACAGGGTGATCACGTATGGCTTGTGTTAGATGGGCCAGTCGACGCTATCTGGATTGAGAACTTAAACTCTGTCCTCGACGACAACAAAACCCTGACCCTGGCCAACGGTGATCGTATTCCGATGGCGCCTAACTGTAAGATCATCTTTGAGGTGCACAACATCGACAATGCATCACCTGCCACTGTGTCGAGAAACGGCATGGTGTTCATGTCCAGTTCAATCATGGACTGGAACCCCATCCTCAAAGGTAAGCTCACCTGTGAGCTGTAATAACGGATCAATTTCTTGCAGTTTTTCAAAAAGTTAGATTTTAAGACTTCTTATGTGACATTTCTGTTAATTTTCACTGGATTTGTTTTTTCACAGTACATGTAATATGTAACGCATATATGTGGAAAATCATATCCAAACGAGAAACAAAGACTTTAGCAACAATTTAACTGCTTTATAGAGAAGCAGATTGATTTTAGCTATGGTGTACACATGGTAGTCAACTGTTTAGATGTTTTTGATTTCTCTGAGGAAATTATGTTTAATTGTTTACGTTCAGTTTTTATATATGTTATTTGCAGAAAAATTAAAATTGAACTCGGAAAACTGTAATTCATACACAAGAGGTTCCATTTTCACAGATATTCCTTCACTTCATGAAATTAATCAATCAATCAAATCTCTTTTCTGGCTGAAACGATAACCGTAGAGATAGTCACTGGGGAACATCTCAAAACAAGAAAAAAACTTACTTTAAATCTTGATTGAAAGCTTTTAACTTGCATTATCAGCTTTGAAGGAAATTCTGAAAGAAATTGTCTTTAACTTTTATTTATGGTTTCTTATGGAAAATATTAAATTAAGGAATGTACATTATGAATGGATGTGTGAATAAGGCCTGTTCTAGTAACCTCAGTGTTTCATTAATTACAAAATAGCTAAATCTTGTTAAAAAATATTGATATCTGAATTAATTATAAATCCAATTCGAAAGCAGGTGTCATTTACAAAAAAAAAGTGCTTTGTTTACAGGAAAAAAAAGATTGATGTTATTTTCATTGTTTCCTTTTGGCAGGATGGTTGTTGACAAGACCAGCCAACCAACAGGACACCATATTTGATGCGTTTGAGAACAACTTCCCACAGGCCTACACATACAGCATGCAGTCCCTTTGGCCCAAGATGCCCGTAAGTTTGTCTGGTTTAACTTCATCCAACCCAACTATTGATACTCGGATATAGACTTAAACTTATGTCCTTGATATGCAATTCCCCTACTTGTCGTATCCGCTTTACTATGTATCAATACATGTACTAGTCAAATTGTGCTGTCATTTTTAGCTCACCTGGTCCGATGGCCCATAGTGATCTTATGCCATACCGCAGCATCCGTCGTCGATTTTCTCCTTATTTGGTCTGGAACATTCTTAGGCCAAGGGGACTCAATTTTGTATAAACGATGGGTGTGGCCCCCCTTGGATTGGGGCAGAGGGGCGGGGCCCAATATGGAAAATATAGCAAATTTTTTTAAAATCCTTCTTCTGTAGGAACGACAGGATTTTTTCCAAATTTGGTATGAAGCACCCTTTGGTGAAGGGGAACCAACATTGTATAAACGGTTGGCCTGACCCATCTGGGGGCAGAGAGGCAGGCCCAATAAGGGATATAGAGGAATAGCTTTAATATCCTTTTTCTTCTGTTGGGATGAAGGTATTTTGACAAAATTTGAACAGTAGCATCCTATGGGGAAGGGAAATCAATTTTGAATAAATGGTTGGTGTGGCCCCCCTGGTGCCTGAGGGGTGGGGCCCAATAGGGTTAATTAAGCATTTTTAAAAAAAATTCTTTTTCTGTTGGAATGACAGGATTTTGTCCATATTTTGGATGAAGCACCGAATCCTTTGGAGAAGAAGACTATATTTTGTATAAACGTTGCGTCTGACCCCCTAGGGCAAAGGGGCGGGGCCAAATAGGGAAAACAGAAAAATAGCTTTAAAATCCTTCTTGTTCTGTAGGAATGACAGGGTTATGTCCCTATTTAGTCTAAAGCATCCTTGGGTGAAGGGGAACTAATTTTGTATCAACGGTGGGTCTGACCCCCAAGGGGCAGAGGGGTGGGGCCTAATTATGGAAACCTAGCAAATTCTTCAAAATCCTCCTTTACCTGTAGAAATGACCGCATTTTGTCCAATTGTATATAAATATAACGCCTGTCTAACCATGTAATACATGTACAGCAACATCTGGCTATTTCAACTTCTATTTTGCTAACATTTCCAGGTGAGCGATACAGGCCCTCTGGGCCTCTTATGTCCATACAGGAAAGCAAATCATACGAAATTTGAAAAATGACACACATTTCTCATGCATCCATAATCATGTGAAGGTCGGTGATTTGTTACATGGACTCGGTGTTACTGTTTTTATAAACTGTGACGTTCTTTCAGTTGAAACGTCACAACGCTCTCTGGCAAATGCAGACAGTTTTCATACATCATTTCTCTTTATTGACTTAAACATTATTGAGCATTTAATATAACAATTAAGGTCTTCAAATTTTTCGATGAATATGTGATTATATGGACCTGAAAAAGGAACAATAATAATCTTTATTTAAAGTCATGTATATTGTCAGTAACAAACATAAGCTCTGTAGATTTATTTTGGAGCTGCTAAGGGAACAAATATTGTTTTCATCGTGGAGGAAACCTCTACGGGGGGGGGGGGGGGGGGGGGGGGGGGGTCGAACCACCATGCCATCGGAGGGATAACAACTAATCCTGTTATACATCCTTCTCTTTTTCTGCCACTGCTGGGGATTGAACCGAGATTCTTGGGAGAGTGAGTGGTCTGAAGCCTACGCTTGATTGCACACAGTAGTAATGTAGTAATGACTGTGGACGTTAGCGATCATGGCTACCAAAGTGACCGGTTTGGCTTGACTTCGTCTCAGTTAATATTCATTTTTCTGGTCTATATACCACATAATCACCTCAATAAAAGTCCATAGTTGATCAATATTATACTGTATAACAAGTAAAATCAAGTAATATTTTGTGTATTCCAGATCCTCGAGTGTATGTACATCAAGCAGGCTATTGACCTACTCGAGGGACTCATCCCAAGGGGAGAGGAAGGCAAGGACATCAAGCCTGACCACCTTAAAAGGCTGATTGTCTTCGCCATCATGTGGTCAGTTGGGGCTCTGCTGGAACTGGAGGACAGGAAAAAGGTGTGACATGAACTATATTCAGTTTGCAATAGTCTTCTGTCCGAATATCTGTTGTAAAATTACCATACACTGAAGTAGTTTACTGCTCTGGTAATTATTTCACTATAGTCAAACCTGTATTAGGAGATTGCAAGTCTGAAGTCCAAAAAAGAGGTCTCTTCATGCAGGTTAAATTCACGATGAAATAACCATAGTGAAAAAAAACAATGGTCTCTTAACAAAGAGGTCTCTTAATGCAGGTGGTCTCTTAACACTGGTTAAATTCACAAAATGGATAACATAAAAAGAGGTCTCTTAACACTGTGGTCTCCTAATTAAGGTGGTTGTATGGGAATCGGGAATGGTTAACGTGATGTGGAAACTTCTTTTCTGGTTCTGCAGTACAGCTGCATTTTTGGGATGGATTTTTTATTTTTAACTAATCCTGCTGCTTTATTTGGGAACAAAGGTGACTAATATTACCAGGTTTCATAATCATTCTCTACTGAAAAGCCAACTTAAGAATCTACAGTAAGTAAAAGAGAACACAGAAATGAGGATTTACTACCATTATCATTTAATCATCCCGACTGCAGTATTTTTCTTCACTTTTGAAATAAAAAAAAAGTCTGTGTTGTTAAGCATTAATTTCTTTGTAAATTTAAAAGAAAGGAATGATGAATGAACTTGAGAAGTAGTTGTGAAAAAGCTTTCTTATCTTTACAATTTACAAACATCAACTTTTTTTTACAGATTCAAGAATTTATGCAAACCAACGGTAACCTGCCGTTACCCACACTCGCCGAAGACGACACCATCTTTGAGTATATGGTTGGAGAGAACGGCCAGTGGGAACATTGGTCTGGCAGGGTAGGTGACCATCAGACATTTTCCCTATCAAGACATTTACAGTGTTTAACTGGCGTTAAGCCCATGCCTGCTTATAAGCTTAAGCCCACCCATATCTATTGCAGTGAAGTAATAATTAAAAAAGCGATTTCATTGTCCTGTAATAAGCTGACATCCCCCTACTTGGCTATTTGTTCTTGATTGGGTGGAGGTACTAGTAATGGGCAATCGATTTGAAATCATAATCGATAATCAGTTTGTAATCGAAAGTAATAAACCGATTGATGATTGATTGCATAATCAGTTTATAGTTTTATGGGACTGAATGCCCAAATAGTTGCTTGCTATACATTAAATTTTGTTCTTTTATAATGAATGGATATCAAGCAACTTTTATGCATTATATTATAAACCATAAGAATATATGACTTTCAAAGCATACTTTACATGGAAGACATTTAAACATTTTGATTTCAATGAGGTACCTAGATTTAATCAATCTTTATGTCTTGTTTCCAGGTTCCAGAGTATGTTTATCCTGATGATAGTATTCCGGAGTACACCTCCATCCTGGTACCGAATGTTGACAACGTGAGGACAGATTACCTCCTCCACGCCATCTGCAAACAGGAAAAGTCTGTCTTACTCATTGGTGAACAGGTAATTTAAATAACACCACTATAATATACCTGGATAGGGGATATCTTATTGCACATGTTCTTGTCGGAGCCACTGTTTAGCTACTCCTTGCTGCAGATGATGTTTGGGAATAGTTTTGTACTGATATTGAATGATATATATGTATTGGTCAATGTGTTAGTATTCTGTCATTCATGTATTAAATGCCAATGTAAAATTTTGAAGAAGAAAAAAAGAAATTTACTGTGTTAAAAACCTTAATATTTTCACCCAGCCAAACGTTTGCTCTTTGGATTTTTAGGACAAGTACGTCTTTGTTGAATTTGCCGATTTAAACTATGTGCTACTTTGTATATCTACAGTAAAACCTAAATAAAATGCCCTTCGTTTCATTTGCCAACTTGTTTTTCGCCAACATATTTCAATGTCCCTTTTTCTCATTTTCTAAAGAATTTCTTTATGAGTTTCCCTCATTCAATTGCCAAGCCCTTCATAACGCCAAAATTTCCCTGTGCAAATGAAGGCAGTATAACGAGGTTTTACTGGACATGATGTCGTCGTATGTTTAATTTGTCCTTTACACCCCTTTTTGGTGGATTAATTCCACGTCGAATGTAAAATGAACACGCAAAGACAGGTTTGGGACTTAGAAAATCATGGTAATTTATTACGCAATAATATGCAATAAATACTTATGCAAGATAAGTAATATTGTGCAATAATATATAATCGCCTAAACAACGAAAGATGACATATGTGTAGGGTCATACAATGACCTTGACATATACCCTGCACATGAATGCAAAAGTAATATATATAAATACAAGTAAAATTACCATGGTTCTCCTACTAGCTACATGACCTAAACTACAGAAGATATAACTGAAAACATGGGAGGGAGGGAGGGAGGGAGCCAAGGGAATTGCCACCAATATGTCATTTGACAAAGTCTGTCATAAAGCAAATAATTAGAATAGAATTGCCACCTACGTGTTGCTGGGTCAAAGCACAGCGGGACTCTGGCATTTGAATTTGAAAAACCAAGCCACCCCTGCGACTGATGCTGACCGCTGGTCAGTTGAAGCTGGTTGGTCAGTAAGCTGAAGGGGCACCCTATGGGGGTGTAAATGAGAGGCTCACTGCAGGGTAAAGTGGGCCTATTATGTGAGATAGCCTCTCAAGCACTTGGCTCCCTCCTCCTTGAATTAATACACAATTAACAACTTAATTATCAAAATAAAGCAAATTCCTGTTTACTGTTGCAAGTCCTTGAACTTTGCTATTTTTGAAAAATTCTATTGTCACCTAAATGACATTAATCCACTGTATGTTGTGAACGGATGAAGGATTATCATCATTTCAACCTATTTTGTTAACCATATTTCTTTATAACAAATGTTTTTTTGGTGGTTTTTTTTCAAATGAAAAACAGAATAGGATATTGTTTAAAGATGTTAAGAAATTGTATAAATTTGTACAAACTTTCAGTATATGTATGGTTTTTAATCACAGATTTAAATGAGGTTTTCCAAGTTTGCCTATGAAGTTAGTCTTTACCGAAGTTGATGCCTGATGAAGAAATGTAACACGTGAAAAATCTTTAATTTAAAAGGAAAACATTATGTAAGAAAGTATATTTGTGTCAGATTTTAATTGTACATGAAATTAGCTTCTAGCTTCGCTCTAGGTTGAATTTCCCCTTAGTTTAATTGGTAGAGCATCGTACTGGGAAGCTATGGGTAGTGGGTTTGATCCCCAATGGAAACACAATATTCTCTTTCCAATTACAAATGGTGTCCATGGCCCTCCCTGTGGTGACAAGAAGTTCGAACCTGGGTTATTGTGGTGTTTAAGTGCATACACATTTAAAAAGGGGAGAGTAGTGTGGCAGATTTTAATTGTACATAAGATTATGGTCAGTTTCTAGCTCAATCAGTATTTTTGTCTTCTGCCTCCAGGGAACTGCCAAGACTGTGATGGTTCAGGGATATTGTAACAAGTTTGATCCAGAATTGCACCTTTTCAAGAGTCTGAACTTCTCCAGTGCTACCCAGCCAATCATGTTCCAGGTAACATACAAGACTTCTGATTAGTCCCTGAATAAGCAATGAAAACGTTGGTTACCTGTAAGGATAGACAAATAATTCTCCTGTGAGAAATAATAATATTTTTTTTATAGCTGAAAACCTATTGTTTTGCATCATTCAGTCAACTGTTTTACTCCTTTTTTTTGGTAATTAACAAATTCAGTTCAATAATAAAAAAAAAAATTGAATGAAAATGGTTAAACTTTTTTAGGAAGTTAAAGCCATATTTATTTGTATTGACTTTAATTGCTTTATTGTCCAACAGATGGTACAGGTATAAAATCATGAATGTTAAATTAATTTGGTACAATATAATTATATCAATCCAATTTTGTTTTGCCAAATAAAATTTAAATTGTGTATTTCAGAGGACCATTGAAGGCTATGTGGATAAACGTATGGGCACAACATACGGTCCACCAGCTGGAAGGAAGATGACGGTGTTCGTTGACGACATCAACATGCCCACAATCAACAACTGGGGAGATCAGGTAAGGGGAGATAGATATCAGTATAAGAAGATCAGGTAAGGGGAGATAACTAGCAGTAAAGGGAGATCAGGTAAGGAGAGATAACTAGCATTATATGGAGATCAGGTAAGGGGAGATAACTATCAGTTTATGGAGATTAGCTAAGGGGAGATAACTAACAGTATAGGAAGACAAGGTAAGGAGAGATATCTATCGGTAAAGGGAGGTCAGGTAAGGGAAGATAACTATCATTATATGGAGATCAGGTAAGGGGAGATAACTATCAGTATATGGAGATCAGCTAGGAGAAGATAACTAACAGTATGGAAGGACAAGGTAAGGGGAGATAACTATCGGTATAGGGTGATCAGGTAACCGGGGATAACTAGCAGTAAAGGGAGATCAGGTTAGGTGAGATAACTAGCAATTTGTGACTCAATAAAAGATTATACATATGTTTTTTTTAATGAAAACCATTATTTACATTCTTGGATGTCTTGACAATCAATGTAGAAAACTTGTATTAATTTAATTGATATAATTGCTTTTTCATGTTATGGTTTTTAACAAATTACATTGTTTAGGTCACAAACGAGATCACACGTCAGATGATGGAAGTGAAAGGATTCTACAACCTTGAAAAGCCTGGAGAGTTTATCAACATTGTAGACATACAGATGATTGCCGCCATGATCCACCCAGGTGGTGGCAGAAATGACATTCCGTCACGTCTCAAGCGACAATTCTGTGTGTTCAATTGTTGTTTACCTTCCAACGCTTCCATTGACAAAGTTTTCGCTACCATTGGTAGCGGCTACTTCATCACCGTAAGTCTTACTTCAATACTCATTATTAGCACAGTAACTTCATCAGTCCAAAAGTCACTATTAGCAGTGCTAACATTATCATTGAAGTCACTATTAGTAGTGCTAACTTCTTTACTGAAGTCATTATTAGCATTGCTAGCTTCATCACTGAAGTCATTATTAGCAGTGCTAACTCCATCACTGAGTTCATTATTAGCAGTGCTAACTCCATCACTGAAGTCATTATAAGCAGTGCTATCTTCATCACTGAAGTCACTATTAGCAGTGCTAACTTCATCACTGAAGTCAATATTAGCAGTGCTAACTTCATCACTGAAGTCATTATTAGCAGTGCTAACTCCATCACTCAAGTCATTATAAGCAGTGCTAACTTCATCACTGAAGTCACTGTTAGCAGTGCTAACTCCATCACTCAAGTCATTATAAGCAGTGCTAACTTCATCACGGAAGTCACTATTAGCAGTGCTAAATTCATCACTGAAGTCACTATTAGCAGTGCTAAATTCATCACCGAAGTCATTATAAGCAGTGCTAACTTCATCACGGAAGTCACTATTAGCAGTGCTAAATTCATCACTGAAGTCATTGTAAGCAGTGGTAACTTCATCAGTCTGTATGTCTCTATCATCAGTGGTAACTTCATCGTTCTCTAAGTCTCTACTATCAGTGGTAACTTCATCGCTCTGTAAGTCTCTATTATCAGTGGTAACTTCATCGTTCTGTAAGTCTCTACTATCAGTGGTAACTTCATTGTTCTGTAAGTCTCTATTATCAGTGGTAACCTCATTCTGTATGTCTCTATCATCAGTAACCACTGTTGGCCATGATGACTTTATCAATCTGTAACCACTGTTGGCCATGATGACTTTATCAATCTGTAACCACTGTTGGTCATGATGACTTTATCAATCTGTAACCACTGTCGGCCATGATGACTTTATCAATCTGTAACCACTGTTGGTCATGATGACTTTATCAATCTGTAACCACTGTCGGCCATGATGACTTTATCAATCTGTAACCACTGTTGGTCATGATGACTTTATCAATCTGTAACCACTGTTGGTCATGATGACTTTATCAATCTTTCAGGTCTTAACTCATTCACCCCTGAAAATGAACTGTTCCAACCTTTGATTTGGAAGAGTCGCACAATAGCGCATTTCCTGATGAAAATGGGAAAATACCGTATACCAGGAACCTAGCACCCAGTTAAATGTTCGCCCTTCATCTGTCCAATCCATTTTCATGCAGTGTTATTTTCACCCTTGACATCTTGTTCCTATGTATAGTATGTTGTCCTATGTATAGTATGTTGTCCTATGTATAGTATGTTGTTCCTATGTATAGAATGTTGTCCTATGTATAGTATGTTGTTCCTATGTATAGAATGTTGTCCTATGTATAGTATGTTGTCCTATGTAAAGTATGTTGTCCTATTTATAGTATGTTGTCCTATGTATAGTATGTTGTTCCTCTGTATAGTATGTTGTCCTATGTATAGAATGTTGTCCTATGTATAGTATGTTGTTCCTATGTATCGTATGTTGTCCTATGTATAGTATGTTGTCCTATTTGTATAGTATGTTGTCCTATGTATAGTATGTTGTTCCTCTGTATAGTATGTTGTCCTATGTATAGAATGTTGTCCTATGTATAGTATGTTGTCCTATGTAAAGTATGTTGTCCTATTTCTAGTATGTTGTCCTATGTATAGTATGTTGTCCTATCTATAGTATGTTGTCCTATGTATAGTATGTTGTTCCTCTGTATAGTATGTTGTCCTATGTATAGAATGTTGTCCTATGTATAGTATGTTGTCCTATGTAAAGTATGTTGTCCTATTTATAGTATGTTCTCCTTTGTATAGTATGTTGTCCTATGTCTAGTATGTTGTCCTATGTATAGTATGTTGTCCTATTTTTATAGTATGTTGTCCTATGTATAGTATGTTGTTCCTATGTATAGAATGTTGTCCTATGTATAGTATGTTGTTCCTATGTATCGTATGTTGTCCTATGTATAGTATGTTGTCCTATGTAAAGTATGTTGTCCTATTTCTAGTATGTTGTCCTATGTATAGTATGTTGTCCTCTGTATAGTATGTTGTCCTATGTATAGTATGTTGTCTTATGTATAGTATGTTGTCCTATGTATAGTATGTGGTTCCTATGTATAGTATGTTGTCCTATGTATAGTATGTGGTTCCTATGTATAGTATGTTGTCCTATGTATAGAATGTTCTCCTTTGGATAGTATGTTGTCCTATGTATAGTATGTTGTCCTATGTAAAGTATGTTGTCCTATTTATAGTATGTTGTCCTATGTATAGTATGTTGTCCTATGTATAGTATTATGTTGTCCTATGTATAGTATGTTGTTCTATGTATAGTATGTTGTCCTATGTATAGTATGTTGTCCTATGTATAGTATGTTCCTATGTATAGTATGTTCTATGTATAGTATGTTGTTCCTATGTATAGTATGTTGTCCCATGTATAGTATGTTGTCCTATGTATAGTATGTTGTTCCTATGTATAGTATGTTGTCCTATGTATAGTATGTTGTTCCTGTGTATAGTATGTTGTCCTATGTATAGTATGTTTTCCTATGTATAGTATGTTGTTCCTATGTATAGTATGTTGTCTATGTATAGTATGTTGTCCTATGTATAGAATGTTCTCCTTTGTATAGTATGTTGTCCTATGTATAGTATGTTCCTATGTATAGTATGTTCTATGTATAATATGTTGTTCCTATGTATAGTATGTTGTCTATGTATAGTATGTTGTCCTATGTATAGGATGTTGTCCTATGTATAGTATGTTCCTATGTATAGTATGTTCTATGTATATTATGTTGTTCCTATGTATAGTATGTTGTCCTATGTATAGTATGTTGTGTACATAGTTTCACTCTTGTGATAAATTCGCCCTCATTACTGATGGCGAGAAAATGGCAAAAGTTAAACTTCTTGCAAAAATTTGACAGTTTACAGAATACTGCGTCAATTAAAAACTGTATCCAGTACTTTTTCAAATGAATACAGGAAATGTCTGTGAAAAATTATCACTGAATTGAAAAGTTTTACCAAGTGGTGTACATGTATGTCCCGGAATATATTTTGTTAATGTTGTGTTGCAGAAACGTGGCTTTCCTGCTGAAGTGACAGAACTGATTTCTACGCTGGTGCCTGCCACAAGAAAACTCTGGCAAAGAGTGAAAATCAAGATGCTGCCCACCCCGGCCAAGTTCCACTACGTCTTCAATCTGCGTGATCTCAGTCGTATCTGGCAGGTACGTAATTCTCCACAACACTTTCAGTATTTTCATTGTTTATTTACGGGTATTAAAAGTCTATTTCTTTATTTACAGTTATTAAAAGTCTTTATTATTCAAAATACTGCTGGAAATGTCCTTGAAAAAAATAAATTGCTTACAAAGGAGTATTTAGTCTTGGTGATAACTGCTAAATAAACACTTGAATTTTTATACTTTAAACTAATATTTAAGACTCCAATGCATGTTCAACTTTTCCAGAAAATTTCCTGAATTCGTATGAGGTTCAGATCTGTAATTTTGCTGCATTTGGTCAGACCGGATATGTACGTTTATACTGATCTTCCGGACAATTTAATTTTTGTTTTTGCTTTGACAGGGTATGTTAAATACCACAGAAGAAGTTGTCACCAGTGTGAAAGTGATGATGTCGCTTTGGAAGCATGAAAGTTACCGTGTCATTGCCGATAGATTTACTGAATACGCGGACAAAGATTGGTTTGAGAAAAACATCAAACAGGTAAAAAAACAAAACTTCTTTTTCTAAAATTATTGGATAATGACAATAACAGGTTTTGTTAAATGTTAAAAACACAATGAATATATGCTTACTTTCTTATAAAAACAAATCTTTAAAAAAAATTGGTTCATAAAAGGATGTTATTTTGACAATTTGAGTGTAAACAAATTCACTATCTTCTAAGTTTTCTATTTTGCCAGAATTTTTTTAATACAATTTTAGTCTAAATAAGAAGAATTTATTATGCATATAACTTGACAATTTCAATATACATGTAATTATATAATCATATTTTATCAGCGTGGCACACATCTGGTTTTAAAAGATAAAATGTGTAATTAATAATTAGAGGTTCTTATATACCATTTTATCACAGCCTAGTTCGTAGGTCGTTTCAAAGCTGTTCACAAATTATAATCCGTGGTAATAGGGCCTTTGCAACCAGCCAATATCTTTTTCAACTCCCTGGAGAGCATACAGCCAGTACTGCCTTTTCAGTGCTCACAGCCAACACTCTACAATTCTAGCACTTCTCAACCAAATACTCATTTACAGCTGAGTAGACTGGAACAGTAAAGTATCTTGTTCAAAGATACAACACAGTGCCGTGCCGTGACTCAAATCCGCAACCCTGCTGTCACGAGCATGGCCTCCTACCACTAGACTACTGTGTGTCTCCTTTAAATAAATGATGAACTTCGATGATTGGGCTCATAGCACCTTTGCTTGTGGTTTAGGTGGCCGAGGAGGAGTGTGGCAGTGCGGCCTTTAACGAGATGGATGAGGAACCCTACTTTGTTGACTTCCTGCGAGAGGCACCAGAAATAACAGGTAAATTTCACTGCCACCTTAGAGTCTATCCATTGAATTTGGTCTCTCAGAATTTCAGAGATAACATTAAAAATTCATTTGATTTTATCACCAATATTTTTAAAACCTGAGAGACTGGAGATCAGTACATATCATTTTAAATACTTAACACCTTTAACTCATTCACCCCTGAAGACACATTTGAACCCTTCCAATTCAAAAGTTGGAATAGTTCATTATGAAACTTCAGGGGGAAGCCGAAGTACTTGGATAGAACCCATGTGGTCAGGCATGTGACCCCATACCTTTTCATGTTTGATAGAGGAATCGAACCCTGACCTGATGAAAGGGGAGTGTGCTGTCTACTGCACCACCCAACCACTCATAATGCTGTTTAATCAAACATAAGGATGTATTTACCATTTCTTACGAAAAATATTTATCGTAACCTGTGTATTCTGACCTGTTCAATCTGACCAACACATTGTGTCTCAAAGGGTGTCGGATAAGACAGTTTTCACAGTATTTAAGACTTACACATTTTACCTAATAGGGTTTGAATGTGTCTATAAGGTAATAGACATTTCTTATTTATTAAGACTGAGTTTGGTAGCAGAACTGCAGCATTCAAGACAACTAAATTATTCTCTGGAAAACAGAAAATGAGATTTAAATAATTTCATCGAAAGAGAATCTTTGATGCTGCTTTCAATTAATTCTGGTTGTGTTTCAATAGAATACAGACCTATTAAGCCTGTTTTACTGATTTTTGTGTTTTGGTTTTTTAATTGAGGTTCAATACTTTTTATAATATATTTATTTATCATAATTTTTAAATATTATGCATGCTACAGGAGGTAAGTGATTTGTCTCAGGGATACACCTGTAACATTACACGATAGACTATCTATATTTTATTATTGTTTTTCTTACGGTAGTTGAAAACTGATGTGGTCCTGGATCCACTTTTTGACTTTTTTTTTTACATAAAAAATTATAAACTTATACATTTTTTTTCTGGTTATTATGAGTGAATTATATTAATTATATAGTGAATTTAATTTCAATTTTTTTTCATAGAAAGATTCATGAAATTGTCAATATGAAGAATATTATAAAGCTTTGTTGAACTTTGACTATTGAGTGAAAAAAAATCAGAATAATTGGATTTTCAGATTGAAGAATATTAACTATTTTGTCATATCTATGTGGAATAAAATATATCTAAAAAAATATTTATAAATTGAGAAACATTGGGTATTTCAAGGGAAATCAAGGGATATTATTTCAATCTTTGAATTTGAAGAATTTCAAATAATTTCATCTTTTACATGAATATATTCTCCTGTTTAATCCTTGATGTCATATATTGTATAAAAGTGTACTTTCATAATTCAGATATATTTGGAATATATATGCTTTAAACATTGAATTTAGTATTTTTATCACTTATCTGTACTTTCTTGCTTATCAAATTCTCTATCTCAATTTGCTTCCTCCTCTATCATTATTACTACGACAATTTTGTGATTGATCGGCTAAAGCTGGTGCCAAATCAGCAAAGTCATCGAAGTCAAAAGAACGTGGTAAAGTCATTTCATAATGTACTCATATGCCATAGGGAAAGATGTCTCCATTCGCCCCCTCCCTACACCCCATAACCTCTCATCCCCTCAAAAACCCACAAAAAAAACTTTGTGTAAACGGGCTGTGAATAATGAATACATGTAATTCATGTCCAAATTAATTTAGGTTTAAGCTTAAGGCATACTTTGAATTGTGCCAAGAGAACTTCAGGGTGATAAATGTTTGAACAGCCCATACAAATTTGAATGTATTTCTGATAAAATTGAATTGAGAAATGTAAGGCAGAGAAAAAGTAAATGTGTTTAAATAGGTATTCAAATTTGAAACGTGAAATTTGGTCTTTTATAATCATGACAGTCTGCAACATTTATTTAATGTATAGTATTTTGGCTGTTCTCAAAGTATTTTGAAAGCAATCAGTAGTTTAGATATTAACGTCATGTTAAATTTATGGTAGTCAGAAATTTTCATAAACTCACTTGACTGGTAGATGTTTGACAGTAACTAATTCGCAAGTTTTGGAAATCGTTGTTTCCAACAATTCATTTCTGTCATCAAAATTACACCAGTTCTGGAAATATGATGTCTCTTTGGCCTTTTGTTTTGTGAACTTTGCCCTATTGTTTTGTGAACTTTGCCCTATTGCTGTGTGAACTTTGCCCTCTTGTTCTGTAAACTTTGACCCCTGTAAAACTTATATATCTTTCCTATGACATATGAGAACTACACATTGTTATGATGTCATTCATTGGAAAATAAATGACAAACATCACATATTGTGACGTAAGAGGATTCACAGAAAATGTACCGTGAATTGTGACACCTGCCTGTCTTTTGTTATGATAGATATCATGTGACCCACACTCAGTTATACACTGGTTTCCATAAAAACCATGTGACTGTCACATGACATAAAATTTCACGTTGTTGTAAACAAATTGTTGTTTTTAGATTCAATAGAATGTTCTTGATCACTTCTCTATGGTGGATTGTTGTTACGCCTTGTTGATGAATTGTTCTCACAGTAATTGTTTTCGAATGTCTTGGTTCGTAGGTCTGTTGGTTGAGCCCCACACTAACAAACGTAGACTGTCCGTTATTGTGGTACAGCGGAGCAGAAGCTTTAATGCAGACGGTGTCCAATATTTATACTTTTTTGCATTCCGACTTCTTTTATTTAATTTGTGGAGAACTTTTTTATTTTCAAGAAAAGCTCCCATGAGAGCCTTTGACTTTGGTTTTTTACTTCTAGAAATTGGTTTGTTGATCTTATTTGTCATTCTTGGGTTGTTGGTTGATTTTGATTTTGTTCTGTAATTATATGAATGGACCAAAAAAGAATGCATCCCTGTGCATGTTGCCTGTCTGATATTCATGGTCACCAAAAAAATACTTCAGTATTTCTCGGACTTGAAAAAGTAAAATGTACTTTAATCATGCTTACAAAGTTACAAAAATTTGATTAAGGAAAAAACATGTCGGAGAAACCATGTAAAAAATACCTTCCTTAAAGCTGACTGGTAAACACACACACACACACACACACACAAAAATCAAATTAAAAAGTTTACAATTTTAGCAATAGATTGTTAATCATCTATGTGTGAAACATTAGTTAAGAAAATTTTAAAAGATTAAATTAAAAAAAAATAAGTCCTGGAGTGACACTTAGTTCAGATGGTGTTATAAGGGAAAGCACCTGCTAAGAATACTGGTTGTGACCTTGAGTGTCTGACCTTGACAGATCATGGTCATGACCATGACTGTATGCACAATTGGTTGAGTGTTTGATGGAGCACACCAAATGATATCCAGCCACTAGTAATGAATAATTATATGATATTTGAATATTATGCATATTTTTTATGCAAATCACTCATGGATTTTTTTTATCATATATATTTTCTTTTAAATTCCTGCATATTTTATGCAAATTAATCATGAAATAATAATTTGCATATTCATTAAGACAAGTAATTGTAATCATTTACATAATTTATTCAATATCCTTTTTGTGACAAAACAAAATAAATAGACATGTCATGAACTAAAGATTTAACTCTTTATTCTGTCATGTAATTATTAGCTTTTTAGTTTAGGTAATATTCTAATTTATTTATCAACATTGGTTGTCATCTGTGTATTTTATAGAATCAGTTTCAATTAAGAACTTTAATATGTTACAATATATGGATTTATTTTACATGCATTTATTTATGTAAATTATTCAATGTATAAGGAGGTAACTATGAATTTTATTAACATATTACTCTTGCTGATTGAAAGGTAAATGTGATTCATTTACATCTAGATAACTTAACTGTTGTTTCAGATCATTTAAAGTATGTATTGAGGATCCCTTACCACTGCCAAAATCTGGAACTGTGTATTGGAGACCATTTTTTCCTGGCATGACTATAGCTTTGATAATCATTTCTGAAAAGAAAACTATACCTTACAAGATGTTTGGGAAAAGAAAATTAAAGATGAAATAAACAAAAAATATAATTAGCAAAAATGTTCTGCCATAAAAATTTAGCTAGGCTAGACCAGGATTTCGAACCCTGGACTTCAGATGTTGTACTTTCACTCTAACCAAATGAGCTACTTGCTCTGACCAAATTGCACTACCGTTACATCTAAAACGAAATTAAGGGGAGGTTGCAGTATATACGAAAAATTACAATGGAATTTTCTAGTGTTTTTTGCCCGCAGTGGGACAGGGATCCTTAAAATTTCTAGATTATTATGTTTCTGTCAAATTATTGAGGTCGTGATTCAATACAACATGCAAGGCAAAATATCAAGTATGGGGATACATGTGTGTGTCTGTTTGTACCATGTGCTGGTACAGCATCCTTTATGTGTGACTGTGTGTATCTCATATGTCCATGTGCTGTACATGTGCCTACATGTAAAAGTACAGGGGACCCATTGCTAGATTGGAATTTCAGGTTTTTGTTTGCATGTTGAAATCAAGGCATGTGACATATGTGTCACTTGCTCGACACATGGGAAGTAGCCACACATGTGTCTCATACATGGTAGTTTGCCTAAATGTTTGCTTGGCCTTTCTCTTCATATTCAATTTCTCTGTATAAATTCTTGCATCCTTTTCATGCTTATAGACCTACAATACAATTAAAGCCTCATTTGACGTATTATAATTCATCGGTTAACCATGTTTATCTAATGTCTGAAAACATGGATGCTCTTCTAATATCATATATACTAAATTGTTTCCATAAATATACGTATCATATATATGCTTATTCTTTTCAATGACCTTGACCTTTTGTCATGACCTTCATATTTGGATATGACCTTTACCTTTGTCCAATGGCCTTGAGATTTTTGCCATGTCCTTGACATCTGTGCGGGTGTTGTTGCAGGTGATGAGCCGGAGGATGCTGACATGGAGGCACCAAAGATCTACGAGCCAATCCCCAGTCTGGATATTTTACAGGAACGCCTGCTCGGCTACATGGAACAGTACAACGAGACTATCAGAGGCACAAAGATGGATATGGTCTTCTTTAAGGTACGTACTACCCAGTCACATCGTCTAGAAGGTTCAAATCATCATGTCTGGGTCAGATGCTGTTGACTAGTCTATATAGGTTACCTTTTTGTTCCAGTTACATGTAAATAATAATACTTTAAGGTTCTTATATACCGCTCTCTCACAACTTAGATTGTAGGTCGTCTCAAAGCAGTTTACAAATTATTTTCCCTGGTTAAAGGGCCTTTACAACCAGCCAGTATCTCTTTCTCAACTCCCTGGGGAGTATACAGCTAGTGCTGCCATTTCGGGGCTCACAGCTAGCATACAACAATTCCAGCACTGCCTATCCACATACTCATTTACAGCTGAGTGCACTGGAACAAGCAGAGTAACGTATCTTATTCAAAGATACAACACAGTGCCGTGATATGACTCAAAACCCAAAACCTTTCAGTCACTAGCCCGGCGTCCTACCACTAAACTACCGTGCCTCCTAAAGATTAGTTACATTATCTGGTCACTTCAGTCACCTGTAAAATTTAGTCACCTGTCTGTTCTAGTCACCTGTAAAGATAAGTCGATCACCTGTCTAGACTTGTCACCTATCTAGACTTGTCACTTGTCTAGACTTGTCACCTATCTGGACTTGTCACCTATCTAGACTTGTCATCTATCTAGACTTGTCACTTGTCTAGACTTGTCACCTATCTAGACTTGTCACTTGTCTTGACTTGTCACCTATCTAGACTTGTCACCTATCTAGACTTACCTCTGTATTTTCAGGTAACCTATTAACAACGGCAACGTGGCCGTTTGTTATGTTAACACTAAGCTCAAGTTTCATAAAACTTTTGATAAACCAGAATTGTACGATTAATTGATCTGTAAGAAATTGAAATTGTATAATATACAGTATGTGTGCGATTAGTTGCTTCAGAATTCTGACCTAAGATATGTGTTTTGTAGGACGCCATGACAAACCTGTTGAAGATATCGCGTGTGATTCGTACCCCAAGAGGACACTCCCTATTGGTGGGCGTGGGTGGATCCGGTAAACAGAGCTTGACCAAACTGGCTTCTTACATCGCGGGATACAAGACCTTCCAAATCACACTCACAAGGTTAGTTCTGCAGCAAAGATGTGGGCATGGGTCAGTCCAATTTCTTATATTAAATTTAAACTTAAACCAGACAGTAAATTTTGTATTCTATTATCCTTATCTCTGCCAAATTTTATAACAGGTTCATTTAATGAGATAATTACTGCAAAATAAGGTGAATTTTAAAATGGTCTCTTAACGAAAGTGGTCTCTTAATAGAGGTGGCCTCTTGAGTAGGTTTGGCAAAATAATTAAGGAGTATAAGAATTTTTAGCTCACCTGGCCCGAAGGGCCAAGTGAGTTAATGCCATGGCCCAGCGTCCGTCGTCAGTCAACTTTTTTCTTTAAAACGCTACTAGTCCTTAACGGCTCAGAGGAATTTGACCAAATTTGGTCTGGAGCATCATTCGCCAAAGGGTTCCTTAGTTTTGTATAAACAGAGGGTATGGCCTTCCTGGGGGCAGAGGGGTGGGGTCAAATAGGGGGCAAATAGGTAAATCTTTAAAAACCTTCTTGTCAACCAATAGAAGGATTTTGACCAAATTTGTTCTAGAGCATCTTTGGACAAAGGAGCCTCAAGTTTGTATATACAGAGGGTGTGGCTTTTCTGGGGGCAGAGGGGCTGGGCCAAATAGGGGAAATATAGGACAATGTTTCTCCTACTATAAAAGTGAAGGGATTTTCATCAAACTTTTTCGAGAGCATCTATGGGAAAAGACCCCCCCCCCCTCCACACACACACCAAAACAGATTTACATGTAGTTCATCTTGCAAGTTTGTTTCTTGTACTCCTTTGATAAACCTGTATGGTACTCAGCAGGTTTTAAATTGAAAATAAAATACCAGGTTAGCTATTAAGGCCCCTGGGCCTCTTGTTTTTTTCAAGTTCATGTTTTTCCACCACCTTAAATGTTCCAGCTGGACAGAATAAAACTGAACTGAACTGTCTTTTGTCCGATGACAGATAAAGGCTAGTGCTTCAATATCGATATAATATGTACATTATTTGATAGTAAAAATGTCACAATGTTGTCATAGCATGATTTCAATCTGAGAATAATTAATGAATAATGTTAAAATTTAAAAAGAAATTAATTAATTGAGTTTTAATTAGTTTGTATGTCAGGTGATCCTTTTAAAAAAAATTTGAATATTAGAAAATTTATAATGATTATTTTGTTTTTTATATTTTAAAAATTAATTCTAGCAAATATATAATAAACTCATTTAATAATAATGAAAAAAGAAATTAATTAATTTTAGCAAATTGATAAAAACTTATATGCGATAAAATGAAAAAGCAATACAGAAGAAGCATTTTAATTTTAAGGCAATTATTTAATTAGGTGTTTTTATGAAAATATTTTAATTGAACTCTAATTGAACTGTTTGCCACCCATAGGAAGTAAGTATTGTCATTATGAGGTGTTGTATTTTCGCGGGTGATCACGATAAGGTGGTAAAGAATGCATTCCGCAAACCTGAGATAAATATGAATACACATCACCATCTGAATGAGAATGCGAGATACCTTACAGACACCACAAACATATTTTTGTTTTAACGCAAAGCTAAGTTTAGATCTCATATCCAAAACTGAAAAACCTTGGTAAAAGAATTTTCTTCAATTGACTTATTCTCCTGAATTTGGATTTGCAAAAGTATCGTCAACAGTTTTTGGTTAAATATATTTCGAAATTCGCAGGATATATAAAGTTCCAAATATTCTATTTGAATATGACTAATCAAGAGTGTATAGCTGCAGCCTTAGAGGTGTTCTTTTCATTTTAACTCTTCCTCCCCTCCCCCCTCTCATATACAAAGCCAGGTGAAATAGGTACTTAAATAGGTTGGTGGTGTCTGAAACTGTACTCCTCCAAATACAGATTTGCAAATTTCACTGAGCATGAAATTTGCACGGTCCAGTCACTCAGTGTTACATTGTAGTTTAAATGCTAAGTTTGTTTTGAACACAAACAGTAATTGAAAACTTATTTTGCAAGCTTTAGAGAACGTCTTGCTTTGACCTGTGTCTCGTCTCTGAACTGCTGAAAACAGCTCACTAGGCTACAGTGTGCAGAGGCTGTAAAGTCAGCTGTCAGAAAATATCAAAACCAACTTAGCTTTTATTATTCATACCAAGCTGATGAATATCATTCGGAAATATGGGAGGTCATGTAATACGAAAATATGAATATATGGAACAGAATATTCCCTCTGTGTCACCACAGGTCTGGCAATCTCTACTTTGGTCGTCACAATAAGTTCCCCAATTCATGATGGTTATGTAAGTTATTATGTTTGTCTAACTCAAACTAGCTAACTTTCAAATTGTAAAAAGACACAAGGTTTACCAAGTGTCTTTAAAATTTGAAAATTAACTAACAAAAAATAGATAAACATGATAACCAACCATCTCAAGTGTTGGGACTTTTTTCTCCCACAACAGTCAGATATTATAACTAGAAAACCATATGTTTTCTTCACTATGAATTATGACGTCACTGTAGAAGATAGCGTTTCTGAGCATTGTTACTGGACATCATAATTATATGATTGATCAATGAAAAAACGTCCAGGGTGTTATAACTACGAACTGGTAGCAGTTTTACCGAATGAGTCGAGGGCGGGGAAATGTATACTATTTGTGGGAGAAACATTTGTATATGACGGTGAGCTCCACACCATTTATGACGTCGTTAAGCCACTTGCTGTGTTCACACACTGTTCGTAAGAGAAAGCATGTGTTTGTAACAATGTTAACTCATTCGCCCTTGAAGACACCATTGAACTCTTCCAGTTCAAAGGTTGGAATAGTTCATTATGAAATTGCAGGGGTGAATGAGTTAAACCAGGCAGTATTTACATTGTAAGTAAGCTGCACAATCTTTACAATGATGGTAAGCCATATGCAGTGTTTACATTGTTAATAAGCGCCGCCCTTTGTTTTCGTTGTCATTTGTTTTTTGTCAAAAGAATAAATTGTGGATGATTATGAAGAGTGGAATTCTTAATGCTAGGAATCGAGTAAGGCAATCACATGGTACAGCCTGTTAATTTAACTGTTTCCACTACTTGTACATTATATTTTCCTTCTAAACTAATTAATTAAACATGAAAACAACATAGATATGTAGCAACACATGTACAGGCAAGGTTCACTGAATGAAGATCACTAAATGTTTGTATATATATATGCACAGATAAACATGCATGCTTAGGTAACGTATAAAATAAAAAAAGCTTTTTTTGTTATACCGCCACAATTATTTCTAGAGAAATGTAAATGGGCATTGTAAAGAGGCTTAGTGATAAATTGAGGGAAATGCACAATATTTTTTTTTTTTAAATAGAAAAAGGGACCTTAAAATTTGTTGGTGGTAATATTTAGTGAGGTGGCAAATGAAATGACGGGCATTATATTTAGGTTTTGAACTGTTAAAATAGTTTCTAGTCAAATTCACTGTGAGGAACAAATAACCTAAGGTTTATATTTATATTTTCTTCATGAACTTGAATCACACAATATAAGTATGAACTGACCTTCTCATATCTGTGTGCATGTATTTTCTGATCTGCCACTGTGAGTGAAATATGAAGTTCACATATCTATATGTGTACTCGATTCTTGCCAAGTGAGGAAAACATTAATTTTCATGTTGTATCCTCAATGTGTTTGTATACTCAGATCTTACAATGTGGGTAAAACCTCATTTTCATTTGTCCTCAATGTGTTTGTGTACTCAGATCGTACAATGTGAGCTAAACCTTAGGTTCACTAATCCTCAATGTGTTTGTGTACTCAGATCGTACAATGTGAGCTAAACCTTTCGTTCACTTATCCTCAATGTGTTCGTGTACTCAGATCTTACAATGTCAGCTAAACCTTAGGTTCACTTATCCTCAATGTATTTGTGTACTCAGATCTTACAATGTCAGCTAAACCTTAGGTTCACTAATCCTCAATGTGTTTGTGTACTCAGATCGTACAATGTGAGTAAAACCTGATTTTCATGTGTCCTCAATGTGTTTGTGTACTCAGACCTTACAATGTGAGCTAAACGTTACGTTCACTTATCCTCAATTTTTTTGTTTAGTCAGATCTTACAATGTGGGTAAACCCTCATTTTCATGTATCCTCAGTGTGTTTGTATACTCAGATCTTACAAAGTGGGTAAAACCTCATTTTCATTTGTCCTCAATGTGTTTGTGTACTCAGATCGTACAATGTGAGCTAAACCTTAGGTTCACTTATCCTCAATGTGTTCGTGTACTCAGATCTTACAATGTCAGCTAAACCTTAGGTTCACTAATCCTCAATGTGTTTGTGTACTCATATCTTACAATGTGAGTAAACCCTCATTTTCATGTATCCTCAGTGTGTTTGTACATACTCAGATCTTACAATGTCAGCTAAACCTTAGGTTCACTAATCCTCAATGTGTTTGTGTACTCAGACCTTACAATGTGAGCTAAACCTTTCGTTCACTTATCCTCAATGTGTTCGTGTACTCAGATCTTACAATGTCAGCTAAACCTTAGGTTCACTTATCCTCAATGTTTTTGTGTACTGAGATCTTACAATGTGAGCTAAACCTTAGGTTCACTTATCCTCAATGTGTTTGTGTACTCATATCTTACAATGTGAGTAAAACCTGATTTTCATGTGTCCTCAATATGTTTGTATACTCAGATCTTACAAAGTGGGTAAAACCTCATTTTCATTTGTCCTCAATGTGTTTGTGTACTCAGATCTTACAATGTCAGCTAAACCTTAGGTTCACTAATCCTCAATGTGTTTGTGTACTCAGACCTTACAATGTGAGCTAAACCTTACGTTCACTTATCCTCAATTTTTTTGTTTAGTCAGATCTTACAATGTGGGTAAACCCTCATTTTCATGTATCCTCAGTGTGTTTGTACATACTCAGATCTTACAATGTCAGCTAAACCTTAGGTTCACTTATCCTCAATGTATTTGTGTACTCAGATCTTACAATGTGAGTAACCTCATGGATGACCTAAAGTTCCTGTATCGTACATCTGGACAGCAGGGCAGTGGTATCACCTTCATCTTCACAGACAATGAAATCAAGGACGAAGGCTTCCTCGAGTACATGAACAATATCCTGTCTTCAGGAGAGGTAATTATCGGAGTGCTGACAGTCGCGGTTTAAAACACATTTACACCTCTCAACTACATGAACCATTGCTGTGTCTACCGTACAAAATTTGTCAGAATCAAGATAATAACAACGTTGTCAGGATCCGGCTGTTATTTATTTTATTGTACTTGCTGCTTCCCATGCACTGATATCGAAAATCAGCATTAATATCAAGTAAGAGTTCTCTTCCCCTTGTTTCCTCTCCGTCCATCTTTGTACGAACGTAACACCCAGGGATTTTGATCAAACTTCATACAAATACAAAGGACTATAATATCTCGGACAAGTTCGAGTTTCAGGGTTGTTAGGTCAAGGTCAAGGTCACCGTTACTATTTTTAGAAAATCCTTGTCAGCGCTGTAGCGGCTTTATTTCTTGAGGGAGTTTGAACAAACTTCACACAATTACAAAGGACCATAATATCTCGGACAAGTTTGAGTTTAAGCGCTGTTGGGTTAAGGTCACCCTTACTATTTTTAGAAAGTTCATTGTCAGCGCTCTTGTATTATTATTACATTAAAATCAGGTTCAAGCTTATTGTAAATTTTTCATTTTCCCAAAGGGCACCATTTTTATAAATCATTACAGTGTAATAGCTAGCGGGGGCCGGTAGGGGACATGACATGTATTGCTTTAGCAATAATCTGTATGCTTGTTCAACAAGTTTCCCCAAAAAATGTACAACCATATTTAAGCGTCAAATTTTGTACACATACTTATATTTATTACTATATTCCAAAATTCTGAAGAATGCTATAATCTCTTACAGTTCTTAAACATCCAAACTTTGGAATTTATTTCTCTGTCTAGGTGTCAGGCCTGTTTGCTCGAGATGAAATGGATGAGATATTACAAGAACTGATTGGAGTGATGAAGAAAGAATTCCCTCGCCGAGTACCAACCAACGAAAATCTATACGACTTCTACCTGTCCAGGTGTCGACAGAACCTTCACGTGGCTCTCTGCTTCTCACCCGTGGGAGAGAAGTTCCGCAGCAGGTCCCTTAAGTTCCCTGGGCTAATATCTGGTTGTACCATGAACTGGTTCCAGAGGTGGCCCAAGGATGCCTTGATTGCGGTGTCGAACCACTTCCTGGCCGAATTTGACATCTCCTGCACACCTGTTGTAAAACAGGCTGTAGTCAGCACTATGGGGATCTTCCAGGTACAAAATTTTTCCCTTTTTTTAGTAAATTTAATTTCTTTAAGAAAATTCCAATTTAAAAAAGGAAATTGCGCTCTGATAGCCTTAGCACCAAGTATCATGATATGGTGCTTTTCATATATATGTCGGATAACATTTACTTGTCCATAGCATAATTTGTGAATTGTTTTTAGCATAATAAACCATCAAAAGGTGTACAATTCTAAAGTATTAGGACCCTCACTTTAAGGTGAAGATCACTAATTGAGAATCAAGCAGGAAATCAAAAATTCATTGTCTCAAACAAAACTAAAATGTATGGTGTTTTAATTCAAAAGTTATCTTCAGTTGTAATATCCGGAAATTATTTTCTTTTTTAGGACAATGTCGCAGAAACTTGTATAGACTATTTCCAGAGGTACAGGCGTCAGGCGTACGTCACCCCAAAATCGTACCTATCCTTTATTGCTGGTTACAAGACCATTTATGCCGAAAAGAGAGGAGGAATTCAGATGCTTGCCGATAGGATGAACACAGGTACAGGGATAGCAGTGTAAATCAGACCCTTTGCAATCTGTAAACTTTGTAAACTTTACACCAAATGATCTGGAAACCTGTGTAAACTGGACGTTACTTAGGTTCCACTGTGTAGATACAGGTTTTACTATATCCAGTTTTAAATGAACATTGTTGAAACAATATTTTGTGTTTTCAAAATTACCCAATTCACAGTTGCTATCCGACTCCTTCTAAAGTAATGGACCGATTTCAATGAAATTTGCCAGATATGATAACTGCCACCTGAAGTTGTGCATCCAGATATTATTTTATCATTCTGATCCTTTTTTTTTTACAAAGTTATGGCCCTTTGTTAAAAAATTCTTGTCCGGACAAGTCTTCCAAAACTATGGGGCACATTTCAACAAAAATTTCCAGATATCATAACTACCATCTGATATTAAGCATCCATGTAATTTTTTTTTCATTCTTACCCTATTTACAGAGTTATTGCCCTTTGTTGTAAAATGCTTGCCCGCACAACTTTTCAAAAATTTCTGGGCCAATTTCAATGAAAGTTTTCACATATGATAACTACCACCTGATGTTGTGCATCTAGGTTTTATTTTTTCAATCTGTCCCTTTTTTCTGGAGTAATGGCTTTTGTTGAAAAATACTTGGCCAGACAACACCTCTAAGACTATGCAGCCAATTTCAAAGAAAGTTTTTCAATATGACAACTGACAACTTCTCCTAATCTACTGGGCCGATTTCAAAGAAAGTTTACAGATATGGTAACTGCCCCCTGATGTTGTGCATCCAAGTAGTACTTTTTCATTTGAACCCTTTTAAAAGGAGTTATGGCCCTTTGTGAATAAACCTTTGTCTGCCTTATAAACCACTGGGCCGATTTCAATTAAAGTTTTCAGATGCTGTTATTACCCCCTGATGTCATGCATCAGACTTGTATTTTTTTCATTTTGATTCTTTTCAAGGAGTTATAACCCTTTGTTAAAAATCTTTGTCCTGACATCTTTTCCGTAAGTAATAGGACAGTTTCAGCAAAACTGGTTCATCTGGGCTAACAAGATTTAGTACATGTATGTAAGTATGTTTTGGCATGGGGTGGGAGAACAGGAAGTATGTCAGTGACCTGTATACTTAAATAAGTGTACAGCTCAGTCAATAAAGAAATCATTACTGGTGGGAGACTATGGATTGCTTTGCAATGCTTTGTCTTGGTAAGCCTTTACCTTACAGTTCTGGTTTATATAGCAGTGGGGGTATGAGTTAGCTTTTGGCTTACAGTTCTAGTTTAGATCAGAATAAACCAGATGGGTGCTGCAGGAAGTGTGCAGCTGAATGATGGTGGGTGGTCATGACCTAGATTAAAACTTGACCTACAAAATACATTTTTTTATGAATATTACTGTGTACTGTGATGAATCTGTTGATGACATGGTGAATCTATTACTGACACTGTTGAAAGATGCACAAATTGACAAACCTTAAAAATTTGATATTACAGCTCCCCCGAACAAATGCTACTGAAGAAACTATCAGAAAAATCTCTCAAATCAATTGTTTGATTTAAACAGTAATGTAATTCATAAGTATTAGTGATGGGCAATCAGTTTAAAATCATAATTGATAATTGGTATGTCATCAGAAGTAGATCGATTGTATAATTGGTTCATAATTCTACGGGACTGAATACCCAAATACAGTGAGAACACTACTACACCAATAGACAGAGCTGTTAACTAACTGTACACTAGTGTTTGTTCTTTTATAATGAAGGGATTTCAAGCAATTTTTATGCAGTATTTTGATCGATCATATAATTGAAGTCATAGGAATATATGACTTTCAATACAGTTTTTACATTAAAAGACACTAGCACTTTGATTTCAATGCAGAATCAATTATATCGATAATGTCATTTGTAATTGATAATCGGAATCGGAAAGGCCAACGGATCAATTTTCGATGATAATCGATCATCAGTCCAGTACTAATAAGTATAATAACATTGGTATCTGCTTTCTATCCAGGTCTGGACAAACTGGTGGAGGCTACAGAGTCTGTCCATGAACTGTCCAAGGAGCTAGCCGTCAAGGAGAAGGAACTTGCCGTTGCATCCAAAAAGGCCGACAAAGTGCTGGCCGAGGTGACTGTATCTGCTACTGCGGCCGAGAAGGTCAAGGCTCAAGTGCAGACGGTCAAGGACAAAGCACAGAATATTGTAGATACCATTTCTGTAAGTGGATTTATATATTCATTGTTATTTTTCTGCCAATTCAAAAAATTATGCATAGCATTTTGTTTACAGAAAACATATTTTTTCCAAAATGTTTGCAAAAGTTTTCCTTATTAATGCTGCCTTGATCTTGTAATTTTGTTTCTAACTCCATGACCACCCTTTATAAAAACTCAAAAATATAATGGTCATGCTTTATTAATTCATTTCAATTGTAAGACCTAGAAATCAATTAGTTCAAGGGTAAACTTCGAGTCAATGTTTTCCCAGAAAGAACCTTTGTGAAAATAAGGATTTGCCAAGTTTGTCTAAGAAAATGCAACTGTAATTATTGGTGTAGGTGGACAAAGAAGCAGCTGAAACGAAGTTGGAGGCTGCCCGCCCAGCCTTGGAGGATGCTGAGCTTGCCCTTCAGTCCATCAAGCCAACTCACATCGCTACAGGTAAAGATTTTAAGACTCTTTCATGCTCACATGCTGAAAACAATACGTGGACAACTGCGAATAAATTGTTGAAAACTGTGGGAGAAAAGCTTGAATTTTAATACAAAACATCAGGAATTCTGAGAAAGTTAGTTCAATACTGGTCAAATATATTTCTGTTGGCCAAAAGAGGAGATAACTTCACTAGTGTGGAAGAATGCATAACCGTTCACTGTATTCCTCATAAAATTGTGTTTTTTGTTTCAGTGAGAAAGCTAGCCAAGCCACCTCACTTGATCATGCGTATCATGGATTCGGTGCTACTGCTGTTCCAGAGGAGGATTGACCCTGTAACAGCTGATCCGGAGAGACCCTGCCCCAAGCCATCCTGGGCAGAGGCACTCAAACTCATGAGCAGTGGAACGTTCCTGAACGGTCTCCTCAACTTCCCCAAGGTATGAATTATGCCGTTTTCTATTCACTTCAAAAAGCCCTCGGCCTGTATTCATGAAACCGTTCTCATGCTCAAGTATAGTTGTTGTGCTCAAACCAACTTTCTTAAGTCTCTTCAATTTTTTTCCAAATCATTGACAAAATAATGTGTTATAATTAATTCATTAAAAGAACAAGAAAATAGGCTTGAGCACAAAATCCATGCTTGAGCATGAGAATGGTCTCATGAATACGGGCCCTGGATTTGCAGAACTGTTCATAAATATCTTATTAAAAATTGGAGCCCCACAAAGCCCAAAATTTTAGGGGTTCTTTTGACTTCAAAAAGCTCTGGATTTGCAGAGCTGTTCATAAATATCTTATTAGAATAATAATTTGTGAACTGCTTTGAGACGACCTACAAACTAGGTTGTGATAAAGTGGTATATAAGAACCTCCAATTATTATTATTATTATTAAAAATTGGAGCCCCCCCCCCCTCCCCTTTTTTAAGGGTTTTATTGACTTCCAAAACCCCTTAATTTGCAGAGCTGCTCATAAATATCTTATCATAAAAAGGAGCCCACCCCCACCCCCAAAGCCCTACATTTTCAAGGTTCCTCTAATTTTTTTTATTATTTTCAGTTTAACTCAATTGTTATTTTTTAAAAGTCCATGGAAATCAACCTTGCCTTGAGAGTGTCTGGATTTTGAAAACTCTCTCTGAAATATCCTTAAATATTCTTATTCTGGTCTGCTTTAGGCCAGTAAAAGTTTTATCATACAGTATAGTTCATATTCTCGTACACAGTGAAAATGTTCTGTAAAATTTGAAGAATTAAAAAATAGTTCAGTATTTCCCTATTTTAGTCCAGACATTACTTTTCTGCTTTTAATTCTTAAGTTGGCTCTGTTTATGATTTTTGCAAATTCTTTTTACATTGTATATAAAACATATGTTTGCTTAAATTATTTGATGTCCTTAAATAATACTTAAAAGACTAGGGGCGTTAATGATAATTTTTGGCCTCTTTGGGGATTTAGATTTAGTTGTTATATTTGTAATCTGAAATAAATGAAGTACACAAGTATGAGATTTCAAATTCATTCGACAACTGGTTTAGGAGACATGGCATTACAAAGAGAGACATAAACCTGCGTGTTCATAATAAAATGCGTGAATGTCTTCTGTTGTGCGCTATTTGGTTTAGTTGACATTTTGCCATTTTGAAGGAAATTAACAAAACATTCTTCAATTTTTGAAAGCCTCCGCATGCACCATACAAATAAATATTGACATGCTTAAATATTGTCATACCAGTGTTCATTGGCAGAAGGGAATTTTTGTCACATGTGGAGGCTTTTATTACTAATTGCTATAACTGTCAAAAAACACCATATTTTGACTATTTCTGCAAATAGCAACACAATTTTGTTGCTATGGTAGGGCATCTACGCATGGGCATTGGAAAAAATCTGCACCAAGAAAGATAGCCCCAATTAACCAATATGTTTATAACAGAAATTGGTAAATAAATTCAAGTTGAAATTTTCACTTTTTATAAAGCACAAAAATGACCCATAAAGCCCAAGTCCTTTGATTCATAAAACACCTTTAATGGATCTCCGTACCAGTACCAAAAACTAGAACTAAGTAATGGAAATCAGGTTTTTTTCCAGAATGACTAAAGCGTTCATAAATCATTTCTTTTAAGAAAACCATACCTTGCAGGATTTTTATGAAAATAATAAAAGATGAAATAAACAAAATCTAATCAACAAGAGTGTTATGATTGTAAAAATGTCAGCGGGCTAGACCGGGATTGGAATCCTAGGTGTCATATTGTTATACTTTCGTTGTAACCGATTGAGCTATCTGCTCAACAGAAATGTACTAGCTCAAATTGAAAATGTGCTACAGTTGTATCTAAAATGATGTTTACGGGAGATTACTGTGTAAAGAAAAAATATGGCAGTGCTGTAGGACTTAATTAATACAAAACCAAGTTAGGATTGTATTCAGGAGACTTACTGCATACAGAGACATTTTCGCTGCAGTTTAATTTTTAGCCTTTTTCACCCTCCGAAGTGAGGATGAAGTTATCATTAAAGTGAACATCAGTAAACAACATCATATGCATAGTAGTTTAATGTGAAGGGCGAAATTAAAACTGGACGAAAATGCATTTTACCGGCAAAGGATGAAAGCTTGACGGGGCAAACATTTCCCTCCCGGTATACAGTGTGTGGAATAGAAAGCACCTAATCATTGATGGCGTTTGTTCTCAGGATTCCATCAACGAGGAAACTGTGGAACTTTTGAAGCCATACTTAAGCATGGAGGATTACAGCATGGACAATGCCAAGAAAGTGTGTTCTGATGTTGCTGGACTTGCAAACTGGACACTGGCTATGTCGTTCTTCTTCAGCATCAACAAGGAGGTTTTGCCTCTCAAGGTCAGTGGTTCCAGGTCAAATTTATGAATCTACTTTTATTGGTTCAAGCACAATATCAGCAGTTCAAAGTTAATCTGAAAAAAATAATGTAGTTCTGGTCCAATGTATTGGTTAAGGGTTAGCCAACATTAGAGTTATTAGTAAAAGGTTTGATCTCAAGTTGAGGATCATATTAGCATAAATCAGTAATTTGAAAATTGGGACTACAAGATGAAAACACAGTTTCCTAATAAAAGGTCATTTAAAATTTTGACTTCAAGGTGAAAATGCTATTTCGCTAAATTGGTCTTTTGAAAGTTTGAAATCAAGATGAAAATGCTATTATCCTAAATCAGTGATTTGGTGGTGCTATTTCGCTGAATAAGTAATTTGAAAGTTTGACATCAAGATGAAAATGCTATTATTTATAAATCAGTTATTTGGAGGTGCTATTTTGCTAAATTAGTAATTTGAAAGTTTGACATCAAGATGAAAATGCTATTATCCTAAATCACTGATTTGGTGGTGTTATTTCGCTGAATTAGTAATTTGAAATTTTGACATCAAGATGAAAATGCTATTATCCTAAATCACTGATTTGAAGGTGCTATTTTGCTAAATTAGTAATTTGAAATTTTGACATCAAGATGGAAATGCTATTATCCTAAATCACTGATTTGGTGTTGCTGTTTTGCTTAATTAGTAATTTGAATGTTTGACATCATAGTGAAGATAATATTATTCTTTAGACCAAGAGGATATGTATCAGTCAGGCTAGATTAGATCAGTCTTTGAGCAACACATTTATTTATTGATGACAATAACAGACATTTGAAAGAAACAAAAAATCAAATACACAATGCTTGAAATCCTGCTAGTTTACCAGCACATCTTAACCTTGTAGGTCTCGGGAATCAATGTATGTTTGACATCTTTCTTTTCCTGTTGAAGTGAGTTAAAAATCTGTTGATTTGTCCTTTGTGCATTTAGGCTAATCTAGCTGTTCAGGAAGCGAGGCTTGGAGGGGCCATGAGTGACCTGAACGAGGCGCAGGCAACCTTGGATGAAAAGGAGACTGAGCTCGCAGGAGTGCGAGCAATGTACGATGCTGCCATGCTGGAGAAACAGGTAACGGGATCACTCACATTTTATGGACATCTAATTTTGCCGTTTTACAGTGTAACCTGTTGACATTAAGACCTTTATGACTGGGAGACACAGGGCCTCTCTGATCTGATAAGTTTGGTAATTCGTTGAATTTTTGAAATGCTATGTTTTGTTTCCAGACAGGGAGACATAAAGACTCTATCATATGAAGGTATATCCAAAGGTCACGAATTTGGGTCAGAACCAGAAGGTTGTATGCCAACATTAGAGTTATTAGTAAAAGGTTTGATCCTTAGGCTTGGACATTCTATCCAAGGGGGTAGAATATGGGTCAGAACCTGAGGCTTGGACATTCTATCCAAGGATGTAGAATTTGGGTCAGAACTCGAGGCTTGGACATTCTATCCAAGTGTGTAGAATTTGGGTCAGAACCTGAGGATTGGACATTCTATCCAAGGGTGTAGAATTTGGGTCAGAACCCGAGGCTTGGACATTCTATCCAAGGGTGTAGAATTTGGGTCAGAACCTGAGGCTTGGACATTCTATCCAAGTGTGTAGAATTTGGGTCAGAACCCGAGGATTGGATATTCTATCCAAGGGTGTAGAATTTGGGTCAGAACCTGAGGCTTGGACATTCTATCCAAGGGGGTAGAATATGGGTCAGAACCTGAGGCTACGACATTCTATCCAAGGGTGTAGAATATGGGTCAGAACCTGAGGCTACGACATTCTATCCAAGGGTGTAGAATATGGGTCAGAACCTGAGGCTTGGACATTCTATCCAAGGGTGTAGAATTTGGGTCAGAACCCGAGGATTGGATATTCTATCCAAGTGTGTAGAATTTGGGTCAGAACCCTAGGATTGGATATTCTATCAAAGGGTGTAGATTTTGGGTCAGAACCTGAGGCTTGGACATTCTATCCAAGAATGTAGAATATGGGTCAGAACCCGAGGTTTGGACATTCTATCCAAGGGTGTAGAATTTGAGTCAGAACCCGAGGCTTGGATATTCTATCCAAGGATGTAGAATTCGGGTCAGAACCCGAGGCTTGGATATTCTATCCAAGGGTGTAGAATATGGGTCAGAACCTGAGGATTGGACATTCTATCCAAGGATGTAGAATTTGGGTCAGAACCCGAGGCTTGGATATTCTATCCAAGGGTGTAGAATATGGGTCAGAACCTGAGGATTGGACATTCTATCCAAGGATGTAGAATTTGGGTCAGAACCCGAGGCTTGGATATTCTATCCAAGAGTGTAGAATATGGGTCAGAACTCCAGGCATGGACATTCTATCCAAGGGTGTAGAATTGGGTCAGAACCCGAGGCTTGGATATTGAACCCGAGGCTTGGATATTCTATCCAAGGATGTAGAATATGGGTCAGAACCCGAGGCTTGGACATTCTATCCAAGGATGTAAAACATGGGTCAGAACCCTAGGCTCTGCATATCGATATCCCACATACCTACATAATGATAGACTCTTTTTCTCCCACCTCTTAGCCGAAATTTTGATAAAACGAGGCAAAGTTATTAAATATAGCAAATTCTAGATAACATATACACCATATTTTGAAAGAGCAGCAATAAGTATAGTATGATAAATCATTATAGTGGTATACCTAAAATTTAAAGATCCATGCAAGACCTTCAGGACAAGCATGTACAGTATTATTATATTCTGGAGATGACTTCCCCTGCCAATGGCAAGATTGTCACAATCAGTGGATGTTCCACATGGGACATGTGTATCTGTCATATGCAGAGACGGGAAAAATAATGTTTGATTAATGGTTCTTCCGTTTCTTCTCCTGTAGCACTTAATGAGTTCACTATGGCCTTGACCTCAAAAGGACAATAAAGGGCAATAATTCAGCATAGTCTGGGCTATAAAGTTAACACTAATAAGGATTCTTCGATGAAATCTGAAGTAAACTGGCTTCAAGGTGGGCAGTACATTGTAATTAGGTCACAATGACATTCACCTCAGGTCAAAGGTAAAAAAAGTGCAAACTTTTCAGTGAAATCTTGTCTGAATTGTACATTTTGAACCCTTGAAGGTATTTTGATGAAACTTGAACACTACCTGCATCACCCATAGAAATTGTGCAGTGCTCTACATTTATGTCAATATGACTGTTTTCTCTAGGTCAAAAGTCAAAAAGTGCAAACATGCTTATTGGCCGATAAGGGGTGACATGATCTGAATGGGTTCTAATTTATTTTCTTGTTACTTTAATAATTTTTGTAAATGGGACTTTTGACAAAATATTTAAAACTTACAATTAGCTTGTTTTTGTAATTTGATGAATTATTTTGAATCTACATACATGTAGTTTTAGTTTTAAATTTCCGTATTTGTGAATTTGTACGGTTATAAAATTTTTTTATCTTGCCAAATAGTTTTGGATTTTTTTTGTCTTTTATTGAAAAATTATGATTCCTAAGAATAATGAGTTTTGAGAGTTTATTTTATAACTTTTATAGAAGTATTCAGCACTTATTGTCCAAAACCTACATTTTGAAGAGGGAATCCAAACCTAGAATTTATAGCAGTCTTTTTAACGAAATTGTCCTTGTCTTGCCAGACCCTGTTGGATGATGCCGAAGGTTGCCGAAGGAAGATGACCAATGCTACAGCTTTGATTGAAGGCCTTGCAGGTGAGAGGATCCGTTGGACGGAGGCGAGCAAGGGCTTCGCATCGCAGATCCATCGACTGGTAGGCGACGTCCTGCTCTGCACGGGCTTCTTATCCTACACGGGACCCTTCAATCAGGAATTCCGAACTCTCATCATCCGCAACTGGAAAAAGGAAATGGTGGCAGGAAAGATTCCCTTTAGTGATGTATGTTATATATGTATATATGTATAAAATGGCATGCAACCAGATTGATTGTAAACCGGGAAATGTTCATCACTGTTTAAGTTTCAGTCTGTTCGTGCTCTGAAGTGAGGGCCGATTTGTGAAAATTAGTGCTCAGTAATTTAAGAGGCAAAATTAATACAGGGCGAATATGGATTTTATTGCAAATGATTAAAAATATTTGCATACCTGCCAACCTTCCCTTTTGTGGAGGGAGACTCTAGATTTTGGACCCTAATATTTTGTGAATTTTCTGAACTGTTCTTATTTTCTAAAATTGATGATTTCATCTGAGAGAAGAGCTTAAAAGATGTTAAAAGTTGGCATGTATGTATTTGATGGGGCGAAAATTTCACAGTGTACAGTACTTCCATAATCAAGGTTTATTGTGTTCTCATGGAAATCGTGTGGGGGTTAATAATGTTGTCTTTTACAGGAGTTGAACATCATCAACATGTTGGTAGATAATGCTACCATCAGTGAGTGGAGTCTTCAAGGGCTTCCTAATGACGAACTGTCCATACAAAATGGTCTGATCGTCACCAAGGCCAGCCGTTACCCACTGCTCATCGACCCTCAGGGCCAGGGCAAATTCTGGATCAAAAAGAGGGAAGCAGGCAGCGAACTACAGGTGAGTTACAGGGACATTTAACCGGTGTCAGAGTGATGAATTAACAAATTTCACAGATTGAAAATTGTGAAAAATATTACAATCATTCCTGCATTCGTAAGTTTGAATATGCCACAAAAGCAATGCGGTGTGTTGTAGATCACGGCACTGAACCACAAATACTTCAGGACCCACCTTGAAGACAGCCTGTCCCTGGGGCGTCCCCTCCTTATTGAGGATGTCGGAGAGGACCTTGATCCCGCCCTTGACAACGTCCTGGAGAAAAATTTCATCAAGTCTGGATCAACATTCAAGGTAAATCATTACAAGTTCAAAAATGGGTTTGTAAATCCATTTAATTCATTCACCCCTGCAATTTTATAATGAACTTTTCCAACCCTTGAATTGAAAGAGTTCAAATGTGTCTTCAGGGATGAAGGAGTTAATTGTATTCCTACAGGACTAAATAAAATAGAACTTAAGTAACCCCGAGTAAAAAAGGGGAATAATCACATTTAATTTTGGCTGCAGGTTAAGCTGGTAGATAATTTGATGCATGTTTGACTGTGTGTTAAAAGTAGGAGATAATCTCAGCCGATATTGGCTCCACCAGGTTTAAGTAGTAGATAATCAGAACAACATGTTTGACTCCAGGTAAAAGCAGTAGATAATCTGACCACTCATGGTAAAAGTGGTAGACAATGTGATACATATCAATTAAACTTCAGGTAAAAGTAGGAAGTAACCTCACCTGATGATAATCTGACAGCATATTTAATTCAAGGTTAAAGTAAGCGATAATCTAATACATGCGACTCTAAGTTAAAGTAGGCGATAATCGGATACATGTTTGACTCTAGGTAAAAGTAGGAGATAATCAGATACATGTTTGTCTCTTGGTAAAAGTAAGCGATGATACATGTTTGACTCTAGGTAAAAGTAGGCGATAATGGGATACATGATTGACTCCAGGTTAAAGTAGACGATAATCTGATACAGGTTTCTCTCGAAGTTAAAGAAGGCGATAATCTGATACATGTTTGACTCTATAGGTAAAATTATGCGGTAATCTGATACATGTTTTACTCTCTAGGTAAAAGTTGGAGACAAGGAAGTGGATGTGATGAAGGGCTTTACAATGTACATAACTACCAAGCTGGCCAACCCAACATACACCCCAGAGGTCTCCGCCCGAACGTCCATTGTGGACTTCACCGTAACCATGAAGGGACTGGAAGACCAACTGCTGGGAATTGTCATCCTTACAGAGAAACAGGTACACAATGGATGATTTTGAAAAAAAGGCAGTGTCTTCACTCAGGGATGTGTAGTGGAGGGATACGCAACTTCCTATTTGCCTTAGTAAATATGTTCAGAGTAAGGTTGGCTTATCTCCCTTGATCGGTGTTCTATGATACAAGCGCCCCCTAGCGGACAATACACATCCCTGCTTCACTTTATATAATATTTCCTTTCAAAACCCCCACACACCCGTTTTAAAAAAATTAATGTCATTTCATAAAGTATGTGAAGGTTATAACTGTGGACATAATGTTGACTCGGATCAGTATTTACTTTTCACGAGTGACGTTATTTCGTTGTTTTGTACATAAAAAATAGCCCTGGGGTAGATGATTTAAGTGAACAGTGTTCAAAATATACAACATTTGTAATGAATAATACATCACCAATTTAACTTCATTTGAGGTTTAAAATGTGATGTGCTATCTAATTACCGTCTCTTGAAGAGTTATGCAAAATGATGTTCCAACTCTACACAACCTTTAATTTGAGTTACAAAACATTATGGGTGTTCTTAACTGTTCGTGCCTTTTCAGGAACTGGAATCTGAGCGTACCAACCTACTGGAGGAAGTGACGGCCAACAAACGCAAGATGAAGGAACTTGAGGACAACCTGCTGTACCGTCTGACTTCCACCAAAGGCTCCCTGGTTGAGGATGAGTCACTCATTGAAGTGCTCCGCATCACCAAGACAACTGCTGAGGAAGTCAGTGAGAAACTGAAGATTGCTGCTGAGACCGAGATCAAAATCAACTCTGCCCGGGAGGAGTTCCGTCCCGGTTAGAAATCGTTCAAAACATTCTCTCACAAAGCCAACTAGCTATGGAATCAAATCCATAAGCAGAGCAGTTCTGTCCCAGTTAGAAATCGTTCAATTCATTCACTCACAAAGCAAACAAGCTATGGAATCAAAGATAAAAGCAAAGGAGTTCCATCCCGGTTAGAAATCGTTCAAAACTTTCACTCACAAAGCAAGCAAACATATGACCATGGAATGAAAGATAAGCAAGTTTTCAAGGATATAAATATGGATGGCAATGAAATACATTGTTGTTTTACAAAAAATAATACTTCAAATTATAGAGGAGTTATCAGTGTTTGTCACAATGAAATGCAGATGAAAATCTGGTAGAGGGATAGCCATCCTGCAAAGAAGCCTTTAGATTTGTTTAGCTCATGATCCACCAGAGGTCAAGGTCACTTTTGCTAAAAATATAAATATAAATTGCAAAGATCAAAGTTGCCGTGTGAGTTGCCCAAGTGAATGTGAAGAGCCTACTGATTTTTGGTTTGGTCTGCTAGAGGCCAATGTCACCGTCACTTAAAACAGGATTTTGCTTCATTGGTTTTTTTTTTATAAAAGCTTAAGAATGAATTACTATGCAAAGTTCAAACTTTGTGTATGGGGTGCCCTAATGATTGGAAATTAACCTATTGATTTTTGGGGTGGGATGTTAGAGTTCAAGGTCACTTGCTAAAATTGAATTTTGCTTCTCTAAATGAAATGAAGAAAATAAATTGTCATACAAATTCAAACTTGCTGTATGGATAGCCTCTCTTCTCAGGCTAAAAGAATCCATTTCGTCCCTTTTAAACTGGGTGAATCCATTTTGTCTTTTATCTGACTGGGTGAATCCATATTGTCTTTTATCTGACTGGGTGAATCCATATTGTCTTTTATCTGACTGGGTGAATCCATATTGTCTTTTATCTGACTGGGTGAATCCATATTGTCTTTTATCTGACTGGGTGAATCCATATTGTCTTTTATCTGACTGGGTGAATCCATATTGTCTTTTATCTGACTGGGTGAATCCATATTGTCTTTTATCTGACTGGGTGAATCCATATTGTCTTTTATCTGACTGGGTGAATCCATATTGTCTTTTATCTGACTGGGTGAATCCATATTGTCTTTTATCTGACTGGGTGAATCCATATTGTCTTTTATCTGACTGGGTGAATCCATATTGTCTTTTATCTGACTGGGTGAATCCATATTGTCTTTTATCTGACTGGGTGAATCCATATTGTCTTTTATCTGACTGGGTGAATCCATTTTGTCTTTTATCTGACTGGGTGAATCCATTTTGTCTTTTATCTGACTGGGTGAATCTGTTTTGCTCACTTGTTTCCTCTCAGACTTGGAAACATACTTCATTTTATCTCTTCTTTAAAAAAAAACTATTTCATCCCTTGTTAGAAACACTGACTACATTCTGTCTCCTGTAGGACTGAATAACTCTGTTTTGTATGTTACAGTCGCATCGAGAGGCAGCATCCTGTACTTCGTGATTGTGGAAATGAGCATGGTCAATACCATGTACCAGACATCTCTCAAACAGTTCCTGGAGATTTTCGACTTGTCAATGGCAAAGTCACAGAAATCTCCTATCACTTCCAAGAGAATCAATAACATCATAGAGTATTTGACATTTGAAATTTTCCGATACACAGCTCGTGGTCTCTACGAGTCGGACAAATTCTTGTACACCATGTTGTTAACCGCCAAAGTAGAACTAGCCGCGGGCAGGATAAGGCCAGAGGAGTTCCAGGTATTCATCAAAGGTAGGTTATCATGCTATTTGCCATTAATCTTAACTTATTCGACCCTGAAGATGCATTTTAACTCTTCCAATTCAAAGGTCCCGTTATGAAATTTTAGGGATGAATTATTCGCTCTTTGGACCAATGTTTCATTAATTACCACACTTTCTATAAAAAAATGTTTTTTCTGTATTTTAAAATATCTACGTGAAGTTGGTCTGTACCACAAAATTTTAAATTTTAAACCACTTGTAATAGTATCTGACTATGTGTATATATTTGCAGTTTTAACCTTTTACCATTCATTTTCTTTTTAGTGCATTAAGTTTTGTGACCCTTATTAATGTTGTCAGGCCCAATATGAATTTACTGTTGACTCATTTACCCCTGAAATTTCATAATGAACTATTCCAACTTTTGAATTGGAAGAGTTCAAATGTGTCTTCAGGGGTAAATGAGTTAAGCAACTTACTAACTTTACTTAATAAACAACTTACACATTTTCCCCTAGTATAATACCTTAAGAAAAAAGTTGTACTATTTCATATTTGTGCTGACAAATCACATGTACTTAAAATGAGGACTAAATTAGGAGTATGCTTTTAGACAGATTCTTTTACAATTGGCTATTTTCCAAAGAAAAATTTCACAGAATTTGATATAGATTAAGAAAAAAAATCTAAGAATAAAATCAAAAGACTTCTTATTTAAAAGAGTTACAATGTTGCTCCAATAAATTCCTGCGTTTTGCAAGAGATTTGCTGTGTTGTTCACACTTTTCTCTGGATAAAATAGGCTAGGTTCTGTGAATTACTATTATCACCAGGCATCAGAGGTGGGATGCCCTATATAGAATACACACTGTGTTTCTCCACCCTTCTGTCCAATGTTTCGTTTCTGGGATGGAGTTGTACAGTTTGGGACATATGGCAGGGCCTTGCTGACCTGTCAGATATCTTGCTTTTATAAAAAGAGTATGATGTAATGAAATGATTAAAATCATGGGTCATATTATATTTCATTTTGTTACCAGGTGGCGCTGCTTTGGACCTGAATGCAGTTGAACCCAAACCTAGGAAGTGGATAATGGATATGACTTGGCTTAACTTAGTGGAACTGTCCAGACTTCCACAGTTCTCACAGATCTGTGGACAAGTATCTCGCAACGACAAGGTAAAAATTTCGCCCTGGTTACTATGTATTAGCTAGGTCACCGTCATTTCGTGTCATTTCCAATCCAGATCAAATTAGTGCTATTGGTATGTATATGTCGGTAAACTAGGCCATCATTTAAGCCTTGGACTGTTTTTGTATGGCATTTATGATCTTTTTGAATGACACAGCTTTGCAAGCAAACACCATATTGCATGCTAACGATTTATGATTTGTTGGCTTCCAAAGTTGTGTCATTCAATTAGATCATAAATGCCATGCAAAAATATTTCAATGCTTATATTTATGTTTTCTCTGCCTCTCACGTTTTTTTGCAAATCATATTTAAAATTTTAAATTCCCACTTATCAACAGTCTGCACAAATTTGTTCAATAACTGGAACAGGGTATGGTCGCATGCTGATTGGCTAAGCATTGTGTGTCGTGGTGCATGTCATATAAAGTCCCTATCAACGACACAGCTTTTATGAACGTTATCTAGTGACATTGACATGCAAACATAAATATTTGAAAATATTCAATATAACTTGATGAAAAATTGAAGTGTACAAGAAATGTGTCAAGTAAATTGTACCTTGATAAAGTCATTGCAAATTTAACTTCAAGGTCAAAGGACAACTACGTGTTTATATACTACACTTTTACAACCTACAGTGCAATGGATACTTATGATATTTATGAGAATTGTTGTGCGCAGAAAATAAATTTTACAACGCAAAAAAGAAAGTCTTGCGATGAAGGTTAATAAAGAATGATAATACAAAAAAAATGAAATTTGGAACCAAATGTGTTGAGTACATTATCTTTGTTTGCCATAAATAGGCTTGGAAGAGCTGGTTTGACGAGGATGCGCCTGAGGAATGTACTATCCCTGATGGTTACAGTACCACCTTGGATACATTCCGTAAGCTGCTCCTCATCCGAAGCTGGTGCCCAGACAGAACCATTCCAATGGCCCGTAAATACATTGCTGAGGCAATGGGTGTCAGGGTAGGTTTTGCTATGTCCTCTTCTACTCCTTTGGTATATGGATTTTTTGTTGTTGTAATTAAGTGTGTCCCTATGTTCACAAGTTCTTATCATATTTCAGTGTTCTGATGTTTTGATTTGCAAAGGTTGTGATCCTTATTATTTTTTTTGTGTCCCAGTTTATAACGAGTGTGGTTCTTAATATTTACTGTCCTTTTTGCATCACCGATTACAGAGGGTGTGATTCCTTTTTGACTGTTCTTGTGTCACAGTTTACGGTGGGTGTAATTATTTTCACTTGTTTTGTGTGTCACAGATTATAGAGAGTGAAATTGGTAACAACTGTTCTTGTTTTACAGTTTGCAGAAGGTGTGATCCTGAACCTTGATTCAATGTGGGAAGAATCCCAGCCCAGGACACCAATGGTGTGCTTCCTGTCGATGGGGTCCGATCCCACAGACAATATCTTGTTGGTGGGCAAGAAGAAGAATGTCAAGTGTGGCGCAATCTCCATGGGGCAAGGACAGGACGTCCACGCCCGACGTGCATTGTCCATATCAATGGCAGAAGGACAGTGGGTCCTCCTCCAAAATTGCCATCTTGGTCTCGACTTCATGGATGAGCTCCTGGACACTGTAAGTCTTGTGTTGACAATATGATAGAACCCTTGTGGACTAGCAAAATTGTCTGAGTGTCTGATTTTTGTTAATCAATCATTGACTGAACCGTAATAATGTATACTTGCCAACTTTTTTAAATGTTCATGGGGGAGATCACGCATGCTCAGAATTAAAAGCATAAATAAAATGTGTGTATGTACACCTTAAGGAAAAAATAGCACTCTTAAATGGCATCGTTGGAGCTGTTCTTTCAGATGAAACCATTAGATCATAGAAAATAGGAATAGTTTAGCAAATTCACTAGTTGAAAATGCTCATTTTTAGGGTCTAAAATCGTGAGTCACCTGCCCAAAAAGGGCGTGTTGGCAGGTATAATAATGATAGATTGAGAAAAAAAATAAACACTAATTGCCATGGGTGGATATGTCTGATGGAATGATTCCTGTTTGAGAAAAACATTACTGTGGGTTACTTCAAATTTGTTAACTGGTAATTTCGCAAGGATTTAAATTCACAATAGGATCAGTAACATTTAACTGAGAAAAAACAATTTTGGTATTTTGTGTGAGGAATAAAAGAAAAAATTGATAGACAGTCAAGTTTTATTTCACAAAATAGAAATAACTTCAAAATACTACAGTACGTTGTTTTTTTTCAGAAAATTTCAAAATTAGACTTCATTAAGTAATTATTCATGAGGAAAAGAAAGAAATGTATATCTGGTGGGTTATTGTTTTTATTGGCTTAATAAATAACATATATTAAATTGTAGGTTCTGAATACTGAGAACGTCAACGAAGGTTTCCGACTTTGGCTAACAACCGAACCTCACCCCAAATTTCCCATCAATATGCTGCAATCATCCATCAAATTCACCAATGAACCTCCACAGGGAGTGAAGGCTGGTCTCAAACGAACATATGCGCTCATCTCTCAGGTAAGCTCAATTGGATATAACAGGTGTAATATTTTCGATAACAAGCCTAGGGTTTTGGAGTAGCCTGGTGGACAAATCTCAGGTGTTGAAAAATTTGACCTGCATTTTGGAAATAAAAAAAAGAGTCAATGCAAAGTTTTCAATAACAGGACAATAATTTCAGAAATATCTGGTCCCATCGTCAGGAAACTGTTCTCATGCTCAAACTCAGATCCTTGGCTCAGGCCCAATTTCTTCTTCCAATTTTAAATTCCTGTCAATGAATTTAACAGAATTTTGGAGCAAATTACCATTTTATATGTATACACTTGACTTTTTCAGTACGTATGTCACATGATTTAAGCAAGTTAGAAGAAGAAAGATGGTTTGAGCACAGAATTCATGCATTGTCTCATGAATTAAAACCCCGGATTCTTGACAAGAATCTCAAGTATTAAAAAATATCTTTACAAGATTTAAAAGACAATACCCCCCCTAAAAAAAAGAAGGGAAAATGTTTAATTTTTAAATCAATTTGCATCCACTTAACAACTGAAAAAACAGTGCTTGTCAATCCTGACAGGTAAATCTTACTTATCTAATATGGGTATACTCACCCAAGAAGCTGGTAACGATAATAGATAAGGAAGCAAGCAATATTCGTAACATATTTCTTCTGCCCACAGGAACAACTAGAGTACACCAACCTACCACAGTGGAAGCCCATGCTCTATGGCGTGGCCTTCCTTCATACTACCGTACAGGAACGGCGTAAGTTCGGACCCATTGGATGGAACATTCCATATGAATTTAACCAGGCTGACTTCTCAGCTACGGTACAGTTCATACAGAACCATCTCGATGACATGGACCCAAAGAAGGTAAAGTCACACTCCATTAAACCCTTGATCATAATAAATACACAGGAATAAGCTCTTTTTTTTTTATTACACTTTGATTTTTATTTTTCTTCTTTTGGCTTACAAAAGTATATTGGTATTAGAATAAGCTTTATATGGTAATTTGTCAGTTTGTTTTGTTTGCACATTAACTTTTTTTACTGCGATTCTGTTCATTTTGGGCATTTTGTAGCAATTTTAATAATGATTTTATTGAATTCACAATGATTTGTCTTAATTTATTTTTCATTCATTCATTCATGCATTCATTCATTCGTTTGTTTGTTCATTTGTTCATTCGTTCATTCATTCATTCATTCATTTGGACTTACTTAATGCTTTAAGTATTATCATAATGCCTTTTTTTGATTGCTTTGTTTCTCCGTCCGTCATGACCTTTGATTCAATAGTCTTACAGATCCAATGTAAGTCTGGCATGTATATGTGTATTGTAGTTGATACAGTCACCCTCACGTCAATGGTTATAACTACAATCACGATATACAGGGACTTCAAACCTTCCTCAATCATATACAGTTTATCCCTGTAATTCTCACTCAAATTATAATTCTGTATTATATTATTTTAAACTTGTCGTTATGTGAAACTGCCAATTGTCAACGAGTGCCATTTATATATTTGGCTGTTGTTTTTACAATATCCACTTCAAGATCATATTTATACAAAACTGCACAAGTTGAAAATGGTATATTTGTGTTTTTATGTTTTTAAATAGTTTAAAATTTTGAATTGAAATTTTTAAAAGAAATATTATTTGTTAATTTAAATATTGACACAAAAATAAATATTTCATAAAAAATACAATAAAGATTATTTTCAGGCCATCCTTAAAAAATTGTTCACAGGTTTCGTACTTGTAAAAGTCAGATTTTTTTTGAACGACAGTTTAAAAAACCCCACTCAATGTGCCATTTTTTGTGTGGTGGTTGGAAAAGGCAAACAAACCCATTTTTAAGGATGGCCTTAGTGTTAAACCTGGTCAGGTAAAGTGATTAATGCTAGAAGCTCATGAGTTGTGTTAAAGATATAATTATGATACTTTTTGGTTACACTCATCAGACCCGACTAAGTAAAGCAGTCAAGGTAGAGTTTCCGTGGTAACCATGTCTCACCAAATCCGTCGTTATAAAAAAACAATTGTCTGTCCACCGTCGACACCAAAAATTGTGCATGTTGGCATGCTGCCGTCAGTGTATCAAGTGTCATCTTAAGTGTGTATTATATGGAGTCCCCTACTTGGTCATTTCTCAATACAATATATGTCAATGAATATTTATTAGGCAAAGCTTTTGTCAATGTATTTAAAGTTGATGTTAAGTCATTAGTCTTTTAATTATCAAATGATAAATCAGCTTTTATTTTAATTAAATTTGAAATGTTTATTTTTTTCCTTATTATTTTCTTTGCATTTAAAAATTTTCATTAATCTTCTTCTTTTTTTAATTATTGATGTCATGTGATAAATAGAATCTAACATTCCTGTGGATGTCATATTGAATATATATTTAACTCGTTCAATATGACATTGACATTCATCTAAGATCCTTAATTTATCATATAATTTATCAGTTATTTTGATGTTAACAAAAAGAGAGTTTAATTTCCCAGGCACATAAAATATTGTTATTAGGTCTGCATCACATTGCAGGGAGATATCTGGCTCACATGGGACATGTTATGTTTATTTACGTTTAGTTGCGATAGATTCTGTGTTACCTTGACCTTTTCGGAAGCCCTTGACCTTTTTGGGTGGTCATATCAAGGTTATGCAATAATGATGTTGCATGTAGACTGTAATTACAGATAATGTTGCATATAATTTAAAACATATACTCCAGGTGTAACTCTGCTTTAGAAATCAACCCGCCCCCTCAGCCGTGAGGTCTGAAGCTTTTGACCTTTGAACCCCTGTGTGCTGGTAGCTGCAGGTTTGGAAACCAGTGTCCAATCTCTCTTTCAATAATTATATAGATATTTCAGGGGCAGTGCATCATGAAAATACAATGTTCATGTCAGATTCAATGTGAAGTAAAGTTTAAAAATAAATAATAATAAAAAATGAAAAATTAGTTGGGAAGATACTTTTGGGAATTCAAGTCTGTTCTAAAAGTCTGACTGTAGAACTAAGATTGTACTCTCATTTAGTTTGTATTTCATTAAAATCCCAATAGGCAGTCACTGAAGTTAAGGGTCCCTGTTCCGATCTTTTATTTCATCAAAATTCCCATAGGCAGTCACTGAAGTTAAGGATCCCTGTTCCGCTGTACTGGGTTTTTTTTGTATGTATGGTTACCTCCCCTTAATTTTGGGTATAACCCTGAGGTAGCTCAGTCGGTTAGATCAATAGCATAACAACCTGAAGGTCAGGGTTTGAATCCCAGTCTGGCGGCCCCATCTAACTTTTTACACTCGGAACACTACTGCTGATTTTGTTTTGTTAATAATGTATCCAAAGTTACGATATTCATGCTAGGGAAAAAAGTTTCCTATGTGAAATTACAGTATTTGGCAGTGGTACGAGGATCCTTAAGACAATGATGTGGTAGTTCAGAATTTAGTAATCTACTATAGCACTCATTGTGTTGTACTGTTATTTATTGAATGTTCGATGGAGTCTCCACACTTGTACACATTTAAACTGTTACTGTAAACACCTCACAAAAAATAGTAAATTGTTAAGTTTGTCACATTTAAACTGTTACTGTAAACACCTCACAAAAAATAGTAAATTGTTAAGTTTGTCACATTTTTTTCTCTGCAGATTAATTTTTTGTTATTCATTATGTCAAGACCTTTTCCTAAACAAATTTTTCTCCTTTTTAGGTCACCTGAGCTTTAGCTCAAGTGACCTATTGCTATCCGTTTTCGTCATCCGTCGTCGGTTAACATTTTACATTTTCAACTTAAGCTGAAATACTGGCAGAGGTATTTCATTAATATTTCATGGGAAGGTAATACTGACATCTCCCTGACCAAGTGTTGTTATTTTTCGGGTCGATAAGAAATTCAATATGGCCGCCACGGCCGCCATTTTGAAAAACTATTTCAAACTTAAAGTCAAGTTCTACTGGGCCGATTGAACTGAAACTTTGTAGGAATGAACAACTCATGGTCCTGACAAAGTGTTTTTTTTTTTCAGGTCGATCAGAAATCCAATATGGCCGACACAGACGCCATTTTTGAATACTATTTCAAACTTAAAGTCAAGTTCTACTGGGCCGATTGAATTGAAACTTTGTAGGGATGAACGACTCATGGTCCTGACAGTGTTGTTATTTTTCGGGTCGATCAGAAATCCAATATGGCCGACACGGCCGCCATTTTGAAAAACTATTTCAAACTTAAAGTCAAGTTTTGCCTGTCCGATTGAACTGAAATTTTGTAGGAATGTTCGACTGATGGTCCTGACAAAGTGTTGATATTTTTCGGGTTGATCAGAAATTCAATATGGCCGCCACGGCCGCCATTTTTAAAAAACTATTTCAAACTTAAAAACAAGTTGTAATAGGCCGATTTAACTGAAACTCGGTCTAGGAATGATCAGCTCATGGTCCTGACAAACTTAAGTTAACGTTATACTGTACTATTTTGTACTCAAATTGGTACATATTTCAACAACAAATATAAATACTGTAGGACTCAGGTGACCGTTTTGGCCCATGGGCCGCTTGTTTTCTTTCACATTTTATAAAAATATTAGTAGATTTATACAATAAATGTATGATAATTTGACTTTTAATCACATTAATTAGTTATACAATGAACTAAATATTGTATGAAGCATAGTCGTTTATTTTTATTTTTTATATAGAATAAAATTCAAAATTAAATAAATATAATAAGATTATGCAAATATAGATATACACGTATATATGTTTGTGTGTGTATATGCAAATCCCTAGGAAAAAGTCCTCGATGACAGACTGTGCCACTCCCACCTGAACTTAACACACATTTACCTTGCACATTAAATAGGATTTGACAAATATGAACCAAAGTACTAGAACTATATTTTTCTTTGGATTCTACTTAACTAACTGTCAGCTGCAGGTCATCATCATTATTAAGCGCTTTTGCATGCTCCATACTAGCAGTTTGCTGACCTCTGTATTCGTCAGTAATTCCTCCATTAGCCCTAAATTACCTAATTGTCATTGGGCCTTCAGACATTACAAAACAAACAACAAATCCTACACTCCTATCTTGTTTTAATTTGTTTTTAACCAAATTTAATTTCGTATCCAGTATTTTATGAAATCAAATTTTCACTGGTCAATCATCCTTGTAGGGTGTGTCTTGGAGCACAGTGAGATACATGATTGGTGAGATCCAGTATGGTGGGCGTGTCACAGACGACTACGACAAGCGCCTCCTCAACACCTATGCGAAGGTCTGGTTTAGTGAGGGCATGTTTGCCGAGTCCTTCAGTTTCTATACGGGTAAGTTGGGTGCGAAATAGAGGCTGGGCCTCAATGATTGATGGTTGGTTGTCTTGTTCATTTCACAAGAGTTAAATTATTTGCAAAAATAGTAAGTGACACCAGGTTATGTTTAGAACTTTTCAAAAAAAAAGAAATCATGGACTTTTTTATCCCACGATTTTCTTTATTTAAACTGTATACGTTTCATCCTTGAGCTGCCATGCATGACCATCAACTTCAGCACAGAAAAAACTGTACCATTAATTGAACAGATATAGTGAAAAAGAACATCTTTTTCATTGTTTCAATATGAAAACACTGGTTTGAAGGATTCATCATGTTCATAGTTTGACCTTTGAAAAGCATCTGAGGTCAAAAGTGACCAAAGAAAAACTTCTTCCCTTGTATTTGGATTTTACCGTCTCCATGAGATATCAATTTAAATTGAAGCAACAAACTTATCTTGTGAAAATTGGTAAAAGGATGTTCATAGTATAAGAAATCTACAAAATGTGTTGAATTTCGAATTATTCATAAATTTGCGCCTTTTATTTAAAACAGGATATAAGATCCCCAAGTGTAAGACCATTGACGAATATCGTAACTACATAGAGGGCTTACCACTGCAGGACTCGCCGGAGTGTTTCGGATTACATTCCAATGCTGACATTACGTAAGTAAATCTACAGGTACCCAAACAAAACTAGTTATTAAATTTACAGGTGCAAAAATAAAATGAAAAACGCCCATAAGTATATCAAAAGATGCCCTGCAACTCTTGTTATTAAGGTTCCCTACAAAGGCGCTTTAGTAAATCTGTAGGTACTGTACCTTACAAAGTTTTGTTAGTTCACAAATCTGTAGGTACCTTACAAAGTTTTGTTAGTTCAGAAATCTGTAGGTACCTTACAAAGTTTTGTTAGTTCAGAAATCTATTGGTACCTTACAAAGTTTTGTTAGTTCAGAAATCTGTAGGTACCTTACAAAGTTTTGTAAGCTACTGGTGCCCAACAAATAAATGCTTTGTTAGTAAAGCTACTGGTGCTCAACAAATGCTTGTTAGTAAATCTAAAGATGTCTTACAAAGTCTTGGAAGATCTGCAATTGCTGATAAATCATTTAAGCGAGTTAATCTGCAGATACCTAGCAAATGCTCATTATTATATCTACATGTGCTCTTTAAAGCCTCATAATAGAGTGAAATCTTTAAAAGAAAACTTTGATTTTGGTACAATGCAATTGGTTGCTGTCTTGTGTACGGGAATCGACACTCACTCACAATCAGAGCACTTCACTGTAAGCTGTGCTTTTTGTGTTGTTTGTAACTAAACATGAGTTTATGTCTATGCCACAGTTATCAGACCAATACAGCTAACACTATGCTGGAGAACATCGTGAATATTCAGCCTAAAGATACCGGAGGCGGTAGTGGGGAGACTCGAGAGAGTGTCGTCTACAGACTCGCCAACGACATGCTGGACAAACTACCCAATGATTACGTTCCTCATGAAGTAAGTGACCTCTGACTACGTATCCCAGGTGGTTGTCCGTGAAAAGAAACTGGAATATTAACTCATTCACCCCTGACGACACATTTGGACTCTTCCAGTCCAAAGGTTGGGAAAGTTCATTATGAAATTTCAGGGGTGAATGAGTTAATTCTTCTTCATGGTTTCAGTAACTAATAATTGTACAAGGTAATAAGCTTAAGGTATCTAGTTTCTTTAAATTTGAAGCTTTTATTTTATACCTTATGACCTTCAAACTCAACCAATTTGTGATGGATTTTGTAACAGGTTAAGAATCACTTGTTTGACCTATGAACTGCAAACTTAACCAATCAATGATTTTCATTACAGGTCAAGGATCGCTTGAGGAAGATGGGAATTCTACAGCCCATCAATATCTTCCTTCGCCAGGAAATTGACCGCATGCAGAAGGTCATTCTACTGGTCAGAACCACGCTGATTGACCTGAAGCTTGCGATCGACGGTACCATCATCATGAGTGAGAATCTGCGTGATGCCCTTGACAACATGTTTAATGCCCGTGTGCCCACAAACTGGAAGAAAATTTCCTGGGAATCGGCAACCCTCGGGTTCTGGTTTACAGACCTACTTGAGCGAAACGCCCAGTTCCATACCTGGGTGTTTGATGGCCGACCCATATCTTTCTGGATGACTGGATTCTTTAACCCCCAGGTATGTTATATTTTGTCTTTCTGCCACAAAGAAGCAGAAGTGAGACTAAGGTGTTGCTTTTCTGGCGGTGGCGTCAACATAAAGTTTTTGTGTTTAAGTTAGTTTCACTGAAAATATAAGTGCTAACTAATCAAACATGGACCATAGATGCATCTTAGGTAGTACATTTCAACCCATGCATCAAATGCTGGATGCGGCCTACCTTTCATGGTCCATCTCCATCAACATTAAGTTTTTGTATTTAAGTTAGTTTCTCAGAAACTATAAGTGCTAGAACAACCAAACTTGACAATGTGCATTGATGGTCAAAGATATATCAATCTGAATGGCTTCTTTTTGGGATGAGCTGCCAAATACTACCTTCTGTTAAGTTTCTTCCCCAAATAAAGAATTCCCAAAATCGTGTTATCATTGAGGTGGAATACAGATTTGGGCTGAGTTCATATATACGGGGACATTTTCGCCGCAGTTTAACTTTCACCTTTTTTGCCCTCCCCAATGAGAACAAATTTGTCATGAGAGCAATTTTTAGTACATAACAATCAATATATAGTTATTAAAATTTGAAGGGTGAAATTAGTATTAGTCGAACGTGTATTCCATTGGCAGAGGGCCAATATTTGACAGGGTGAACACTTCCTGGTGTACATATTGACAGGGTGAACACTTCCTGGTGTACGTATTGACAGGGTGAACACTTCCTGGTGTACGTATTAGGCTATTGATCAATTGGCTAGGCCTTTGTATTAAGTGAGGTTTGTTTACATCACTGTTACACTAAAAAGATGGATATCCTATTTGTTAATTCACTTGTAATTATGCTGACAAACAGGGGCCAAATTTTTGAAATACTTTTCATTTGAAGTTTATATTTTATCACGATAAATACTGTACATGGGGAAACTTTTTACGGTCATTTAATTTTCGCCTTCCGCAACGAGTGCAAATTTATCATGATATGGAATATCAGTACACTAACATACCATACAAAATAATTACTGTAGTTAGTTGTGAAGAGGCTGACCCTGGGGCTCCCCAACCCCAGCAGCCTTCTTATCTGTTTGATGTGGGAATAAGATTGATATTTGAAAGAAGAAAAAAAGGAATAAATTGTGGAGGGCCAAATTAACACTGAACAAATTTTGATACTGGTGAAGGGTAACTGTTTTACCGGGTGAAGGTTTTCCCTGTGTACAGTAATGGGATAACCTATGGATGCTCCTGACTAAAATTTTTGTCTTTTTGGTGATCGCAGGGTTTCCTGACCGCAATGAGACAAGAAATCACTCGAGCCCATAAAGGCTGGGCTTTGGACACTGTCATCCTCGACAATGAGATCACCAAAATGATGAAAGAGGACCTTACATCGCCACCCAGTGAAGGTATGCAAACCAGGTTGATTGTTTCACATCGTGGCAGTAGGACGTATAAATTAAGCTATTATTATGTTTTTTTCTGATCTGATTTCTTGTTTGCCAAACTTAATATTTAAAAAATATATAATTCTCCTCAGGGCAGTAAGAGCTTCTTGGATGTTGCTGTTTCAGCCTTATTTTATGTAATGTGATCGTGACATTTTGTAGATGTAAGAAATCTTTGTTTCTGAGTGGAAGAAAATGTGATTTCATTAATATTTCGTACTGATTTATTGTTCTATATAGTTCAATTAAGACCATCTTCTGGTGGATGATAAATATGCAAGACAACACACTTGTGATTTCTAACGAATCAGAAAGCACAAGTTTATAGCGCGGATGAATATATTCACGAGTGCGCGGAGCGCACCAGTGAATATATACGTCCGCACAATAAATGAGTGCTATAGATTTTATAAACTTTGATATTTTTTGCAAATACCGGGAACTTTTCAGTTCGCCATGGCAAGGGGATTCCCGTAAAAAGTAGTTATGGCTAGTAGGTAAATACAACATTCCGTATTGCACATGTGCAATACAGAACGTTGTATTTCATGATCTGAAAAATTGCCTGTATTACTATAACAAGATTCAACAGGTATGTGATAAAACATTGTATCCTCTTGACGGAAGTCAATAATTGTATAATGTTGTATTGGGTGTGTTGAAGCTTCTAGACTTTAACTTGATTGGTGTTTGTCATGTTTCAGGTGTGTACGTGTACGGTTTGATTCTCGACGGAGCTGGCTGGGACCGTAGATCTGCTCGCTTGATAGAACCTACTCAGAAGGTTCTATACACGCCTTTGCCTGTCGCTCATGTGTTCGCTACGAACCAGGAGAAGCAAGGCAAAGCACAGAATCTGTACGACTGTCCCGTGTACAAAAAACCACGTCGTACAGATCTAACCTACATTTTCCCGCTAGGTCTGAAGACGAACAAAAACCCTGACCACTGGACACTCCGAGCTGTCGCTCTGCTCTGCGACACCAAGTAAACTGGACATTAAAGCTACTGGACATTGTACTGTTAAAAAAAACACCATTGTGGTGACCTATTAATATCTATGAAAAAAAACATTGTGTTAACCTATTAATATCTATGAAAGATGAGGAAACAGTGAACATTACAAGACCTTGTGTCTAAAACCTAATAATAAACGTTTATACATTGGATTATCAGTGACAAATACATGTACTTGCTCATAATCAGAAGAATTGGTGCAAATTCAAGACTTGTGCTCATATACATTGATGCATCTATCCTCTTCATTCTTTTTCCAACAATAAGAAATTTGTCCTGACAATAAAAATTATGGATTTGTGTTTGTCTGGAGAAAAATGTGATATTCCCACCCTAATAAGTATCCCCAAATGATAAGAGTAAAGGGGAATAACTCTATTGTAACTTTTGTTTTATTTGCCCGTCACTACTGAGAATATTTATGCAATATGACAGTAACTATCACAATGAGAAAAGTTTCTGTTGTAAGGTGTAAACACCTATAATCTCCAATATATAAATATACAATCAAATAATTGTTTTTTGTGCGAGAGCATTGTAAATTGAAATTTTAAAAGAAACAGTCTGAAAGACTTGAATTTATCGATATTTGTATCTATTTGTTTCTGTTTATTCACACAAATGCTAAAATAATTTAATTTTGTATCAATATACTGCAATTTATTGTGTTTAAATTAAACATTATTCGAGACGAAAACGATAACAACAGTAGAAAATGTTAAACAGTTTTTTAACATCCTGTTTTTTTTGTGGTTACTTTAATCAGACATTTGGAAAAAAATCCTGAATGTTAACATTACCTGTTAGATTTCTGTGATGTACAAGAGATGTACATGTACCATATAATTCCTGTCCATTTTCTGGCCACAGTACCACCAACACATCTGTGTGGCTCTTCGGAGGCTATTTCCTTCTGCAATCAACATAGTTTTTGACCTCTTTTGTAATTCGCGTATATTCAGAAGTCAAAGTTGAGTGCAATGGTAGCGCCCAAGACTGTTGGCAGTATTGTGGCCCCAATATTTACGAAATCCGTCCAATTTTTACAGGGTTGTGTGTGTGAAAGGTAGGTTACAATACTGAACATCAGGAAAGATTTACTCATTTGTTTAGGATTATAAATCAAGTCTTGAGCAAAGACAGTCATGCTTTTTCAATCAAGGAACATTCACATTAATTAGGCAGTCACCTAGGTATAATAAGAATTTAAAAATTCTTTCAGTAAAGCAAAGAATTTTTGACTTGTACTTAAATTCAATGAATTGTTTTCTGATGTACAGCACTGTGTCTACCCTGGAAATTCCGTCTACAGTATTTAATATTTATATTTATATATGTGTGTGTGTTCTTCGAAATATTTGTTTTTATTAATATATATTTTTTTTGTCATTCATCTACAACAAATTTTCATGAAGAGTTTATTTTATTTTGTGTTACAGCTTTTGAATTGTTATCATTGCACATTCTATTATATTTATCTGTTGTTATTCGTATATTAATATTGAATGGTTTGTCTGTCACTAAATTGTTTGGAATAAAACCATTGCATGTTGGAATTGCAGACTCCTGTTATCTATCAGTTATATCGTATGTGTTGTTCCCTTTTCTTTGGGTGAAATAATGTCTTCAGGATCCCTGTCCCACCACACTCTGGTTTTTGTCTCCCCGCTACGAAGCGGAAGCAATACTAAGGTGTTGCTTTTCCAGTGGCGACGTCAACCTTAAGTTTTTGCATTTAAGTATGTTTCACTGAAAGTATATGAGCTAGACCAACCAAACTTGGACCATAGATGCATCTTAAATCTCAACACATGCATCAAATGCTGGATGCAGCCTACCTTTCATGGTCCATTGACTTTAACATTAACTTTTTGCATTTTAGTTAGTTTCTCTGATATGTGCATTGATGGTCAAAGTGGGGCACAGACGAAACATATCAATTGGAATCCGAAACAGACTCCCCTCCCCTTAGTTTTGATTTGGCTATCACTATAGAGCAGTTGGGCCAGAACCCTTTTATTTACCAGGTAGCTCAGTCGGTTAGAGAAACAATAAAACAATCTGAGGTCCAGGGTTCCAGTCCCTGTTGACTTTTACTTGCAGAACATTGTTGTTGTTGGAAATGTTTTATTCATTTCACATTTGTTATTTTTTCATAAAAGCCTTGCAAGGTATCCTCTTATTTTCAAAAATGATTTTATCAAAGCTTTATTGACACGGGGGTCCGTAAGGTAATCCAAACGGATTAAACTCATTCATATATCAATTTTTGTATGCTTTACAATCAACTTAAAATTGAAATTGATGAAACTAAGGCAAAATCGTATACATTGTGTCTATCTACACGGAAACCATTGGAAAAAAGTACAAGGGAAATAAGACCAGGTGTTCTAGGAGCAATTTTCTGATTGATAGATGATATCAGCTAGGCAATCTGTCAAATCCAGGTAAGGTCATGTCCTGAAAGAAAGGAACGGGGAAATGACGACGAAACCGTAAACATTCTTATCGCACAAGGAAATAGAATATTTTTCAATGCTTATTATGATCGCAACCACAAAACGTAACCCCAAAGCCTGAATTGCAAATTTGCCTGTCAGCATTCAACATGTTAAATACGGAAATCGTGATATTCGAAGCAGCTTTCTTATATTCAAAGACATACATTTTATAGCATCATCGATATATCTGAAAGCGAGTTGAAAGACTAGGTTTATTTTACATATCATGATACATTCTTAGATAAATTCAGATTCGCATGAAAACCAACCGAAAAAAACATGTCAACCAAGATTAATTTATTATCATTAGCTCACCTGCCCGAAGAGCAAGTGAGCTTATGCCGTGGCACAGCGTCCGTCGTCGTCCGTCGTCAACTTTTTCTTTAAAACCTATTTCCTCCTAAACGCCAAAGAGGATTTCAACCAAATTTGGTCTGAAGCATCACTAGGGGAGGGCAATCATTTCTTAAATAAATGAGGTTGGTTCAACCCCTGGGGCCAGGGGGGCAGGGACCTGAAGGGGAACTTAGCTAAATTTGCTTTAAAACGCATCTCCTACTTAACGCCAGTGAGGATTTCAACCAAATTTGGTCTGAAGCATCACTAGGGGAGGGCAATCATTTCTTAAATAAGTGAGGTTGGTTCGACCCCTGAGGCCAGGGGGGCAGGGCCCTGAAGGGGAACTTAGCTAATTTGCTTTAAAACACATCTCCTACGTAACGCCAGTGAGGATTTCAACCAAATTCAGTCTGAAGCATCACTAAGGGAGGGCAATTATTTCTTAAATAAATGTGGTTGGTTCAACCCCTGAGGGCAGGGACCGGAACGGGAACTTAGCTAAATTTGCTTTAAAACGCATCTCCTACTTAATGCCAGTGAGGATTTCAACCAAATTAAGTCTGAAGCATCACTAGGGGAGGGCAATCATTTCTTAAATAAATGTGGTTGGTTCAACCCCTGAGGCCAGGGGGCGGGCCCTGAAGGGAAACTTAGCTAAATTTGCTTTAAAACGCATCTCTTGCTTAACACCAGAGAGGATTTCAACCAAATTTGCTCTGAAACTTCATTGGGGGCGGGCAATTATTTCCTAAATAAATGAGTCTGGTTCGACACATGGGGCTGTTAAGACGCTAATACCCCCTATTTGCCTGAGTGAATTGTACAAAATTTGGTCGAAAACATTATTGAGGAAGAACAAACATTTCTTAATTGAATGAGTTTGATTGGACCTAAGAAATGGTACAGCTAGATTATCATATTCTATGGTGGAGTTTTCATAAATTGTTAAAAATTGGTTTCTAGGTTTATAAAAGCTTATAGTTGAATGAAAATTAAAGTAGTGTCTAATTACACCCTGTTGTATGACATATTACTTATTTCAAAATCTGTTAACATGGCAACTCAATGGAGGCCCCTGATTAGTTGAAAGTCAGATATTGTGGTCCCAGTTGGGTTAGAACATAGGTCTTGTCTGGTTTTGAGGAAATTTCATATAAAGATGTACTAATGCATTCAGTTGTAATGACTTAAATATAAAACCAGGTGAGCGATACAGGTCCAATGTACCTCTTGTTTAACATATACCTGTTGTAATGTGATCTCATTGAACCAGTAGGCCGATACCTAGAACGCGCTTGTCAGTGTGATGAATTGAGGATTGTGTCTTGGTAGCGTATTCCTGCCTCTTTTTTGGTAACTGTTGATTGCCCAATTAAATCAAATTAGATTAAACAAGAAGACAGTCATCAATAGAAATCCCAAATGTTAATGAGATGCCCATACTGAAAGTACTGATACTGTTATTAATGATTCATCAATTTTTCCAAATTATAAGAATCAATCTTCATAAAACACCTCACTTGTCACATATATACATAAAACAATCAAGTCACTTAAGCGTGAAAAGTAGGTCAAATACAGCATATGTAACCTGCATTCATTAGAGAATACAATTCATATAGCCTGAACAGATTGAAAGATACTGATTGCGCATTTTTTCTTAACATGAAAATTGCTGTCATTGAAGTGTGAAAAGTAGGTCAAATACATGTAGTAGAGCAACCCCAGCTGCATATAGTAGAGCAATCCCAGCTGCATGTAGTAGAGCAACCCCAGCTGCATGTAGTAGACCAACCCCAGCTGTATGTAGTAGATCAACCCCAGCTGCATGTAGTAGACCAACCCCAGCTGCATGTAGTAGACCAACCCCAGCTGCATGTAGTAGACCAACCCCAGCTGTATGTAGTAGATCAACCCCAGCTGTATGTAGTAGATCAACCCCAGCTGTATGTAGTAGAGCAACCCCAGCTGCATGTATTAGAGCAACACCCGCTGTATGTAGTAGAGCAACCCCAGCTGCATGTAGTAGAGCAACACCAGCTGCATGTAGTAGAGCAACCCAGCTGCATGCAGTAGAGCAACCCCAGCTGCATGTAGTAGAGCAACCCCAGCTGCATCTAGTGGAGCAACCCCAGCTGTATGTAGTAGAGCAACCCAACTGCATTTAGTAGACCAATCCCAGCTGCATGTAGTAGAGCAATCCACCTGCATGTAGTAGACCAACCCCAGCTGCATGTAGTAGAGCAACCCAGCTGCATGCAGTAGAGCAACCCCAGCTGCATGTAGTAGAGCAACCCCAGCTGCATCTAGTAGAGCAACCCCAGCTGTATGTAGTAGAGCAACCCAGCTGCATGTAGTAGACCAACCCCAGCTGCATGTAGTAGACCAACCCAGCTGCATGTAGTAGACCAACCCCAGCTGCATGTAGTAGACCAACCCCAGCTGCATGTAGTAGAGCAATCCAGCTGCATGTAGTAGAGCAACCCCAGCTGCATTTTTTATTCTAATACAATCCACATAAAATGAAAAGTTTCCGAGGTATGGACTGCGCGATTCGTCTTAATCTGTAACGTCCGGGCTGACCGGAGCTCGCTTCAAGATCCCCCGCCAACTCTGTTTGATAACAATTGCGGAACAAGATCAAAATCTTATATTAAATTAAACACTGTTGTTGGCCCGAAAGGTAATGCGTTGGGGGTCTAATTGTGAAAGAAAACCGGATTTTCCTCGCAGAAAACCTGTGGTCGGGCAGGCGTTCCAATACCATTTATTGGAACACCCATGATTGTCCTAAATTACAGCTTACTCTGAACAACAATTCATCCGATAAGCCAATATATTTACATTAAAACAAAAGGAGGGGAAACAAACTTTGAGCAAATTTTGCAACTAAAAACGATGCTTGAGATGGCTTGTATCGGTAAGTTTAGTAGTAATTCCTTTATTGTGTAATTATGTTAATCTTGACCTTTTGCAATAGGCCGATCAAACACTAAAGTCTGATTTAAATAATCAAAGTGTGTCCGTAAAGTTATACTAAACATGGAAAAATTGCCAATTGATCGTAATGAATGTGAAATAACAGTTTCCGTTTACCTGGGATTCTCTAGTTAGGTGATTGCACCGGATAGTTATTGGTTCATTATGAACCATGTACTTATCAAAGTTGTCCTAATAAGAATTCGATTCCGAGGAAAAACATTGATTTTTTTTTCTATAATCGTTATATGCTTGATAATGAATGTTTAGCATTCCTAATATCGCTGTTCAGAGCGCCAACATACATCAAACGCAGTTACTAATATTAGTAATGGGAAATCTTTACCGCTTGTTTTTATACATACTTATCGTAGAAGCGAAACGAGGTTTTGTACAAATGCATAGATTTGTTTTGCCAATTTGCTAACCTCGAATGTTAAGTGGAGACACGCGAGATGTACACGCAAAGTAAACATAGTAAGCAAAAGCAAACAAAGTAAGCAAAAGTAAACATAGTTAGCAAATATAGACAGACAACTGACACTGCTACTTGCTTTATTGTGCAAAAAACAAAACCAAAAAAACCAAGAAGAACACCCCCCACCCCCCTTGCCCCCACAAAAAAACACAAAAAAACACACTTGAAGAAATCAGCATGTTTGATTACATATTTACAAATTCATTACAGTGACCGTTATTTCAGTTATTAAACGGCAATATTACTCAACACTGGTATACAAAACATTAAATACTAATATATATAAAACCAATACGACACTAATAATCCCAAACTGATACTATGAGATAGAGACGACTGTCCCTTTATTGGTCCTCGATGTTCAGCTTGAAAATGTAATCAATATACAAGTTGACGTTTCTCCGTCTCCTTCTTTCTCTCCTGTCTTTCTTTCATCCAAGTATACTATCATTAATCCACATTTTGAAAATTATCCGCCTACTTTCCACCACATGAAGGATATATAACACTTCCCTGTACATTATCTACTTTCTCGTAGTACTCCATTTGTCAGAGTCATTATCTGCAGTTTCCGCTTAATAACTCTAGCAAATATTAGATAAGGCTTTTTTTTTCTTCGAGTTTCAAGCTATACATTATGTCTCAACAGCACGATACTCACATGTTTAAATCTAACCTCAGTAATATTTACCTACAATATGTCCTGAAAGCGGGGGGTATAAATTCCACGAATATGCTTGTTTAAATAAAAGTCCCCTGTTCTATTTGCCATCGCTACCAAAGTAGGACACTATATATTCTTTGCATGTATAGAGATAGTGACGACTTTACAGTATTTCTATTTCCTATAATTGACCCTAATAGGCTTTCGTACTATGCTGTTGAACTCATGTCGTTTTACACTTGTGACGTTTTACACACGTGCTGTTTACACATGTGCTGTTTTACATGTGTCGTTTTATACATGTCCTGTTGTACACATGTGCATGTTATGTTTAACACATGTCGTTTAAATCACGTGCTGTTTTACACGTATCGTTTTACACATGTGCCTGTGCTGATTAACACATGTGCTGTTTGATATGTGTCGATTTATACATATTTCGTTTTACACACGTGCTGTTTTACACATGTGCTGTGTAACATGTGTCGTTTTATACCTGTGTCGTTGTACACACATGGAGTGCTCTTCAACCCATGGCGTTTTACACGTGTGACGTTTTACACATGAGCTGATTAATACGTGTCCTACATTTTATACATGTGGATGTGCTGTTTTACACATGTGCTGTTTAATACGCGTCGTTTTACACATGTGACATTTGACACATGTGACGTTTTACACATTTGCCGTTTAAGATTTCTCCTGTTACACATATTCCGAGGGTTAGGTGTGTTGGTTGTCTTACCGGCGTGTCTTGTACCACGTGTTCCGTTTACACGGATGTTACGTTTGGCAGTAGTCCGTGTTTTATAGGCGATCTGATAGTGCATCAGCAAAACTGATGTAACAAATTGAAACGAAACAAACAAACAGACACATAACAAAACAAAATATTCACTGGTAAGTTCTGAGTAGTTCTTCTTCAGCTTCGAAAAAAAACACCCAACTTGATATGTGCATTTTTGATGGGGACATGTCCGTATATAGTTGAGATTCAAAAAAAGGAAGTATTTTAGTCTAATTTATTAACAAACAACATTAACATTGACTGATTGACACTTCGGGTCGTTCATTGGTTCGCAGATTCCTGAAATGAGAAAATAATATTAGTAATACATTTTAAAATACCGGCAATACGCAACGAAATATAAACAGACCTTGGAACCCTTTTCTTTACCAAAAGGGCGTTGTGTTTGCGTTTAACCGGACAAGAAAAACGGTCTAGGGTCTGTGAAGCATGAAAGGGCACATTTGCATCTAATTTTGATAAGTGTTCGTCTTAAGTATTACTTTGTTTTATTAATTAAACAAACTTGACATTAGTAATGGAGACTAGGTAATAAGACCCCCGCGCGCTTCCATCCAGGCCAACAAGAGCGATAAATATAAGTTGTAAAAAATCTTGTTTCATAATTGTTGTAAAATAAGTTAAGTTTATATTTTTAATGGAGAGAAAGAGGTCCACCATCTGCTTAGTAGCAGGTCCAGTAAAGTTGGTAGATTGTTGTAATTGAGTTTACTCGTCCAACCATGTGAGTAAAATAATTAAGTAAACAGGGTAGAATAGAAGACATGAATGCGAACACATTAAATGAAGGTTATCAGTAACTTTAATCTAACATTTACTAGACTCCACCCACTAGCTAACCCCGACCAACAACTGATGGTTTGAATTTTGAATTTATTTAATTATTTCAAAACAATGACTAGCACTATATTGCCTTGTTTGATATAAAACATACAAACCATGGTAATTTATTTTAGGGACATGTTCTACCTCACAATCATTAAAGTGATGTGATTAGGAATATCTCCATTTAGGATATTTGTTTCTTAATATATGTGTGTAAGAGTTATCTCCCTTTAGGATATTCAGTAGGTTTTATCTTTAAGTCCTTAAACAATATTTACAACATTATATGTAACTCCCGTGATGTAGGTTAGTGTTATCTATAACTCCTTAAACAATATTTACAACATTATATGTAATTCCTTTGATGTAGGTTAGAGTTATCTATAACTCCTTAAACAATATTTACAACATTATATGTAGTTCCTGTGATGTAGGTTANACCTGTGATGTATGTTACAGTTTTCTCCCTTAAGGTTATTTACAGCATTATGTATTATACCTGTGATGTATGTTACAGTTTTCTCCCTTAAGGTTATTTACAGCATTACATATTATACCTGTGATGTGTGTTACAGTTTTCGCCATTAAGGTTATTTACAGCATTGAATATTATACCTGTGATGTGTGTTACAGTTTTCTTATCCTTATATTCAATCAAAATAAAAAAGACAATATTATTTTAGCATTCTCTGTGGTTTTATTCGCTTCAAACACATTTGAAACAAAATGTTTTACCAAATTTCAATCAGGCGGCGAACGTCAATCGGAAACAGGATATTGCGTCATAATTTGAATTTGACGTCACGTGATGATTGGCACCGATTGCTCAAACAGTCTGACGGAAAACTCTGAACAGTTAGCTTTTGGAAAACATTCACGTAAGATGGTTATTGCTGAATTATAGCCACAATTTTGATGGCAATATAAGGATTGCGTAAACATGATAATTGAATATTTTACGATAATGTTACTATTCATGTTAACGTTGAATATTTTTTATTATGTTTTAATTGAATGCATTTTTATTTCGAGTGGAGGCAGGGGAGCATTTTCACTGTTATGGTTCCAGAAGCCCCCTAAATGATCAGTCATACTTAAGGACATTTCCATCCAATGATACAATGTAAGTCATACTTAAGGACATTTCCATCCAATGATACAATGTAAGTCATACTTAAGGACATTTCCATCCAATGATACAATGTAAGTCATACTTAAGGACATTTCCATCCAATGATACAATGTAAGTCATACTTAAGGACATTTCCATCCAATGATACAATGTAAGTCATACTTAAGGACATTTCCATCCAATGATACAATGTAAGTCATACTTAAGGACATTTCCATCCAATGATACAATGTAAGTCATACTTAAGGACATTTCCATCCAATGATACAATGTAAGTCATACTTAAGGACATTTCCATCCAATGATACAATGTAAGTCATACTTAAGGACATTTCCATCCAATGATACAATGTAAGTCATACTTAAGGACATTTCCATCCAATGATACAATGTAAGTCATACTTAAGGACATTTCCATCCAATGATACAATGTAAGTCATACTTAAGGACATTTCCATCCAATGATACAATGTAAGTCATACTTAAGGACATTTCCATCCAATGATACAATGTAAGTCATACTTAAGGACATTTCCATCCAATGATACAATGTAAGTCATACTTAAGGACATTTCCATCCAATGATACAATGTAAGTCATACTTAAGGACATTTCCATCCAATGATACAATGTAAGTCATACTTAAGGACATTTCCATCCAATGATACAATGTAAGTCATACTTAAGGACATTTCCATCCAATGATACAATGTAAGTCATACTTAAGGACATTTCCATCCAATGATACAATGTAAGTCATACTTAAGGACATTTCCATCCAATGATACAATGTAAGTCATACTGAAGGACATTTCCATCCAATGATAAGTCATACTTAAAGACATTTCCATCCAATGATAAGTCATACTTAAGGACATGTCCATCCAATGATAAGTCAATGATACAATGTAAGTCATACTTAAGGACATTTCCATCCAATGATAAGTCATACTTAAGGATCCCAAGTAAACTTTGATATTGTGATAAAATAAATAAAATAAACATACAGCATTTCATATAGCGCCCTATCTAGCTAACATAAGCCACTCTAAAGCGCTTTACAGTACATAGATATATAATTAATACAATTAGCATATACAATTTTTGAGGAATTCACAGGAGCCAACTATTAGTGCTATGCCACCTAGCTAATATCGCCCTATGTGTGTATGCCTGCGTGTGTGCTGGATATTATTGCGTTCTATTTGTAGTGGGACCGTGCTTCCAACGGTATCTTTTATAGTGCCACCTAACTTTAATGTACAGATACTGCAACATCCACCCCATACAATTGATACTCCACCTGGGTTGTTGGAGCTATGTGGGCAGGAGAAAAACACTTTCTCTGAATATACATGCGTACGACGACATCGGGGATGGAACCCCGGCCGCCTGCGTGGAAGGCCGGAGTGTTAACCACTCGACCAATCCGCCCATGTGATATGTAATTTCGAAATATGGATTCACTTTATTTGATTTGTACATAGCGTCATTAGCTTAGTCTTTAAAATGACATTAATGATAATGGCCTCATCAAATTGCTTACTGATATTCTAACATTTACTCACTTCCGTAGCAAACTGAAATTTATGAAACACCGTTATCATGCTTACCTGGATGACCGGTGGCTTGGCCCTCGGGTGTTTCACCGACTGACCACGAGCAGGTCGGGTCCCCTAGTTCTACTCCGTTCGACACACCGTCTAAGTCTGAGTCAGCCATACACAAGTCCCGGGTCCAGACATGCGCAGAGGATGCAAAGTCCTTGGAATTAGAAAATATTTGAAACACTAGACATAACTTTGTCAATGAAATGTGAAGTGAACATTTTAATTCTCCAAAGATTCAATGGTTATGAAAATGATATGAGATTCAAATAATATTCCTTACGAGAAAAATCAGAATAATTCAATAATTAACTTTCCGCTACAATATTTATTTAACATTCCACTGCAATATCGATTTGACATTTTACTAGAAAATGTATTTAAAACATTCAGGTACTCCAATGTCTACCATCTACTGTAGTTCCTGCTTGTTTGCTAATTATCGACATGAATTAATATACTTATGACGACAATGAAACAATTGTTTTCTACAACATCTATTAATAACTCTTGTTCGCGTTATGTTGGATGGTAGTGCAAGAGGTCTTCACCAAAAAAACTCTCTAACGTTTAACTACCATTTTACCATTTCACAAAAATAGCTAGTCACTATTTGATCAAATTTTATAACTTACCAATCCAAACAGATTCCTTGGACCCCCTCCATGCGCGATGTCATGCCCTACACCCTTCCATATGTGTTTTCCACTGGCACATGGGCTAGGGACATTATGGCCGTTAGGAATATACTGTGTGTATCCCGGGAAGGCGACAGACAAACCTAGTAAGGCACAAAACATAGACACCCAAATCATCGTGTGGTCAATTTCGAAACACGTAAAACCAAAATGACCTGTCACCTTGAAGTCAACTTAGATAGAAGGAATGATATGGACGAACGCTCGTGACTTGAACGAAATGACGTTCGAATCAATTATGTAAGGATATCATGAATGTGAGAATTTTAGGTGAAGTAGTTTGTCAATAACAGACGCGCTGTTCATGGACACTTCATTATCTTATAGTTATATAACACATCTTTATCTTTTGTTATATATATAGTTCCTACGAACATTGGTCAAGCGTTGGTCATTTCTATTCATACAAACCGTGTTAAATAGTTTTTTTTTTAACTTTAATACAACCAGCAAACTGTGGTGAATTATTTATCATTATATAGTACTACAAATTGTTATGAATAGTGAATTATTTGTATTTATGAAATAAATAAAAAAAACATGGTTCAGTAGTTATTTATTTTACTTAATACACAACCAGCAAACTGGGGTGAATTATTTGTCTTTACAAAGTACCTACAAAGTAAAATTAATAGTAAATCATTGTGATATATATATATATAAATTTGTAATTATACAAGACAAGGTTAACAAAGATGCAGGTTAATGAAGAGTATGCCACGTATTAACGCCATCAGGATCTATTAACGCCATCAGGATCTATTAACGCCATCAGGATCTATTAACGCCAGCAGGATCTGTTAACGCCATCAGGATCTATTAACGCCATCAGGATATATTAACGTCAATAGGATCTATCAACGCCATCAGGATCAATTAACGCCATCAGGATCTATTAACGCCAGTAGGATCTATTAACGCCATCAGGATCTATTAACGCCAGTAGGATCTATTAACGCCATCAGGATCTATTAACGCCATCAGGATCTGTTAACGCCATCAGGATCTATTAACGCCATCAGGATCTATTAACGTCAATAGGATCTATCAATGCCAGCAGGATCTTTTAACGCCATCAGGATCTGTTAACGCCATCAGGATCTATTAACGCCAGTAGTATCTATTAACGCCATCAGAATCTATTAACGCCATCAGGATCTATTAACGCCAGTAGGATCTATTAACGCCATCAGGATCTATTAACGCCATCAGGATCTGTTAACGCCATCAGGATCTGTTAACGCCATCAGGATCTATTAACGCCATCAGGATCTGTTAACGCCATCAGGATCTGTTAACGCCATCAGGATCTATTAACGCCATCAGGATCTATTAACGCCAGCAGGATCTATTAACGCCATCAGGATCTATTAACGCCAGCAGGATATATTAACGCCAGCAGGATCTCGAAAGAAATATGCTTTTTCTTGTTTGATATGAAGGTTGATGTTTTTTATTATGCTCATTTAAGGGCCTTGTGGTTGTGTTGTCCCTTCATGATTTCTTGATATAATGACGTGACATAACTTGGACCTTGATATGATGACGTGACATAACTTGGACCTTGATATGATGACGTGACATAACTTGGACCTTGATATAATGACGTGACATAACTTGGACCTTGATATGATGACGTGATATAACTTGGACCTTGATATAATGACGTGCCATAACTTGGACTTTGATAGAATGACATGACATAACTTGGACTTTGATATGATTACGTGACATAACTTGGACCTTGATATAATGACGTGACATAACCTGGACTCGACTAAGATTTACATGGCGGGTGTTATCAATGAAGATGAAGACGCTAACCCTTCCGGAACACCTTGACTTATTTTCCTTGTACTTTTCCCTCTCTTTGTGCATATTTTGTCTCAGTTTCATCGTTTTTCAGTTCAATGTAAGGTTTTGTTGACATTCGGTATTCTCTTGCTGTTCTTCGTTTGCGTTAAATGTGTTTGGTCCGATATTTAGGATTAAGATAACCGAAAGGTATGTTATTATTCAGTAAGTGACCATTAGTCGCCTCAAACAGTAATGCAACGCAGTAAAAAGAATGAATAAATATCAATTTCACCTTGATTGATATATGTTATCTGTCATGATAATTACTCCATCCATTATGATGCGCAACAGTACAAAAGGGGACAACAAGTAGGTAGCGTTTCCGGTTTTTACACGTACCGGGCATTAAAGGCCGGGGACGACCTGCAATTAGCTGATAAGAGATGGGCCACTAGTTCTTCGGAACATGTTTTTCCTCTAAGGTATGCGGGCCCCTTAGAAATGGTTTGCAGCACCCTTTTCACAGATTTGACTGCATGCCATGCATCATTCTGATTGACCGTAAGTGGCTGATTATCTCTCACACATTTGTTGATCGACAAATTCATATCATGTGTGTAAACATTTATAATTACATCCTGAGCATCAAAATATTGATAGAGTTTTTCAGTGCCGAACCGCTCATGTCTTTGTGACACAATGTCGTCAGACTTAGTCACATGGATACACTCCAGTACTTTATGTGTTTGTTCTCCAATAGCCACAACGCTGGAATCTTTTGCATTTTTTCTCCATCTATGCCTGGCATCCGTCACGACATACCAATGTCTTCAGGAAGTGCAGACTCAATGCTGTCCCTGTATACCGAAACATGTGATTTCTCTTCTCTTTATTGATGTGTCCAATATTTGAAGCTTTACAAAACCTTGTATATTGGACAGGAAGCATTCCACTATACACACAAATCCATGAATCACTCTATGGTTGACAAGATATTCGTTGTTTGGCAGGTATGGAGATGATGACCAAAGTATGGAGTGATGTTTTTCTTTTTGACAATTGAGTCGCACTACAGCAGTATGTCCTTTACTAATCAAAGTGTTCTTGCTGAGGTTGCCATCACAGAGTCGAGCGTGGTTTTCAGTGACCTCCACTAACTTTGATAAAGATGATTCTGCTGTCATAAACACATTTTGATCAACATTCTTTTTAGGCTCTTGTAGAAAGTCTGACTGAATTAAAATGGAGGTCAATGAAAAACAATTTAGTATTCAGTGGTCTGGCCGAAAATTCAGGAGGAAAACACGGAGATGTTGCTGAGAGAATTCATGGAAATCGAACTCTGTATGTACACCGCTTCGGGAAATTTACTTCCGGTAAGAACATGCCTATAGTAGCCCGTTTCGTGTACAACAGAGATCGCGAAGGTGTGTTAGGGTGTCCGCGTAGGTTAAACAGTACATCATTTTATATAAATGAACAATTCCCGAAGGAAATACATAAACGCCGAAGGGAGCTCGAACCGACTATGAAAGATCTCCGGGATAAGGGTAAAAATGTGCGGCTGGTAAGGGACAGACTCATTGTTGATGGGAAACTATATAATGGTCCAATCATCAACCACGACAGACGTTCATCGGCCCAATCGGATACCGGACATGGTAATGGTGGCCCACCGTAAAGTGAGGCGACACGCGAGAATACGTCTGTCAAACCATCTAACGGTACTTTATTCAACCAACCTGGAAGTGCTCCTTCAGATTCCACTGGGAGATCCCACAAAAGACAATATTAGGACAGGCAGGGACGTCGACATATCTCGGTAGAATCCGTACCCTGGTAGGGTACCGAAACTGACCGAGGTTTTGCCGAATGATACTTACCTTGGCACGGTTATCGAGGTCGATCGTCACGGATATCGATGGTCTCGTGCGCTTGTATATACAACGAGTCCACTATGGATAACCTGACCCACCCCTGGCACTTTATATGTGTCGCGTCACGGATCATGTGTCTCGTGCGCCTGTATGCACGTACATGTCATGTGTACTATATTCTGATAATGCCTACAGCTCGATTTTTACTCAAACATGCATTTAGAATGTGAAAACAGAATATTCATACATTATGAAACATGTCTACATGACTTCACTGTGATATCACAAGATGGTATCTTTAAGAAATAGGCACGTGTCGTCACATATATATGACGATTTCACGTACACTATAGATAGATAATCTGAGCTAATTATTCCTTTTTAAATATTTTTTTTAAGTCTAAACATGTACCGGACTACCAGTGACGACCGACATCGGTTTGCATGTATATATCAGTTGTAGTTAAAATTTCATTCCTGAAGTTAAAATAGACTTTAATATTATCATCAGTTTGTCCCACGCAGATTTTTCGAAAAAAGATTTTGTTTATGTTACTTTTAGTCTTGTATATAATTATTTGTGTAATGTTTAGTATAGTGTGTCTCCACCCCAAGTCAAGTTTCTTTCCTCATATCTTATCGTCCATGTGTATCGTGTACCAAATAGTGTTATATCACTTAGACACCGGTTAATGTGTGTGTAATATGTAATTAGACTATGGGTACATGACATACATGGAAGTAACAAATCTAATGCACTCGACATATATTCTGATATACTCTATCTATACAGTCTAACTTTTATTGAGAAAAACGCACATTTTAATCCTATATTGGTAATCCTATTACTGTTGTGTAATGATATTGAATTAAATCCTGGGCCTCTGCGCAATCTTCAAATTTTTCATCTTAATGTAAGATCCATTAAAAACAAACTGGATATTATAGATAATGAACTTTCTGAAAATGATATAATATGTCTTATAGAAACACATCTTACCCCATTAATACGTGATAGTGACCTTGTTTTAGAAAGCTTTTCATGTGATTTTTATCGAAAGGATAGACAAGGAGGATTCGGAGGTGGAATTATTATTTATACTAAAAATACAGTTGTTAGTAAGCGTAGAATTGATTTGGATCACAACGATATAGAAATTATCTGGCTGGAACTAACAGTTGATTCTACAGACCTGAATCTACTGTTGAATACTGGCGAAAGTTAGATGATATGTTTGATAAAGTTTTTGATGATGATGTTACTGATGTTATTCTAACTGGTGATATAAATGTAGATATGCTATCCCTTCAGCCACACTCTCATCTAGGTCTATTACTAACAATGAGCCTACTAGAATTACTCCCACATGCGCTACCTCTATTGATGTTATACTCGCCAACAACAGGAACTTGATTAAAAGTACATCAGTCCTTATCAACTTTGACTTATAAACAAACTGCATATAAGAAAACCATTTTTGAATATGATAATGCAAACATTGATAGGATTAATAGTAATATTAGTGATATTGACTGGATCTCTATTTCCCAGAACAATGATGTTAACGATTTCAATAATATTCTGGTTGAATCCATAAATAAACAAATCGAGGAGTTCGTACCACATCGATCAGTTACAGTAAGACCAAATGATAAACCCTGGTTTACAAATACTATTAGACTTAAAATAAGGTAAAGAAATCGTATCCATAATAAAGCTGTTAACACGAATTCCCCTTTTCATTGGGAAAGGTATAAATTAATTCGAAATGAAACAATTGATTTAATTAGACTTACAAAAAAACAATACCTCTTGAAACTCGAATCCTCCCTTAATAGCAATAGCTTACCACCTGACAAGTGGTGGAAAGTAGCGAAATCTCTGTTAAAACCGAAAATAAGCAAACCAGTGTCCCTCCTTTAAACGATAATGGTTCTTTCCTTCAAAATCCATTTCATAAGGCAGAATGTCTTAATACTTACTTTCTTCTATCTCTGCTTCATCAAATGAAATTGATCCTCTCCCTCGCCCTCCTGATTTTCCTTTCGTGATTGATAGCATTGAGTTCACCCAACAGGATATTAGAGTCAACTTTCTACTTCAAATGGGAAGAAGCCCGCTGGTCCTGATGGAGTGGTCCCAAAACTTATAAAACTACTAACACCTTCTATCACTCTTTCTCTTACCCTCCTTTGTAATAAAACTATGGAAACTGGCTCCATCCCATTGTCCTGGAAAGCTGCAAACATTAATGCTATTTATAAAGGCAAGGGTGAGAAAAATTATGTTTCTAATTATCGTCCTATTTCAGTTACCTCTTGCTTTAGCAAAATATTAGAAAAAGTATTTTTTAAATATCTATATAACTATTTACGAGAATATGAAATCATTATTAAGAACCAGTCAGGTTTTATTCCAGGAGATTCAACTGTGAATCAACTTCTTTCGTTATATCATATGATTATGGATTCCCTTGATAAAGGACGAGAAATCTGCTCTGTATTCTGTGACATAAGTAAAGCCTTCGATAGAGTGTGGCATGAAGGGTTATTATACAAACTAGAATCCTATGGTATTAAAGGAAACTTGCTAAGTTGGTTTAAAAATTACTTGTCAGATAGAAAACAACGTGTTTTAACCGAGGGCATTTTCTCAACTTATAAATCTGTAAACGCTGGAGTTCCACAGGGATCTGTTTTAGGTCCCCTTTTATTTTTTTTTATATATTAATGATATAGCCGATATTGTAACTAGTGACATAAAATTGTTTGGTGATGATACATCCTTAAGTGAAATAATTGAAAATAACCATATTGAAATAGCTAATAAAATTTCAGAAAATCTTTCAAATATCAGTACTTGGGGTAAAAAGTGGGATATTAATTTCAACCCTTCAAAAACTGTATCAATGATATTTACTAGGAAAAGAGACACGCTACATCCAGATATATTTTTCAACAATAGCTCAGTTCAATCCCTTGCTACTCACAAACATCTAGGTGTTATTTTATCTGAAGATGGTAAATGAATTCACCATGTAAATTATATATATGAAAAAGCGTTTAAAAGGGTAAATATATTAAAATCACTTAAAAAACGAGTCTCAAGGAAAACTCTTTTGAAGATATATAAAACATATATTTTGCCTATATTGGATTATGCAGACGTCTTGTGGGACAATTGCACGGAACAATCTAAACAACTGCTTGAATCTGTTCATTTAGAAGCTTCTAAAGTCATAACAGGATTGCGCAGAGGTATCTTATCATAAAGAATTTTATGATAATAGTTCTATTTATGAACATTAATTTAACATTTCATCTCATTCATTATTTTGGATTTCCTCTTACAAACTTTCGCCATTTAATTTCGTTCAGTAACAATTTCATACCTAAAAGCTATTTAATTACATTTGTACCATTTAAGAAAACCTCTATGTGTAAATGTAGTTCTTTGATTCATTGTCATCAGATTAACTCATGTAATATTGGTGTCCATCTTATACATTATGCCTTAAAGCAGGGATGTGTATTGGATGTTACGTAATGAGATTAACTGGTCTTACCAAGTATGACACTTAAGTCTCGGACAAAGGACAGGCTAATTGCCTTACCTGTTCGGGTACTCATCAGTCAGAATAGAGAGATAAGTGACAGCTGTCAATCAAGTTAACTTTATTGTGTTAATTGTCAATGTATCACTGTTCTACATATTTGATAATCAGTTAGGAGCTAGGCATCGGACTGTACGGGTGTGTTTTTGGATACTCCAGAAACCACCCACCGACCTAGAGAAAGTTATTTTAATAAATTTATATTTGGACTACAATTCAACATCTTGGAATTCTACTTTCGAACTACGCATTACAACGAACAGAAATTTTCGTTGTGATAAATCTCATCATAAATTATAAAAAGAACTTGTCTGGGAGACTCTCTCAGATAGACGACAAAAACATAAATTAATATTAATGTTTAAGATACTTCATGGCATGCCCCCGCAACATCTGAAAGATATAGTGCAACCATTTATATATCACAATGAAAATGGAAGATATACATTAAGGACGACTAGATATTTCAGCACTCCAATATGTAGAACAGTAAGCTATTATAGTAGCTATTTTCCAAGTACATTTAGGGAATTCAACTCATTCGCTCTTAATTTTGATTTATCCAATGTAAACTCTCTATCACAATTTAAAGCTTTACTCTTCAAAAATAATGAAACTGTCTCGGCTACAACAAAAACGTTTGCAAATGATGGCAGTCGAAATATAAATATAATTATGTGTCAACTTAGAAATGAAGCCAGCAATTTGAACTCTGACCTTTTTCTTGACCATTTAAAAGATTCTCCAATATGCACATGCANCCCCCCGTCACACATATTTATGAGTTATCACTGCTGCACATAACTTAAAAACAGGCATAATGTAATGAAGTGTTTTTTTTTATAACTTAGAATTTTATTCAGATTTTTCAAACACATACGCTTGACAAATAATGAGATACAAGTCTGTAAATTATGACAGCAAAATATGGGTAATACAGAACACTCATCTTACAGATTTCATACTACTCTACTCACTACACGTCATACATATAAACCTATTACACAGCCTTTGCCTAACTGACATTCATCATTAAACCATATACCATTTTTGCCTGTACCCATTCGTACATACAAAATACTTATGGCCATGCGATATGCTTTTATGAGAGAGAGAGAGAGAGAGAGAGAGAGAGAGAGAGCACGCACTATTCGCACTGTACGGCATTGAAGAGAAGAGAGCTAGACTATAAAATTACAACTCGGCAATCTTTTTCAAAATATTTCCTGGCAGCTTCCCCATTGCTGTAACCAATTATGTTTTGCAAGCCGTAAAATTGTTTTAATGCATTAATAAGTCCATTGATGTTGAGGGAGTTGTGAAAGCATCGCATTTTGTAAATATACTGTTTATAACAAGGAGAATTTCATTATCAACTTTGCAGTTATTGAAATTTTGAGATAAAAATCCAAAAATATAGGATTGTTTATTGTAATTAAATGGGATGAAAAGAGCATCTAGTAGAATTCTTAGACTATCTAGTAAATTATGGACTTCTTGACATTCCCACAGGATATGCATAATAGTTTCATTTTTAGAGTTGCATAGAGTACAGAGAGGAGAAATAACTAGATATGTTTTAAAGAGAAAAGGGTTTGTGGTTAAAATATGGTGATTAACTCTGTACTGAAACCATTGGAGTTTGGTGTTTTTTGTAACAATGAAGTGTTTTGGTATGATACGAAAAATGAACAGAAAATGTATCGGTATTTACTATAATAAACAATGATAATCAAATCTTCATGATCACGTGAAATTGTATAATGGCCATGTTTGGCAGGCTAAAAAAAGAATTTTACCGGTTTTTAATATTACATAAAATAATTCTGTAGACAGAATATATACATGTACATGGAGAGTTTTTAAAATAGGTATAAAATATGAATGCTAGTCGTTTCGGGACATGACACATGATTTTTCGGGGCTTAATTTTCATTTATAAATAACATTTCGCTCCCGTTTCATAAAAAGTCATGTAGGTTTTAGACTATGACCTGCGTCACGACCTACGTACCCGTGCGTGGGATCATTAGTGTTATCAGATTGCTAGTGCTTAGGGGGATACCTACCAACATTTACCCGATTGACAGTGTGTTAATTGTTACCTGGTGAAACCACGGACTTAGATAACAAATAACGAATCTAATTCCGTGGTGAAACTAATCTCATTATTACATACAGATCTAGAGGAACTTATGAAATTCAACATTCAATTTCTTTCGTTATTGATAGGTTCCTTGTTTGATATTGTAATACATGTAATATGTTTTCAATTCACTATATTCTCCATTATTGACATTAATTGGTTTTAACGATGTTTTAAGCATTTTATTTTTGCTATATTGAAATTAAAATTTCACGAAAGTAAAAACGTGAAACACGTAGACTATATTTTCGGCATATGAATCAATTTATCAAATCCAGGTATATATTTTGAATGATATGTTTTTATGTTGTGTATTTATGTCAGTGAGAATATTATATATATTCATGTTTTATTAAAATCATGCAATAGTAAATGTATAAATGTATGACGGGAGAAGGCTATGATAAGTTATAATAACTTCTATCCAATCGATTGTTTAAACTTATGAAAAATCCTGATACGACTTTTGACATGTCCGAAACGACCCGGAAAAAGTCCCGAAACGACTTTCGTCTTGTTACCGAAACGACCTGACACCTAAAATATAGACTACCATTGTAACTATACATAGGCAATATTGTTGACAATATTAAATATATTTTAAATTTTGTGAAATTTCTGCATGTTGTTCTTACTAAAAGTATCCCTACACTTACTTCATGTACATCAATGACATATTTAGTATACCAATAATAGTAAGTTTATACACTATACACTATCATAATTTAGTTTCAAAGTTACCTTTGCCTGTGACATTTATCTGTCATTTTGTTTTATACCCCCGTCATTCAACCTGGTGCAGGTCCACTTCAGTTATCTGCAGTTATTGTTCATTTTTATGTTTCTAGGTATGGTATGGCTAAAAAATAATAGAAATTGAAGTCGGGGCAGAATGTTGACCCCACCTTTGCTATGATGCATCCTTGAGAAAATAGAATAAAATGTGTATTGCATAATAGAAAGGATGTCCAGTTTGCTGATATGGGAATATTAATCTTCAAGACTACTTCTCCTGAAGGGCTTAATGTATTTTAATAAATTAGCATTCAATGTAAGAAGGCCATGAGAGTAATGTTGTATAATGAAAGCTCTTATATCCTAAGAATTTCATCTTTAGTCCTTTGGGCATAACTTTGAAAGGGTTGAGATCCCCACCCTTTAACTATTAACTGCTTACTAGGCAGGAAAAGACAAACACAAGCATGACACATGCTAATGCTAGGAACTTACGTCTCAGGGCCATAAAATAAAAATGATTGATTTGATTAAGATCACAGGTATGCATGAATCTGTATCCACAAGTAGGTATATGTACAGGGATATGAGAAATCTAAGGTGTAGACTAGATATATTTAAAGCAGAAGCCTTGGATTGCAAAGATGATTATTTGTGTTCCCAAGGCTTTCTTATTAACATGTTTTCAAGTGCAAGATACAGAGAAAAAGAAGAATTTATTTCTTGATATATTTTATTTTTAAAACATCTAAAATTCGAGAAGATGAGTAAATGGTCCATTTGTGTCTGTTCGGAACACCTGTATGTTTCCGTAAGTCCCTGCCCGAACTTGTTTTTCCTGTTCTCTGGCTTTCTCTGACATGTGTAATGTGGCCTCGCACAAAGACACAAAGTTTGCATATAATTTTTTACCGTCCTCTTTGGCAATGTTTTTGTGATATTGCATTGATTTCCCTTTAGGGATTCCTCCCAGTGTAGCCTGAGGAATGATGAGCACATCTCCAGGAAGGTCCAATACCGATACCCGTTTGGTTGCTGATGGATCCTCTAATTGGCTCAAACACGTAGTCAGTGCACACTTCACTGGAATGAGTTTAAGGGTACAGTAATTATGATTTTTACAAACTCACAGTGATAGCAATAAGACAATGATGGACAATCTTTTGACATGTGATAGAGCTAATTCATTATTCTTGACAAATGCTGACGTGCCCCTTTTGATCACATACTTTTACTACAATAAAAATATAAGAGACTAAAGATTGGTCTCTCATTGACATTACCTTAGCATATTTTAAACTAGCCATGGATAACATTAGTAGTTGTATAGGCAATACAATGGATATATGCACAAAAAGTAAACATAGAGACTTCTGGACAAAAAAGGTACAATGTCTTTGGCTCTTCCTGTAAGGTTGTTATGTCAACTCCTGTATTCCCATATCCAAATTACCAATGTAAGACATATTCCACTTTATGTCGCATTTTGCTTCATGTTACATTCCCCTCCAACAAATAACATTTGATAAATGCAATATATGCAACTATTTCTTACCCATTTTTTGCACCATTTCCTCTGTGGCACCTTTCATGAAACACACATATATAATTAAGCCTTTCCCAATCTGCAACATAAATAATATATAAATTGCATAACTTGACCATAGAAGAAACACGATAATAGAGGAGTTTGCTATAGAAAATATGTAAATAAAGAACTGTTTAGTGATGTGGCTATTCTGATGCACTGATATAATCTGATGTTTTTAAGTATATATTTTGACATGCCAGACAAAGAGTTCTTAATTTAAACTGTACAAAATAAACAACATTTTGTATTATCTAAAGATAAAAATAAAACAACAATAAGGTAAACGAAATATGTACCAACATGTTAACTGTATTGTCACCACTGTCATCATTATAGTGAACTATTTAAAAAAAAAACCACCCCATTTTCAAAAGGATATTCCATGAAAATCCCATGTTGCAATGCATTTTCACAGAATAATAAGTGGATTGAAATTTAATGTTTGAAAACAGAAACAAAAATATAAAAACTGAAGGGTACATACTTTACATTGCAAAGCATTCACCTTACCAATGCTATCATCCAGGTATGACAAATGCACAACATCAAAATTTGTGTCCAATTGATTGGGTCACAAAGTGTATGAAAAGACAATGAACATGGAAAGATGCATAACTTGATAGGAGAAGTAACTATTAACCAGACTTCTATACAGAAGAGAGTATACTCCAAATGAAGAAATAAACTCTGTGTGGTTTTGTTGATGCACTAGCGGTCACCCTTTACCTGATTTCAAGAACCAACTATAAACAGTTCAGTCAGCATGATTCATGATGCAAAGAATTGATTTAAACTTTTAACCTCTATGCATTTTACTAAGGGGAGGAGGAGGGGGGGGGCGGAACAGTGGTGAGGGGAGAGTTGAGTATATTATGACCCAATTTGTAATATGTGGGCGGTCACCCATCCGACTACTGACCACGCTCGACGTTGCTGAACTAGTGAGGGGGTCACCAGGTTATAAAAGCTAGCTTGCCAATAAGTCAGTATTTACCCTTCATATTCCTTAGCTGTTACAGCCTATTCCCCCCTCCACGAAGTCTCATCCTGAAACTAGGCCTGGGAAATCCTGTACGTACATGTAGGTCCACCCTGTGTATCTATGCACCTTCCCTTACCACCGGGAACTGGTCTTCCATGATCACACAGAGTAACTATGCTGCCACCAAATGTAACGTGCGGGCGGTCACCAACCCAACTACTGACCACGCTTGACTTTGCTGAACTAATGAGCGGGTCCACGGGTTATACCGCATCACTGGAAAAACTCAGCTTGTGTGATGAATGTACATATGGTAATCCTACCTTCGCTGATTTAGCATATTATTCAGGTTAGATACGTTGATCTGTTGGCGTTAATAATTTGTGTTATGTCTCCGTAATTCGAACGCTTAGAAGACAGATAGTTTTCGAGGTACAATCAAAACGTACAGGTGATTATACCTCACTCACCGCTAGGTGTCGCTAGGATAGCAAGAGGGTATAAATAGGCAGAATCCAGCGACAATCAGCCCAGTTCTGTTCTGATCTCGGCGTGTGTACAGCAGTGAAAGATCGCAAGTACCTAATATATGCGAGACCGGCTTTGTGTTGGAAAGATAGAAGTGACTGAGTAAGTCTTGCCTTGATCCACACACTGCCTGGAAGATATATTAAATAAACGATTGAGTGCTGTAGCGAGATACTGTTAGACAGAAGGTATCACGGGCATAGGCTGTGCAGTGCTAGTCGCGACTAGGCTAGTCGTGACTAGGTATAGTCGTTGGTGCTAGTCGTGACTAGGGGTAGTCGCGACCAGGCTAGTCGTGACTAGGTATAGTCGTTAGAGCTAGTCGTGACTAGGGATAGTCGTGGTCATTAGAGAGTGCCGTAGTTGTATACTAGTATAAGGCTGTCGTGATCGGCGCGACTAGGTCATATAGCTAGGTAGCTGACTATAGGGCAACTATAGTGACTAGGGCTAGCCGCGACTAGGTAGTCGAGTTGTGTACTGCCTGGATTGTACGGTAGTGTGTGTAGTGTGTTATATTGATACCGAGCAGATAGCTTTGGTAATAGTTCTATAGTCGTGCAGTAATTATTCTGTTCATATCATGTATTAAGCATTAGGTAATAGGTATGCTGGTTACAAGGTAGTAACACATATTTGTATATATTTGCAACTGTAGTATAGTTATAATTAAGCTTACAGCACAGGGATCCTTAGAAGTGACTAGGGTACGGACCCCGGAACGTTACACTTGACAATAAGGCAGTACTTCCCTTCATATTCCTTAGCCATTTACACTGGTTTAAGTCCCACTGGTTGGGGCCAGATATGAACACACTCCTTGTAGAATGACTGTCCTTAGTTATTATAGGTGAGCTGTTAATGATCGAAGACAATAACTTATTATCTATGCAGTGTAGTACTGGGCGGCTGTTTACCTCGACATATTTCGCTTCCTCACACTCGGTACCGGGTTCGACCTGAAGTCTGGCAGAAAGGCATTGTTGTAATACCATCCTCGCCTTGATGGCACCGATGACAGACTCTGTAGCCATAATTCACGTAACATCACATTTAATTTATTGCATCATGTGTCAGACTTCTTGGTCTACTTTCACTTTGTGATCAATTCGCTTATATCATCTACAAGTGTATTTGTTAGAAATAAAGGTCAGCTATCGTATCATAAAGAACATTTCCTTTGATCACAACAATAATTAAATAAGATTGATTAAATTATGGTCCAATAATAAATCAATATATAGCTTTTCATTATGTCCTTAATTATTTTTAACGTTACAAGCGACATTAAACAAGATGGCGTCTCAGAGCAACGGTAACACGATGTCAGGGCACGACAGATCTAGAAAACCAAAAAATGAAGAAGACGATGACGATGACCCCGTTGAAAAAATGTTGAAGAAAGCTGGATGCCTTGATCAACATTATGCAGTACAGGTAAAATGTGTATTGTTTTGTTTTCCCACTTACGTAAATTGGTCTGCCTTCTTCTATCGTGTGCCTATCGATTTGATCATGGCTTATGAAAAGTCATTTTCTATGAAAATGGAACTGATCAAGGTCCAGTAGCCTAATATAACAAATGCTTTGTTGATATCACTGCCAATAATGTTCATAAAGAGCATTACTATGTGCAGATCCACCAGCCTTAAAAATGCAATAGGTAAATAGATCGGCCGTTCCTCGTAAACAGAAGGCCTCCCAGACTTGAAAAATAATTAAGGATGCGGTGTGGTCATTTTCAGACAATAAAGTAAATGGTTACCGATAAGGCCCAGAAATCCCAAAATATTTATGAGATTACACAAAAGACCTCCACCCGAATTTGGTGATGTATTACTAGGCCATTTTCCTATAAACCTATAACCCCATTTTCCTCTGGCTCTAGTACTAATATTGTGGTGAATTTTGGGGAGAGTTATCTCCCTTAGACCGCTAACCGCGCCGACAACACTAATGTGACATCTTGGCGTAGTCTCTTAACATCCTGACAATCATCTGATAACATGTGAGTGATTTCCTCTGCATATTCTTATAGATTTTGGGACCTTAGAGCAGTACTCAACTACATGTTGTGATGTTGTGTAAACACACACCAAATTAACGACAAGATTAATACCCGGCCTTCTCTACCCTGGACGCAATATATATAAAAAAAGTCTTGTCGTCATAAGCTACGTTATCACAGCTACTCTGGCTCCAACACCAGACTTGAGACATTTTGACAGATGATGTCAGAATGTCTCAAGTCTGGTATTGGAGCCAGAGGAAACTCGGGCTACAATTAATCCACCATATTTTCTGCCTACCCTTATGGAAATTAGAGGCCTCTTGCAAATATTTGCAGCAATGTTGCAGCAAATATTTGCGGCAATGTTTATGTTGCAGCGACTATTTGTGGCAAATTTGCCGCATATATTCGGAATTTGTATACAAATTTGTTTTCTTGCAAATATTTGCAGCAACTTTGCAGCAAACAGTTGCTGCAACTTTGCTGCAAACATTTACTATCAATAAAACAAGAGACATAAAATAATTAACTGGGTTTTAATGAATAATTCAACAACTTATTTAAAACTATTAAGATCCTGTAGAAAAAAGCAGACACAGACTAGAGAAGGTATATGCATTGAAATTTCACGAAAATACAGGTGGATATTTTAGTGCCTGGAAAATGCTTAGTTGTTTTCCATAATGGTATCTTCTGTTTCCGCTTGGAACTGATGGAAATTTGCCTGGGAAAAAGGCTCGTAATATTTACATGAGTCCTGCCAGATTTCCAGATATAGAAAATCCACCTTGAAAAAACACCCGGATGGACTAGCAAAATCCATGTTTGGTCTTGTTTTTTGTGTCATGGAATAGCTGATCTTTCACAATTCATCTCCTGGTTTGTTAGCAGTGCTACTCTTTTGTTGTTTTTGTTTTGCAAAATTCCACTGTAACATGTATAGTCTGGAATGGAAAAAATAACAACTTCTTGTAACAAAAATGTATTTCTAATAGAAATGAGTTTGATAAAAATAACAAAAAAATAACAGGTACATGTCATTTGCAGTAGTATACATCATCTTACTCAGTTTCATTTTAAAATGTGCTTGTTCTAAATATCTGTTTGGCTGCTTTGAGCATGATCATACATATTTTTCTCTACAAAAGTTGAACATGTTCCTGAAATTCTACATCATTCATATAGCATAATACTAATGCAATGGTAAATTAAGTTTATAAATAACAAGTAGTCCAAATCATTTTAGAGTTTACAGGCCATATCTTTCTTCCATTTACAATGCAGGGTCATGTTTTTGTTTGGTTACATTTCTGGTGTTTATATTGGATTTTTGAATAAATTCTAAATTTGTGTAGCAATATATATCTTCTATCTATAGAAGAGTTTAAATTCAAAACAAACTATTTTACTGAATAACTAAATAGTTTTTGATTTTCAGAAAAGAACACACTTCAATTTAAATTATAAAATTTAACAAAATTCCTGTTCCTGATCTTCACCATAGATTAAAGCCAGCAGCTGCTCACCACAACGCTGACCCCTTACTGTACCTGGTAGTTTATGGAAATAGCCATTAATTAAGATCATAGATGTTCATCAAATTAAAATCTTTTATTACAATTTTAAATGTATTTTTTTTATCAGTCTCTTCTTCCTTCCTCCTCTAAGGATAAATTATTGACACACCTGGGAATTCAATTTATTTTGATGAAAAAGAAAGTAAATTAATTATTAATATATCACAATATTCAAAAATTTTGCCTGATAAATAAAGTCATAAATATTACCTTTACCTACTTTTAGGGTAAAATATTTGCAAATATATAAATCTAATCCCTCAAATGTTCTTTCAATATATTATCCAATAACATAATAGACTTTCATTATTATCGTTCAATCTCAATTACTTACACGTGAACATGTGATTTATACAGACCCTATGGACCTCTTGTTTAAGGTTTGCTAATTTTTAGCTAACCTTATGGCATGGTCCGGCGACCGCCGTCCGGCGACCGCCGTCCGGCGTCAACTTTTTAATTTAAACAACTTCTTCTCAGTAACAAAAAGGCCTAGGGTGATGATATTTGGCCAGAAGCGTGCTTGGATGAAGGGCTACCAAGTTTGTTCAAATAAATGACCTTCATCAATTTTCAAGGTCACAGGGGTCAAATATGTTAAAATCTTTAAACAACTTCTTCTCAATAACCAAAACGGCCCAGGCTGATTATATTTGGCCTGTAGCATGCCGGGATGAAGGGCTACCAAGTGTGTTCAAATGAATGACCTTGACGAACTTTCAAGGTCACTGGGGTCAAATGTCTTAAAATCTTTAAACAACTTCTTCTCAATAACCAAAAGGCCTAGGGTACTGATATTGGGCCTGTAGAATGCTGGGATGAAGGGCTACCAAGTTTGTTCAAATGAATGACCTTGACCCACTTTCAAGGTCACAGGGGTCAAATGTCGTAAAATCTTCAAACCACTTCTTCTCAATAACCAAACGGCCCAGGATACTGATATTGGGCCTGTAGCATGCTGGGAGGAAGGGCTACCAAGTTTGCTCAAATGAATGTTCTTGACCCACTTTCAACCTAATGTCCTTGTTCGACATTCAAGGTCACAGGCATCATATGTTTAAATCTTTTAATAGGTGCTTATGAATCAAACACTGATATTCTGCCTGTTGCTGTATTTTAGTCCACTTTTAAGATTACAAGTGTGAAATTAATACCAGGTGATCGATACAGGCCCATTAGGCCTCTTGTTCTAGTTTATGGTTAAATTGATTGAGGTAATCAAAATGGGCAATGATGACATAAATGTTAAGTTATGTGATGTGTGTTTTTTGAATGAGTGTTTGAAGATCCATCAGATCAATACCACTGTGCAACAAATACATACCAAGGAAAGTTAGTACATTATATACTATTGATAGTACAGATTTATTTCATCAATGTGCAGATTTGAATTTCATTGTCATGCGTCTATAGCACGTTAAGGTCTCTTGGTCATGATAATGGTTGCTATAAGCAGGTTAGACAATAAATGTAATTAAAACTAAGATATATTTATGTATGGTTTGGCATACAATATGAAACAACTTTGAACGACAATACACTGTAAAATACATGTGTATGCATGTATCATATAGCAATAGATTTTTTTTATCTGTTTTTGACAAAGTACCAATTTGCTGCAAAGTCTTGTATTTAGTATTGAGAATTTGGCTAAGAACATATCCTTGCAACTTTGCAACAAGTTTGCAGCTAGCTGCAACAACCTGTAAACTACTTGCAACAAGTTCTTGCAAACAAAATAGTTTACAGCAAATTTTATGTTTCTGTAAGGTACGTACCTTGATGAAAATTATTGACATTGCAAAATCCCAAAACTTTTAAAAGTCTTGATGCCAAAGCTCTCTGGTTGATGATCGACACAAAACATAACCAAATTTGACATAGAGCTGAGTACTACAGTTCAACAAGCTGGTAACATTTAAAAAAATACTTAAAAGATTTCTGAAACAGGTGTTATTTTGTCGACAAGTTTGTTTTCCTTCAGTCCAAAATATTGCAAAATCCCATGAGATGAAAGGGTTCTCATAAAAATGAGTGTCAAGAAATATCATGTCACTACAATATTTTTTCGGGTTTTACTAAAAATTTTGAAGATTTTTAAATGGCTTTAAATACTGAAAAAAAAATGATACACTACACTCTACTGTTTTAGGTTTCAGTACATTACTATATGTTACATGCAAGTGGTGTACTTTTGCCAAAGACTCATATCATCATAGTTACGGAGGATGTTCCGACCATCTCCGGCCCCATCACAATTTTTTCTAACAGAGATAGTCAGTTAATTTGGACTACAGTAGCTATAATTATAAGGTATGATTGTTAAATGATCCTCATGATTTTATTTTTTTACTTTTTTCAGGAGTGTATGTTTGATAACAAAGACTGGACAAAATGTCAAGGTCAAGTACAGGATTTCAGGGAATGTATAGAAAGGTCACAGAAGAAGAAAAAGTGATTTCTATGGACTTGCTACAGAAACTATCTAATGTATGTGTTCCAAGGCTGTCACAGGAGCAGCTGTATTGTCATCAATGCTAAAGAGGCTGCTGAGGAATTGTCTAGATGGAGACTTTTACTCTGCAATGACTTTGTATAAGACTATTTGTTTGAGCTCATTATGGAACTTGACAATGTTCTGGTCTTAATTAAGAATCAAAATCCCAAAAATTTGTATTTAGGTATGCAGTTTGAGTGTAAAAAGTGGCTGTGTTATAATTGAATGCAAAGTATGTGTATTTATCCAATTCTTGTGTGGATGATAGGAATTTGATGGATATCAGCTGTTAAATTTAGGGCAGCATCTGGAACAATTCTGTTCTTCTAATACCTCATGTTCTGTTTCCTGCAGCCTGTTGTGATGTTGAGATATATATATTAAATATTTATTGTTGAATGATACTAGTATTTTATATGAACAATTTAATCTGGTATACAATTAAATATTTGTTTTTTACATTATCTAGTCAGTTGTGTTTTGTTCATTAGCGGCGAGCCAATAAGTTCTTTGACTGTTCACTATTAAATCATTCTAGATCTAAATAATTGATATATACTGAAGGGAAAACAGTGAAAAAGGCAGGACATTCCGAATACGGAATAAAGCTTATTGCTTCAAGATCTCTCTCAGTGAGTGTTCCACATATCCTTCTTTTTTTAATCATTTCAAGCATATTATAAGTACTTATAACCTTAAAAAATGGCATGACTTTTAAAAGTTATCAATTTGGAGTCCATCCATCAACTATTTGCTGTCCCATTCAAAGACTCCCCGCTACAAGGAAAGTTGCAAAGATCAGAAATCCCCAAAGCAGTCACCATTGAGTGGTGACACAACAACATCATAGGGAAATATTGCACGACCACTTCCTTATGACAAGGGAAGCATCCAGAACAACAAATGAGCCCAGGTGTGTTCTAATTGATGCAAAGACAGTGTGTATTAATGTAGCAGAACTGGACTAGGTCAATCGTCAGCGACTAGGTAGCTAAACTGGTAGAGCGTTTGTCTAGAGTTCGGAGGGTCCCGGGTTTGAACCCCTGTCTGGCCCCACATTTTCTCTCTCCTGTTAAATTTGGCGCCCAATGAAATAACCAACAAAAGGTGGTATAGATAATAGGGTCTTGAGACTTTGTTAAAGGAAGGAGGAATGTAGCGGAACTAGACTTGGTTGATCGTCAGTTACCAGGTAGATCAATTGCAATTTTGGTAGAACGCCCATCTAGAGTTTGGAGGGTCCCGGGTTTAAACCCCTGCCTGGCCCCTGCATTTTTCCTTTCCCGTTACATAATCTAACATGTGCATTTGGTAAACAGTCACACAATTTGTATGACGCCCGACACTTCTCAAGGTAATGTTGCAGAAGCATCATTTTCATTGCAGATATGTCTATGAACACTTTTCAGATGCTTGTGTAATAGAAAACAAATGCTTCAAAGGGGGATCACTTATGGTATTGGGAGGGATTGCACATGATATGCGCCAGAGTACCCTGGTCTTTTAGTTGAAAATCTCTAGGCGGCACACAACAGAGACTCGGCGCTAACACCGTGTTGTTCCTCTGGTAGAGTGCTCCTACAGGACAATGCATAGCCGCATGTAGGGAGTGCCTGCCATGATTACCTGGCATCAAACAATGTCCCCAATGCTAGAATGACTCCAACACAGCCCTGACCTTTCCCCAATAGAACATATATGGGAAGAGTTTGACTTGAGGATAAAACATAGGGGGAATTCTCTGGTTAACACAGTTCAGCTTACATTGACAATGGAAGAGGGGGCACCCACAATATTGATGGGTCCAAAATGACTGTTATTTTGATAGGGGTACTCCTGCGATCAATGTCAAATTGATGCGGTTATTTAACATGCACTCGCCACTAATGGAATTGACACAGATAACAGCGCGATTCCCTACCTTCTAATAACAACATAGCAAAATTTTACAACACTCTGATTTCCAGTAGTAGACCAAAATTTTCTAATTGTGTTTCTGTTCATTTTCCCTGGTGTATTTCGATAATATCATCCCAAACTCCTCTGGCCTTTCCTTCTGTAAGAGGGGCTAGAGGTGTACCAAATGCTCTGTAGATGTGACATGTTTGAAATGGTTTGTACATGTATATATAGAAACTTTTAGATTCGATCCATAAATCTCATGAATGAAAACTTTAGGGCAAATTCAGCTGTCTCGTTAGAGCTGTGACCTTAACCCCTGACAACTGAAGGTGAAAACACAAAATCACTTCCTTTAAAAAAATATATTTATTTCATTTAATACACAATTATAAACCTTAGTCTGTTTGATGTAGCCTTCACACTTTTGTTTACATCAACATTACAAGTGAACTGTTTTGGATACTTTGCAACAATTTGATTTACACACAACAAATGAAACAACACATCAAAATAACTAATGATACATTTTGTCTTCTATTTTACAACTTCGTTATACATATCAGAAAACCTTTTGGAGTATTTCAATCTTGTAGAAATGGGCGTTTCTGTGTACTATATGTATTTGTAGTAATTTTAACATTGGAATCACTCCTGCAATATAAATTTCAAAGTGTGTTTTCCTATGCATGTTTTATGGCGACTTAGTAAATACAAAATTAACAAAAACTTACACAGCTTGAAAATTATCACCTTTCGCTCTTGTACATAAAACACATGTAACCAGCCTTAACTAGGAGAACTTTTTTACTTAATTACCAAACATATTATGGTATATCCATCACTAAAGATACTGCTTTCGTTATATGTACTCCCAGTATAAAATCATAGCAATGGTATTTTATTATTTTTGTCATGTTGTCAAACAATTAAATAATAATTATGCAGCATTGAATGGATCATGAGCAACTAACTGTCAAACAAAGCACCAACTATATATGCACTAAATATTACCTTTAAAATATATATAGAGTCTGGACATGTTGTGTTACTTAACCCTTTCACCACTGTAACCATAATGGACTCATCCATATCAATGCATGGTAGAGTCTACTAAAGTTACATAGGGGTGAAAGGGTTAATCCGTCCTTTATTTGACACAGATCATAGATATACCTTGTGTTTTCATCAGCATACAAAATTATAACTGTAATGACACTTGCAAACACATACATTATCATTCATCCCAAAAAAACATTTTTTCAAGCAATTTTTGTGTACAAAACTTAAAAAACACTATCTATACTATTTCCACATCTCTATGAAAACACATCTTATATTGTGTTTTTGACCCTGAGGTTACCACTATTAATTTCTATATGAAATCAGTAAATGCAATAATTCTGTACACACACTCCTATAGTCATTTAAGACAGGCAAGTTTGTAACACATCTGACAATAAAAAAACACTTTGTACATATACCCAATGTTTCCAGAAATAATTGGTGGAGAGGTGTTATGTAGTGACCGTCTAATGTCCTTTTGGGGGATGCATTGCATAAGAGGGAACAATTTTGGTGTTAATCTTTACTGCTTCAAAAGTCAACAGCAAATATTTTCACCTAGGCTGTAAGTGTTTCAATGACAGTGACTTAGGTAATTTTGATAAATCCTATTGGGTAAATTGATTATATTAGCACTACATATGATAGCTAGGTCTGAAGTACTTTTCATTTCAGACAAAATACAACAAAATTGACACACTACAGCAAAGGGCCTGGACACAAAAAAGTATATGTTCATTGTTGTGTATACCATTAAAAACTTCTTCTCTCTATGGTTCTATAGAGGGTACATTACTAGCTCAACTGGCCCGAATTAAGGACCAAGGTGAGCTTATGCCATACCGTGGCGTCTGTCGTCTGTTGTCCGTCTGTACGTCAACAACGCATTCAAACGACTTCTTCTTCTTAACCACTGATTGGAATTTAACTAAATTTGACTGGAAGCATTCCTATGTGGTGGGGATTCCAAATTGTACAAATTTTAAGGCTGATTCAACAGGAAGCTGAGGGGCGGGGCAAAAAGGAGGCAATTTGGCTATATTGATATAAACAACTTCTGTAGAACTATGCAATGCATATCAATCATATTTGGTTGGAAGCATTAATAGGAGGCGGGGAGTCAAAATTGTACAAATGGTGGAGCTGACCCCCCAGGGGTTATTTGGCTAAATTGCTTTAAGCGACTTATTTGGAACCAAGGGATGGATATCAACCATATTTGACTGGAAGCATCCCTAGGTAGGGGGGATTTAAAATTGTACAAATGGTGGGTCTGACCCCCCAGGGGGTTGAGGGTTGGGGCCCGAAAGGGTTATTTTGCTAAATTGCTTTAAGCGACTTCTTCTCTGGAACTAAGAGATGGATGTCAACAATATTTGACTGGAAGCATCCCTAGATAGTGTCCAGGGATTCAAAATTGCTATATTGCTATAAACGACTTCTTCTGTAGAAATATGCACTAACTTATCAATCATGTTTAGTTGGAAGCATTCATGGGAGGTGGGGATTCAATATTGTACAAGTGGTGGGGCTGACCCCTCGTGCTAAAGGGTGGGGCCAAAAATAGTTTATTACTTGGAAATGGTTGAGATCCCCGCCCTATCACCATATATACAATTGCTGAGTAGAAGGAGAAGAATGCACATACATTAATTGTATGCTTTCCAGGATGGCTCTGGGGTCTGCCCACCCCTGGGTCAAAACTTCGAAACGGTTAAGATCCCCACCCCAAAACTATATATATAATTGTTTGGCATAAAAAGACGAATGCAGTCATGCTATTATAATTGATCCTGGGCTCTGGCCACAACCCTAGGGATCTAGTTTCTGAGTCTCACCTTGGAAACAGTTGAGATCCACGCCCAATAACCATACATAAAATTGCTGGGCATGAAAAATCTAATACAGATATGCCACAAGGATTGGATTTGGGGTCTGGCCCATTCCCTTGGATCTTATTTGGAGAATATTTTTCCATGATTGCTTACAAATGTAGATATCCAGGTGAGCGATACGGGCCCTCTGGACCTCTTGTATAAATTTGCAAAAAAAGGTTGATTCATATTCATCTATATATATATATTGGCTTGCTGCAACACACAGAAATCAAGATCATACACACATAGACATATATATACCCGCTATACAGAAAAGGAAAAACAGAGGTTTATATTAGCTGAACTTGTCCCTTATTACTTTCACCTCTTCAGAGGTTCATGATGGTGAAAGCACATGGAGCTGCTCAAAATCTCTTTGCTTTCCTTTTTTACAATGCATATTTAACAATATTCACTAGGACTTCTGATGTTAACAAAACAAATCACATATACTTAATGTAACAGAGGTTATTATTTTTCCAATGCCTCCGCTAGGAGTCAAACCCGGGACCTCTGGTTTACTCCATCTTATTAAACTGTATTAACAAGGTAAAGAGAAATTCACCCTAGCTAGCCGAGTCGGTATGAAGCGGCTAGTAATTTACCATGGTGACATTTGT